CATATCCCTTACCTAGTAGCCATGACGAACTCTACCAAAATTGCAGCTTCCCCATGGCTTGAGCCGCTGCTTCCACACGCGCTGACAATCACAAACTTGACGGCTCCCCTACCGCCCCCTCCGGACTTCAGCTTCAACCCGAGACACTTCAAAAAAGAAAAGGCGAAACCGACGTGATCGAAGAAAACGCCCCGTCTGGTCCCTTACTTGACGTGCCGCATGGCGCAGAACATCTACACGTACCCGCAATCCTTGTTACGCGTGAACCAAGGGACAAAGATCAACGACTCTCTGGCATATACGATCCACTCACTATCAGCTTCTCTGCCAAGCAGCTCTAGAACAACGCCCCAACTGCAAGCCCTCGAGGAATGCATGAAAGCCGGAACCTGGATTTGCGAATGCAGCCGCACACCGCATCGCCCGCCACGCATCCACACACACGTACACAGGCACGGCTACGTATCAGCTGCACCCCGCTCCGCATACCAACCACCCGTTACACAACAGAGGACACCGATCGGAGGGAAACACCAGGCGGCCTATCACCTGTCACTGTCCAACCGGTCCTCAAGTCTCCTTTTGACCCGCGCACGGCACGCACGAAAGCATGGTGCAGCATGCGCATCGTATTCCGGCACGCCTTCCATTTGGCTCACCCGGCACACCATCCACCCAACCATGCCTTTCCCCCCCTTGGATTCCCTGTCCTATAGCCGCCTGCCATGAATGGTGCATATACGGTGGCGCATGCACGCAGCACGGGCACTAGCGGGACCAACCGTAGCTACTGCTCGATCCCCGTGTCCGAGCGGAAGACCATCTGTATCTGTACCGCGCGCACCGCAGCTAGACAGCGAAACGTGCATGCATATTATTCTCCTCCCCCTTCCACATTCCTCCCTGTCGCCACCCACCGCCCGCGCGCCCTTCACCACGATGCTTCCACGCAGCTGACAGCATCTTTCATACCCGCGAACACGTTCATTCCCTGCCTATCCTTTCCTGCCTGCCCGTCCGCCACTTCATCACCTACCCCCCCTTCTTCTTTCAACCACTTTCTGCTGCCCACCCTCCGACAACCGCGTCACCCGCACTCCGTTACCATCTCCATCCATGCATTCCGCCCCCTTCACTGCAACACCCTTCCACGATCAACACACCCAAACCAGGCATCTCCCCACCCTCCCCACCAGCCAGCTCGCCACCGTGCTCCACCAGCAATGCCCACATTCCGGTCCCCCCAAGCCCTAACAAAAGCTATAACCAGGGTTTTCCCTCCCACACCATCTCTACACGTCTCCCTCGCCTTCACACCCACCAACAACCTCCCCACTTTGCATACTTCAGAACCAGGACCAGCGGTGAGCAGTAAACAGGGACAGGGAGGGGAGGGGGAGAAGTGGAGGGATATTATTTCTGGGGGGAGACGAGTAACCCTGCGTCCTTCTCTTCCCGCATTGCATCCTGCATTAGCATCAAGTACTAATAATTAGCATCGAACATATATCAGCCCATCCGGCCACGCCGGTCAAACGTTGGCACGTGCAAAAAAAATGGATTGGGAGAGGGGTATTGTGGCCGAAATCGCAGGTCCGTGGATTGTTGTTGTCTTCTTCTTCGCCCCTTTGTCTTTCCAGGAATTTTTCTGGTTTCATCATGAGTAGGGGGGAGGGTGACCGGCCGATATGCTTTGAACCGGTGAGCGTGGTTGGATTTATCCGGGTTTCTTCCCACCCACCCCTCCATACTCCCCCCTTCGCACCTTTTGTGTGGTGTGTGGGTCGCATTACGTGTGAGCGATGGTCGCTGAAGTTTTACATGTCATTTTGTGCGGTACTTGCAGCGGGATCCTGCTTTTGCGTCGTTGGTTTTGCTAAAACAAAAAAAAATGATCATTAGTTTTCTTCCTCGTTATTAGAAGATTGACATAAGACGAAAAAAAAAAAGAAAAAAAATATTGCAGGGGTACCTGCATCTGATTAGAGGTGGCAGGTATCGACCTCCTTCGCGATCGGGTTGATCCCTCCTCGCTGACTTGACGAAGCATGCATCGGAGGCACGTCCGGAGGGAGGCTAAGACGGGAATCAATAACAATGACATCAATGTGACCGATAATTCTCTGGATATTATAAGAGCTGGCATATAAGCATATACGATTGCGTAACAGACTGTGGGCCTATCTACCCCGTAGAATTGCTTCATGCAACTAGCAAGCTTACCCTCATACTGACGTCGTTTCTCGTCTCTTGATATGTTTATATTTTCATGTGTAAAAAAGCTTATTCCGTAGGACTTCTCGTCTAACGCTCAGCTGTGACGGAAAAACTATTATTTACCGGGATATTATTTCTCTCTCGGTTTTCATATAGAAATTAAATCTCTTTGTAGATAAATATGCACTCACCGCCTTAGACGAAGTCGGGAATCAGTGGGTGAGAGGATCCCACCCTACAGATGGCGACCGGCGTTGGCATAGGCGGTTCCGTTGGATTACCTGAAGTGTGAAGTAATGCTCTGGGCCTCCTTGAATGGCTGACCTTTCTGATTCTCTTCCAAACAGTCTCACCCAATAGGAGTTTGGCTGGGTGAGCTATAGTGTCCGTCAGCATGTGAGCTGTCCTTCGTCTGCAGGTGAGGTGTCGTCTCTGTCCAAAGGTCCACTTAACTCCCCTAAGAATAATCCAGGAGAGTTCAGAATTCTAATTGCCTCCTGCCTCCCCTTAGTACCACCTCTAACGCGATTGCGCCATCTTGTCACAAACGTGAGACACTAAAAAGAAAAACAAAACCTTGGATAGTCGACACACGAGAAGGGATTCCTCAATACAATAAATCTTTTCCGCCCCTCACCCTAGGAAGGGCCGTTTTGTGTAGATATGTGGTACTTGGTGCAGCCCAGCAAATAGGTGTCAGAGTGTTCTTGTAGATCTCGACCATCGACGCTACCGAACTCCTGAATTTGTCTGGTAGATGACGATGCAGTGCTTGGTAAGGGCCGCCTATCACCATTTGCAAAGGATCATATGAAGAATAGAGCCAGAAGGTGAACTTGCCCATCTCGGACTGCTGGTGTCAAAGGAACTGTCGCATCAAATCAACCGCCCATCACCGTTCTTGGGTCGATCGACGCTCGCAGTTATCTTCAGTCTGTATTAGGTGCTGGTGGCGAGCGTTGAGGAAGAAAAGAAATTGCGTGTACATATATTTTGGGAAGGTGCGTGGTTTCCCTGTTGGGTAGATACATATAATAAGCTCTTTCCTTAAGCATCAGAGAAGACTGCGCCATCGTGCTAGGAGATGGCGCGCTTCAGCGTGACTGAACCCACCCGCGGTGGTGTGGGTTTATTTCTTTTATTCGTAATCTCCCGGGAAAACTCCCAAGCCACCGTCAGGCTCTGCAGGCTGAGGCTTTGGCGGAAGCGATATTTCAGATTCCGCGCATTTCTAAAGAAAATAGAGTCCTACATCATGATTGCGCGTGAGTGCGTTGGCCATCTTCCGTGGGCGTTGAGTGAACCTCGCTCATTACCTGATGACGTCGGCGTTGACGGAACGGGACTTTAAGCCTGAATAAGTTTGTGTCTCGTAGTTACATCCCGTCAAGTTATTTACAAGGGATAACGTATGTACGTAGTTGAAGCTATCATCCGGATGCGAATTGTGGGATTAACAAACATACATTCACGTCCAGACGATAGCTTCAACTACGCATGATAAGAGTGAAGAACAAATTCTCGCTAGCTTGCTGTAATACCCCTCTGTAGATTACTATCATACCATTATATTTCTTCTATAGATTATTTGAGATCCTCGGATATCATACATCACCATTACCGCAAGGAAATGATGACTCATTAAGATAAATAGTCAAGGGAACGAAGTCTATGACGAGTAGATCAAGGACCCATGCCACTTGCACATATGTAGTCTTAGGCCGAAATGACTGGTGACTGAGGCAACGTTTATGTGGCATAGGGAATAGCGCGTGGCAAAGAAGTAGGGGTTATGACAAAAACAAATACCATCTACGGTCTCCAAAATGTCCTACGATGTAATGTTGCTTGAGGGTGCGTATAAGGGCGAACAACAGTGAACAGTGAAGAATTACAATGTAAGGGTCATATGTCGTTAACAATTCCATTGCTCGCATTGGGAGAAAATATCTCTCAGGAGCCAAGTCGGGTATCTATTCGCGAAGCAGCGGCACACGTAGAGTAGTATGTGCGCAGCAGGTATGTCGTGCGTGGAAGGGCAAACAGCCACAGACCCCGAGTGACGGGGGAGAAGCCCTGGGGTTAAAGAGCGTCCATTGCTCAAAACACGACAAGAAGTAAATGGGATGAAGGACGAACCCCTATGGTCTTCCCCACGTCATTGGGCGGGCAGGACAATCCAAGGTATAGTCTTCTTTTCAATGCCCAAAAAAACACAAAGCCGCCATCAAACAAACGCCAAAATGCAATAACGACGGTGAAGATACATGAGACTTTGAGAAGAGGATGGCGGTCGAAGGTAAGAACCCAAGATAGACCGATTCAATGGCAGATAAACCAAAAAAGAAAACATTTGCTCCAATTATCCAAAAACAAAGCGTTTCCTGCCAGGTCTAGTAACCTGGCCGAGATATCCAGTGGCATTTAAACAAGCAACAGAAGGATATAGTGCGTCGTCCGTCACCACCTCGATCTTTCGCTCGAACGCTCGACTCCCAAACTCCAGGACTCCAACTGCAAAGCGACAAATTTGCGGTCTGGGAATGATACTACCCCACACGAGGCAGAGGGAAGGTAGTGTCCAGCAGTAGAAGATGAACATGAAAGAATGAGGAATTGCGGAGCGGATGGAAGAACCCGTCAGCTTCGTTGCGCGGCGTCGGAACCCCGTTTTCCGATCGGTCTCAGCCACAACCTTGTGGAAAGCATCCACAAGGTCTGTCTCCTGCATCGTCATCAGAGAGACACGTCCTTTGTCTCAATCACCCCTCTAAAGCTTTGCGTCATCTGATCGGTCGACTGTAGTGCCACCAGGTCGGAACAGGCTGCACGCCTTCTGGTCGGCTTCCTCGGAGCCAAATGTCTCCACCTTGACCTTTAACCCAGCGATCCCAGGCAGATTCATATGCTTCCTCCAAGTCCATGACCCATCTCTTTGTGTCGAAGAGAGCAGAGCTGAATCTACTCTCGTATAGTAACCTCCGTAGGTCGGCAAGTCGACCGCTGATTCTGTGGCCGTGATATCTTATGCTGCTTCCCAAATTTATGGCGAGGCGCTCATAATCCGCTTCGTCCGAGGCGATGAGCTCTTTTGCCGCTTGCTGTCCAGCGGCGTTGTCGGGAAGGGCGCCCTTGAGAATCGATGCTGCCATGCGAGAGCACATCTTGTAGGGATAGCGTGGTAAGGTCAGCAGGGGCGTGCCGCTCCAGAGGACGTCTGCGGCCGTAGTGTGCGCATTGCACTCGGGCGTGTCGAGGAAGAGGTCGCAGACACGAGCGCGGGATATATGCTGGTGCTTTGGAGCAACGTCGGTGAAGATAACGCGGGAGGCCACCTCCGGTCCTGCCCATGCGAGAGCCGTCTGCTTGAGATGAGTCTCGCCAACGTCCGGAAAGCGGAGCAGCCAAAGGATAGCCTTGGGCAGGTTGGCCAGAATTCGAAGCCAAGTGCGGAACGTTGTAGGCTCGATCTGTAGAATATATTAGCTAATACAACCAAAGGCCTTTCTCTTGCGACACTTACCTTGTACAACTGATTGAAGTTTCCAAGGATGATGACGTCGTCAGGCAAGTCTGGAAAGATCTCCTTGCGCATCTGCCATCTCCTGGCTTGTTCCTTTTCCCAATCAAGCTGTTCCCCCTGTACATCCGGGGCGCTCTGGCGGTGATCGCAACAGAAGAACGTATTCTTGCAGTAGATGATATTCTCGCCATAGACCCAATCTTCTTGGTCGCCCCCGCTGTTCTCGTCGACCAGCTGATCCTCGAGATCCACGTTTCTCCGCCATGGGCGCAGCGTGCTTGGTGGAACTGCAGTATCGTCTGCAAGGAGATAGTCGCACCATTCAGCACCGAGAGTTCCTGCAAATCCCATGAATGACATCTGGATTGGTGCGGGCCGAGCGGCGAAGACCTCGTTGCGAGCACCCCGAGTGTACCCGTTCAAGTTGATCAGGATGTGGATACCATCCTTGACGATCTGCTGAACGAGCCTCTCTGCTGACCATGTGTGGACGTCATGGAAGACAGGAGCCTCCCTTTCGATCTGCAGACGGTGTGGGGAATTGTCGCTCATGGTCGTGGCGTAACAATATGCCTTGACTCGTGCTCGATTGTGCATGCCAAACACCGACTGCATTAAATGCGCCAGTGGATGGTTGTTGAAGTCAGAGGAGACATATCCGACCTTGAGATAAGGATTCGGTGGTGCAGGAGGCTCAAAGACGGTTTGAGGCATCCACGGCGCCTTGAGAGTTGAAACAGATATCCGGAGACCGTTTCTTTGAGAAATTAGGCGAATCTGTTTGGCGGACATGGGACAAGTGAAGGTGTGGAAAGGCAGAACTGTCGGAGCTGTCGGAACGGTGAGGCTCGATGGCAATAAGGGCCTGCGGTAGTGCGACAGCGAGCGTTCGTTGCCCGTGATCCACCTGTCTTGATACCACTGCCAGCTAAGACGACGGATGGCGCGCTCAGCCATGCGGACAAGACGGTGACCCTCCCACTTCTGGCCAGACCAGCTCTTCACGGTCCTCTTCATTTCCTCCATTCGTTCTCGGGCATCCCTTTGGCTGTTGCTTGTGAATGCAAGCACTTGAAGCATGGCCTGCACGAAGTTGACATTGAGAGATCCACGTCCCCAATCCTCGCCCTCGGCCAGTTGCTTTTCGACCAGGTCCACAACACGCTTGAGCCATCCTGTGCTGACAGCGCCAGGCTTCGTAGCATCGAGGAGCATGCCATGCTCATCAACATGCCAACGATCCCGCTTGCCACCGTCGGTCGCAATGCCGCCTCGGCCTGCCCATCCACAGACGGAATTCAAGGCATTCGCTAGGCCACATACAGCCTCGGCGAAATCGGGATTGACCTTGACCGCACGCTTGTAGTACACAATGGCATCGGCTATCCGTCCGTCGTCTTTCACGGCATTGGCCAGGTTTGCCAGTGCAATGTCAAAGTTACCGTCGCAGTGGACCGCCTGTTCGTACATGGCAATGGCCATCTTGAGCTGGCCAAGGTCTTTGAGGAGACTGCCGAGGTTCGTGTACAAGTGAGCGTGGCCAGCGTCGAGGTTGAGCCCGTAATTGTAGTAAGCCAAAGCCAAAGCTATGCCGCTCCCAGGGACAACGCCCGGTATTCTCGCCTGTTGGGGGTCCTGGTATATCTTCTTCGGTGGAACTGTCTGTTGGACGCTCGCGAGAAGGATACCAACGTTATTGGCAGTCGACGGGCTCGGTTGGAGCGAGAGAGAAAGGTAGTAAAGAGCGAGAATCTCGCGAACGCCATACGCAGATTGATAGGCCGCCTTCGGCAGACCTGAAGCCATTCCGTCCTGAAAGATTTTAGCCAGCGACAGGAGCGAATTGCTGGTGGTTGAGACTGCGGCTTTCCTGGCCATCCCCTTGCTCGAGATGTACCGGAGTCCTGGGAGCTCTCCATTATTGGGGAAGGCAAGCTGTGCAGTTCGAAGGGCTGCGACAGGTGGAAGGAGAATTGGCTCGATAGAGCTTGACGCATGAGCACCGGGGGCAGCGGTTCCAAACTCGTCTTCATCGACAACCTTCAGAATGTGCTTGATCAGATTGCTGATACCGCCCGCACGCTTTCCTGCGCTGATAAGCACGGCGTTTTCAAAAGCCTTGGCAGCTCCGGCGTTGTCACCCATGCTGTAAAGTAAGTTGCCTTTCGCATGGATCAGCGAAAGCATGCGGCCATTTTCGGATCCTGATATAGCATAACCACTAGTCCCGAATCCAGGCGAATCGGACCCCGGCATGTTGTTGAGGTCCTTTGGCAGGCTGTCCTGTTCTCCATCGTATTCAAATACAGGCTTGTCGGAAACCTCGGACTGCGGCGATCTTCCTCCGCTAGACACTTCGCTCCGTCGATCGGAATAGGTTTTTGGTAGCTGAAGTGCACGCTCGATATGGTTGATGATATTGACGGCTTCCTTTCCACGATGATCGGTGCAAAGCAGTTGGACGAGGTGTTCGACTGCTTCAAAATAGGACGGTCGGAGCTGAATGGCTTTCCACCAGTGCTGTTCGGCTTCATGTTTCCTGCCTAGAGAATGGAGCGTTGCGGCAACATTTGAAAGAGCTTCCACGTGGCTTTACAGAGTCAGTTTTGCTCATTGAACTCATCAAGGGATTGAACTTACTCTGGGTCCATATCAAGGATTTTCGAATACCAGACCAATGCTTTCTGGTAGTCACCAAGCGCATAAGCAAGGCAGCCACCGACGAGAATCCCATCGATCCACTTCCATGAGCTTTCTTGACAATACTGCGTGATTTGATCGATGGCAGACAGTGCATTTCCGGGAAGATCGCGGGTAACCGACGGATACATGGACGGAAACATGGTTGCTGACATCCTCCGCAGACTCCGGTAGGTGTCTGCCGGTTGTACAGGCTGTTGAATTGCCATGTTGTTGACCATGGGCTGCTGCCATGATGCGCGTCGCTGGTGGTCTTTCCAAAGAGAATTCGAACGGGAATGAGTGAGTGCGGAATTAGGGTCGACAATCCCTCCATTATGTGAAGCATGATGTTGACGGTATTCGGAGTATTTCGAAGAACCGGAAAAGTCTGCACCAGGCTGTCGAGGAGGCTTCGGAAATATACTCGGCTGAGGTTGTCCGTGGATGTTTCTTCCATGGTGACCAGATCGGCGCGAATGGTGGAGGTAGCTCAAAAGTTCGATGTAAATCTGGTGGGCAAAGTCAAGCGCTCGCTCTCTATTCTGAGCATTGTTGGATGTGGAGCCATAATCAGGATGCGACGATGCCAAGGGCGTCAAATCACCTCGGGACAGCCCATCTCCCGGGTGATATGAAGCTGATTGATGGGGTATTGAGGGACGCTGGAGATTATTGCGATTGATGTTGTTGCTGTTGCTGTGATAGCTAGTCTGATGACCGGATCCAAGATACTGCTGTGGAGGTTGCTGTTGTCCAGAAAGCCAGTGGTCATTAGGATTATTGAGGTTCTGTGCCAACCCGTACGGAGGACCACCTGCGTTGTATCCAACAGCGCCAGGCGGAACCGAGTGAGCGAGCTGAGAAGGTTGCTGGGGTTTCCAATTAGACGTGTCCAGATTGGTGTTACCAATTGGAGGCCAATTGCCATGCATTCGATTGCTGAAACTTGACTGCTGGTGATTCCATGAGGATACGGAGCCTGGATGAAATCGAGGATCTCTTACAGCCGCAGGACGATAAGGAACGTACGTGCCGTCCGGCCAATAAGGCCCGTAAAGTCCCGTCTCATTTGACACGGTAGGGCCCAGAGGGGCTTGCAGAGGCGGCTGCAATGCACCGCCAAAATGCTGACCCATCTGCAAATACTGGAGTTGCTGTTGAGGTGTCGGCACCTGGTTCAGCATCGAATCAATCTGAGAGAACTGCTGCTGGCCTCGTTTCCGACTCACGTTTGGAGGGTCAAAGTTGAATTGGCTAAGATCCCAGCTCTCCACCGGCAGCATTCGCTGCTGGGGCTGGTTGTGCGACCCTTGTGGAATCATGCCAGGAGTTCGGAGAGGAAGCTCCTGGGTTGGCCCGTACGGAACGACGGGTTGTTGCACAACCCCATCGACCGTCGTCACCGGGAGCAATATGTGCTTCATGGCGTGAGGCTTTTCCGAAGCGCTGCCGTCGTATGCCTCGGGGATAATGCCGTTTGGAGTCTTCCGGCGCAGCATATTCTCTGACCGTTCCGAGCTGGCTTGTCCCTCCTTTGGCGAGCCGCGCAGCGGGAAGGAATTGGTTCTTTGAAGCGGGTGTGCGTACTGTTGCGGTACTTGGAGCAGTCGGTCGCGGGACACCTTGTCCGGGACGGGCCCCATACGAGGTGTGGTCGGCAGAGAGTTGTAGTTCGCGTACGATGGATTGCGGCCAAACGGGTGCGCGGGGGCCTGAGGTTGTGGGGGATATTGTCGTATCATCGTCATGTCTAAGGGCCTACTCATACAAACGCTGAAAAAAAAAGGGTCGACCTTGGGAGCGGGGCGGTCGACGGTTGAGTCCGAGGGAGGAGAAATGTCAACGCCAAAGGGACCTCTATCATATAGGCAGTCTAAGAAGACCGGCTGTGCCTATGCCTTTGCGTAGAGAAATCGTCCCGCCGCCTACGCATGACATGTCGTGTATAGCGCGCTCGTTGTGATGGTGTCCGGCGTTCTCTACTGGCAAGCACCAGCAGAGATCCCGGCTGTGGTTTCGGCGGAGCTGTTGAGACACGGTACTTCTGGCGGAGGCGCTGGTCGCGACAGCAGGCTGAGTCTCGGAAGGGAGGGCAGAGAGGCGACGTAGTGTGCCGGCGGTGTAAAGGACAAAGCGTCAAGATAGGTCTCAGAAGTCGATGTTATGCGGTGGTAATGCAAGGGAGCGGCGTACGCTTCGGCTGGCCAGCTGTCTGACGGCGCACGACTCCGGCGACGGGAATGTATCACTCAGCAGCGCGCGCCGTGCCGCGGCTGGGCGAGCTGGCGTGGGGCAAAGGGTCTACGGATAAGCTGACGCTGACAGAGCTGAGAAGGAGATGTTACCGGCCGGGGGGCGTCTGCGACCGGAGGCTGCCTTGCGCGCAACTGGCAGCATCCAGCGCGCCCACAGGCAGCGACGGGCGGCGCGGCAACGCGCAGCAGGCGCAGCGGCGCACTGGGGGAGCTTCGTTGAGCAGCGCGCTGGGCGAGCGCAATGATTCCGGGCGTGGCGGGCGCAGCTTGCTGGGAGAGAAGGTGTGCAGCAGCACCTGCGCGTGAGGCGTGGGTGGATGAAGAAGGCAAGGCTGGGTGCGAAACTTGGCGTGCTCATGCGTGTAGCGTGGAGGGCTGCCGGGCTGGGGATATGAGCCTGCGCCGAGAACGCCCAGACAGGCGCCGTACGGCGTCGCTGCAGTGCTTTTTATCTGATCACCTGTGGCGTCCTCTAAACCCTGCCGACGCGCCATTTTGGAGGAAGCGATCGGCCGCCGTTGGCCTCTGGTCCCACCGATGGCACGGCGACGCAAGAGAGTGTGGAGAAGCAACTTCCATCCTTGCGCGCCTGGGAGTTTCGGATGCCATGGCACGGAGTGGGCCGCCCGGCTTGAGTCAGGGCTACGCGGCATGGAAACTGCTGGACCTTCTTCTGCCGCACGAATCGGTGAGCCACACGCCTTGGTCCACGACCTCCACGACCGCCGCCTGCGCCGCCAACCCAACCTGACCTGGGCCAACCCGTGACGCCGCCAACCGGCTGCGCCATCGCGCGGGTCCGCGCCCCCAGATCGCGCCGCTGCATGCGTCGCCTCTTCAATATCACCCGCCTTTATTGAGCGCATGCATCGAGTAAGGCTCACCGTGCCACACAGCCTCGGGTGCTTTATGTAAGGAGCCCGTCTGCACGACATCCTTCACATGGCCCCGAGTCTTGGTGCTTGGCCAGCCCACCGTTGAAACGTCGCTGCTACAGCCAGAGGGCTTGCTGCTCGGCGAGCCCGCCGCGGGAAAAAGCATCTTGTGCTGCCTGCCCCCAAGCCTTCGTCCGACAGCCTTACAGCGCTGTGCCGCTGCTTGCCGTGTACTGCAGCCATGTGCAGGCATGTGCGCATTTTATGCGCTGTGCTTATTATAGCCTGCTGGAGACAGGCCGGGGGGCGTCGTTGGCGCTCCCGCTCTCACGCAGCCGTAGTTGCACCTTTATAGGCGCCAGCCCACCTCTCATCAACACCAAATCCTGCACACCGCATCACCAACAAGCCAAGCCTAGAACCTGCTCTTCGTTGCTACTTCCGTCATGAAACAGAGCTGGGTCTCTTTGCTGCCCTGCTCCGGCCTGTTGAACGCGCAGCGCACACGTAGCTTTGGACCGGTGTTTGATGCTCGTCTACCAGGTGGATCCGATCGACAAAGCTAGTTATTGTCGAGGCGTCTCATGACTTCCCACAGTCTCCATTTCAACGCCGAGGACTTGTTGCCGTGCTGCGAACGCCGTCAAATTTGCAAGCTGCCCGCAACCAAGGCGCGAGAGATTACAGCATACGAGCTTGAGCATCGATCCGCACCCGAGTTTGAGCATCCGTCCGCGCCCAAAATGCTCTTTTATAGCAAGGGTGCCAAGCCGCCCGACCTGAGATCCTCCCAAGGAGCAGCCTCCGGAGGAGCAGCCTCCCTGTCAAAGGTGTGCATTGCCAATAAACTGAATCCTCATTGAGGCAAGAAGTGCACGCAGAACTTTATGAATACGGGAATTTCCGATACTTTGTTCGCATTCGTTATCAACGCTATTTCAGGGGCATTGTATCATGGCATGTAGACCCAAAAGATGGATCGCTGCACCACGGCCCCGAAGGGCAGGTGTCGCGATGAGCAGAGGTCAGGTTCTTCTTCCTTGCACCAAAATAGGCCGATCCCATGGATGAGAAAGTATGGGCCAGAGTGTTGGCAAGGGGACATAAAGTCACAGTTGTTGCAGAGGCACAGTTCGGACCCGAGACCATCCCGATCCTCGGCGGGATTAAACTTTTTGGATTTCCCTATTGCCCAATGACATAAACATCGTTATCGCAGAGCATTATGCGTACGACGTGAAGCGGATTGAGTTTTGTTTTGTGGGTATATCTACTCCTCAGGAACTGCACATTTGTTAGCATGCGCATTGCGCCATCGGTGCCACTGCCAGAACTTACTCTCGATCTCGCCAGCCTCAATGTCGTCAGAGATGTCCTTGGGCGAGCGGCCATCAACCTGGCAGCCAGTGGAGAAGGCAGTGCCGAGAATCTCCTTGACGGTACCCTCAAGGGACTTGGCCATCGACTTGAACCTCATGGTGCGGGCGATCTCAATGATCTCGTCCAGAGGGATGGACTTGGTGTGCTTGATGTTCTTCTCCTTCTTGCGGTCACGCGGCGGCTCCTTGAGGGCCTTGATGACCAGGGAAGAGGCGGAGGGAACGACCGAGACGGCGGCCTGACGGTTCTGGATGGTGAGGCGGACCGTGACACGGAGACCCTTCCAGTCGCCACTGAAAAACGCACATTGTCAGCGCTGCGCTCGTCGCATCTGCTCGCGCGAGGGAGTACTTACGTGGCCTTGGCGATATCTTCACCGACCTTCTTGGGGGACAGACCAAGAGGACCGATCTTGGGGGCGAGGGCAGACGAGGCACCAACCTCACCACCCGTGGCCCTCAGGTGGATAATCTTGACCTCATTGGGATCGAACTTGGGACTGCGAGCGCGCGGGCATTAGCCTTGGAGTAATAGCCAGAGCCCAAAAGGACGATACTTACGGCATGGCTAGTGCTGTAAGGTAGTCTGTCTCTTTCGGTGAGGTCGAAGATGTCGCGGGTGCAGAGGAAGAGATGAGGCGCGATATCGAAGGAAAAGTGTTTTTCGGCTACAGTGTGGGGGCTTGGCGCCGGCCGGCTTGGCGCGCTAGCGGCTGCGGCGAACACCATGGCCGACCGCTCGCGGTGATGCGATGTGTCTTTAACCAACCCGCGTATCTGCGACGTTACCTTTCCGTGCGACCGCTTCGCTCAGGACGCGTGCTTGCAGAGAGTACCCCGAGCCGCCCTCCCACCTGCGCCTCGACTCTGGCCTTTTAAATTCACCCGCCCACCTCTGCAGCTTTTTCCCAGCAATGGCTACACCTCCCAACCAGGGCCCCGCAGGCCCGCAAGCTGGACAACCAATGCCGGGCCCGATGCCCGGCCCCGGTGGCCCTATGCCTCCGCCGCTTCGTCCAGGCCAGCAACCCACCCAGGAGCAAATCGCGTTCATGCAGCGCCAACTGGCCGCAGAGGCGCAGAAGCACGGCATGACCGTGCCGCAGTACGTCGAGCAGCTTAAGGCGCAGGCCATGCGCCAGCAGCAGATGATGCAACAACAGGCCGCTCAGCAGCAAGCTGCCCAGCAGGGCGGCCCGCCTCCGCAGCAAGGACAGCCGCGCCCTATGCCTCCCGGAGCCCAGCCTGTCCAGCCCGGTCCCCCAACTCCCCAGGCCATCGCCGTTGCGAACTTCCTCAGAAGCCAGGATCTGAAGCCTCGCACGTGCATTTTCAACGAGAAGCGCAAGGACATGTTTCGAGGTAACTTGTCCAAAACTTTCTTTCAATATCTGGCCTAACTTCAAGCTCCAGTCAAGCGCGCTATTCGTGCTCTCCACTCCGAGGCCTACCAGAAGGCCCGCGCGAAGAACAATCTGCTCCCGCCTGTTACGGACCGTGCTACTGCCGAAAATGCGTTCAAGCTACTCCCCCTCTCCCTCCTTGCTCTCCGCGTTACCAAAATCGACCCGCACGAGGGCCACGCCCATGGAAAGAAGAAGCGCGTCAAGGGACTCTGGACGGTGAAGGTGGAACAACAGCAGAACGCGGACGACGATTCTCACTACGTGTGGCTGTATGAGGGCCCCCAGTGGAAGCAGAAGCTGTACGCTGTCCTTGCTCTGATTGCCGTCTTTGCTGTTGTGATGTTCCCTCTGTGGCCGCTCGTTATGCGTCAAGGCGTCTGGTACCTCAGCATGGGCATGCTTGGTCTGATTGGTCTCTTCTTCGCCATGGCTATTTTCCGCCTGATCTTGTTCTGCATCACCGTCTTCATCGTTCCGCCTGGTCTCTGGCTGTATCCCAATCTCTTTGAGGATGTCGGATTCTTCGACTCGTTCCGGCCCGTGTGGGCTTGGCAGGAGGTAAGTCTTCCATATTTTCCCACGAAGTCGTTTTCCGCTCCTCACGATATCTGAAACACAACTGGAATGATACCAACTGAATCGTTGCACAGACCGAGGAAGACAAGAAGAAGGCAAAGGAGGCAAAGAAGGCAAAGAAGGCGGAAAGGGTTGAGAAGAAGAAAGCCAAGGAGGCCGCCGCTCACAGCCACAACCACCCTCACAATCACGCCCATGCACACGGACCCACTCCAACCACGGCACCTGCACCCGCAGCACCGGCCCAGGAAGAGCCGGCTGCAGCTCCTGAGGCGCCCGTCGACGGTGCCCCTGCCGCAACTGGTGTTGAACAGCCGGCTGGAGAAGTGCGCCAGCGAATGCAGGCGAGCGTTGAGGAGGCTGACGAGGAGTAGGCGGGCCTGGGTTTGGCCGTGTCCTTTTTTTCTGATTTCATGTGTTAATAATCTCCTTTGCGAGGTCAGGCAGGCTACTGCGCGTCCTCTAGGAAGGTGACGAGTGGATCCAATAACCTCGATGTAGATCATCCAATAAAGCTATCTGGAGATCAGCTTGGGCTTTTTTCGGCTAGGATCAACAACAGGGATCACATCTGTTCATCCTTTCCTCACCTCCGGCGTTATGTTTTATTCCCCTATTGCACCTCCTTCTCTTCTTGCTTTCAAACAAAGCATTCGGGGCACTCGTACTGCCGGCACATGGGCGAGGAGGAAAAGGTGTTGTGGAGTAATAGTGTGGTGGTAACTCACATGGTTGATAGCTTCAGTAATTGGAGTTAAGGACGGTCATTCTTACCAGAAAGTTTCTGTGCGATGATGACCTTCTTTGAAGACCTCTGTCCCTAAATTTCTTGTGTTGGGTTTCTTGTCCCACAATTTCGCGCTTCGTAGATTTTGTTTTTTTTTGGTCGGCCCAGTGCAGATGCTCTCACCCGCTTCCCCACATCATCTAGCACTAACTTACAGAGGGGTGCTGCAGCCGATGGCTAGCGCGAAGGATAGCAGGGCTCTAGAACATAGCGTAACTATGCCCTCAGCTTTGCTTTAGAAAAATAATGTATATTGGCAGTTGAAGCTATCGTCCGGACGTGTATGTAGAATTTTTAATTCGATATTCTCGTCCGGACGACAGCTTCAACTACCCATGACATGACCAAAAAATAAATCCACGCTAGCTATCGGCTGCTAGAGAGGACTGTACTAGTCATCAAGTAAACTAGTTCTGACTATGGGAAAAAGAAAGCAAGAATAGAGGTAAATCTTTCTGTACCTACCCTCTAAGGTACTTAGTCAGCACATTCGTACTTCGTCAAGCCTCCACCAAGATCAATTCCTCAATTACTAGCTTTTGTGCACGAGCATCAGTCATTACCAACACGCCCTCATCAATCGTTCCCATCATGGAACGCTTCCATAACAATGCCAACTTGACGCGGCAGAGGACGTGAAGACTATAATAGTCCAGACGAGACTAAGCTTCCCGCCGCCCGCATCGGATCCACAGCGCCATCAGCCGCATGCAACGCCAGCCGCGTTGCAGGCCGCGATGATCGCTATCGCGACCCGTCCGCCATGGTCGCAGCTTCCGTACGGCCGACATTCTTCCAGCTCGCTTGGCTGTGACATAGCCACCACGAAAAGCGCGACGCGGCCTGAACGCAGGTGTAGCCCACAGATCGGCGGAGCGCCCGATGAGAAGGGAGAGGCCAGTAGCTCGTTCGTGCGAGGGGCAGCGCTGTGTACACGCTGGCCCCGCGTACGTGGTACATGCCGGCGCAACGGCGTCTGCGGTGGCCGTTCAGCCGTAGCCAGCAAGCAGCTAGCCAGCCGTCCCGCCAGAGCCCGCCGTCCAGTCAGCCAGCCACCCGGCCAGGCATTGAGCCGTCTCACCCCCGTCCCAAGCTTTGGGAGATCAGTCCAGACGCGCACATCCACAAACGCCACCTTCGTTCTTTTGAGCCGCTGACGGGCCATGGAGTGACAATTCCATCCATCAAGCGGTATTGTAATGTCATGCGTGCGGAATGCGGGAGGGGTGTGGGCTTGTGACCCAGCGTCCGACCACCATGACGACCAAACACGAGCACGAGCGCAGGCTTCAAACCCATTCCCGGCTCGACGACCAGCCTTCTTGCAGGTCCAGAATCTAGCCGCCCTCGCTTTGTCGTTCGCTCCTTTTCTGCTTTTCCCCGAGTTGCAGCCCGGATCTCGATTGCCAAGACGAGCTCGGATGCCAGGAGGGAGAGATGCGAGAGTATCCGATGTCGTTCAAGCGGTTACGTCGGGATGTCGGCTCCGAGCAGACGTTATTGCGGACGAGCGCGAGCAAAGTGAGGCGCGCGTCAACGGTGGCGCGTTGAGTCAGGCAATGAAGGGAAGTACCGTGAATCGAAAGCACCATCGCAGTCGGTTCCGTTGAAAAGGAGAATGTCTGATGCTTTGACAACGCTGAGTGTGGTGAGGTGCGTGATAGCCCTCAACCCGAATTATCTATCCGAGCCCGTTTGTATGTATGTACGATGGATACTGTGAAACTAGATTGACTTTGCCTTCTTTCTGGCCTAAATAGACTAAAGGAATAACGGTCAAATACCCGCTTACCTCGATGAGGACGTATCTGTCGAACCGGTAACCGAGCTGACGAAGTCCACGTCATGTGCAGATAATGTCCATGCTCGCGCCTGTGGTTGCACGACCGTCCGTACACTGAAACGATAGTATCCTCCTCCCCACGTGCTCGTACCATGTACAGTCCCCTCTCGCAGCCGATGGCTAGCGTGGATTTTTCGCTCATGTCATGGGTAGTTGAAGCTCTCGTCGGGACGAAAATGTAGAATTAAAAATTCTACATACACATCCGGACGATAGCTTCAGCTACCTACATATGTTATTTTTCTGAGAACGAGTTGAGGCATAGTTACGCCTGGGGCCTTGCTATTCTTCACGCTAGCCATCGGCTGCGAGAGGGGACTGTACTTGCCCGCTGTTATTCCACCTGTGCTTGCAGCACGAACGCGCGATTGATTACTAGCCGTTATCTTGCATTCCGCTTCATGGCGCAGAGCTTCCGGCCATTTCCTGCCGCTGCCGTTATTGACAGTGCAATGTCCTTTCACGACGGGACTAAGGGATGGCCCAAGTCTCTTTGTGGCAGCCGCGGCAACGGCGGAGGTGGCGGCGGCGGCGGCAGCGTCACTGGACGCTCTATATGATCTGCCAGTTAAGACGCATCGACGACATGGGAGCCGAGGAGGTGCAACGGCGATAGGGAGCGCATCGAATCTCCCTTCTTCTCCACATCACCCCTTATCGCGGCGAGCCGCCTTGAGCTCGGCGATCGGATTCGGGAGAGGTGGGGGAAAGAAGAAGGGGGACAAGTGGAGAGTAGAGAAAGTGGGGCTCCAATATCCGTGGAGGTGATTCCGAAAGGGGCAATGAGCGATGTGACGAAGCGTAGCATCTCCCTGCGATGCGCGTAGTTGGCTGCCCAAGGTCTCATCGTCTTTTGTGGGTCACGTTCATACGTACCGCCGCTGTAATTGAGAAGGCATATACAATAGTCTTCTTCGTGCGTGGCTGCATCGCCAAGCGCAAGTCCATGGAAGAATATATCGATGTCTCGGCATAGGTGTGGTTTTCTCGTATTTGGTTGGTTGGGCGGTTGGAGGTGGGGCGCGGGAAAGGGAGAGCGGCGCAGCCGTGTGGATCAAATCTAAACAAATTGGATGAAAACGAAAGATGTCACTGGCCGGACATGGGCGGCAACACAACAGTCCTCTGTTGTGTGGGGACGGACCGGACGCGCCTCTGCCGCGCGAAGCGCACTTGTGCTTTCCGTTGGTCATTCGGCCTTCAACCCCGTCAGAAATCCTCTGTTGGATTAGACCCATCAAGAAACGCCCGCTTCACAGTGGCTCGTTAAGATTGGAAGAAAGTCGTTGGCTGGAACTCCCCTTGCTGTGCCGCGCCGTAATCAGCACCCTTGTACCTGCGCCAAAACCCGCCGATCACATTAGACACCACCCGCACAAAACCTTTCCCATTGTTACGCTTGACCAAAGAAAAAATGTCCAAACTCGCTTATCGAAAGCCGTTAACCCATGAATATCGTGTTAGTGCTGGATGCCTTGCGCCGTGCTTCGTGCCAATGAAATGCCGAGAAAGTCCAAAATTGGAAACAGAGAGTCATGATACGAGACCAACCAGAGTGGAGATCTGAGCCGCCTATGACGCGGACGTTGCCGGCGGTACACTAGCTGCGGCGTCGGTGGGAGTAGGCCGGGTGTCGCTAGCTCCGGCGCCCGCCGTGGTTGAATCTTCGGCCGGGCGCAGCGGCGGGCTGGAGAGGTTCGAGCTGATGGCCGGCGCTTGAGGAGAATTCGGGTTGAGCTCATGGAGTTGGCGTTCTATCCGTGTTAGTCACCGTGCGGCTCGGCCAAATTTGGGTACACACCAAGTTCACGAATCCTCATCTTGAGCATCTGGTTCTCCCGTGTGAGCATCTGCGTCTCAGCCTGGTAGAATGCACTCTCGTCCCTGCTTCCCGAGCTTCCCAGGAGCCAGTCGCCACTCTCGCTGTGGTGCGATGTTGGGCGCAGAGCGGGGCTGCCCGCCCTGCTACTGTTCCGGGACTGTCTATAGCTGCTGTTGCGCGAGAGGCTGCCCTGGCCTTGGGCGGCCGGCATTGGCGAGCGCGAGCGGGGAGGGGCGATCTGGGAGACATTGGACTGCGAGGCGGTGGCAGACTGGGGCAGCGAAAGAGAGCGCTCGGAAGAGGGGGTGCTGTCGTCGATGGCGCTATCGCGCTGGCCTGAGGCCGGCGGGGTGCTGTCGCTGGCCCGGAGCGTAGCGATCTCTGCCTGCTGGCGGCGAATCATCTGCAGCAAGCGGTTCTGGGAGTGCACAGGCGCATCAGCCAGTGCTCGAATGAGCACGCAAAGAGGGGGATCGCCATACGACTTGCGCCTCCTGCTCGTTCTCGAGCTCCTGGTGGATCTCGCCCAAGCTCGGGGCGCGCTGGTGCGACGGGCTCGCGGGCCACGACGGGCGGTGCGAGTGCAGCGTCGGGCTCATCTGGACTTCGGAGGGCATGGGCAGGTTGGGATCCATGAGATTGAGATTCATGCGGACGCTGGAGCGGCGGCGGCTGGTCGAGTTGCGGGCGCTCGAGCTGGTGGAGCGGCGCTCTTCGTGGGCATTGAGGGCGGCGGCGGCGGCCAGCGAGTGCGGCGCCTGGTGCGGGCTGGGGGTCTGGTTCTCCTGAGCCATGGTGGAGAGAGCGCCCGGGAGGCTGTTGATGTCTGGCATGGATTCTCGCGGGGCGTTCTGCTTTGTAGTGCGGATGAGCTCGTCGGCGGCGGCGATGATGGAGGTCTCCCCACCAGCAGCCCACTGCTGCATGCGTCAGATCAGCCGCCCAACCAATGGCACGCGCCGCCCATGCAGGGCCCTTGCGCCCATGGACAGATGCTGCGGCCGCGCTGCACGCGCCCCCGCCAGGAACACAGGCCGCGCCAGGCACCATTTCTGGCGGCCACGCGCGCCGTTGGCGGTGCGGCTGCTCCTCTTTCGGACGCGTCCAATTCAGCGCTAGGCCCGCTCTGCCCGCGTTGAAACGGAGGTCGAGCACGCCGACTCCTGGCCGCTAAGATGAAACTGTCACCAGAGCCTACCGGTCCCGGGCCACCAGCCGGTCTCCCTTTTGACTTTCGAGTCTCTGGGGACCGCTTGCCTGCGAGTCCATTGTGGCATATCACTGCTCCGCCTGCCGCCCGCTCGCTGCGGCACATGGATATGCTCTCTGCTGAGCCTGGCCGCCGACTCGTTGGCTGCTCTCGCCGGGTTGCGCCGCTTCAAAATCTGCAGTCCTGTCCCAGGTAAATTGACCTCGAGCGTCGTGTGTCACGCCCGCCGCCCGCGCGTTCCCGACTTCTATCCTCGATCTCCTCTCTCCTCGACTTCTCTCGCGCTCCCTCGCTCCCTCGTGTTCACGAGGCCTCCCATCGCCCCGGCGTCCCGGCCGAGTGCATGTCTTTCCCTTGACCGCGCGTCCTCCGCTGTGCAAGTCATGGCCGAGGACGAAAAGGCCGCCGAGTCCGTCGGCTCGCGCCGCGGCCAGAAAAACCTCCCGCCCCTCCAGACGCAGCTTGACACCGCCCAGGTGCCGCACAGCTCGCGCTGGAGACGATCTCGCTCCATTGTGCCACCGCCACCGGAGCACAAGGTCGCACCCCCGCCGGTACCGAATCCGCAGGCCAAGCTCGAGAACCGGAAGTCGAGCATGTCCCTGTTCAGCCTCTTCAGCCGCCCCAGAGTCGAGAGAGCACGCGGTCACCACGAGAGCGGTCTGCCCACCATCCCGGACCTCCCCGAGGCGAAGCCAACCACCGCCCTGAGTCCCGTTACTGCCACCCCGCACAACACACTCGACAAGCCAGCTGACCACCGCGCCATGACGCCCAAATCGCGCGGCAGCTCCTTCAACCGGAAGTCAAGAGTAGGGGGTGCAAGCAATTGGGAGCCGCCGCCGCTATTCCAAGCCTACCCGCAGGCCCTCAAGCATGCCATGCTTCCCGCGACCAATGCCTCGGCCGAGGCCATCATTTCCACCCAAGCACACAAGCGACAATACAGTATCCTCAAAGAGAATCTCCAAAGCAAGCTGGACTTGTCGAATGGGACCGACGAGGCCGCCGCAGCTGCAGAGAAGCTGCAGAAACAGCAGAAGCGCATGTCGACAAGCTCAACCTTGGCTGTTCCCGACATGACACACAAGATTTACGTCTTGTCCACTTCCGGCTACTTGCTCCAATACTCCGGTGAGGGCCCGTCCGACAGGATGCCTGAAAAGATCTTGCAGCTGGGGAGGGACTCCGCAGCGTTCGCATGTGACCTGATCCCCGGCAAGCATTGGGTCCTGCAGATCTCGCAGTCCACGACCGACGACGGGACCGTGACCGCCCAACAGCCGAGGTCCCTGCTGTCTCGGTTGCGCATGCAGGGTGCCGCTGCGAGGAGAACAGCGACGATCCTGCTCTTGGTCTTTGACACCCCTGAGGAGATGGGAGAGTGGTTGACAGCGATTAGGCAAGAAATCGATATCCTTGCAGGCCGCAAGACCCGAGCAGACGTCGACCACGAGAACGGCCGAGACAGTGGGCTTCGCAAAGTTACCAAAATGCCCAGCCATCGTTACTACGTCCAAAGGGACCCCAGCCGATTCGACAGTGAGCGTTCGCCGATGACTTCGCCTGTTGGCTCGCCGGCCAACACTATGGAGTGGCCTTCCTCCGCCATGCGTCGAAATGTGTCAGACGCAGCCTCCTCTACATCTAGGTTCACATTCAAGAGACGGTCGGTGGAGGGCTCTTCGATGGCCGCCTCGTATGATGGGAACCAGCTGAACCAACTGAGAGAAGACTCGCGGTTATCTATGGCTTCCAACAGGACCGCAGGGACTTCTGCAACTTCGACTGGCCCTCCTTCTCCCGTCCGAGACTCTACGCCGCTACCCACAGACGAGGCTCAACGCAGCCCTACGACTCTGAAATCTTTCTCGATGAGCCCCAGCACAAATTCTCGGCGCAGATCCATGCCCATGCAACCGCTCTCCCCAACAAGCGAAGATCAGTCTCAAGAATCACAGAGGTATTCACCGTTTGGGCCCGCTTCGGCAGGCACGAGAGCATCTCCTGCACCTTCGTCTGAGGATGGTCACAAATCCCCAACACCCGACGGCTCAGCACCTAGGACCATCAAGAACCGCATGTCTTTCTCTCGGCCTTTCAATCTACATACATCTCACAGCTATACCCCGATGCCTACGATCCGCAGCGCCAGCGCACCCCCCGAAAAAATGGCCATGCCCGCGGGTCAAGCTGTGTCGACTGATACAGCTGAGTCTGCCCGTCCGCCGTCCGCAGTTGGCAGTGTGCTATCTACGGCGAGCCCTAGTCCCAGCCCGGTACAGCGTCAGACCCCTTCTCCAAACCCCGGGTTCCGTCCCATTCCCATTAGACCTACCAGCTTCATGCCAGCACGTCGTACTTCATCCCTGGGACCTGCACTGCCTGTCAATGTCAACCCGACTCCGGCTCTCAAGCAGAGGGCGTCTCAACCGCAGTTTCCCACGCAACTTCCGCCGCAACCTGCCACTCGGCCGCCAACTAAAACTCTACCCCCTATCCCTGCTCCGCCGCCCACGACGCAGCTTCCACCGACTCCTCAGCAGGCGCAGTCAAAGAACCAGCCAGCGCTCCGCCGTCCGACGAGCATGCAAATCCGCTCAGAGCCTGTCGCGTTCCTCTCGACCCGCCGTCCAATGGGCGTGTCTGCACGTGCCCGATCACCTTCTATCGAGACGCCTGTTCGGCCCTCGTCCGCTCAGCCGCCAAGAAGTCAGACGGAAGCTGCAAAGATAACCGGACAGCCGCGGCTGTCGGTGCACCCCATGCGCTCGATGCCGGTACTTGGATTGCCACCACCAGCGCCGCCGCCAAATATGCCGTTGCCGGCGCCGCCGCCCAACGTACCGCTTCCCCCTCCGCCGACGTCAGCTGGCTCAACGACGACTGTCAAGACCGTAGTGATGGCGTAAAGACCATGATTGTTCTACACTGGGCTCGCCAGCGTTTGCTTCTCAATATATTGCCCGTATATGTTTTGTTCAAATCTCTTAAGCTTTGCCATGGACGCTGTTGGTAATGGCTAATGGCTAATGGCGAGTTGAAAAGGCACAGCACTGTTTTCAGCCGGTTTCCTTCTACGTGTGAATATTTTACGGCCTTATGATTGGTCTCGCACCAATCAGTCTTTCGTATTTTGATTCTTGTTCCCTTCGATCTACCTGTATTACTGCAATTTTTACCGTTCTGGCCTAGCAGACGCGGCGGCTGGACACTCTGAGATTCTTTGTTTTTTCAAGTTGGACAAGATATCCCTTGATTATTTCATCGCTGGCGTTGCGAATTTTTGGGTTGGCATAAGAACTGGATACCTCTCGGCGGATCTTTTGATTTTGGAATAGGCGCTACAGAAGAATATGCCATGTATGATAGGCAGTAGGGTGGTTAGAAAAGTCGACGGCAGTCATGTTCTCTCGGATGTGGCTTTCACATAAAAGAGGTATCGTTTGCAAGCAAAAGCGTTTTCTGATTGAAAAGAAGTGGTTGTGATTGGGCTGGTCTAGGCATGCATGATGATATCAGAGGCTATTCCGAGCTTGCTGCAAGCGCAATGGGGCTCATCTGAGCTCTCGTTATCAGCACGTGATGGGTACGATACGGGGGGTTGATAAGGGCCGATTAGCTTGAGCTCACGATCAACACTTTGGAGAACGAGCGACGGCAACGATGCTGCGCTCACTTCTCAGGTCTGCTTCCATACCGACCCATGGCAGCAGAGCGGCCCGCGTGAAGGTCGTTCGGGCAACAGCGCCGACGATCCGCGCTCGGCAGCTCCATCTTCCAACCAAGACCGTCACCGACGACGACATCGCCCAGCTCGCCGCCAGCCCGCTACATCCTCTGACGCTCGCCGACCTCGTCAAGTAAAATCCCGCCTCGCGATACCCCCAGAGTTCGGCGCAAGCTGACGCGTGATCTCTCTCGCAGGCATGGACGTCCACCGCTCACCGCCGAGCAGCTCTTTGACTCGGCCAACTTCACCCTCTCGATTCTCCCCGCGCGACTAGCCCACCGCATCCAGTCACTGCGTAACCTGCCCTACATTGTCGTCTCGAATCCCCACGTGTCCAAGATCCACGGGAACTACCTGCACTCGCTCTCAACGCTGCTGCCATGGGCTGAGAAGCGCGTCGAGAGTCTGGAGGATGAAATACGCTTCACCGAGGTCATGGCTGACCTGGTGCACACCCACGCCAACACCATAAGCATCCTGGCGCGCGGCTTCCTCGAGGCCCGGCGCTACATCAGCCCGCAAGAGGTTACGCGGTTCCTGGACGAGCATCTGCGCGCGCGCATCGGGACGCGGCTGATTGCCGAGCAGCACATTGCGCTGCACATGAGCTCGCAGCCACACAGCGAGTTGTGTGACGAGGAGGGAGGCGGTGCCGACGGCAAGGAGCAGGGCGGGGCCAAGTCGAGCTTCATCGGCGTCATCGACACAGAGCTGCGACCGGCCGACATCGTGCGGCACTGCGAGAACATGGTGGCCGAGATCTGCGAGCTCAAGTACGGCGTGCGGCCGCGGGTCGTCATCACGGGCGAGCCCGACTACGCCTTCGCCCACATCCCCATGCACCTCGAGTACATCATCACCGAGCTGCTCAAGAACGCCTTCCGCGCCACCGTCGAGCGCGGCATGGAGCGCGAGCCCGTCGAGGTCACCATCGCCCCGCTGCCCGAGACGCCCGCCGCATCCTCACCGTCGCGGATAACGACGACGCCCGCCGCTCCCGCCGGCGCGAACCCGCACCCCCACGGCGAGGCAGGCGAGGCCGCGGCCATCACGAACGAGGACCAGGGCAACGCGGACCGCGCGAGCAAGACGGCCGCCATGCTGGAAAAGGAGGCCCACGCGCCGGCGCGGCAGCGCGCCGCCACGGCCAACATCCGCCCGCTCGAGCGCAGCACGCCCGGCGTCACGATCCGCATCCGCGACCGCGGCGGCGGCATCTCGCCCGCCAACTACGGCCGCATCTGGGAGTACAGCTTCACGACGTTCAACGAGGACGACGCGCGCGCGTCGCTGCACGGCGGCGGCGGTGGCGGCGGCACCCACCCGCTGGACGCCCTCAGCGCCATTAGCGGGCCTGGCGGCGACGCGGGCAACCCCACCGGCAGCAGTCTCGCCGGCTTGGGCTACGGACTGCCGCTCGGTAGGGCGTATGCCGAGTACTTTGGTGGCGGGATTGCCGTGCAGAGTCTTTGGGGTTGGGGCACGGATGTTTACTTGAGCTTGAGGGGAGTGGGGAAGGTTGATTGAACGGAAAAAAACTGGGAGGTTTGCCTAAAATGAGATTATGCGGGAGTGTTCCAGATGGAAAGACCTTGGGGTTTGTACGATAGAGCGCGCTTTTCGTATGTCTGCTATGGGACGAGGGTAATACTGTGGCTTTCAGATTGGAAGTCATGGTGTGTGTGTGGCGTGGACGGGGACACTTTGGAGTTCCGGGGAAGGATCAAAAATAAAAAATAGCAATCATTCTAGGGCTAGTACACTTGAAGCATTGGTAGAGGAGTGCGGCGGCATTGTCAAATGTTATTTCGGTTGGACCGTTCTGAGGCAAATCTGTCTGATGTACATGCGAACGCTGAACTAAGGTTATTGATGGAATATACTGTCTGACGAGATCTCTTCTGTGACCCCTGAGAAAAGAAAAAAAGCTCATTGCCCCAATGGCCCTACTTGTTAAATCCGAGTTGCCTCGAAAAGGAAATCTATAGCCTATAGGATAATTATGAAAGCTTTGCAGTAATCCGTAAGAATTAAATACTTATACTTAAATTCGAATACTTGTCTATACTAGGAGATATATCCTACCATCATTATATAAAGAAAGTAGATAACATCTCCGGTAGAATATCTGAGATGGGTAAACACTTTCTATAGAATATTAAAGGAAAGTGCGCTAAATGTTCTATATGTTACCCGTAGCAGTGTAGGATATACACGCTGCCAGGTGGCTTAATATTAGCAGGTAGTAAGAGGAGGAAGGAATAGCAAACGGAAGAGAGGCAACTACTATAGATCCACCCAATGGTGCATTATACTGTTCCCGGATCTGTATGGTGTTGGCGCGCATCATCCTTGCTTCAAGACTCATGAAGAGTGGATAATTAGAACGGTATACTCTCTTGGGATAAACTATCTTTAGACTCATTAAACTTAGAGTAATTAGAAGTAATTGTTATCTGCAAATAGTAGATACTAGAACTTAAATTCAAACTCACAACTATAATAATTTGCTAATACCGAGCAAACCTACTTTTGCTACAGTCACCAGTCATATTGTTAACAGGGATAAAGATCGGGTGCGATAAATTGAATAAGACATGGATGTTGCTTTTCCGTAAATGTAGACTCTCCTGACGGAGGCTGAGGGCTGACTGAGTCCTGCGTGGGGTCCTGCGGGGAGAACTCCACTTCCGGGTGGTGTAGACTGTAATGCTCCCGCAGATCCGTTGCTGAGAGAAAGAGCTCGGATGGTGAGCAGAGATAATATAGACCGTACCTCCACTCCTCTGGGAGAAAAGGGCCAACGATAGTAGTGGACACCACCGGACTGATATGGTGGCGCGTAATCAAATGAAAACGAACTACGGAGACTTCGGTCAGAGTTAGCGCTGAAGTAGAAGTGTCTTTCTTTTTGGAGTCATTGCAAGGAGGCTCAGAGTACAAAGCGGGGTCAATAAGGGTATCCGGAATAGTAGCGCCCTCGTAAGCGCCCGAAAGCCCAGGTTCCGCGCCAAAAAGGTCGTCGAGGGTGACTGAGGATTCTTCGGCCGGTAAAGGACTTTCCAAGAGGGTAGCTCTATCCGGGCAGGCACTGTACGGACATAAGCAAGCCATAAAAAAGGATCCCCGCTCAGCCATCATGTGGTGGTGAGATAGAAGATGGTAAAGCAGTGAATAGCGGCCGTCGAATACAATATGAGGAAGCTCCAAGCAATCTGGGTGTGGACATGCGGCCGGCGTCCACGGGCCGCTAAAGTCAACGGCTACCGGATCGCCCTTGGATTTGTAGTGGCGACGGTTAAGGTGTACCGTAAGATCCGTGTGACGGAGGAAGCATTGCGCACATCCTGGTTCGGGACACTCTTGTGGAAAGCTTGGTTCCAGCGTATGTCGCTCTCGTAAATGACTGCGAAAGCCGGCAATCGAGTGCATGCAGAGTTGACAATAGTTGCATCGAAAAACCTCTCGTTGAATGTGCTTGGCTTGATGTGAGAGAGCAGAGAGTGAGAGCTCTTGTAGCGAGCAACGCAAGATCCAAAAAAGCAATTGAAGTAGCCGTCAGCTGCAGCCTGGAGATCGGAAAGTTCGTAATCTTGTCCGTCATCCCTCGCAGGCAGCATGTAAAGGCTGCAGTGTGGCCTTAGACGGGGATCAATGCGTATGTTTGGCTGAAGGGTGGCATCCGACTCATGGGGGTCCCATAAAAAGGGGAGATTTTTGGAGGAGACCGACGGGTTAGATGAAGCTTCGATGCGGACAACTGGGGGGCCGGCCGAAATAGTAGTAGAAAAGTGTGTTGGCAAGTCCTTTGAACTGCCCTCACAAGGCATATGTCTGGGAAACGAATGTGGGTTGTTGGCGGCTTTGACGGTGTTGATGGTAGACAGCCATGTAACGAACTGAGAAGCAGTAGAAGAAGGGACTGTCACTGAGCCTTTACCACTAAAGTCGTCCTCAAGAGCGACGTCCAAGGCAAATTCCCGGTATTCCTCGGATTCCGTGTCGATGGGGGTATCAGAAATGAAGTTATCGGCTTCTTTAGCCGCTTCTTCAGGAGAGGATGGTGTAGCAGTAGAGTCGGCTTCTTCGAGTGAGGATGCCGTAGCAGCAGAGTTGACTTCTTCACGTCTCAATCTTCAGAAAAGCGCCCTGTCCCGCTCGGATTTAATGAAGAAGGCCTGGATAGCCGAGTTGATGGTTGCCAACGACCTGGCGTTGAGTTCCTCGGTACGCGCTCCAGTTGCGGATGGAGGATCATTTGTGGCCTGAACGTCTATCGAGATGATCACTAGCTCGAGATCGGGTTCGGATATCGGTGGAGTTCTAGCCCTGCTTCTCGCAGTAGGTCGTAACCTCATCAGGTGACCTAAGTTTGGCATGTTGACGCGTCTGTGGTGCTGCTAGTGTCGCCCTGGGACCTAATACGTCGAATCGATCTGCCTCAACGCGATCATTGAAAAAATAGGCCACTGGGTGGCCAGCGTAACGGTCGGTAACTCCAGTCTTCAACGAAGAAGACTTATGCCCCAGCTGGGCAGCAACAGCCTTGGAAGCAGTGCCAACGGTGCTTTGACTAGGTAGATGCGCTACATCGCGGGCGGCGCCAGTCCGTAGATGTCTTAACGACACATTAGAAGGAATGCCTACTAGGCCTGCCATAGTCTTTAGTGGTTGACGGAAGCTGTCGGTTGTGCCTATGCGTTCAAGATCGAATGGGATCTTTAATGGGCATAGGACTGGCCGGTTAGGAAATTTCCATCTCAGTCGCTTTCCGTGGAGGACAGCATCTTGAAGAACCTCCACCGAGCGACCGTAAAGTAGGCCATGGCGGAGACAGTGTGCAATCAAGATAAGTACTGGGCAGTATGGAAAGTTCCGAGGATCAGTCGCAGCACGAAAGAAGCGCGGTTTTGGCCTGGCGGCGTTGTGCTTTGCTCCCTTGGTGTAGCGAAGCTGAACAACCATGCTGAGATCCTCGAGTGAAAGTGAGCAATGGCCGTCCACTTTGCGTTCTTCGTCGAAATAGATTAGAATGTCACGGTAATGTAACGCGGGTCCGGGCCAGTATCTCTGTTCAGAAGCAAGATCGCCTGGTCGTGCGGCAGTACTGGAGATGAGAACGAAGCTAAGAAGCTTCCGCACGGTGACGTCCCAAGATGGAGAGCCATCGGTGAGGTGATACTCAATCCAGACAGTACACATGAGGCGAGCGAGGCGAGCTCCAACCCAAATCTGCTCAGATTGTACTCCACGAAGAAGGCGGTTGCTTAGACAAGCGCCATTGAGAAACGAGGTGATCCCAACAGCTTCGTAGTCACCCCACAGAAAGCTTGGATACTTCCAGGTTAAGTATTGGAGAAGCTGAGCAACCGTTGTTTGAATGGTTTGTAAGCAGGGGACGGGACCAGCACGAGATTGAGTATGAGTGATAAGCACATCAGCGAATTTGATGACATCGCCACACAGCGGTGGCTTCTCATCAGTGAACTTGTTTGATATTAGTAAGAAACATAGCTTAAAGTATAAGAAAACTTACGACATGTTCATAACTTGCGTAAATGTATCCCAAACATTTCTTACTCGTCGCAGATGCTCTTGTGCAGAAAGGCTGAGCGCAAAGAAATCCAAGTTCTTAACCGCATGCTTGGTATGTTTGTGATCAAACCGTCAGTTTGACTGAAGAGAGGCTGAAACCGTGCTTCCAGCATGAGAGGAATCGCTGTAATTGTCCATGGTAAACAACGGAAGTTGGGCCAAAGGCGAATCACTGGCGCGGATGTGGGAGGTGGAGGCTGAGCCGTCGGCGGAAGGCAGAACATGCGGCAGCTCAGCCAAAGCTTCCCTGAAACCTGATGCGACGCTGCCTAGCGCGGAGCTCACCGAAAATTGGCGCGGAGCTGACACGGCGGCTGGCGTCAATGTACGATGAGAGATTGGTGACGGAGAGAGGATGGAGGGCATGCGGCAGCTCGGGCGAAGCTGCACTGAGGCCTGATGCGACGCCCAGCCAGCAATTGACGCAGAGCTCACGAGGCAGTTGGCATCAATGGACGACGAGAGATGGTGATGGAGACGCGAGGTGGGGCTGGTGCGTGGAAGAGGCAAGTAGTCGTGACTGCCGCGACTGCCGCGAAGGCGCGCGACTACTTTGAACACAGCGTGAGAATGAAGCCCGCGAGATGCGCAGTAGCTAACAGAATAATATTAGACAGAAAGTAGCGAAGGAGGCGAGATATGCATGCTACGGAGGAATAGAGCTTGCAGAGGAATGATTTTGGCACGGTGGCTAGATAGGCGGGTAAACTACACAGAAAGGCCTGGCTGCTGAGGGGCAGTGAGCATCCAACTGTCCCTTCGAGTCCCACTTCTTCATCAGCCTCTAAAATGGCCGGAACAAGGGTAGCGGCGTTGCTGTCGCAGCCGTAGGCAGCGGCGGAGGTAGTGTCGTCTTCCATCATCATCTCGATGTCAGCATATTCGTCATCGCACGCGAATGCTACCTCGGGTGGGAGGATTTAACAGTGATAAAGATCGGACGCAATAAGTAGAATAAAAACCTAGAACTATCCCCTCTTCTTCCCACAGTAGCTACCATCGGTGTTTACATATAGATGTCAAAGATTCAGTTGGTTCATCCCATATGGCAAGGGTACAACGGTATGGTGTGCTCTATTCTATTTGCCCGTCGCCATTCTACCAAGCGAAATCTGCAAAATGTATACCGAAACCGATATGTTGCGTATATAGTGTCGCTCTTAGGGCTCCTACAGGTTCACACTTGGTTGATCATGAAGTATTCACTTACAAGAATTGAGGGAAGGAACTTCCAATTCGTGTCCTACGTATTTCAGTCATGCATTACTAAGCCTTAGAATTCCCCAATCGTACACTGTGTATAAAGGTTTCATTCCTAAAGGAACAAGCCGGATCTGCACGCTACTGTGGCTTTGCTTTAGCAACTGGTTGGTCTCTGCCCCATTCGTACGCTACTCAAAACTATAAACAGTATTATAACCAAAATTAGCCTTATGCCCTTGCAGAACGCCCCGACCGTGCGACCCCGGATACTCATGCGTCGTCGAGGGTTCTATTCATGCAACAAACCTTAACTTCCCAACGTGCCTCGCAGAGCCTCCTCACGATCAACGCAATTTGTAGCAAGGCCAACCCAACCTCTCATCAAGCACGCTCTGAGCACACACCGCAACGACCACCGCTTATTCGAGCAGCGCAAGGACACGTCACTCGCATCGGTGTCTGTGTACTTTCTGTTTCATCGACGTTCGCCTCGTTGGACGCTGGCGTCCGTGCCATCATGTCCTGAAACCGCCGCGGAGCCGCTACCGGGCCACGTAAGGCTGAGCAACGCGCGAACATCCGCACTTCGATGACGAAAGTGAGACAGCCATTGACGTGTGTGTGCGTACAAGGCTGAGGACTGTGCGCGGGGAGGTATATTTTGGGGCTCTTCTTGTCGGACGGTGGTGCTTCTTGCGGAACTGCTGTTTCTATCGCGCTTTGTTTTCTTCTCCTCCCCGGGGCTCAATCTCCGCTCCCTGTGTACTGTGTGGAGGCAAGCCTTGTATCTTCGACTTCTATTGTTCATGCCGAATGCAACAGTCAGGTCTTGGTCCGCCTTTATTTTTAGGTGCGGATTGTTCCGTTACTATAAGCCCTATCAGAGAGTCATGTATGCCCTTTACATGATGTATTTCGGTCATATATCTTTATTTGCAAATAGATGGGGCAAGCTTCGCTTTACCGCTATTTTTCTTTTCTTTTTTTTTAATTTGAAATAGTACTGATAGTCCTTGTTTTTCCTTCATATGGACATATGTTTAAGCTAGAATGCCTATCGTCCGAAAACGAGGTCGTTAGTGCCCTGTAGAAGAGCACCAATGAATCGAGGTATTACGCCCCTATCCTTCTGCACATGCTCTTGCGGAACATGACCATCGGACAGCGTATGTGTGGACGGCTGATGCCGCGGTCCATCTCTCCGAGTATCCTCGCCTGTTGTCCGCCTGAGCCCTTGGAGCCCAACGAGTCCCACAGAAGAGCCGCATGGGAGTCCACGGCCCTGCGAGCCGCCTCCGAAAAGATTACCCAAGGCCCCCGTTTCCTCGAACAAGAAACAACGGGGCCGAGAAAAAATAAAAAAAAATTAAGTCCTGCCATGGGACGCCTGAACAACCCTTAAAACAGCCGACCATTCTCCCATAGCATCCGCATAAGGCGCGACAAAAAAAAAGGGCCTTGAGGCTTCGCTAGGCTGACCAACTGGAACCCTTCCAATTCAACAAAATCGCCCTCAGTATCTGAACTATCTCTCACACTGCACCGAGATTTGGAAAACCGTTCTACAACCCCCTTGTGTACCACCGACGTCGCGCTGTGTCCGTGCCAATCACATGAGATGACGAAACACACCTCTTTTCATCATTAGTCGCCGCCGCCCCCCCATCTCCACAGGCAGAAAGAGGAAAGGAACTGTGGGGCGCGGGCGGACTTTCTCCTCCGGAAGCGAGGTGTGGAAAATCAAAGCTCGACGAACACCGTGTTCTAGACTGCGTCAAATAGATAGGCGGCCGCCCGTGCTAGCGAAAAGCACGACCCCCATCGCAGTCCTTCTTTATCCCCGGCCCCTACCTGTAATCCCTGCGGATGCCGCGGAATACGAGAGAAAGAGAGAGCAATAAGGAGGTCGTGTGGAAGATCCGACGAGAATAATGAAGAAACATTACCACCAATGATGATCACTCTTTTCTGTATCTTTTGTAGAGAACGCAATCACACGGGCTCCCCTCATTGGTTGATGGGCTCTTTGCTTTGCTTATTTTTACTTGTGTTCTTCTTCGTCCTTCCCGTTTCGCGTTTATATACATACATCCTCATTACTGCTCCCAAACCACCGTCGTAAAGAAGAACGGAACTAAAGACATTACAGTAAGACTTTTCGTTTGCGCATGTTCCAGGTGCGCGCGCATTGATAAACGATTGTCTGCCGCGTGCCGTATATACATAACCGGCGAGCGAAAAAAAAGCGTGGTGGGTTGTGCGATGAGATAAGAGAACAAGCCAAGAGTTCGGTGGCGATAGCGTCCCGGAGGCCGCAAGCGGAAAACAACAGGGTGGATGATGTCGAGGAACCGTTCCACAACACCTTTTCCCCCACCCGTTGAAACCGGAGCATGGGACGTTGCATAAGATGCCAAGATTGTGCCGACCGAACTTCCGGTTGCTCTTATCCCCCACAAGACTCCGGACCTGGCCTATCCGCATGCGTGTTAAGCTTTATCTGGCAGTACGCGACTGATATCTGTGTTATCGTGAATGCTGTGTGTGAATAACAGGTCGAGTAGGGACAGCGAGGGATTGCAACCCAAAGCAGACAAAATTGTTCCCCAAGAAGCCCCGAATCAAAGCATACTTTCATCGAGAAAAAACCCCCTTGCTGCCATGACACGTGAATTGTGATGTGAAGTTGGGAAGCGGAATGAAAAAAAAAAGTTTACCCTAAAACCGCGCCCTATGGGCGTCTCTGTCCAAAGAAGTTTGTACCAAAAAAACAAGCAGACCCAGCATATTCGCCGGGTACCTCTCTATGATGCACCGATGCAACGCTGAAACGCAAAAATGCGGATGACCCTAATGAAAGAAAACGTTGGTCAGGCACGCCTTGTTGCGACAGTTCGAACGCGCGCAGGATCCTCTGGAAAAGACAACTGTACAAGAACCGGCCTGCTGGCGGCTAAACAAGAAGCTATGAAACGTTGGAACGACCTCGTCGTATCCTGGGTATCTCTGTGGATTGGCCGAGCGGTAAATGGATTATGCGGCAATATTTAGTGAGGTTGGAAGAGCGTGTCGTCTGTCCAAGCCGGCTCGGCTCAGGTGGCGAACTTGCTGCCCTGCGATGTGACTGGAGAATGTGCCCCGTCAATCTTCCGGGCTTTGTCGCGCTGGAGATCCCTTGGGCGGCGATAAGTGGCCAGGATCCGTAGAAATATCGGAGTGACTCCGAGATCGAAATTTTCCAAAGGCTGAACGTGTGGGCGAATCGAGAAAATCTTTTACGTTCAGCCATCCAAAATAATAATAACAACCACCATGGCAGCCGGGTATTGGTGTTTTGCCATATTCCATCATCTAGATTGGGGATTGTAAAGGGAAAAGGAACGAGCACGAATATCCTCGTGTCGGGTATTGCGTATGGCGCGTATCAAACTGTCGTGATTTCGTGCAGAAGCACGACGCGGCGCTTCTCAAACGGGGCGACGACCGTCGCGGCTGGCAAAATGTGTGCGGAGACGGCTTATTGGCTGCTGTTCTTCGCATGGAACTCCTCGAGGCGATCCTTAAGCCACGGCGGGATCGAATCGCGAACCGCCTCGGTCACCTGCTGAGCAACGTAGTGGTTGGCCGTGGAGCGCATCTTGACGAGCTTGCCGGCGGCCTGGCCGAGGATTTCATGAGCCTTGCCGGAGAGGTGGTAATCGTCCCTGTTGCGTTGTCAGCAGGCCATATAATTTTAGTCTTCTTTGCGATTTTTCACTCACCAGAAGAGGTGGTTGCGCGGCTCCTCGCAAACCTGCTCCTGCACACCGAGTTCCTGGACGGAATCCTCGTCCTGCGACTGGGGGTAGATCAGAGTGCGGCACGGGGTGGTGATGTCGCCGAACTCGGGGGTCCTCTTGCGGACGCTCGGGGGGTTGGAGAGCTTCTTGGTGATGACCTGGCTCTCCATGAACTTGTCGGCCTCAAGCAGGAAGACGTGGCCGCCCATCCAGCTCCTGGCGTGGCTCTCGAGCCTCTCGTTCCAGTAGCTGGCCAGCTCCAGGGCGATGCGGTGACGGGTGGTGTCAACGTCGGCACGAGTCTCAATCTCGAAACGGGGCAGGTGGGTGATGTTGACGACCTTGGGGAGGACAACGAGGACAGGGGCCTGCATCCACTCGTGGATGATGTTCAGCTGGCGGAAAAGGTGGTCAATGCTCTGGTCGATGGCGAAAAGAGCCCTGGCGCGCTCGATCTTGGAGTAGTGAAAGATGTCGTTGACGCCGAACCAGATGGTGAACAAGGTCCACTCCTTGGGCGGCTGGATGGGCCACATGCGCTTGAAGCCCTCCATCTTGACGAAATCGCGAACCTGCTGCTGGAGATCGCGAAGGGCGAAGTCGGTGAAGTTGTGCGACGAGGTGGCGTTCTGGAAGACGGCATTGTCAAGCACGGCGCCAACCGTGTCAGTGTAGTACTGAGTGACCTGCGGCGGCAGCGAGCGGGCGTAATTGTCTATCGAGTCGCAAAGAATCTGTTGGTGGGCAGCGAGTCAGCGGGCAGTCTCGCGATAAGGCGACCAGGCACAACTTACCTCTTGACAGAGCGCCTCGGGCCAGACGGGACCGCTGGCGGGATGTCTGATGGGCTCATAGCCGGGCGGAGGCCCGTTGAGAATATAGCGGCCTGTGTCGGACCAGGAGTCGCCAAAGGTGACGATCCTGCGCACCGAGCCGGACCACGACTTCTGGAACTGGGTGTATTGACGCGTCGAGGGAATGACCCAGCCCAGGTAGAGGATGAGGGTGACGGCAAGGGCGATGATGACGGAACAGCGCGAGAGGAACCTCATGGTCGGCGGTTGGTTGTGCAGTAGTCGGAGTGGAGGTTAGGCGGTATTAAAGGCGGCGCCGAGGCGAGGTTGTAGTGGGTGGGAGGGAGGCTCGCCGAGTCTGGGTGGGAGAGGAGTCGGGATGAGCGATTGACTGCGGTAGGCGTGTTTTGGCGGGGGAACGACAGAAAGCACGAAGCTACAGACTCGGAGTGGGCATGGCCAGGTGGATGGTGCAGGTTGCGCGCGAGGAGAGGGATCGAGAAAAGATGTCCACGCAAGCGCTCCACCGGCGCCGTTGGCGGCGGCCAGCCCGCGAGCCCCTGACTGGATCACGGTGTCTCGGGGGAAATCATCGACCAGCACCCCAGCACGCGCCGCCGCCGCACCCAGCCATGTCAGCCGTAAGATTACGCCAGCCCTGCCCGATGCGCCCGGCCGGCCAGGCACTGCGCCTGTGACGGCGCGCACTGCCGCTGCTGCTCCACGCCGCTGCGACGAAGCCCATGCTCGCCAAGCAGCCGCGCGCGAGGCATCCACAGCGAGTCACGCCCTTTCCTCTCTCACCGCACATGCATGACGCCATGCGCACCACGACCGATCGGCCGCTCCACTCGCCCCGCGCAGCAAAACCGGCATCGCGGTGCCAGACCAGCCTGCGTTCCCCGGCCAACAGTGCGTCCAGCTCACCATGAAACCGCCATTTGAAAGCAGACTATCTGCGGGGCCGCCCGGCGACGCGGTGACGCCGGTGGCTCTTGTTGCCGCAGAGCCGTACCGTGGCCGCCACTGCCACTGCCGCTGTTGGTTACCCTAGGGCACCATTGAGTGTGTCTGCGAGCTAGCCGCCCAGGTCTGCATTCCGCTTGCAATGCTCGACAAGCACGAAGCATCCAGGATGGCACTGCAGCAACCCAGCTAAAAGCGGAAGCGACTGCGTAGCGCCGCGCTGACTCAACGCCCAACTAGCAGTATGTATGTATGTACCTACTTCGTATACGATGTACAGACATGGCGGCCGAAGCGCCGGCTGACGGGCCAGTCCCTCTGCTGCTGCCCTGCGCCCGCTGACACAGCTGAGCTTATAGTGCGTCTACGCTCGTCTGCTGAATGGCGCCTCATCTTTGCATCACGACTGCCCGCAATCCACGGTTCTGCGGTCAATCGTCCATCAGGTCGTCGCTCTTGGCGTGCAGCAGACGCATGCAAGTCCGCCCCGGGATGAGCATCAATTGAACGCCTCTTTTCCCAAACCACCTACCCCATCCGGCGCGAGCGCCTCTCACCCTCATCTTGGAGCAGTGTTTGAAAACGGTAATTAGATCGGCAGGGCAGACCAAGCCAGTGCTCTTCCAGCCGCTGTCCCCGGACGAGGATCCTGAAGACTGTGCAGCATGCGCCGCCCATCATATTCGCCGGCTGGATGCTGTATGATCGACCGCGAGCCGAAATGTAGATGTGCGGCAGATCAACAAGTACGCGTGTACTGCATTCCTACTTATTATTAGCCCCGACCAAGGGCGAGTCCATCTCGAACCGAACCCATCTGCTACAGACAGCATGCCACAGGTTAGCAGAATGGGCACGTCCACAATCAGGCGGTAGCAGCGTGCCATTGGCGGAAAGCGGAGCAGTAAAGCGACGTTCTCAGTTGATTGCGGCAAAAAGCAAAAAGTATCGCACGCTGTACCACTCCCGCCAGCCCGCTTTAGCCGGCCCCCTTCCTTCGCCCCTAGCCTGATCCATCTCACCCTTGACTAGCGGCAAGACACGGGAGTATGTGCGCGCCGCCTTCGCTTGGCTACCGTCCGCTCTCTATGCCAGCTCAATAGTTTGTTGGGCGGGAGCCAGGCCGTTCCTGTACACAGCTCCCTACAGCAGCTATTGTTCAACCGCGGCTGACGGAAATTGCTGAATACGAACCCATCCCTTCAGCAAAGTTCAGATAAGGTTGTGGTAGCCTCCCGAGCCAAATGCTTGGGAATACTTCGTGTGCTTGTATCGAAAGCTTCCTGCCGTGAAGTGAGGGTTTTGGTTATCGGGACCGGATTGCCAGAAACCTTGGCGCCTGAGCCTTTGGAAATCCCACATGCAAAGATTGAAGGAGTCTCCCCGCACTTGGCACACAGTGCATTCAAGCTTTCTGAGCATGTGAAAAGGATGCTGAGTTGTTTGCATGCGATCGAATGAAAGCTTGCTTTGCTTCGCCGTGAGCAGCCATCCTTGAGGACCAAGTAAAGCTTGATGAGCGATTTTCGTTACGCGTCTGCAAGTCCCAAAGGCATGAATATTACGGTAACGAAAAGTAAAGCAAGCCGGATCCCAGCCATCGGTGGTTGGTCGGGGCGTTCGCCACCTCCCGCATCACACCTGAGCATCCCACCAAATGGGAGGCCTTGGCCTGGCTGGCAAAAAAATAGGGAAGGCTGTGCAAGCCAAGAGCAAGCCCAAGACGAAGAGCCTCATCAACGGCAAACGCCAGCCGTTCATTGTGCACTTTTGCGCGCCGCCGTGACACACATAGCGCCTCGTTGCACACTATGTGTTGCTGCCCATCAGCCCCAGCCACCCACCACCCCACCTCACTCAGCTTCCTCGCCTTGTCATTGGTGAGCTACGATACTATAGCGGTTGTAGACGGGTTACATGGCGACACGAGACACCACGTAACATGGTCCGGCCAGTCGGCCGGTCGCCTGCCCGCCCTTCACACAGCCACCCCGCGAAGTAGTCTTCCCACCACCGTTTTCGACCAGACCAATCAGCCAGTCAGCCCCAGCCACAGCCTCATCAGCACCGGCCACATTTCCCTACAACAAGCAAGGAGTACCTAGGCACGTAACGAGGGCAAAAAAAAAAAACACGACGACGTCCCAGATGACCACCACCGCCCCGGTCCGGCCGATCGCCGTACGGCCATACAATCAGGATTGGGCAGATGACATTCTTGCCGTCACTCCGAAAACCGGCGGCCGCTCATTCGTCATGTCTCTCTCCACCATCCGGCTGAGGAAAGACTAGAGGGCCCCGCTAAAAATAGATCGCCTGCAGATCCCCACCTCTCTCACCTTCCGCTCCCGACCTTCGCCGCATGAACAGCAAAACAAGAAAGTGTTGCCACCTCATACATCAGCACGCGACTGGAAGCAGCAAAAGAACGGCATCGGACCGGCGGCATCCGAGAGCCGCTCGGAGCCTTCTCTCTCCATGCATTGGCTGGCCCCTGCGCGATGCAGGGAATGCCAAGCCTCGAGCATTGATTCTTCCCTACGCACATCATGCTATCGCCAAGGGTGCATGTAACCCAGAACGGCGACAATGGTCCAGTCTCCCAAATTGCCCACTGTGTCTGATCCACATGTTTGCAAACGACGTGGAGAGTAATAACGCCATCACCGGTCTAATATTCGTGCTTCTAAACAACTCCCCGTTGGAATGTAACGACGAGTAGCGTGACGAATGTTCCAATCAATTCACACGAGCCACGTCCAGACGAACGAGATCGGAATTCCTGGGCCGATCGAGGAAAAACATTGGGAGAGAACCCAAGAGAGTGGTTTGGAAGGGAGTCAGTACGTGCACCCAAGCATTCCTGGAACATTCGAGTCCCGCGACGGAGTTCTCCTTTCGCATGACGCCATTGCATTCCTCTGCTGGTGAAGAATTGCTGTGTCTGTAACAAGGTCACGAAAACGAACAAACTCAGGCACCGTCGTGATGAAGTACTCCTTTAGACCATTCGCCGCCCCAGCAACTAACATTAAATTACCTCCCAGTAGAACTGCCCCGTTTTGCGTTCACAGTAGATAGTTGTCCATGACTAAAGGGATTAAATACAATATGACTTCAATTGCCGCTCCGTATACACACTACTTCCCCAGATAAAAGCAGACCCAATAATATCGCCAACGCCTCGAAGAAGACATACGACGCTGAAAAGATGAAAAAGACTTTGAATGAAAGGATCGACCGTCCACCTCTTGCTGCCGTTACAGACACAGACACCTGATGTTGCGTCCTCCACACCAACCAGAGAGTGCAAAAAATTTGAATTAATTCCGTCTTAAGCCTTTGACCTTTGTGTTTGTGCATACCCTTGTGCACGACTAAATAACCGTTGGAAAATGCAAAGCAATAAGCCGATCCTCAATATCATGACTTTTAGACCACTCTCTCTGTAGACGTTCTGTATTATCGACGTGCGGTGTTGAAAAGGAAAGTCGTCTACATGTTCGCCAGCTCATTATCGATCATCTGGTCCAAGAAGACCCTTCTCTCACCGCTGAGCTGCGTCTGCAGCTTCTGCTCGGTGAGCGCCTTGAGCTGCTTCTTCGTCACGTTGTCCAGGTCAACGTCTTGAAGGCACTCCCGGATTGCGTGGACGATTTGGTCGTCCGACGGGCCACTCGCTGCGGTGCGGAAGTCCATGTTGCTAGCAGGCCTGCTCTGGGAGAGCGGGCTTCGCTGACGCGGCGCATTGTACGGCGTGCCAAGCAGGTGGTCGCCGGCGGAGAGGGAGTGCATCGATTGACGTGCCTGATGCTGATTTGCGCCATAGGGAGATGAATTGTACGTGTCAGACGCGTTGCCCATCGACTGCAGACGGCTGTGACGACCGTCGGGGTTGTCCTGGTAGCGACCACCATAGTTCGAGTACGAGCTCTGGCGGTTTTGCATAGCGGCGTACGGTCCGGGAGACTGCGGAGGCATGTGCATGCCACGGCCGCCGTTGAAGCCTGTCAAAACCGTCGAGGCGGGCTTGACCGAGGAGTAGACCGATTGCATGTCGTTCATTTCGTAAGCATCGTCCTCATACGGCATCATGCCCTTCTCAGGAGCGAGACCACGGCGACCAGGGAGGCTGTTTGCTGCGGCGTAGTCGTCCCACCTCTGGAGCGGAATACTACGCGGATCGAAGCCTTCATCCTCTTCAAGGGCGACGATTTGCTTCATACCCTTCTCGCCGATAACAACACGAGTGTTACCCCAAGAGAAATCATCCTGCTTCCAGAAGGAGTACACAGGAAGAACCAGAGAGTAGATGGGGTAGGCCATGATGTAGATAATCATCCAACCAATGTGCTGCCACTGCCTCTTGATGATGAAGATGATGGCTTGCAGACCGTACACAGCCGCAAGCATAATAATCGAGATCATGGGGAACGCACCATCCTTGGCGGCAACCTTGTAGATCAAGTATACCAGGTAGGCGCAGGTGGCGGGAAGGATGATGGTACCGAAAAGATCAATGAAGACGACGAAGCGCATGGAGAAACAACAGAATCCGCAAAGATCCTTGAGCCAAACCAACTCGGCCAAGTTGTGGATTGTAGAGTTGATCCAACGACGTCTCTGGGACAACAAGACGCTGAAAGTCTCGGGGGCAGCCGTTTGAGCGTAGGCATCCGGCACGAACTTGAATGACATGCTCGGGAAGTGCTTGGTCATGATGGTCGTGAGATAACGATCCTCACCAAGGGAGAGAAGGTTTTTCTTGTGGAGGGTGTCGACGTCGCAATCGGCATAGTCATCGATGACCTTATCCGAGATAATCAAAGGCTTGCCTTTGTCCGCCGTTCGTAACCGGTACATACAGAAACTGGCCAGCGGTTAGCTATTGCGGATCATGATATCATGCAGGAAACTTACCATCCGGGCAAACAAGTGACGCTACCGAACAAACTCTCGAAAGCCTTGGCCAAGTGATGGGAAATGTAGTACTCGTAGACCTGGATCATCGTCCACCAACTGCGCTCTTCGTTCTCCAAGCTGGTCTCACCGCAAATACCAATGATCTTGGAATCGTTGGCGCAGGAGGCCACCAGACGGTTGAGCGAATCTTCTCTGACCATGGTATCGGCGTCGACCATGAGGAGGTACTCGTAAAGCTCGGGGTCTACACCGATGATGTTGTTGATCTGATGGAACATCTCCAACTCGAGCGGAGACATCGGAGCGCGATGGTGGACACGGTTGAGGAACTGCATCAAGAGAATCTGAGAGTCACGCTTGCCTCTGTTACCAGGCTTGGACTTCTTCTGCTCGGATTCCTTGCCGACTTTAACGACGACGATGTAAGGCACGACGTTACCCTCATATTCGTAGAGACCAGAGTAGACCTTTCCGTAGTTGAGCTGCTCGGCGCCGCGACCGACGGATTTGAAAGGGAGGGCCGGCGGGTCAACCTTGGGGTCGACTCCAAGAATATCCAGAACGATCTTGGGAGTAGGCCTGTCGTTGCCACCACCGACAATCATACCGTCGCAAATGACGCAGATGAGCTTTCGTTTGTTGTCATATGCCAGAGCAGTCAGTGAGTCAAGACCCTTCCGGAGCTGGTCCTCGCCTTCTGTGTAAGCAGGCACCTGACAGATGACGAACTTATCCTGGGCGGCGGGCCGTCTCTTTGAGCCTAGCTGAAGAGCGGACAAGAATTTGATCAGGATGACAGCGCAAAGGATGATGGTGAAAGCCAGAAGAATGTAGTTGTTGACTTGGCAGCGTGCCGAGTCTCGGAAATCGATCTCGCCAACGTAGAACATATTGTCAATGCACTGGAAGTTGGGCAGACGGACGCTGTCGTCGAGATTGTTCCAGTCGTCCGTGATATCTCCTCCGGGGTTGTTCTTGAACAGATTCTCAACCTTGCTGTCCAAGAATTCGTAGGTCGTATCGCCATCATACAAGTCCTGGGTGTAGAAGTAGTCTGTCAGGTCGTACACCTTGTCGTCGATGATGGACCACTGGCGCTGGATGTTCTCGCCTTGGTTCTTGACCTTGCTTCTGGTCCACACAAGAGAGCCCTTGTAGTATTCCTTCATTTTCGGCAGGAACCTCGTGGAGTACCAGTCGTCGTTGTGCAGCTCAGAAGTAGTGTCAGGCTGATTGCGCTCACCGGAGGTGTGGACAGCCTGAGGACTATCTTGTGTGGCAGCGGTGTCGTTGAATTGGAGGACTCCGATGGTGCTGTTGATCTTGAGGTTGGGACAAGCAAGTGCGAACGGTGGAACGATGTAAGCGTCGAGGTTCTTGCCCATGAGAGGCTCCATGTTGGCTGTGGTGACATCGTAACCCTTTCGATCACTGTGTTGAAGCCTCCAGAATTTTGAGATATCGTAGACTTTACCGTGATGGCTGACATAGAAGTCGTCCTTGCCTTGGTGAGTGCTGACTTCCTTCTCGTTCCAAGCCTTGTCGTAGTTGGGACAAAGAAGTTTACCAAACTCGATAATGTAGAAGACGACGACGGCGTTCATGAGGAGAATGAGCAGGACCAGGACAAACTTTTCTCTCCAAGCCTGTCGGACATCGGGACGCTTCATCCGACCAACGTGTGCTAGGAGGAAGGACGGTATCCACCAGGTCATGGCCCAGCAGAAGCCTACCCAGAGGCGCCTGGAAGTGCTAATGGGCTGCTCGGTGACTACCTTGTTGTCTCCAATTTCCTCGTCGCCATAGTAGGTGACACCATGTTTGTCATCACCCTTGTTTCCAAGGCCATAATCACCACGGCTGAGATTGGCATGTCCAGACATGTGCGTTTGGGCGATAGAACGAGCATCTGCGTTGCTGCGAGGACCCTGGTTGATGGAGGGCTGGACTGTAAGCAGATTGTCCCTGCTTCCTTGGATGGTGATTTCGTCTTCGTAAGGTTGACCGGGGAAGAAGCCGCTGCCTCCGAGACTGGGCTGGTGGACTGAGTAGGTGCTATTAAGCGCACCAGTGCTCATCATTGCAGCACCCATTCCAGCCATTGCACCCATGCCCATCATGCCGGCATCTGGGCCTTTCATGTCGCGCATGCTTTCGGCCTCCCACCAAGCGCCTTCGCGGATCCACACGCGCTCAGAGCCGAGAACGACCTCTCCATTGCTCCAACCGCGTTCGAGGATCCAGCTCTCGACACCTTCACGACCTTCTGTGCAACCAAGTGGCGCGTATCTTTGGATGAACTCCTCATAGTCGAAGTCGGCGGTGAAGTCGAGATTGCGGTTCCGGCGGTTAGCCCACTCGGGCAAACGCCAGGAACGCAACTGGCGGGAGACTGAAGCTGCTGACCAAGCAGGCTGTCCAGTGGTGTTTTGTAGGCTGGCGGGGCCATCGTCGGTGGGGTGCAGGGCAAGATGGAACCAGACTCTGCTGCTGCTGATAACAGTAGGGAGATCAAAGCGGCCGCTCTTGCCCAACATAACGCCTTGCCCAGAAATCGGGAAAATAACTTCTTTGAGGAAACTCCCATCCTCTGCTTCATGAGCAACCTTCTCGAGGACAGCTTCTCTAGTTTCGCGCTCTTGCTCAAACTCGCGTGCGGCAGCACCTTCGGCAATGCCTAACTCGTTAGAGCACTCGGCAACAGCGTCCTTCATCTCTCGGATGACGGAAGAGCCAGCGGCATCCATGTGAACACCGTCCTCCTTCATTTCAGCATTAATGCCCTCTGAGTCGTCAAAGACGGTCCGCAGGGCGACGGCTTTGCCAAGAGCACTGGCCGGGATCTCGACCACAGTGATGCTGACCGTGTCGCCGTCATCTTCGCCGGATTCGGGAGTGGGGGCGCCAGAGCGGTCATCATCACTGTTGTTTGACGATCCTACGTTCTTGACGCCGCGGAGCTCAGCGCGGATGGCGTCATTGGCCTTCGCGATGACCCAATCAACAATAGCCTCGTAGAGACCAGTGATGAAAACCTGGCGTTCCAAGGTGTCGCACTTCTTCTTCAGAACGTCAGGGTCAATGTCGACGAGGTCGGCAAACTCAACGCAGACGTCGTCCAGAACTTCCTCGTCGACAAGAAAGCCAAGGGTATCGCCCAGCTTAAGGACACCGGCAAGCGCGCAGAGAAGATTGCGCCGCGTCTTGCCTTTGATGCCGATCTGCTTGAGATTCTCCCGCCAGTCTTCCGCAGCAGCGGCGTCATCAGCGGTAGGGAGATACGACGGTGGATAGTATGTCCCTGACTTCTTCAGAAGCTCGTAGTCGGAGTTGGGCTTCAGGTTGAGCGTCTCCTTCTCTTCTTGCGAGGCAGAGTTGGAGTTCAGGTAATAAAAGACATCAAACGCGCGGAAGCCGGCTTGAGAGGGAACATCGACCAGACCGAGCTTGGTGTCGACCCCCGATGCCGAAAGAGCGAGGGTTGCTCCCGTGATTGAGCCTTCAAGGTTCAAGTTGAAGGTGGCAGCGAGAGACGAGTGACGAGGCAGAGACGCGTTTTGCGGGGTCACACAGTGGGTGAGAGGGCGAATGACGTTGAGAGCAGTGTAGAAGGTGGTAGGAACGGACAGAGGAAGAGCGGAGACGAAGGGGGCAAACAACGAGGGAGTGGATTCATGGAGAGAACTGAGCAGTCTATTAGCGGACGATACTTGGCGGCGTTCCCTGAGCGACGTACCCCAACACAATGCAGCCATCCTCTGCTCTCCTGCGGGCGTGTTCCCAGGCTTTGCGGCCGAGTTCCACATCCACGGTTCCGCCAAAACGCCCGTCCGGACCAACCTCGCTGGCGGTTACCCAAGTGTTGACAACCAAGCTCGTGCTCGCCTCGAGATAATAGGGCTCGCGCTGGGCGTAGGCCGTGTGCAGGGCATTGAGCAGGGTACTCGTCGACACCTGGTGCGAGGGTGGATTGTGACCGGGGCGCGGCGTCGAGTTCGACAGCGAGGAAAATGTCGACATGCGGTTGTAGGCCGCCATGGCGAAGGCGAGGGCGTTGGGCCTCGGAGACGCTGGGCGAGGCGGGTGGCCGTACGCGGCCTAGGTGGGTCGGAGGTGCGAGCGGTAGAGCGGTGCGGAGGTTCTGGAGTAAGTGTGCTCAGAGGCGCAGGACAGAGGCAGCGGGAGACCGTTGCATCAAGTTGTAGCGACGGTGGGAGAGGGCTGGTTCGATCGCCGTTAGAGCGAGCCGCAGGCACCGGGGTGGCAGGAGCGGCGGTAGGCGGGCAGGAAAACACAAAAACGAAGGAATGCAAGAAGCGATTGTGGGAGAGTGCAGGTTCAGGGAGGGCAGCACAGAAGAGCCGCAGCGCGAGGCGAATTGTGGTGTTCAACGCGACGGTCTCGCCGGACGGGCGAGCGCAAGAGGCGACCACAAGCGGGCAAGTGGATCTCACGGCCCCCTGTGACACTGGCCTGCTGGGCGGGCTGCACCCATCCCGAGTGCCTAAACTTAGTACGAAGACCGGCTTAGCGCAGGTCAACACGAGCTCACGGCGTCACTCAATTCAAAACGTTCACGCCCGCCTGCATTTCGCAGCGTAATACAGGCTGTACTGTGAATTACAAACACCCCTTGGGAGCCCTCCTCTGCCAGGCCGATTGCAGCAGAGTCGTGACGCGTTGCGGTGCATCCTGATCTGCAGCCTCTCCCGCCCCCGGCGAGTTGCCAGGGTGAGGGCGGCGGGCTGCTCGCCTCGGCCGCGGCGGTCTGGAGGATGCGCGGAGAGACACTCCCACGCATCCGTGCCGAGGGGGGTCTTGCGTCGTCCGGCTGAGGCATTTGTGCATCCTTCCCCTCCTGCGCCCGTGGTGTGATGGCCTGGGGCGCGAGGTTGGCGACCGCCGTGGGCGGCTGGGAAGACTGATGATCGCCTTCCCCGGATTTCTCTAATCGGGTGCTGGCGCGCCGCTCTTGACGTAGCAAGTCCGACCTGCGCGGTTGATAATTTACGGGCCTTTACCGGGCGCATGAAATAAAACCGCTCACCGTCTTTCATGCGAGCGGCCCAGGTTGTGGCAATTCGTGATTCTCGTGTGGCCGGACGGCCATCGCGCTAAGAATAGACTTAAGCAGCGATAGGGGGGCCGCCAATACGATCCGCCCGCCTGCATTGGCACCGTCCAGTGCATGTTTCGCCTCTCTGCCCTGGACGCCCGACCGATCATCTCAACACCACCGCCGCTCGCCTAGCCGTCCCTCTGCGCCGGCTTTTTTCCCCTTCGTTTGGTTGTCATTGCGCTCTTCATTCCACGCTCGCTTTCCGCTGCTTTCGCCCACCCGTCGCCGCAAGCAGAGTGCATTCCTCGCACTCGGCGCGTCGCCCTCCCCACCACCTGCGCATTTCAAACACGTGCAACCGCCCGTCTGCACCACCCAACAACAGAGCTCACCCGCACCTCTAATCGCGCCCTCCCGCTCCCAGGGACGGAGCCGTAATCATGGCGCTCAACTCCATGGGCAGCAACGCCCAGTTCGCCCAGGCGTCTCTACCTTCGTTACCCGCACATTTGCAGTCCGACACGCATTTGACAGCCCACCTGGCAAGCCGCTTCCACGCACACTACCCGACTGCCCAGCTCTCGTCCCATGGCATCATCTCGTTGAACACCTACTCGTCCTCCGCCCGTGGTCCCGATGGCGGCAAGGAGGGCAGTGCCATGGATGCCACCCAGGACCTGGCAAAGCGGGCCTGGGCCAGGCTGGGACACCGGAGCGAGAACCAGGCAGTTGTATTTCTGTAAGTCTGCCTGCGTAGACTACACTTTGAGCCGTATCTAACATTATCTAGTGGTGAATCTGGCTCCGGAAAGACGACGCTCCGATGCCACCTCCTCTCTGCGCTTCTCTCCTACTCCTCCACGCCTCTCTCCGCGAAATTGTCATATGCCTCTTTCGTCTTCGATACCCTCACGAGCACCAAATCGCTTACCACTCCGATCGCGTCGAAGGCCGGTCTTTTCCTTGAGCTGCAATACGACACAACTTCCTCAACGCACCCCACCCTGATCGGTGGTAAGATCCTTGACCACCGGCTTGAGCGGAGTAGAATCGCATCCGTTCCCACCGGAGAGCGGAGCTTTCACGTTCTCTATTACCTGCTTGCGGGCACCAGTGCGGCAGAAAAGGAGCACCTGGGCCTGAATGTTGGCATAGGTGAAGCAGGGAGCAGGATCTCCACAGGTGGTACAAAGCGATGGCGTTATCTTGGCCATCCCACCCAGATGAAGGTCGGCGTGAACGATACCGATGGATTCCAGCAGTTCAAGAACGCCCTGAGGAAGCTTGAATTCCCCCGCAGTGACATTGCCGAGATTTGCCAGGTTCTCGCTGCTATCCTGCACATCGGAGAGCTTGACTTTGTCACTGGCAAGTCTACTACCCCTACGGGTGATGATAGCGGTGGCTACTCCCACGAGGGTGGTGAAGATGTCACCATCGTGAAGAACAAGGGAGCCCTCCAGATCGTCGCTGCATTCCTGGGTGTCTCCCAGGAGGACTTGGAAGTCAGCCTCGGCTACAAGTCTAAGACCCTTCACCGCGAACGCGTAACGGTGATGTTGGATCCCAAGGGTGCTCGTCAGAACGCTGACGAACTTGCCCGGACCCTGTACTCGCTGCTTGTCGCGTATGTGATGGAAACCATCAACCAGAGGATCTGCGCGCTGGAGGATTCGGTTGCGAACACGATTTCCATTGTTGATTTCCCCGGTTTCCAACAGGTTTCATCCACAGGATCAGTTCTCGATCAGTTGCTTAACAACACTGCGTCGGAATGTTTTTACAACTACGCGTTGCAAAACTTCTTCGAGAAGCAGGAGGAGTTCCTCTCGGCTGAGGAGGTCAGCATTCCTCAGACCAGCTACTTTGACAACTCCGATGCGGTGAAGGGTCTGCTTAAGCCTGGTGTCGGTCTTCTTAGCATCCTCGACGACCAAATGAGACGCGGAAAGACCGACTCGCAGTTCCTCGACGCCCTGAGAAAGCGCTTCAACAACAAAAACCCCGCCATTCTCCCCGGTAGCACGACGACGATCATGCCGGGCAGCAACTTTGCGACCCACAATGCTTCGGCGTCGTTCACCATCAAGCACTTCGCCGGTGAAGTCGACTATCCTGTTGAAGGTCTGCTTGAGGAGAACGGCGACATCATTTCTGGTGACCTTCTCAACCTTATCAACAACACCCGGAGCGACTTTGTTCGTGAGCTCTTCCATCAGGATGCTCTTAATACCGTCGTGCACCCGAAAGAAAGGACTGCCGTTGTCCAAGCATCTGTCAGCTCCAAGCCGACTCGTATGCCCAGTATGGCAAAGAGGAAGGGTGATCGCCCCGCCCGTTTCGGATCGGTCCGCCGGCCTGCTGAGGAGTCAGATGATGATGCTCGCAGTGAAGTTTCTCGGTCGAATAAGCGTAAGGCCGCCGCCGGAAAGCAAGCTGGTGCAGCTGGACAGTTTTTGGTGTCTCTTGAGAATATCACGAAGTCCATTGCTGTTTCGGATACAAACCCTTATTTCGTGTTCTGCTTGAAGCCCAACGACCGGAGAATCGCGAACCAGTTCGACAGCAAATGCGTCAGGTCTCAAATCCAAACTCTTGGTATTGCTGAGATCAGCCAGCGTCTTCGCAACGCTGATTTCAGCATTTTCCTTCCCTTCAGCGAGTTCCTTGGTCTCGCTGAAGCCGACACGGTCATTGTCGCAAGTGAACGGGAAAGAGCTGAGATGATACTGGATGAAAAGGGATGGGCATCTAACGAAGCGCGGGTCGGCGCCACAGGAGTCTTCATCAGTGAACGCTGCTGGATAGACATTGCGAACATTCCTGACGTTATGCCTGCTGGCGGTAGCCGCTATATGGGTGGAGACATGGATGGAGGAAGTGGGGATGGCCTCCTTACGCCTGCCGACGCAACAAGAGGCTACGGCGATTCTCGGGTTAACCTTATGGGTACTCCGTCTCCCGGTCAACTGTACAGTGATGACAAGGCAAGCTACTTCGGCAGCCGCGAGCTTGATGCGCGTTCGGAAGCTGGAGCATCAGCAATCAATGGCGGCGATATGTTCCGCAACCTCGAGACGCGCGAGCAAATGGCCGAGAAGGGCAACGAAGTCAAGATGGAAGAGGTCGAGACGCACAAAGTGTCTGGAAGCCGCAAGAGGTGGATGTTCTTCGTCAAGTGCCTTACTTGGTGGACGCCCGATTGGGCGATCCGCAAGATTGGCAGAATGCCTCGCCAAGATGTGCGCGTGGCCTGGAGGGAAAAGCTCGCCATCAACATGCTCATCTGGCTGTTGTGCGCCATGGTCATTTTCTTCATGATCGGTTTCCCAGCGCTTATCTGCCCTACCCAACACGTCTACACGGAAGCGGAGCTCACATCCTACAACGGAAAGAACGGCAAGGGTTCGTACATTGCTATTCGTGGCGTTGTCTACGACCTCGGCGCTTTCATGCCTATTCACTACCCTAAGATCGTTGCGACTACGCAGTTGAAGAAGTACGCTGGCAAGGATGCGACGAACATCTTCCCGGTCCAAGTCTCTGCTCTTTGTAACGGAAAGGACGGGTCTATCCACCCGGCGGTTCAACTTGACTACAAGCGAAACAACTACTCGGACTCCGACTCCACGGTCAGCACTATGGACAAAAATGCCAGGTACCACGATTTCAGGTGGGCTACCAACGATAGCCGACCGGATTGGTGGTGGGAACAGCAAACTTACCTGAAGGCCAACTACATGAAAGGTCGTGTCGGCTACAGCGCTCAGTACGTCAAGACTCTTGCGAAGAAGCAAAACTCTATCGCTATCTTGAACAACAAGGTCTACGACTTCACATCTTATCTCGTCGGTGGCCGTGATCCACAGTTCCCATGGTGGTACAACGGCACAAAGACTGGTATCGACGCAGACTTCATGGACGACAACCTTGTCACCCTGTTCCAGACTAGAGCCGGTCAGGATATCTCGAAGTACTGGGATGCCCTGAACTACAACACTTCCATGCGGAACAACATGCAGGGCTGTCTCGACTACCTCTTCTACGTCGGTGATGTCGACACCCGTAACTCCACCAGGTGTGTCTTTGCCAAATGGCTTCTCCTCGGCATTTCGATCCTTCTCGTTTCCGTCATCGGTTTCAAGTTCTTGGCTGCGCTTCAATTCACAAGGAAGACCATGCCGGAAAATCTGGACAAGTTCGTTATTTGCACTGTTCCAGTGTATACCGAAGATGAGGATTCTCTGCGCCGTGCCATCGATTCTGCAGCCCGTATGAAGTACGACGACAAGCGCAAGCTCCTCTTCATTGTCTGTGACGGTATGATTATCGGACAAGGTAACGACAGACCCACGCCCAGGATCGTCCTTGACATTTTGGGCGTTTCTGAGGCAGTCGATCCTGAGCCCTTGAGCTTTGAAAGCTTGGGAGAAGGCATGAAGCAACACAACATGGGCAAGATCTACTCCGGTTTGTACGAGGTGCAGGGCCACATCGTTCCGTTCATTGTGGTTGTCAAGGTCGGCAAGCCGTCCGAGGTCCAGAAGCCTGGTAACCGTGGTAAGCGTGACTCCCAGATGGTTCTCATGCGCTTCCTCAACCGCGTCCACTACAACTTGCCGATGACGCCCATGGAACTCGAAATGCACCATCAGATACGGAACATCATTGGAGTCAATCCGACGTTCTATGAGTTCTTGCTGCAAATCGATGCCGATACCGTCGTCGCTCAGGATGCCGCCACTCGCTTTGTTGCAGCGTTCCTTCACGACACACGCCTGATCGCTGTCTGTGGTGAAACGGCACTCAGCAACGCGAAGTCTTCATTTGTTACCATGATGCAGGTGTACGAATACTACATCTCCCACAACCTTACGAAGGCCTTCGAATCTCTCTTCGGTTCCGTCACTTGCTTGCCAGGTTGTTTCTCGATGTACCGAATCCGTGCCGCCGAAAGCGGAAAGCCTCTCTTCGTCAGCAAGGAAGTTGTCGACAACTACGCCGTCAACCGTGTCGATACGCTCCACATGAAGAACCTGCTGCACCTCGGTGAAGACAGATATTTGACCACCCTCCTGCTCAAGTACCACGCCATGTACAAGACCAAGTACATTATGCGTGCTCATGCGTGGACCATTGCTCCGGATAGCTTCAAGGTCTTCATGTCTCAACGTCGTCGCTGGATCAACTCTACCGTGCACAACCTTATGGAGCTTATCCCGCTGCAACAGCTGTGCGGTTTCTGCTGTTTCAGTATGAGGTTCGTCGTTTTCCTGGATCTGCTCTCGACGGTTGTCCAGCCTGTTATCGTCGGCTACCTTGTCTACATGATCGTTCTCCTGGCCACTCACCCCGATACCGTTCCGATCATGACGTTCATTCTGCTTGGCGCCATCTACGGTCTTCAGGCTATTATTTTCATTGTGCGCCGCAAGTGGGAGATGATTGGTTGGATGATCATCTACATCTTGGCCACTCCTATCTTCTCGCTTGGTCTGCCGCTGTATGCTTTCTGGCATATGGATGACTTCTCCTGGGGTAACACTCGTGTCGTTACTGGTGAGAAGGGTCAGAAGATTGTCGTCTCGGACGAGGGCAAGTTCGACCCGAACAGCATCCCGAAGAAGAAGTGGGAAGAGTACCAAGCCGAGCTCTGGGAGGCCCAGACGCAACGCGACGATCGCTCCGAAATCTCCGGCATGTCCTACGGAACCAAGGCCTACTGGGGTGGCAATGGTGGCTCTGGCTCCGAATACGGCTACCCGCCTTCGCGTCCTATGTCTCACCTGGAACCTCCGCGCTTTGGAAACAGTTCTCGTCTCTCGCTTGCGCAGTCGAACTACGGTTATGGTGACGGCATGGAGATGTCTGACATGCACGGTCCCCTGCCGAACGAAGATGCCTTGCTCGCGGAGATTAGGAACATCTTGGCCACGGCAGATCTAATGACGGTCACCAAGAAGAGTATCAAGAACGAGCTTGAGCGCAGGTTTGGTGTCAACCTGGATCCGAAGAGGCACTTCATTAGCAGTAAGTTTCAGCCTATATGCCTCCTACACCGAACAAAAAAGCTGACAAAAGTTCTACCACAGGTGCAACGGAGGCTATTCTGAGTGGCCAGATGTAATTGTATATGCGGAGGAGAATTTGTCTTCCTTCTAATGCTGGCTCTTTCGATTTTTATGCATAGCTTCGGGCTAAAAAGATGAACGGAACTTTTTGATTTGGGAGTACTTGCTGTTTTATAACGGTCGAAGTGGTAATGGGCTCTTTTTATTCCCGCTTGGAATAGTCGTAAGTAAACGAGACGATCTGATCAAACTCACTCACACCATTCGAATCGCATGCGCACGCCACTTGTTGCTGTAGCTTCTGTCGATATTGTTAGCGTATCATTCCTTGCTTGTCGGGACAGGCGCGGTTGTAATTTTTTTAGGGCTCAGGAGGTAGGCATGTGTTTTGTTTCCGTCGTTCCTTTAGCGGTAATCAGACAAAGGGGTACGGAGAGCTAGAAATTACGTAGTAAAATTTGGCTCTTCTTCTAGCGGTGTGTTTCAGTGTGTCCAATTGGTTACCGCAGTAGCTATCGTGATGCGTGGTCGCAGTGAGAGCAAACGAGCCGTGAGATCCTCTAGCGATGATGCTGCGAATAGGAACAAGCCAATCCGTCCCATACGAGATCCGGTGGGGTCCAGGCCGTTCGGATCGTAACTGTAGATGGTTCTCGAACATCGGCGAGAGGGCGGGAAGCTCGTAAGGCTGATAATGGTCATGCACGTACGTCAGGCGCTGTCTTCTGATGCGAGACGCGGGTGAGGCAGGTACGTACAGTCCCCTCTCGCAGCCGATGGCTAGCGTGGATTTGTTTTTTAGTCATGTCATGGGTAGTTGAAGCTATCGTCCGGACGTGTATGTAGAATTTTTAATTCGACATTCTCGTCCAGACGATAGCTTCAACTGCCCACATACGTTATTTTTCTGAAGCAAAGCTGGGGGCATAGTTACGCTATGTTCTAGAGCCCTGCTATCCTTCGCGCTAGCCATCGGCTGCAGCACCCCTCTGTATCCGTTGCTTGCGCGGCCTCCGCCAGAAACTGCTGCTGACACAGGGGCGCAGCAAGTGATGCGTGAGCTTGGCATAGGTCTTTGCGGTAAGCTGATGACTGTCAGAATGTTGGCTTAGTAATGGGATGGAGCACCGCGTGCGCGATGGTGATTCGCATCATCGTTGTTGGTATAATTTCTGGGTCAGTGACGGTGATGAGGCCGCGCGTCCAGCCAGTGATTATCAAATGCGGGCAAGTTCCAGTGAGCTCTTGATCACTGTCTGTATTGTGACATCGTTGGAAGAACTCATTGCCCTCAATTGATCGGTGCAAGGCCGTGGTTTAAAGAGTGTAGAAGGGTATCAAATGATTATCTTCGTGGGACTGCTAGCGCACGGACAATGTTCTGTGTTTCCTGTATTTGGATTATGCCCTGCGTTGTTTCCTGTCATGAGACGTATCTGGTGTCTATCGGGCACAAGGCTAGGGCTGTGAGTTGGTGTAGATGCAATTCGCTGGTTGACGCAAGACCATATGCATTTGACATTTAATAGTACATCAATATTGGCCTCGCGCTCACTGTGGAAGTCAGGCATTGGTGAGCCTGCCTGAATGAGCAGTCGAATAGTATTACGGTTTCTAGCCATGATCTGGAGAAAATTTTGTTCCTAACCCTCGCTGCAGCATTCATTCCCCCTTGGCCTACAACGTTGTAATACTAGAGAGGATGTATATTTTTAGTGCTCTTTGGGAATGCACTCGGAGAAACCCATCGGAAGATCTCGTACCGCTAACAAGTAAAAATCAACAGAATAGTTTAGTTGCAGACTGTGTACCATTTTTCTAAGTTGACTATTATTTAGTCCATGATAGCAACAAGATTCCCTGAGTGAAGGTTTCCTGGTCCGATGAGCTGACTTAAAAAAAGAGCTGCTTGAAAATATGAAAATTGTAGGGAGACTTGTATGCAATACGACTTAGAAGCAGTAACATTGATGAGCAACAAGGTGGCAACTGCAACCCCGTCCCGTCATACCGTCCATCCGAAGAAGCAAGTGGCTGAACAAGCTTAATGGCGATCTCTACCTTCGTAGATTAGTGGAGACACTTATTGAACGATCAACGGACAAAAAACCAAATACAGTGTTGGTAGGATTAGCGCAACCCGCACCGCTCCTTCGGATTTCCCGTTAGGGTAATCGACAGCCAACTTCTGTGCGTTGCGGGACGCCTCCTCCATCATTCGAAAGACAAGAGGTGGTCCCCGCCTATTGTGCTCATGGATTTAGGATTTATGGATCTATTGTGTCAAGGATGATTGGTGTTGGAAATGTATGTACCTTAAGGTTTCCCTGCTCTTTCGGGAGCAAAAGGTCTTTAAATATTTCTATCTCCACCTTGATGAACACAGTTGAAACAGAGAAAGACGCTTCTCCCGCTCTCTCTTCAAACCAGCTTAAACAACCACAATAGTACAAAAACCGAAAACAATGGCCTTTTATCCCGCATACAGCGCTGTCATCCTCATCCACGGCACACAATCCTCCGACGAAACCAACAACGACGACCTCCACCTTCTCCTCCCGCGCTACTCCTGCGGCGTCGCCCACACCGACTGCGGCAACGGCTACTGCTGCGACGCCGCCCACCAATGCGTGCTGCCCTCCTCCTCCTCCAGCAGCGGCCAAACGCTCTGCCGCCTGCCCGGCTTCTCGACCGCCAACGCCGTCGCCACCTTAGCCAGTGACGCCGCCACCACCGGGTCCGCCACCGCAGCGACGACGACCGACAGCAACACGGCCGCGTCCGTGACGGCGTGCTCGGGCGACGGGGACTACGTCGTCGTTTCGAACGGGGGATACACCAGTTCGACGAACAGCAGTAGCAGTAGTGTATCCCTATCCGCCGGCGCGATCGCGGGGATAGCGGTTGGTGCATTTATCGTCGTGGCGCTCGTGGTAGGCGTCATCGTGTTCCTGCTGTGCGTGCGGAGGAAGAGAAGGAAGAGAAGGGCGGAGAATGCGGCAGCAGCGGCAAGTGTGGCGGGGACTGGCTATGGCAGGCCGCCGCACGTCTACCAGCCCGTACCTGATGGAGGTGGGACAGCACCGCTGGAAATGTACGCTGGCAGTAACGTGAAGAAGATGCAAGACCGGGTGCCTGGCAGGGCGGAAATGATGGGTGACATGGCACAGAGGCCAGCGGTACAGGAGTTGCCGGGGGATGAAGTGACGCGGCCAGTGGAGTTGCATTCGGGCGCGGAGAAGAAGGGGTCCTATTGAGATGAGCATGGAACTTGGAGAGAACCGGGAAAGTAACTGTGGCGGTTGCTGTGTTTCTCTAAACCTGATAATCAGTAAAAGGCCAATCCAAGAAAAAGAAAGACCCTGTGCGGTACGTCGAAAGATGCGAAGGTTTGTCTGGACCCAATGCTCTCATTATCTATTAACCTTTTACCCAACGGGCTAGCGAGCGAGTGGGGTGGATGAATGCGCGCTGGTCAAACACGCTCCTCCAGAAAGGGAAAGAGAGAACGAAAGGCACAAAAGCCAACCTTTTAACAAACGCCATGTCGCAGCAAAACTACAGTAACGGAAATAAATATACGAATGCCATTTCGTCCATTCATCTCAACATCCATCATGCATGAGAATGAGAGACAGGGGAACTTTTGTACCTCATCAAACAACCGCACTGCACTCCGCCACAATTTATCTAAGGAATATCGAACATCGGCTTCAGCTTCTTGATCAACGCCCACTCGTCCATGGTGACGTCGGCTCTGAAGAACTCCTTGAGCGTGTCGATGCTCTGGCGCGAGATCAAACTGTACAAGGTATCCTTCTCCTCGAGGTGACGACCATACAGCGGCTGGTTGGGACCTTCGATCTTGACCGCGACCGACGGCTGACCCTTCTTGCAGACAGCGATCTGCTTGTGATCACGCTCGATCGACTGCACGCGACCAAGTTGGATGATTTCCTTCTGTTTGGTGACGGGGTTTTCCTTGATGGCGCAGATGGGCGTGAGAAGCTTGAGGTTTCCTTCGATGACATCGACACCGACGACGATGGGGTCCTTCTTGTTGAAGACGGCGACAGGACGGAGCACGCAGGGGAAGACAGCGAGCATCTTGCTCTCCTCCTTGCGCTGCTCCTCCAGCTCCTTCATGTGAGCCGTGAAAGAGTCGAACAGGTGGTAAATGATGTCCGCCTCGAAAATCTTGATGCCGTTCTGGTCTGCATATTCGCGCGCTTCCTTGTCGACACGCACGTCGAAACAGAGCATGACAGCGTATTCCTTAGCCTTTTCAAGCATGATACCACACTGCATGACATCACGCTTGAACACAGGACCAATCGAAATGTTGGCGACGGGAATCTTAGACACGCGCAAGAACTCGAGAAGGGCTTCCAGCGAACCAAGAGTAGACGCCTGGACACTGACACCACGGCCGGTCTTGGAGATGCGCGACAGGAGGTTCTCAAGATCACCCATAACCTATTCACTGTTAGCATTCTGATTTTGGTAGAGTAAGATCGTGCAGCTTACCTCTTCTTCCAGGTCCTCTTCATCGTCGTCAGGGCCAACGACCATGAGACGCGAACCGGCAACAGCGTTGTCAAGACCTTCAGCAGCAATCTTGATACCCATGGCGGCCTTGATCGTCTTGTTGTGCACGTACTGCGACTTGATACGCAGTTCCTTCATCTCCGCCGGTGTTAGGAGAGCACGAATGTTCGTTGATATGGCTCCTTGTGTACCGCAAAGAACGATTCGGTCACCTTCATTCAGCACACCGTTGGACAGGATGACATCGATGGTGGTACCAAGACCTTCGACGACCTTAACCTCGAGAACCGTCGCCTCGACCTCCGAAAGGTACATCAGGCTGTTGGTCATACGTTCCTGGGTCAAAGTGGTGATGAGCTTAAGCATGTCGGGGATACCCTCACCCGTGTGGGCGGACGTGGGCACGAGAGAGACGTAGCGGGCCATGGACTTGTTCTCGTAGAACAGCTCAGAGTTGAAACCCTGCTCGGCAAAGGCCACCTTGGTCTTTTCGAGACGGTCTCTGAACTCGTTCTGGACAGCCTTGTTCTGGAAGGACAAACTCTCGCGGAAACCGTTGTTGTCGATCTTCTTCCAACCGTAAAGACGGTCGATCTTGTTGAGTGCGACGATGAACGGAGTCTTCTTGTCACGCAGCAGTCTCATAGATTCAAGAGTTTGAGGCTCAAGACCGTGCATGATATCAACGACGAGAATGGCGATGTTGCAGAGGGAGGAACCACGAGATCGGAGGTTAGTGAAAGACTCGTGACCAGGCGTGTCAATGACGAGGAGACCGGGGATCTTGAACTCGAACGAGCCATCCTTGTTGACAACGTTCGTCTTCTTCTTCAACGCGTCAACAGGGAAGTAAGTGGCACCAATCTGTTGCGTGATACCACCGGCTTCGCCTTCTTGGACGTTTGTTTGACGAATCTTGTCAAGCAACTTGGTCTTACCAGTATCGACGTGTCCAAGAATACAGCAAATAGGGGAGCGGAGGTCGTCCTTTGACCGGGCGGCGAGGGCAGCCTCGTGCTGTTGCTTACGGCGCTCTGCAGCTGCAGCCTTACGAGCAGCCTCGGCCTTCTCGGCGGCAGTCATTTCCTCTTCATCCGAGGACTCGTCCTCGGAATCTTCCTCAGACTCGGATTCGGAATCCGCAGCCTTCTTGCCGTTGGGCTTGCCGTTCGCCGCAGCGGGCTTGGCATCTTCCTCGTCGGAGGGAGCGTCCCAGCTGTCCTTGACGCCGTCCATGTTGACGCCCTCCTCCTTATCGGCAAGGGCCTCCCAGTCATCAAGGTCATCCTCTTCTTCGGCCTTCTTAGCCTCAGCTTCCTTCTTGGCCTTCTCGGCCTCCTCGGCGGCCTTCTTCTCTTGTTCCTCCTTGAGCTTGAGTTCTTCGAGCTTCTTGCGAGCCTCCTCCTCGGCCTTTTCGTCGACCTTGGGCGTCTCCGCAGGGGCCTGCTTCTTGCCCTTCTTCTTCTTGTCGTAGACGGGCTTCTTCTTAGCTTCAGGATCCTCAAGACCGGCAACCTTGGCGCCGCTGGCGATCATCTGCTTCATACGGAGCTCGGCCTGTCTTTGCGCTTCCTTCTGGGCCTTGGTCATGTATTTGCCCTCGCGCTTGAGCTGCTCGATCTTCTCCTTCTCCTTCTGCTTCTTGAGAGCTCTGGCCTCGGCCTTCTTCTGCTCTTCCTCCTCGGCCAGGCGCTCCTCCTCCTCGATACGCTTCTTCTCTTCCGCGAGCAGGCGGGCTTGCTCCTCCTCGAGACGTTTCCTCTCTTCCTGCTGCTTCTGAAGAGCGAGGAGGGCCGGGTTGAGCTTCTTCTTCTTACCACCCGCGGCAGGCTTCTCGGGCTCCGGGGCAGGAGCATCCTCAGTCTTCGACTCAGCAACCTTCGCGGGCTCGGCCTTGGGAGCGGGCGGGGGCGCAGCGGTCTTCTTCTTAGCAGCCTGCTCCTTCTTCCGCTGCTTTTCGCGCTCCTTCTTCTCCTTTTCCTTTTCCTTCTTCGACTTCATGCGGCCCGCGCCCTCGTCCTCCTCGTCGGCCTCCTTCTCCGGCTGCTTCTTCTGCTGCTGCTGCTGCTTGCCGCCCTTGCCCTTCTTCACGGGGCCGAAGAGGTCATCGTCGTCCATGTTGGCCTCCTCGGGCGCCTTGGCAGCGAGGTCCTCCTGCTGCGGGGTCTGCACGCCGCTCGCATCGCCAGAGCCGGGCGCTTCCTCGCCCTCGACGAAGTCGTTGACGACCTTGCCCTTCTTGGCACGCTTGCCCTTGTTCTTGCGCAGGGCGGCCATCAGACCGCCGCCGCCGCCCGTCTCTTCCTCGTCCTCGACGGCATCCTTGGCGGCCTCTTCCTGCTTCGCTGCCTCAGTGGCCGCGGCTATCGGGTCGATGGTCTCGCCCAGCTCGGCCTCCCAGTCGTCTTGCTGGGCCTTCTTGCCGCCCTTCTTCTTCGGAGGCATTGTGGTCGGTGGGTGCGTGTGTGGGGCGGAGGTGAGGTTGCCTAGGTGGCGTAGGTGCAGACGTGTGGTGTCCGGATCGTCGTCAGCGAGGTGGACGAACGGTCGACGGGTGCGGAAACGCTGCGGCTCTGCCGAGGTTTTTGTGATGGGCTGTCGACGAGCGAGCGGGTCGCAGGCAGGCAAGCTAAAGCTCTTTCTCTTACGCCCGAGGTGTGCGTACGAGAAGGCAGCGGCGGTGCCTGGGAGAAGGAATCAAAAAAGAGTGCGACGAGACAATTAAGGTCGTGCAGCTCTCCGGTGTTCCCGATGGACGACGGATCGGAAGTCCTTTTGACAGCGGGTGGCGAGGTGGGAATTTCTCGTGGGTCGTGGTGACGGCAAGGCAAGGTCGGATTAAGTGCCACAGTGCGCCCCATTTCGGCGGGGATGCCTGACTCAGTGTGCGCTCTCACCCCAGCGCTTCCGCCTTTGAATCCTTCTTTCAAAGGCCAAGACTATAGCCAATGGCATTCCAGGCTCCGTCAAGTCGGTCACCCATGATGGCGATCACTTTTCATGTTGAAAGAGCCCATCTGCGCACTATGCGCTTGCTTTGCGACCCGCAGGTGCTCTCATACGGTGCTTTTGCCTTTGCGTATCAACCGTACCTGGCGAACAATACCTGTGCGGCTTTGTCTGCTCAGTGACGAACCGTGACAGCCATATGACGCCGCTGTAGTCTCATAATCCGATCGTGGTCCTCTCAATGACATTTCTCCCTCAACAGAATTCCTAAATTCAGGTGCTTTGGCCGGCAACAATTTTCGCTTCTTGTGATTTGGTGGCCACCAAACCCGCCAACCATCCTGCGCGTACTTCTTCTTGTTCTACGACTCGTAGCTGTAGATATAGGATCTATCTCCTAGTCCATATAAGCCTGCACAAACGAAGTGCATCTATGGAACACCAGTCTAATTACTGCTACTGGTGTTTTGATTCTCATACTTGTGCAAGGCATACCCCGCATAACTTGCCGAACAAGCCGTGAGGACATAGATATCAGGGCCCTTTGAGCATTTCCGTAGTCTTGCTCAAACTCCCCGCGTTCTAGCCTTTTCGCTCTCCTGGATAGCAATGCTCCCCGGGTTGATCACACATGTTGTAGTCTTGCGAATCTCTGAGCAACGTGATCATACTGGCACACTTCATAACAAATCAGAGAAGGCGTTCCACGTGTTTGGTATGATACAGTTGCTCGGCCGCTTCTTCGTCTGATAGCGGTCTTTGTCCACCCTTCTTTTACCTCATACATCGTTTCCATCTCCATGCTAGAACAAGTAAGCAGATAATACACCCCGCCTTTAGATGCCATGCCTGCCCTTGTCCCGAGACATTCCAAATATGATTTCCATAGAAGTGAAATTCGCTTTTCCTTTTACACGACAATCTCACCCGGATCCACCATATTCGGCACCCACTTCTTGCCCTCCTTCTTGAGTTCCTCCGTTTCACTGGGCTTTGTGACGTCCAGTGGGCTATAAAGGTACCAACTCTTCAACGCAGCAACCGCAGCCCTGAACCTGGCCTCCTCAAGACTCGCGCCTGGGCCCTCTCCCAACTTGTCTCGCCCGCTGTACACACCAACCACAAACACCGGATGTCTGCTGCCACGGCCCGTCTCGGCGAGCAGGCGGGCAACAGGGGCCTCGAAACCCTCACGGGCGCACAGTCTGGACAGGTCGCGGGTGGGCTCCGTGAAGTTGAACAGCTGGGAGAGGTCAAGATGGCGGCTGAGGAAGTGGGCCTGGATGAAGTTCTGCGCGGCGGCGCGGCCGGCGTGCGCGTACACGGCGCCGACGACGGCGCGCACGAAGCCGGCAGAGGCCTGCTCGAGCGTCGCCGCTTGCCTGCTGAGCGGCTCCTTGGTCATGGCCCGCCCGCGCAGCTCGCCGAACGCGTCGTCGTACACAACCCGCGACGACATGCCGCGGCGCCAACCCAACCCCCGGTTCTCGTTCGGCCGGTTGCCCTGCCGCCGGAAGGGCAGGAACTCGGTGTCCGGCTCGAAGTGTGTGAATTGGAGCAGGCCCGGGTCGACCTCGCCGCCGGGGGCCGCCGCCGTCTCGACACCCCATTCGCGCGTGACGGTGGTGAGCGCGGCGTCTCCGACGTAGGCCTGCATGCCGGAGAGCAAGACGGGCATGGGGATGCGTGGGTAGGTGCATATGATGTGCTCGCTGGTGTATAGGCCCAGCAGATCACTGCCGAGCGTTGCCAGCGCGGCATTGTTGAAGTCCGGGTTCGAGTCGGCCGACGGATCGACGAGTGCGCGGGCAAGCGTTTCGAGAGGCATTCGCGGCGGCAGCGACAGACGGGCGTGGAGAGCAGCGAGCTTGGCCGAGTCTCGTGCCGCGGATATCGGGGGAGACGGAAGTGACTCGAGTTCTACTGGCTCTGGCTCAATTGAGCCCGGAGCCTCCACGGGGTCAAGGGGCTCATTGGGCGTGGTGGACGAGTCGGTGGACTGTAACCGGACGAAGGGTATTTGGCGGCATTGAGGCTGGAAGTGCTGCTGTTGCTGCTGAAGGATAGGGCACTGCGGGCGTGGTCGTGCGAGGCGCGTTAGGACGCGGGCGCTGCCCAACCTTTCTACCCGCAAACGCTTCATGGACGGCAGACGAGGGAGGAAAAAGCCGGCGGTAAGGATGGGGCACCGCTCGGACGCGATGGGTGGGCGTGGTTGCTGGTCAATTAATGTAGTCCTCCAAAATTTCCTCAGACACAGCTCGCCCGACTTCGACGAGCGGCAGAACGCAAGTGCACGGCCTAGCGTATGTTCCGATGTGCGATTTACAGTTTAGCGCCAAGAGATCTGCTTATGTGTGCAGGTATTGTTACGCGACACCCGACCGCGACTGCCTCTCACATCGACCTACCCGCTCCCACCAAGGTCGAGCTCCCATCCGCACACCACCCTCGAGAGAGCTCCAGACGCTCGCCCGCCGCACCCCGACCCCAATCGCATACCGTACATCTCACTGCACACCATGGGTGGAGGTGGAAAGGTTCCGTATGTGCCACCCAATCGCATCCCTCGTATAATCAGCAATGCGCATCCCATCCGGCAGCAGGACAAACGCTGAAGGAATTCTTCCCGTCACAGGTACCCCAAGCACGTCTGGTCCCCGGCCGGTGGCTGGTACTCGCAGCCGAAGAATTGGAAGGGGAACACAGCGGTCATGGGCGGTGTTGTCGTTGGCATAACCGGCATGTTCTGGTACATCAGTGCGCAGAGGGAGCAGCGGACCAAGTTCCCTGAGCCTGGCAGGTTCTACCCTAGCAGAAAGTACAGTCCACCTCGTTGCGGAGTACCAATGAACACATCGCTGACGCGTGCATCGCAGCTGGAGCAAGCAGATCATTGAGCACGAGCGCAACCAGGCGCAGGAATCATAGACGCGGGCACAAAGAATTAAGGATTTCAGGGCGCAATTCGATCGAACTTCACACAATGGCGACGTGACGGCTGCAAATATTACAAGCTCTGGCATTGATCGCAAGGCACATGCGTTTACTCAACAGTTATCAGGTGGCAGCCGCGCGCCTTTTCCGGATATCCGGTTATACCAGAACAAATGGGTATCAACGATTGTCTATTAGTATCTATGGCATTTCTCATAAAAGAAAGGATCCTGGAACAGTAGCCGGTCCTACATCCAAGGCTGCAATCCTTACCTTCAGTCACTTTCCAGCCTTCCGATTCTTTCTTTGAACTCCCTCAGTCTGTCCTCTACTCTAGTACCGTTCCATCTCTCTCCTTTCTCGGTATCTCCCTTCTCCAGAACGGGCATACCGACCTGCTCGATTGTGTAACTGGCAGCAATGCTCCCCCAGATGGCAGCCTCTTCGACATTCTCTACGCCCGGCGTGTTGCCTCCACGCACCAAGCCAACGGCCAACCCTCCCAGAAATCCATTGCCTCCGCCAGTAGGATCGACGACAGCTTCCGAAGACGTGTGGAAAGCTGGCAGCCAAGTCTTCTGCTCCCGCGAAGCGACATAGCAGCCGTCTTTCCCGCACCTTACCACTACCGCTCCATTTCCCTTTGCTCCCACACCTGAGTCCAGCCATTTTTCTGTGCATTCCTGCACCGCGGCTTTATCCACATCCCCCTCGGGAGTGACGGTACTGCGTCCAAAATACCCACCTAGCTCGCCATGGTTTGGACTCACAACATCGACGTACCGCAGCGCCTGGAGGCACTCGTCGTAATCCTCGGGCGTGCACAAATCAGGCACGGGCTCCCAGATGAAGAGCGGCGGGTTGACCCACCGATCGGGGGCCAGGCATTTGCGCTTGAAGAGGATGTTGGTGACCAGGTCGACGCAACGCGTCGGCGAGCAGATCAGATGGTAAGATTTGGAAAGGAGTAGCTCCGGCGTGAGAGCGTCATGGTCGATGCGGATCTTCTCCGTCATGTATTTGAAAGCTGAATGAAAAAGGTCAGGGCGATGAGAAACATGGTGACGTAATAACTGTTGGGAAAGGCGCCGTAACTATGGGGGGTGTGAAACGTTTCGGCTTTAAAGAGCAGAGGCTAAGACTGTATGGTCTGGTGCCTGAAAGAACGGGTATAAGGCGAAGGAAATAGACCGAGACATGGACAACCAAGAAAAATCGGACGCTTTGGATATCAAAGAACAAAGCCAGAGAAAATTGAAAAGGAAAGAGAAATCGGCATGGTGGAGGTCGTCGTTCTGTTGTGGTCTTCTTGGCGCACGAGCTCCAGAAGTGGGAGAGGGAGCACGTGAAGGATGAAATGACAGCAAGTTGCGGTGAGAAGGAAAAATTGTGATCTTACCTCGATGTTCATTGTCGCCGTAGCCGTTCCAGCCTCTGGTGGTCAGCCGGTGAGGGGTTTCTCTGAGTAGACAGCTGGTGTCCCAGTGCTTGATCGTCTCGCGGACCTGGTCAGGAAAATCGGAGCCGCAGTCGACGATCCAACCGACAGAGCGCGAAAGCGGCGGAGGAGACATGATGCGAGCGCCGATGGCAGAGTAGGCACCGGCACCGCCGACGACATCTTTGACGGGGGGTTTGGGCGGCTTGAACTCAATGTCGTCTGTACACGGCGCTCTCAGAAGCTGCTCTGGTCGAGAATTTCTGTTTTGGGCTTAACGGTTGCATCGTACCCAGAATGAACATGCCAAGCGACACAAAGTCGATGGTGACATCTTCGTCGTCGGCCATGATGTACAAAAGGGCGTCGAGGAGGACGTGCAAAGGGAGGCCGGGCACTGCGGTATAGGTGTGCTCTCGGAGCACCCTGGCGTAATCTTCTGGCGAGGCGGCGTACTGCTGCATAGATGGGGGTTTCTGTGCAGCTTGCTTGCAGCGGAACGGGAGCAGGCGAAGCCACAGGCCACTGGTCGCACAGCACCGGCCCCATGCACCCTAGGCGGCCTGGCGGCCCAGCACGGCCCAGCGCAACGTGCGGCCAGGAGAGCGACCAAGCTGGGCGCACTCTGATGCCTCAACCCCAGCCTGACTCGGACACCTCACCGCGGATCGCACTGCTCCCTCACGCTCGTTCAACGTGTCACGCCGACTTCTTTGACCCCAATCTTCAAAACAGCGTCTCGGAGCCAGACCCTGGACGCGCGCGGAACCGGCCTAGACCTCCTGCAGCCGGCGCCTGGCATCACGCCCTCACCCTCGACCCCCCAAGTCCCGCCGACCCGCGCTCGCCGCGAGCTCCCAGTTGCTGCCCGCAAGCTCCAGCATCAGCGCCTACCTCGCCTCGCCTCCCAACTGCCCTTGCTAGCACCTGCAGCAATAGCGATCCCCGCCATTGCCCATCATGGCACAGAACAACATGCATAACCTGACCACCCTGATCAAACGGTAACTCTGCACTCCAACATGGCTCAGCACGACAAAGACCCGCTGCTCTACCGCCTCTCGTCGCCCGTTCAAGTCCCGGACGACGCGCTGACAAAGCTCGCCCTTAGGCTGGAGGCCGCCACCTCCCGATTGGAGGACATTGCCTCGTCCACTTTCGAGAAGCCCTCCGCCCTCGATGCTGCCCCCGGTGCGCAAAGTATCGCCGCTGCTCAAGCTCCCGCCCGAGCTTCTGCGCCGCCCGCGGCTCCTGGCGCGCCGCCCGCGCCCTCCAAGGCCGACGTCCCTCCCATGCTTGCAGCCTTCGACGCGCTCCTGGACAATGAGCTGAAGCATTTCGTGGACCTGAGCAAGCAGCTCGGCGGGCCTATCGCGGAGCAGGTATGCGCTGCGAAACCCACGGCAATGGACTTTTACTGAAACAGATTCCAGGCATCAGCGCTCTCCGACGCCTTCGCCGCCCAGCGTCAGTTCCTCCAGGTCACGACGCTTGCGAAAAAGCCCGATATGTCTTCTCCGGTCTTCCTGGAGGTTCTGAAGGACCTGCAGGGCGCAATTGAGCGAGTCGACCAGGTCAAGCAAATTACGAGGGATCCGGAGATCAAGAACCACTTGACCATGGTCGGCGACGGTGTTGGCGTACTCGGATGGGTCACCATGGACTCGAAGCCTGGCGATGTTGCCGGTGAGCTTTTCGGAGGTGCGCAGATGTACGGCAACAAGGTGTTGAAGGATTACAAGGACAAGTACGTGCAGCAGATTGGTATGGCACCGGATAAGTGACTAACGAGCGTTCAGGGACCGTTCTCACGTCGAATGGGTCCAATCTTTCTACGCGCTCTTCAAAGCCCTTGTTCTCTACATCAAGAACAACCACACCAAGGGCGTCCAGTGGAACGCGAGTGGCATCGATGCCTCCGAAGCAATTCGTCAGGTCAAATCGGAAGGCACCAATGGCGCTCCAGCAGCGCCCGCACCGCCCGCTGGTGGTGCTCCCCCGCCCCCTCCTCCGCCGCCGCTTCCTACGTTCGATAACATTCCTCCTCCGCCGGGCCCGGCACCAGCTGGCAAGGGTTCTGGTGGCGCCGACATGGGAGCCGTCTTTGAGCAGCTTAACAGGGGAGAGGCAGTTACTTCTGGTCTACGAAAGGTCGATCCCAGCCAGATGACGCACAAGAACCCGAATTTGCGCGCAAACTCGACTGTCCCCGACCGCAAGGACAGCATTGGCTCTAGGGGCAAGTCACCCGCTCCGGGTAAGAAGCCCAAGCCGGAAAGTATGCGTACGAAGAAGCCGCCGAAGATGGAGCTTGATGGCAACAAGTGGATTATCGTGAGTCATGTCCCGAGCCTTTAAAGATCGACGCCTAGGCGAGTACGGCCAGCCGCTCTAACCACCATCACTACAGGAAAACTACGAGGAGCATCCCGAGCCGTTGGTGATTGAGGCCACCATCGTCCAGTCCATCCTCATCACGAAGTGCAAGAAGACCACGATCCAGATCAAGGGCAAGGCCAACGCTATCTCCATCGATAACAGCCCTCGCGCCTCAATCGTTCTGGACTCGCTTGTCTCGTCAATTGATATCATCAAATGTCCCAACTTCGCGCTGCAGGTGCTCGGCACTTTGCCCACGATCCTTCTTGACCAGGTTGATAGCGCCGCCATTTACCTTGGCCCGGAGAGCTTAGGCACCGAAATCATCAGCAGCAAGTGCTCCAGCATCAACATCAACCTCCCGCCCGCGGGTGAGGAAGAAGATTACACGGAGCATCCTGTGCCCGAGCAGTTCAAGACTTACGTCAAGGATGGCAAGTTGGTCAGCGAGATTGTGGAGCACGCCGGTTAGACGTCGGGAGTAGTGCTGTAATGTCACGAGAGCAAGAAAGACGGTTCGCGCTAGAGTCCGGGAATGTGTATGAGGTATGAATGGAAAATGCATGGGCTGGGGCGAGGCGTTGGGTAAGTTTGGAGACACCTTTGCGTTTGCAAACCTGCCGCTGCTGCTGCTTTGTATGAGAAGGAGATTTCTATATAGCGTAGACGATGAACCTCTTCTTGTATAAATCAACCCTGTTGGGCATCTACCGCAACTTTACGTTATATGTGCTCGTGATTCATCATTTGTAAGAACTAACCAGATGCAAGTTTGTTTGCAAGAAGCTCTTCACATGGGCGAGAAGAAGAGATATAAACAACATAGAAGCTATTGTCCGGACGGGATGTATCATTGTTAATTTCACATTTACATCTAGGTGATAGATAACTTCAACCACCCATAAGACAAGCGAAAAGAAAATTCATACCAGCCGTTCGTTGTTTAGCTGCAGCATCCCTCCTCCCTCCTCCTTTCTCCGAAAAAGACAAAAAACTATGCCTTTGGCACAGAAACAGGCTCTTCGAGGACCGCCTGTTTTTTCCTCGTTACACCCACCCAGCCGTACCCCACCCTCGCATGTGGCGGCCAAGTCACGGCTTAAGCAGGGAGGGCGTCTGCGTCAACTCCCCACTCGTTACCGAACTCGGCCGGGCTAATGATGGGGGTGCTGGCTCGTGGAATATATGTATATTCGACCGCACGAGTAACGGGTCCTCGACGGATGATGATGGGTTGCACGAGCACGTGGAGGTCGGGCTCGTGAGACTGATTGGGCGTGGCGCATGCAAGCTTGGTCTGCAGGTGTTGGTTGCATATGGCTGGATGCCCAACGGCTGTATGCCTCGTGCACGAAGCGTGATCATCCTCTGGCTGGGCTATATAAATGTCCTTGGGCCCGACTGTTTTTAGCTCCAAATCAGCATGGCACAGTCGTGGCTTTATGCGGATCGATATGGTTCACTGTCTGCCTGTTCTGGCTTGTCTGTGCCGAGAAACCAAGAATGCAATCTGTGGCATAACTGTTCGGGAGGCTTGTGCTGTCGCTGTTTAGTATATCGCCCACGTTTCGAGTTTTGTTTGGGAGCCGAAGAAGATAAAGTGAGGGGTGTGGACAGCAGCATCAATGAATGGTGCCGGAGAACTGCATGTTTGGTTAATGCTCAGGAAAAATATTGGTTGGATGATGGACCGCATCCGATGGTGGTGACCTCGTCAGAAGTAACCTAAGCCCAGGGCCAAGTGGTGGTGACGATTCTATGAACAAAAACCCCCTCCACTCACAGTGGGCAGTGTCTGACCTTCCTGTGGTTTCCCCAATAACTGCACGACGAGTGACTCTGAATTGTGAGAATGAAGTTGCTCTTTTATACCACCAAGTACTGAAGGTCGAAAAATTGGGCACCGGGCCCACGTGCTCTGAATGATGATAGGTAGTCACTTGGATCTGAACATCACGGCATAGACGCAAAGCACAGGCATACGACGGACTACGTGCATCCTGCCTCCGTAAGCACGAGGAGAGGAACTGTATCACACGGCATCGCTTCCACGCTGACACACTTCTGTCATGTGGAAGCTCAATTTCATGCCGCGTTCATTCCTGCTCCCGAACGCTATTAAAAACTTACCGTTGAGCAATGATTTCTCTCTCCAACGAAGACAGTTGCACTGGCGCATATGATTACGCCTTGGTGATGATGGCAGACTCTTGGGTGGGTACCTTTCGCCAAACTCCCGTGGCCTTCTTGATGGTTGTAAGCGTGGAAGTGGGGTGTTGCTACAGGCAGCTATGAACGCACATCAAGAGCACTAAGTATTGGTGAGCTCCGTCATAGACGAGGTGATGCTGAGGTGCAGCAACAAGTTGCAGAGCTGTTCAGCAACATGTCGTTCTAAAGTAGAAGTGAAGTCAGAGGGGCATATTAACGTAAAAGGAGAGGTGTTGGATCACAATGAATGTAAAGGAGGCCCAGCCAGGAAGTAGTCGTCATCAAGCGGAAAAGTTTGTTGTCCAGTAGTAGAGTTTTAAACGTCTGGTCTCCGTCATGGTCGAAAATCCTGAGTAGCATAAATACTTTTATATAGAAGCCCCGACATCAATATCAGCAGCACTACATTACTTCATCCCATGACCCATTAACCATGCCCTCCCAACAATTACGCATGCACGTTCACCAACCCACAAAAGCCCCAGCTTCAACGCCCCATCACGCAACGACAAAACTCCCCGTCAACCTCACATCCTCAACGCTCGCCGCGACGTACACCTTAAACTCGCCCCTCGGCAGCACCCACCCCTGGCTCGCGACATCCCACACACTGAGGTCGCGCCTTGTCAGCGGGAATTCCACCTCGCCGCTCTCACCAGGCTCCAGCGGCACCTTGGCGAAGCCGCGCAGCTGCTTCGTGGGAGTGTCGGCATGCGGGATGCTCAGGTACAGCTGGACGACCTCAGCGGCCGCGTACTCGGCGCCTGTGTTCGTCACGGTCGCAGTGACGGTGGCCAGCGTCTCCCACAGGCTCTCGAGACCGCCTTCGACGATCGCGCCTTCCGGCGCCGCCTCGGGGGGCGAAGTGGCGGAAGTGAGCGAAGCGGAGAGGTTGCCGTACTCGAAAGTCGTGTACGACAGGCCGAAGCCGAAGGGGAAGCGCGGCGCGATGCCCTCCTTCTCGAAGTAGCGGTAGTCGAGGTACAGGCCCTCGGTGAAGTCGGCCTGCGTGTAGTAATTCGACGTGGCGTCGGCGCGGACGGGCGCGAGGAGGGCGCCGTAGTCGGCCTCGGCCTTGGCCACGGTGTAGTGCAGCTTGCCCGACGGAGCGGCGTCGCCGTAGACGAGCGCGGCGAGGGCGCGGCCGCTGTCCTGGCCCGGCAGGTGCGCGTAGATGACGGCGGTGACGTTGGGGTGCTCGATCCACGCGTCGACGAGGCGGATGCCGGCGTTGTGGATGACGACGATGGTGTTGGTGCAGTTGGCGGCGACGTTGGTGATGAGCGTGTCCGAGTAGGCGTCGGTCAGGCGCGTGCGGTCGAAGCCCTCGGTGGCGAAGGCGTTGATGAGGACGAGGCACGCGTCCGAGCCCGCGTCGATGCTCGGGTTCTGCGAGCTGAAGTCCCAGAACAGCTGCGTGTTGTCCTGCTGGGCGCGCTGGGAGAAGGCTTCGAAGGGGGAGCTGAGGTAGGGCGGCGTCGCTGCTCCGCTGCCGCCGCCGCTGATCAGCGTGCCGCCGTAGGCTGCTTGCGGGATGTCGTCGTCCGAGAGGCCGCCGGAGAAGAAGGTGCTGATGTCGTCGCTGGAGATGTTGAGGCTGTTGAAGCCCAGCACCCACCTGCTGAAGCCGGGTTCTGGGTTCTGCGACGCTGGTGCGGGAGCGTCGTAGCCGAATATGGACACGATCTGGGGAGACTTCAGGGGGAGGGCGTTGTTGGTGTTCTTGACCAAAACGTGGCCTTCAACAGCACCTTGGTAGATGGTATCCCTGTTGTCTGGTGACAAAGCGCTGACCTTCTGGTCGTCGTGTGGAGCTGTCAGATCGTATGGAATGCCAGTGCCCGGCTCGAAGTGAGCAAGCTTATACCACGTAGCAACGATACTGCCATCACTAGTCAGAATATCGCCAAAGACTTGCTGGTAGCTTGTAGACTTACCGTTTAGCCATGTCATCGAGCCTGGACTGGGCAAAGGTTCCGTTATCAACAGCAGTGGTAAGGTTTCCATCCCAGTATACCGAGTTCGGCATGGCCATGTCCAAGCCAGCGTCTGCGCTTGCGATTCCGGTGTGCTGCGCACCCCAGTCGCTCACGACAAAGCCTTGGAAGCCCAATTCATCTTTCAGAAGGCCATTGAGAGTCTTGCTGTTTTGACCTGCAGGCCAGTCAGTTGAGTGTATCTCCTCGGAAGATAACCATTACGTACACCCGTATGAATTGTTGACTCTCTGGTAGGAGCACATGATGGTTCCTATTCGATATCTTAGTGTATCGCACTATAGCGTTGATACCGGGGTGGATGCATACCTGCGCCTGCCTTGACCACATCTTGGAACGGCCAGAGGTATAGCTCATGCATTGTCCTGTCATCGATGTTCGAAGACACCGAGGCATTCCCCGTTGCCGTTGTAGGGTTGCGGTTCGTTTCTTGTTCATTGCCAATGAAGTGTTTGGCCGAGACGGCTACGTTCTCCTGGACGCCAATGACAGTGTCGGCGTTCAGTACACCGCAGAGATACGGATCAACCGAGAATCCTTCCTGCGAGGTGTAAGCAAAAAACATGTTAAGCAAAGCGGAATTCTACACAGCTCACTCACCCAATTGCGTCCACCCAGCACGGTCCGTCCCAACGGACCCATGACAGGCCCAAGCCACACATTCACTGCCCACACACCAGTCAGCCTTAGCCGCCACGAAACAACCAAGAAGAACTCAATCACAACTACTCACCTCCCTTCGCCTTCGACTCTATCCCAATCGCCCTGCCACGCGCCTTGGCGAGGTCCCTATTCCACGACGCGGCGACGGAGATTCCCGACGCGAAGCCGCTGACGAACTCGGTGCCGCGTATGCCCGCGGGCCCGTCGTTGAGGCAGAGCCCGGGGAACCCCACGCGCGGCGCCGACCCCGACACGCCGCTGCAGCCGCTCGCCGTCGTGCTGAAGCCGAACGTCAGGTTCTGCTTTTCCTCGTTCGTCATCTGCCCGACCAGCTCGGCCGCTTGGGCGTACGCGGAGGCCCAGTCGCCCGTGCCCGTGGCTTCGGCTGTTGGTGTGCGGAAATGTGTAAGCTATAGGCTGTATGTGGGGAGTGGGGGAACAATTGGAATGGGTCGGGGCACTTACGGCTGGGGTAGACGGGAGGGGAGCGGTTGTAGGACCAGAAGAGCTCCTGCTCCTCAATTGTTTCAGCAGACGCTGGGACATCCTGGCCTGTCGTCGTCGCCGGGAGCAGTAAAGCGAGAGCGAGTAGCGTGACAAGCGGGAGACGAGAAAGCGCGGCCATTGTGAATGTTTGAGTGACCGGATTCGACGGCCGTTTGTCTCTCTCTGCAGCCTGAGGTTCAAAAGTACACCGAAAAGCCCCTCTTTATAGCTACAGCTCTCAGAGTCATGGCCGGGAAGCTGCTGTGCAATACCCCTCTTTCCCACCTTGCCAAAAAAACACGGCGTCACCTGGGCTCGCGGTGCCCGTGCAACCAACCCACTCGTCAGTTGAGGAAAGCGGAGCCACAGGCCGACGTCACGTCACCGCGTTTGTGTGTGGTATCCCTCGGGTGGCGTTCTGTCTGTTCCCCGCAAAAGCTTCCCCAAGCTTTTCTTTCCTCCGTACAAGAAAGCCAGTCAAGAGCGATGGCGCAACGGTCACACGCTACTTCCCGCTTACCCGATTCGGCAACCACCGGTGATCGGGGTTGGGAAGTTCCGAAGGCCGCGGGGATTAGGAAGTGTGGGTTTTTCGGTTCTTTGCCCAGCTACAGCTACTTTGGCTGTGGATCGTGTTGGTTTTTGCCGGTACGTATCCCAGTACTCCGCAATTGCCGACCCCGCATTTTGTGTGCCTTTTCGCTGAAATAGCCGCAACGCGTTAGCCCCACGGCTCCTATCCGCTCTTTCTTGTTCTCGGCGCGGCTGAAATACAGCCACCATCTTGTTTAGGCGAACATTTGCCGGTCGTCTTGCGGGAGAGTGGAGCGGCAGTTCGCTGGGTCACCTTACCGGCATGTCAAGTCACGGTCTGGTCACTCGCACGTGGTTCGAGAAGACAGGCAACTATTCCGTCACACCCCCTCCTTCACCGAGTCACATACTCGTAAATCGGCCGTGGTATTGCGCCGAGGGCGCTTGCTTTTGCCTTTTGAAGCATTATTTCCTCTTTTCTGGCACATCTGCGGCATGGCACCACCGGGACCAGTCTATTGGAGTTCGGTTGCGTCTGGTGGCTTGAGAAAAAAGTTGTGAAGGCGTGTGGAGAGATTTCTGATTGGCAAGAGGGCCCGGGCTTCTCCTCACCGGCTGAAGAAGTAGAGCCCGTGATGCATGAAAGCACACCTTCAACATTGGAAAAGCAGATGCTTGATGCATAACCGTCAATACCAAGACTTGGAAGTTTGCGTATTCGTACCGGCACGAATACTCTCCTCTTGCTTAAGGCTGCAGTTCGACGTTGCCGAGCTCGGACAAGGCTGGTGAAGCCAATCCTTATACAAGGGGAGCAATCAGGCTGAATGGATAAAGCACACAAAGGTCTGGGCTCTGTCTTTACATTTTTAATTTTTTGTTCAATTGAAAATTAAGCACGAGCCAAATGTTAACGTACTACAACAGAGCATACGTAAGCTCAACATGTCCCTTCATCGTCATTACATTTTCCTCGATCCATTCCAATTAACCCATTCGTCACGGTCACAAAGGACGTTCACTCATTACCATCTCTTGTTCAAATTTCCTCCACCTAGCACTTCCGAACGAACAAACCGATAGGGCTAGGGTTCCAATCCTGGAACCACTCGAAGCTCAGATCCCCGCCCTGCGCACACATCTCATACGCGATCGTCTGGCCCGCCTGGCACTCAGCAGTCGCAACAACAAACCGCGTACCAGCAGCAATGTCAAAACCACCAAAGTCCTGCTTCTTCGCAGGCACGCTATCCCACGCCGTCGCCTGGTCAGCGGGCGCATCCAGCAGCGCGAACGAGACCTTGCCGCCGCTGGCGGGCGTCAGGTCGTAGTCGGACGTCTCCAGCTCGTCCTTGTGCGGCAGCAGGAAGACGGCGCTGCAGGTGCTGCCGGCGTACGACTGCGGGATGTCGAAGTTGAAGAGCGTGCAGACTTGGGGCGAGGTGTTGACTCGGCCGTTGTACTGCGTGCCGTACGACTGTGAGGGCGTCGAAGCGTTGACCGGCACGATTAGGTGCGGGTACTGGTAGTCACCGGCGAGGTCGGTGGGGCAGGCGGAGCTGGAGGGGGTCGAGGGGGTTCCGCCGGCTGTGGAGGTGACGCTGTAGACTGAGGTGGCCGTCTGCGTGTGGGACGTGGTGTACGTCATAGTCGTAGCCGGCGGCGATTCAACCGGCGGAAGGGTGGACGCATAGGAGCTCACGACCGGGGCGGGAGTGCTGGCTGCCGGAGGAGCGCTGGACTCGGAAGTCGGGCACGTGGTCGTGTAGTGCGTTTGGGTCATGGTAGTGACGACCTCAGGCGAGCTGGCGACCGGAGTGCTCGGTGCCGGAGGAGCGCTGCTGGGCGAGACTGGGACGGGAGTGGATGCAGCGGGGGTGGAAGGCTGACCACCACCGGAAGCGCACTTGCCACCCTCAGTGCTCAGAGTGATCTTGACGCACTTGTCCTGGTCATCGACGGGCTCGGTGTAGATGTTGTATTCGCCGTCGTCAGCGGGGCAGGCGTAGAACTGGTTGTCACCCTTGTAGGTGACTTGACCATTCTCGCCGACCGAGAAGCCAGTGGTAGGGGATGCTCCCTCATCGCATTGGAACTGCGTCGTCGGAGGCGTGAGGATGCAGCCACGGCCGTTGGAGTCGGTGATTCCACCGTTGTTGAGGCAGTAAGTGGCCGCCTGGTAACCGCCACCGACGCGGTTCTGGCCATCGCTAAGCTGGCCAACGCTTCCAGACGCACCACCGGACGCGGTGAGCTGGAAGCAACAGTCCGAGCGCTTGAGGGCGACGGCTGAGGCGCCCAGGGTGAAGGCGAGCGGCGAAAGGGCGTACTTCATCATGAGATTAATGATTGGGAAGAGGAAAGATGACGAGCGATGGACCGTTGATCGTGAAGATTCGAAACGACAATTGCAAGAGGCATACTTATAACTCTGGAAATTGGTTGGGCCACAGCAAACGTCAGTTTCCATCGACGGTGAGCCACTGACGAAGTCTTCTGGCACTTGCGCTGCAGTAAACTATTGTCTCCACTGATGGGATGGTCAGGTAACAGCAATGTGCCTGATTGGCAGGAGAGCTGGGGAAACGATGGTTCCACATGGCTCCGAGCCGCATCTGACAGGAACAGGCAGCGAATGGGCTGCAGTGTGCGAGGTTCAAGCGAAGATCTGTCGCGGGATTTTCAGGCACTAATGCTCAGGAGATGACGTTAAGCTCGCGAAGGCGTCCGGATCGCGACGAGGATCGACGGCACGACAGGCGTTTATTTTGACGACTCCACACTTCTGCCTTCTATTCTGGGCTGCAGCTGCCTTCTGTGGAGAAGAGAAGACGCTCCGCACCGCCGGAAGCCGAGTGCCATCGAATGAGGAGTGTTGCCAGAAGCTCATTGACAGCGGTGACACATGCGGACGGCTAATGGCTGAACAATTGATCGTCTTGCCCGGTTACACGTCAGTGGTGGTCGAGGCTGGGAGAGTGGTTCTTCCTCGCGTAGATGCGAACGGACCACTTTGCTTGACGTAGTCTGATATCATATCACGTGCCGGCCCAGCTGCCCGACGCGTGTTGCGACCGACACTTTGAGCATCTTTCTTGGCAAGAAATATGAAATGAAAGGACTTCTCCCGTACGCGTCCACGGCCGTGTTGTTGCCACCCGCCGGAACACCCGAAAACACCGTTTCTACAGTACAACAATTTTGGCCTCCTGGTGAAAAGCAAAGAGAAGCGGGCGCAATTGCAATCCAAAAAGTCTAGAGCGATCTCAGGATCTTGAACGCGGCGATCTGTTAGGTAAATGATGGAGAACCCCGCATTCGATACCTCCGCTTCATCCGCTCGATCATGAGACCGCAGAAGCCTGGATTGCACCTACCCCGAGCTTTCTCCTGAGCTCAAGAACAGTAAAAGTCGCAACTAACCAAGACATGGAAGTTCTGTGGGAGATCGAAAGGTACACCGCATGCGATTGCGGAGAAGGCGGCCACACCGGTCTGGATCCCCGCAGCAAAAGCGGATAACCATTAGCACTAGCATCAAAGACGAGGGCCAGAGCCGACTTACCCTTCGTTGCCGTTCACACGAACCACCATCACTCATCGACCTTCGGCTTCACCAGCATCCTGACCCCCTTACTGTTGGGGTCAACAGCGGGTAAGAACTCATCATGATGATACCTGCGCGTCACCCACCTTGTCAGCCATCACGCTACCAGGCAAAAGATTCCCCAGAAAAAAAAAAAAAAGAAGCGGGGAAAGGGAGGGAGAAAGAAAGACCACACATACTTAACATCATGCACCCCACACCCCTCGGCCAACTCCAGCCGATCCCCAAACCACCTCACCCACATCGCCAACCCCAGATACAACTCCGCCTGCGCCAAATTCATCCCAACGCACTGCCTACTCCCCTTCGAAAAACTGAGCAGATACCCCTCCAACCTCCTATCCCTCTTCCCGTCCTCATCCAGCCACCTCTCCGGCCAGTACTCCCGACTGTTCACAAAAACCCGCTCGTCGTGGTGCACGTGGTACGCGCTCATGCCGACGGGGGTCCCCGGCGGGATGCTCCACGTCTTGCCGCGGTGCGGCGACTGCGGCTCGTCGTCGGTCAGCACCAGCGTTTCGGTTTCTGCGATGCGCGCCAGGCGCGTTACGACGCCGTAGCCGAGCCGCAGGCCCTCGAGCACGCATGCGGAGAGGTAGGGCAGTTGCTCGAGCGTCGCCCACGAAGGCAGGTCGGCCGGGCTGGAGTCGGGCGTGGCGGGGATGGCTTCGAAGAGCTCGGCGCGCAGGCGGGAGAGGGCACGCGGGTTGCTGAGGAGGTAGGTGAGGTTGGTCGTGATGCCTGTTGCACGGAAGGAGAGGGCCGAAGTGGTTAGCTTGGGAGCGTGTACCGTGGGAAAGTGTACTGTGGGTGAACAAGTGCGGTTGAGGGTAAAAAAAAAAAAACGCACTCCAAGACACGGTCTCGATGCCTGCTTGCACCATGACTTGAGCCTCGCGACTGAGGCGCTCCGTCTCCTTCTCCGGTTCCGGCATGTTGCTGTTGAGGATCTCGGTGAAGACGGTGGCGCGGGTGGATTCGCTGGGCTTGAAGGTGCCGTCGGCAATGTCTTTTTTGAGCTTGCGGACTTGGGTGCGGATGTCCTGCATTTGCCAAACGCCAGTCAACACACACATCGACTCAATGGCAAAAGGGGGGGGGGGGGGGGATTTGACGGGAACGTACGACCCGGTATGCCCTCCACAACTCCATGTCGGGGTTCATCCACTCAATGACCCAGCTACAACCTTGTAGTCAGCATCCTGACCATGCGTTTTCTCCCTGGTTATGAACCTACGTCGGGAGACTGTAGAACAGTTTCTGATAGAGCGGAAAGTGCCTGAACGGGACCGCGCTACCCAAACCCTTGTGTATGGCATTGTATAAACTCTTCTTCATGGTCGGATCGTCGAGAAACCCGTAGCTTTGACCGAAGCAGTACTCGGTGATGACGTCGGTCGCGAAGCACGAGATGGCATCGACGACGGGCAACGGCCTGCCCGTCCCAGCCCACGTCTCGACGTTCTTGTAGAGCTTGACGATGTTTTGCTTGATGAGTGGCTCGAGCTTCATCACCATGGGCCTGGAGAAGAGGCGCTGGAGCGGTGCACGCCGGGTACGGTGGAGGTCATGAGTCAGGGAACCGAAGTATGTCTGCAAGGACGGTCAGTAATACCACCTGGAGATCGTTGCAACCGATGCATATCTTACGCCATCGAAGCTGGGGCGAAGTTAGCGAATGACAAACATTGCTTTTTTGGCCTGAACTCACTCAAAGGGCGCTGTAAACCAAGAAGATATTCCGCGCTTGGAGTTCCACGAATAAAGTGTGTCAATAAACTTGGGGTCTCGAACATGAAGCTCATCCGGGTTGATGCGAATGATTGGGCCTGGTACATGGGATCATCATTGGCGTCATGTTCACTCTCTGGAGCGTGACGTTGCAGATAAGTACCTACCATATTTGTCATGAAGCTTCGATAGTGTTTCCGTGTATTCCCCAAATCTAACAAAATCATGGTAGGTCTCATACCAGTACGTCAATCCCGCCAGCTTGGGTCCTGGAAACTTTGCGATCGGATGGAAGAAAAGGCGGTAAATCGCGCGGCACAGGATCCACAGCGCCAGAGGCAAAGCGAGTGCTAGGTAAGGATGCTGAGCGAGGAAGCCTGGGAGTGGAGCCTCCACAGGCAGCGTTATTTTTGCAGGGACTCTCATGATGGGCGACAGCTGCAGCACAATCGATCAAAACGAGAAGCTGGCATGCAGGACTGAGTCGAGATGCGACCTCTCTCAAGATATATGAGAGCATTTCACACAGCCCCCGCTCTCTATGACGAGATTTTCCTCTATCATTCCCTTGATCAAGGTTCCAAATCCGCCGCTAACTTGATGACTCCATTCCATCCGTATTCTGAGGTTGCACAGAGATGCTGACTGAGGGTCCATTGCAGCCAATGTCAAGGCACGAAATTTCCAATCGCCCACTTTCCAACATCATATGTTGAGGATGGCCTAGGGTTGCCTGGAGCGGGCATGCTGCTGACATGCATTGTCACAAAAAGTAAATTAAGTATGGTGGATGTAGGGCTGGCGAAAGTGGGTTTTTGACGCGTTTGGTGGGGTGTACGTGGGTCCGACTCAAGAGAATCGCCTTGGATACGATGCGACAGGCCAATAGCAAACGGTAAAATGAAAGCCGAGAGATGTACCGCGCATTTGATCCCTTCAGGTTGATACTGCACAGCCGGCGGCCCGCTCCGTATTGGTATGGTGTAGTTTCTTGATCCGGATGCACGCCACTGCCGCCGGGAGCCGATCGCGGAGAATTTTCCCCACGCGGTGTGATGGGTACACCAACACGAGGGTTTAGGCAGCGGGAGCCGAGGGTATCCCTGCATTTTCTTGATGAGGAAGCAGTACGCAGATATTAGGGTGTAGTCGAGTATAGCATTCTTGCCCTAACGTATAACAATAAGTGTTACACCAAGCCAACCAAGGAGACGCAAAGACGGAGCACAAAACCTGCTTGACGTAAAAAGGGTACATGATCTAGGCGCGAATGGAAATAATGCCGAGAGATGCCGCCCGTGGGGAGTTATACAGTATCCGAGAAAACATTACGTGTTGCGCAGCGAAGAAAATTACATAAGGGGGCAGTTTGGCAGCCAGGACTGCTTGCTCTTCAAGTGAGCTCGTAGCGCTTCTTGGGCTTCCTTGACCGGGTTGTAAAGCCAGATGTAGGCGTCAACGTCTTCAGGCAGCTGTCCGTTGGGCACAAACTTTCTTAGATTTTCTAGCCTTGTGTCGGGATCGACGCCGGCGAGCACGCCGACCTCAGATGCGCATTTCAACGTGACGCCTCTCTCATATCTAAGCTTGTTGTAAAGTTCCAGGCGCTCGGGAACGTCTTTGACAGTAGCATCCGAGGTAAGCAGCTCGCCAAGACATGCAGCGTCCTCGATACCCTGGACGGCGCCGGTAGCGTGCGTCGGGTGCAGGGGATGCGCAGCGTCGCCAATCAGGACGAGCTTACCCTTGACGAAGGTCTTGGAGATGGCACGAGCGGGAAATGCCCAGTGCTTAAAATCTTCGCCCAGGTAGATGAGCTCCTTGAAGAACTTGGGATGGTCGTAAAAAATGTCAACCACCTCGTCGGGACTGCTCGTGGCGTGCCAGTCCATGGTTGTCAAGTCGCGCTTGGCGATTTTGGCAGGAAACAGGAGGCCAAAGTTCAGGTAAGAGCCCTTTCTTGCCGTGTAGATGACTGAGACAGAGCCGTTGGTGCCGCGAAACGAGACATGGGAGTCGGGAAACTTGTGCTCGTCGAGAAACTGGGCGGCCAGGGGGTTCTGGCGAGCCTTCTCCTCGAGAACGAAAAAGCGAAAAATATTGACACCGGCGCGCGTTGGCACGCACTCGGGCCCGGCAATGGCCTGCACCGTCTGCGAATGGATTCCGTCTGCGCCGACGATTACATCGCCGCGGTGGAGCGTGCCGTCTTTCAGGGTGATGGTGCCGGCGTCGGGATCGACCGACTGAACGCCTGAAGATAGGTGAAGGCGTACATTCGGGTACGACAGAGCCTTTTCCCGCAGTGCCGAATGCGCGTCAACCCGGTGGCACATTACCTCGTCGCCCTCGAAATGGAGCTCGCGGCGGCGGTCCTCCAGGATCTGGAGCTGGCTGTCAGCATTTGAGCACGGACGGGCGGATGCAGGCTCACATAGCGGTCGGGCATGGGCTCCATGACCTCGTCCTTGACGTGGTAGTTGTACCATCTCTCGACCTTGCAGGCCTGGAAGTCTCTGTAGGCGTCGAGGCCCCATCGCGGGAAGACATAGGCGGTCGTGGTCGGGCCAAAGTGCAGGGCGGCGCCGACTTCGTTGGAGAAGGCAGAGCGCTCGAAGAGATGGACCTCATGGCCGTTGCGAGCGACAGCGATGGCGGCAGAAAAGCCAGCGAGACCGGCTCCGACAATCAGGATCTTGAGCGGCATGCTTGCAGACAAAGCAATTCGCCGGAGAAAAAGCTGGGACTGCTGGCACCGGGAAACACACTGTCGGGACTGGTGCACGACTTATCTACCTCAGGGGGCCAATGCTCTCCCTGGGCAGGCGGGGTAGGCGCAGCCATGCTATCGCAGCGACTGCCAATGGCTGTGTGTCGAGCATGGATGGGGCGTTACGCGGCGTCGAGCAGTGAGCGGCGGCGCGCGGGACGGAGCGGTCGTGAAGGTGGAGCCCGCGAGCCCAGGCTCTCGCTTGTGGCCGGGAGAGCTAGCTAACGAATGCTGGGGCCCAGCAGCCCGGCTCTTGCGCGGCTCTCCGCGACGCGTTTCTTTTGCTGATTGCTTCTTCCGCTGTTGCTGATGCCACGCTTTCTGCAGCTCGCTCTCACGCCAGCGCCTCGGGTTCGGCGCATGGCTGGGTGCGATGGCTTGCATGTATGCTGTCCGCCCAAGCCAGCCTCATTTCGGTACCTCGGGGGCACAGCAGCCGCCTCCGCTATTGGCAGAGCGGCAAGTGGAGCGCTGCCAACGGCTGCTATTGCACCGATCACTTGCCAGACAAGGCATGCCAAGTCCGACCCAGTCGCCGCTTCCCTAAAAAACGGCCTCACGCGAGAGCCACAGCGGCACAAACAGCTGAGCGCCATGTGATTGACAGCGTGAAACGTCCCGCTGCAGCCGTCCTATACTCACCGTTAGCAGCTTAACCCCGAGAGATACCGCTCACCTGATGCCTGCCCCTGGAACATCCACACACGCTTCCCGTCCCCGCAAACAAACTTTACGTCCTCCAAGCCCACGAGAACACATGGTCGCTCTCAATCTCTGACAGTCAGTCTCACCGCAGCCAACTTACCACCGTCCCCGGATCATCCTGGCTGTCCTGCTGGTCGTATCATACGGTTCTTGCAGCTCCGCTCTGTGCCGCCTCGCCCTGAGAGTCATCTGCTTGCTGGAGCCAACCGTCTGTGGCAAGTCTGGAGGCGCCGTTGTCGACCGGATGGCGCTCGTTTATGCGGCACGTCCACATTAACAACGGCAGTGTTGCACAACCGGCCCCAAGATGCTGACATGTGGCCCTACCGCCATATTCTACAACGTCGGCAGAAGGTCGCCGGAATCCGAAAAAGCACCCCTTTATCGGCACCTTAATCCGCCGCACCGGCAATAAGCCTCGTCGTCCCGGTCACAACTGAAACACGGCGTTGAGTCTATGGTTGTCGCGGCATCCCGACGTTGCCACGCCTGCCGCTGCGTCAATTCGGCTTACTCAGGCATCCCGCTCATTTGCTAGCCCCGCAAATACTCCTGAAAAGGCAATACTCCAAACACGAATCAAAGGCTTTGCTTTTTCAGAACTATGTCATCACAGCGGTTTGATCAGAGATTAGCGGTTTTGAGGTGGCCAGAGCGTCACGAAAAGAATCTCAGATACGCGCACATGGGGAGATGATGAACCCATCTGCCACGTCCCCACCATCATCTGACGTGAGCGTGGTGGCTTGGGCATTAATCTATCCAAAACCCTTGTTCCCGGGAAACTCACTAGTTCGCCTGACGCGCTAGCAACCACCACCTCCCCAGTAGTTCTGTGCCATGCTCAGCCCTAGGTAAGCTTTATGCGAAGCATTCACCATTGCAGATCCCAAGATGCTCAGCCTGTGATTCGAGGAAGAAGCTGTCGGCATTATGGGAGCACCGAGGGAGGAGGGGAAGGTGGTGACTAAGTGCACCAACGAAACCTCCGCTGTTGAGTGGACGGGGGCCTCGTTTTGGAGCCATGTGGGATGGCTCCGCTTTTCTTTCAGCTTCCCCTCTCATAACGTCTTTTTCTCATCAAAAGGAAAATCATTGGGCAGCATGAGAATCAACATACTTTTGATGAAGCCGAAGTGTTGGGAACAAGTTTGCGTCAGGAGGCTTCATGGTTTTCTCCTGACGTAAGAGGAAACCTGACTACACGCCATGCTGGTTCACTGCGCAAAGAACGAATGTGCAATATGTCTACTCGATGGCGGGCGTTTCCGTAGTCTGTTCTATTGGAGTGCTGGAGATGCACCTGAATCTTATACGCCTTCTCCTGAATGTTCGAGACTTCATGGTGATGGAGAACACAGTTGGACTAATACCTTCAGCTTTAAAGCATACGAACACGGGCAGATGACGCTACCGTCTGGACACAATGGATGCGGGATCTTTATATGGATAGATTATTTCAGTCTCCCATATTTGCGACATATGATGGACCGAATTTCCACAGCTATACACTGTAGTGCTCATCGTCCTCGGTGCATCCGCCCGGGGTCCGCAGTGCTACACTTCTCAGTACACTGGCCATGAGGCAGAAAGTTTCCTGACGCACCAAAGCATTTGATCATGCTTTGTAGACGCCTTCGCTGCCAATTGTTCGTCTTCTGAAACAGGCGCTCCTTCCGTCTCCGCGTTCCATCACCCTCGGGTCTAGAACAAGTCGTTTCCACAGAGCACACCTGCTTACCACACCCTGATGCGCCCACTCCTCCAACTCACCACCCCTAAATGATAGGGTCTGTTTTTCATGGCTTCGAACTACGCTCTCACATTCCCGCTCTTCTAGCTGTTAGATACCGACATCGTCAGATATTCGAAAAGCTGGATATGAAGAAGACCAGAATCAAGAACAAGTTCGTTGAGTGGTCGAACGGCATGATGAGCTAGTGGCTATGAAATTGGCCATACCTGTTACATCGTTAGACTGTTGATCAACTCTCAGATTTGCCAAATACGTTGGAAAATGGATTTGTTGATGATGCTTACAATTGATTTCTGATGGTGGGCGGAGTCCAGGGTCTCAATCAAAAAGAACCCTTGTAGTCAATAAAATGATATTGGGGCAATTTTCCATGGTGAAGGCTAGAGAGATCTGCTTGACGGGCCGCAGTGGGTCACTCATTAACCGTTGCTGCAGATCATGGGTGGTGGGGGCGGATCGTCAGTCATGGCGCTATTGAAAGTTCAAAAGCAACATCTTGCCACCTTAGCGCCTATGTCGAGAGGACTTGAGGAATTGATCATTATTTGCCCAATGTAAGAGCAAAAAATAATTGATGCGATCGCCAGTGCCTCTATATCTTCGAACAAGAGTCCTCCGGAATATGATCTCTTCTCAAGCCATAAAGCTACTCAACGAACCTTGCTGGGATAATCGGATGGGTCAGGAAGCTTAGTCAAACACTTAGGATGCAATGCGGCCAGGTCCAACCACAGTAAACTTGGTGTCACTCGCTGAGTTTGTACTTCCCATAATAGGCATTGTAGCATGCGATTGAAGTAGGACATTTTGTTATTCGTAGATCATTCATAGAATAATCTCGACAATAATGATTTGGCTTCCACAGTCCCAGAATACCTTGATAACCTCGAAACACCAGGAAAGAATGCCCAACCGATTACACATATGACGTCATATCTCGTTGCATAAAACAGAGCACCAGAACTTTAACCACCCTGCCTGGCCTTCTCAGCGCAGATCAAGGCGATGACTCTGCTCAGCTCGGCGCTCTGGGCGAACTGCTCCTTCTTGATTTCCTCGGAGATGGACTCGTCCTTGGAGAGTTCGCTGCCGAGTTGCAGCATGCGGTTCTGCAGAGCCAGCATCTTCGACAGGGTGTTGTCGAGGAAAGGCGCAGAGAAAGAGACCTGGTCGGGTGCAGAGTTCTGCAACCGGATCTCAAGCTTCCGCGGCTGCTTCTTGCCGTTGACAATGGTCTGTTCCTGCACCGCCGGTGCGGGAGCACTGTGTGACGGAGTTTTGTCAGCAGGGAGAATTAAATGGAGACGGGACGGGTAGTTGCAGTTGACGTACGCTTGGGGACGCTCGATGAAAGTCATGTTCTCGGCCATTTCAGCGACACGGTTGGCGATGCGGGCGGCCATGATTTCATAGGCGGATGGCCTGCTCGCCGCAACGGCCGGGGCGGCCGACTTTGCGTGCGACTTGCGCAGGGCGGTCGTCTGCTTCTGGAGTTCTGTCGACGGCATGTTGAAGGTTGGTTGGAAGAGGCAGAACGGAAAGAAGAGAGATCGGGGGTAAAAGATTAAAAAGGGTACAACCGAGATCGAGGGCGCTCTTCGGGGTGGAGAAGCAGGGAAAGGGGGGCGAGCGAGTGGCTGAAAGTGGAGCGGCGTCAGCAGTTGTGTCGCAGGCAAGCTTGTTTGACCCCTGCAACACTGGCGTCATCGCGCTTCGCGTGCGCCACAGCAGCCCGCATCCATCCCGGCCGGGCTGCTCATCACTTCCTCGCCGCTCCCAAGTGCACACGACATGTCGCCGTCGACGCCGCGGTCCCGGATGTTGCGAAGATAAAGAAGTCGTGAGTGCGACGCTCGTGCGGTGGAGACGAAACGGCCGAGCTAACGTGATCCGGCAGTGCGCGATGCCTTCGACCGCAACCCCCTCCGAGCGGAGGGACAAGCACAATCTGGGCGCCGGCCTCAACCTCAAGAGTCCAGACATCGAAAACCACCCCTCAGGACCGCCCAAGCATGGACAACTCGGCCAGGCCGAGCGCGGCGTGTCCATCGCCTCGACCTTTCTGTCTGGCGTTCTGGCGTAAGCACACCGCCTTAACCCGGAGAATTTGTTTACTCACGATATCCTCAGCATCAATGCCGCCCAATTTATCGGTCTTCCTTTTAAGATGATCGACCCCAAGTTCTACAACGACTACATAGCCTTTACTAAACAGTCGTTTGCTGTCCTGATCACCACTCTCACCCAATGGTGGTCTCCTACCAAGGTCCATGTTAGCGGCGATGGGAGTATCCCCAACCAACTTTTCCTGAAGCCTGATGGCAGCCTCGAGTGCAGATTTCCGGACCGGATGGTTCTCATGGCCAACCATCAGCTCTACACTGATTGGTTGTATCTCTGGTGGATAGCTTACACCAACAAGATGGCCGGCCATGTCTACATCATTCTCAAGGAGTCAATCAAGAACATCCCCCTGATCGGCTGGGGCTCGCAGTTCTACAACTTCATCTTCCTAGCTCGCAATTGGGAGAAGGATAAGCCACGTTTCCAAGAACACCTTCAGCAACTCGATAATCCGAAGGACCCAATGTGGCTCATCATCTTCCCTGAAGGTACCAATCTCTCGGCCACTACTCGCGAGTCGAGCGCGAGATGGGCGGAGAAAAATGGAATCAAGGACATGCGCCACCAGCTGCTTCCACGAAGTACCGGTCTGAAGTTCTGTCTGGAGAATCTGAAGGAATCTACCGAATGGCTTTATGATTGTACCATTGCCTATGAAGGCATTCCGTAAGCCTTCCAAGTCCTCTGTTTCTGCATCATGCTGACTCATTCCAGCCACGGGCAATATGGTCAAGACATTTACACTCTCCAATCCTCTTTCTTTGAAGGTCGCCCTCCCAAATCTGTCAACATGCATTGGCGCCGCTTCCGCATCTCTACCATCCCGCTGCACTCGGACAAGGCCTTTGAAGCCTGGCTGCGCAACCGCTGGAAGGAGAAGGACCACTACCTCGACTACTACCAGCGCCACGGCGCCTTCCCGTCCGCGGACCCGTGGAAGGCCTCCTCATTCGCCGAGATGCAGAAGATTCGGCCGGCCAGATCGATCGCAGCGCAGGTCCAAAGCGGCAGCTGGGGCGAGTTCCTGGCCATCTTCGCCCCGATCACAGCCTTCTTGACGGTATTGTTCCTCTTCTACGGCGCTTCCGTCACCGAGATGATTGGCACAGGCGCGTCTGACATGCATGCTCGAGTCAAACAGGCCCAGCGCGAGGGCAAACTGCAGCCCGACGGTGGCCTGCCCCCCTCGCTGGCGAAGAAGGCGCTCAAAAACGCCCGCGCCGCGGACCCCAACTACATTCCGCCCAGTGATGCCGGCACCAGCACCAGCGTCGGCAAGCCGCAGTATGGCGAGTGGGATGCGATTCGCAAGGCGCTGGCTGAGAAGAACCTGGAGGGCGTCAAGTCGTTCGCCCCCAAGGCGCCCTCGACGGTCGACTCAGTGTCCGGGCACCGCTCGTTTTCTCAGCCTACAAAAAAGGCAACGGCCACCGCACCCACGACAGCGCCGTCGTCAGGTGCGGTGAAGAAGGCCAAGGCCCCGGCCCCCCTGAAGTTGGACACGTCCAACGACGCACTGACAGCGCTGCTGGAGCGCAACCTCGGCAAGGCCCAAAACAGCAAGCAGGTTGCCCAGCAGACCATCAAGCTTGCTAACGGTCAGACTATCCGCGCCAACGCGCCCGAGACGACCGAGGTGAAGAAGACCGGAGGTGGCCCCGTGAAGCTGGCCAATGGTTTGACGATCGGTGCCGAGACGAAAGGGACACCATCTTCGCCCGTCAAGTTGGCGAACGGTCTAGCAGTGGGTCACCAGCAGCAGAAGACGTCGTCACCTGCCCCGAAGACCACCACCCCGGCCAAGAAACCGTCCGGCGTCGCGACGCCGAAGCCACTGAAGAAGGCAGCCCCACCGGTCAAAAAGACGGCGCCGGCGCTGACGTCGACGGTCTTGCCAAAGGACAGCAAACCACCGCAGAAGATCGGTGGTGGGACTGCAACCTCGACGACCAAGACGCCGTCGTTGGCCAGTGGACCGACTAAGTCATCAACAGCGAGCATAGCAACGCCTGCTGCGCCACCGTCAGCGGCCGGTAAGAAGGCGGCAGCGGCGGTGGCTCCGGCCGTGAAAAAGCTGGCGCCGGTTCAGGGTCAGAATGGCGCAACGACGGCGCCAACGCCTAAAGCTACTACAGCCCATCAGGATGCGGGAAAGCCGAAGATCCCGTTGGTCGTGCAGGAGGCGAGCAGAGGCCCGAGGGAGAAGGTTGCGCCGAGAAAATTGGATGCTGTGAGGGCAAGGAAGGGCTAGAGAGCAGTGATTGGTTAGGTTTCCTGGGGGGAAAAGTTACGTGGAGTACTACTACTTTTTCTTCTTTCTTTGGGCGGAGGTGCAGCGAGGGTTACGGCTGAGTTTCTCCGTACTATTTGTTCTACGATACCCGTTTTTCTAGTCCGCAGTATTTTGCATAGTCCTCGGATCAACGGTCGTTCAATTAATAATGTTTACGTCTTTGCTATAGCGAGCTGCGGCTTCTATTGATATCGAAATAGATAAAATAGAAGCAACACAACAACAACCTCGGTGTCAAAATAGCCCCAGCCAATCACCAGCCTTGGGAGCTTCTCCCCGTTGCTGCAAGGGTGGATCCCTGCCCAACCCCAGCACCGAGCACCAGCCACAGACGACCCGCGCGCGTGCGCCGACGCCCACTGACATCACAGACCTCCAGACCGGTCGGACCACTGTCGCTTGCCACACAACCTGTTGTGGGACCCATCATTTCCCCCCCACCAAGCAGGTTCGCAAATGGGGTGCGCGTGTGTATGTGTGGCTACGTCAAGTGTGGTAACTGCTCTCTCGCCCCCCCATCCTCCCCGCACTTGATAGACAAGTCGTCGATAGCATGACCGGTTGCGGGCTGGTGGCATTGACGCAATAATTTGCCGTGAGACAAGGGTTCGAGCTGGTGGAAGCAAGTAGCTTGATCCAGGTGGGGTGTGGGTTTCTCGTCTGTGTAGCGGGGAAATCCTGATAGGAGGGCGATCTTGGATTTTTTTCGCCACGATCTCTCTACTCTCCTTGTCTTTTGATCGTCTTGAACACATCTCCCGTTCTTCCCTCCCCATCTTGATCTGTTCTCCACCGCCACTTCCCCCCTTATACACTACCGTGCGGAGCGACACTTGCTCGCCTTTCTTTGATTGAGAGAAGGGGAAAACGAACAGAAACACTTACCCCGGATTCCGATCACGTCATTCCGTGGAGAGGGTTTCTCGCTTTTACACTTTTGTCGTCGGTGGTTTGTTGCGGCTGCTGTTCGTCGAAACACACCGCTCCACAGCCTTCACGATTCGAGTTTTATTTCTAGATCCCGACTCGCTCTACTCGTCCACGAACTTGCAATTCTTTCTCGCCATTTTGATTTTTCGAATTATCTGAGTGGGAAAGATCCACAGCACCAGCAACCATGGCAGGCTTCATCCAAAACTACGTTATGGGCATGGTGCAAAACGCAGCCGCAGGCGCCGCGACCTACGCCATCACGACGGGCGGCCGGGTAGTCGGCGATGCCGTCATCGGCGCGGGCGACCTGATCGAAGGTGCTGGACGGAACGTTGGCAACGGTACGTACCTGTTGCTGTCCTCCTCTTCCCACCATCATCCCACATCTATTAGGATGATAACCACCTCATACTAACCTATCAACTTTCTACAGGCATCGAAGGCTACATCGACCGCTACGGCAACTGGATCCGCTCCTACGGCGACTCGACCATCGCCGCGACGGCCGCCTCGTCCAGCACCCCGGTCAAGCCTAAATCGGCAAAGGATGGCGGAAAGAACAAGAAAGCTCTCCCCTCGACCAAAACGCCCAAAGCCCTACCCGCGCCCCCCGGCGGCAGCGGCGGTCGGCCGAACCTGAAGAAGTCAAACTCCGACTCCAAGTCCCCGCTCTCCTACTACGACACCACCACCAAGGCGCTGCCCACCTCGGGCGTCAAGAAGGCGCTGCCGCCGGCGACGGGCGGCATGGACGGCTTGAGCAAAGGGCAGCTGGCGAAGCTGCGGGGGATCAGAGCGGAGGATCTCAAGAAGGGGACGAATGGCGTGACGAAGGGCGTCGGTGGAGGTGTGAATAAAGGCGTTGGCGTCGTTGGTGGAGGTGTGAATAAGGGTGTAGGTGCCGTTGGCGGAGGGGTGAACAAGGGAGTCGGTGCCGTCGGAGGCGGCTTGAACAAGCTGGGCCAAGGTGTCGTCGGTGGAGTAGCGAACAACAACAAGAAGAAGAATACGACGGCGCCGAGCGTGGCGGGCAGCGAGGCCGGCTCGAAGAAGGGCGATTCCGGCCCCGGCAAGCCGTACGTTGCGAACGTAGCGGGTAACGGGCCGACGGGGACGAAGAAGCAGCAGCAGCAGTCGGGGAAGCCGTCGACAGGCGGGGCACTGAATCAGCAGTATCCTAAGCCATTTTCGACGAAGAGGCCGGATGGAAAGGTGGTGATCGCGCGTGAGTCAAAGCCCGGTGCGGTGAGGACTGGTGGAGGAGGAGCGGGGCCAGGCAGAAAGGAGGGCGGCGGTGGTGGTGGGGGCAAGAAGGATGAGAAGGGTGGGTTTGACTTCATGAGGATGTACGCAGAGGATCCCAAGAAGAAGGGTCCGGGCAGCGTGGCCGGAAGCGTGAAGACGAACGCATCGGCAGCGAAGAAGAAGACGGCAGCAGCAGGCAAGGGTGGAGGTGAAAAGCAGGAGACCAGCGGAAAGTACGACTTTTTCTGAGGTGTGGCCCGACGAGCGAATGAGGTTCACGATTTACGCGACTATTTTCTTCAATGGCGTTTAGTAGGTAGGCAGCATCTCCACAATGGAAGGAACGCACATCTCGGTAAATTAGTGGCCGCGGTTTCCACTCTCCACAACATTGACTCGCTCCACGCATGCGGAGAGAAGCTCGACCGATCGAACAACTCCATCTGGAGCCTCACTAGCCAGCTGGTCGGCGATGTGCATGAGAGCGGTGAAGAAGGCGGGCCCACACCAACACGGTGCCCTCCCGTCGACCTATACAAAACATCGCTACTTCGACCATGACAACGACTGCAGAGACGCCGATCGCAGAGGCCCACGCCGTGAGGCCACCACGGCGTGTGCGCGCTGCGCCGATTCGCCCACGCCGCGGCGATTCGACCACACGCCGTCCACGTCTGCCGCCGTGCCGCACACCCGCATCTCGGCCGCCCCGGAAGATACCCACTGTGCCCGCCGCCGACCAAACACCGCGAAGAACAAGCGCGCCGGCTCCCAGCACGCCGGTAACGATGCATAAAGCGCGCCCGCGGCCAGGCCTCGCCATGGGGCTGAGCGGGGCGGCTGAACGCTGAGCCTCGCTTGTTTATTTTCGTCATGGTGCCATGCGGCGAAGAAGACGGCGAAGGCTCTAGCGTGGGGCACAGCACGACTCCAAGCAACTCACCCCGACGATGAATTTCGAGTAAAATACTCCTTTCATCCCCCCTCGCCAAAGCACGGCCCGGACACACAGCCCGTTTCCGCCAGACGGGAGATGACGCTGAGCCTCGCGCTTAACTATCACGCCGCAGTTGGAATGCCGACGGCATGGAACACTTGGTCCGTTCGTCGCACGTTGATATGCAGGCCTCGTTGTTGCCTTGTGGCCGCGGTGGAGTGCCTGCAGCTGGGCGGCAAATCGACGTGACGATTCCCGGTAGAAGGGCCATGTTCCTGGATGTCGCCCTCTGTCGATGCATGGTCGCCCGTGCGGCATCTTGTCACATTCCGGCCTGTTGACATCTGGGAAAGGGTATATTTCCTACTATTTAACTCACCAACAGCCCCCATCTTGACTGACCTCGCTACGGCACATTAATCTGTTTCAGCCTGCGCATACTCTTGAATATAAAGGCTTCGTAAACATACGCCCTGTCACACATACTTGTACCATAATCAATACACCTTACTATTTCCTTCCCTCTCTTTAATTTCTCGTGTGCCATCCTCTCTGTCTCTTTGAATAATGACGAGCCGGTTTTCCATCTCCACAACCAGCTCCTCATCGACCTCCTCCACCTGCTCCTATTCACCACCAGTCTCCCCGGACCTTCCCACCTCATCAACACTCTCCCCCAACGCCTACCAGTCTCCCACCTCTCGCTGGCCAGCCCTCTCCAAAGACGGCCTCCCTCGCTCCTCAGCCAGCAGCCTGACTCGTCCGCATCGCTTCCACTCACTCGGAACGATGACGCCACCCACGAGGAGCCCTTCGCCGCCCACACGATCATTCACGCCTCCTTCAGGTACCGCCGCCACCACCACCTCAGCCTCAACCCACCCAACACACCCGGCGGCTACGTCAGCAGCACGACGGTCTTCGCCACCCTCACCAGAGCTCGTCAGCAGACCCCTTCCTCCTCGTAACGCCCTCGGCTTGGTCGAGCGCGGCGGCAGCAGCAGCACCGCAACCAACAACAAGCGAAGCAAGACCGCCATCGTGCGCATGGGCAGGTCCATGGGCAGGGGCCTGCGGCAGTGCTCCGGCTTCTTCAAGCCAAGGCCGGACGACCCGGATGACGTCGACGAGGTGCCGAAGCCGGTGCATTGGTCGGAGAACTGAAAGGTGTGTCGTCGTTCGTTGGGCACTGGGAGAGAGAGAGGGGGAAGAGGGAAGAAGGATGTCATGATGATGGGATGGTTATGAAAGGAAATGATGCGTGATGAAATAGGGCTTATGTATGTACTTGATGGATGGTGGGTGGGTGGTTTTTTGTCGTTCGTTTTGCTTGGGCGGTTACTCTGAGCGTTCTTCTTGTTACGGTGGGCATTTAGATTGGCGAGGAGGCTTCGTGGGAAAGATGCCTCCGCTCACACAACTCACTGACGTCTGTGGTTCCTTTGTCGATCCTCTTAGACTGTGTGCTTACTATTCTGATAACCTTCCTTCGGAATATCACTTTGGTGAAGACGTTGTTGTCTTCTGGCTACCGGAGTTTGGCGATGGAACTCGTCATCGCAGACCAATCATTACTAGCAATATCATTCTACCTTGATGAATGTTAACTGTTCTTCAAGATGAATACAATCGGATTTCTCAGGCTAATTTGCTGCATCGTCAAGATCAACAGTGCGACCGAGGATGAACTCGTCGAATCCACGTTGGGCGCAGTATGAAGAATTGGTCCATCGTACTCCACAGCCCACCGGGCTCTTCCCCGAAGGTTGACTTAAAGGGCCGAACCTCACCAATCTCTACCTCTCTTAAATATCTGAGAATCAGATCTCCTAATGCAGCCAGGTGTCCGCCAAGGCTTACATGAGGCATGGTCATGCGCCACCTCAGCCCGCCGCAGCTTCTTCCGCAGGCGCATGACGTGGGCAGCGGCTCCAGACGAGGTCTTCTTAAATGTAAGGTTTCTTCCACAGTCAAGTCTCGTAGCTGCAAACGATGAAATGAGACCGGAAACTGAAATATGTTTTTCGGCATACTCTTGTGCGTGGCGGTACTTCGGCAGGTTTGGACTACGGCGGATGTTAAGTCAACGACTACGGACAAAGTTAAAGAAGTAGGTATACGATAATACTCGATCTCAACAAAGGATATTGATGCTGTTGTTCAATATTAAACTTCTATGCAGTCTTTCATCATGAAAGAGCGTGGGGAGACATGGAATAAAAGATTAATGATACTACCTGCAAAAGATCAACAACTCTTCCAAGCACAGGAGACGCCAAAGCCAGAACAAAGTGTCTTTTATTATCTCCATGATCAATTGCACATCCGGGTTGCTTTGATGAGACATTCAAGGACTCCGCCTTGATTATAAACTTCTCCGAGCCAGACCCTGATTTTGGCGAAGCTGCTGATATGATGAGTAACGTGCACCTCATCCAAATAGAAGCTGCGCACCTGATGCGGGCGACCGCATGCCTTCTGGTCCTCTGATCTGGTCCTAGCGTCACGAGGTCAAAAACGCTCGTACGCGTAGGCACATACCTGTTGTGGACTCATCGAGTGTATAAATTACGCAGACCCCCAAAAAGAGCTTCGTGGAAGCCAATTATACAGCCATGAGCTTGGAAGAAATATTTCACTGTCTAAACAACAGAGGACACTTTCTGCGGCGGCCCGCCGACAGACTCAGACAGTGACAAGTACTGCGTGAGCGAAGGAAGGCGAAGTGGAAGAGGGAGACCAGCTCTATTGCCAAAGCTCAGCAGAACAGTGTTGATGACCTCCAATATTAAGTTGCCTATACTGCCCTGCATCATTCCGAATTGGTGCTGGGTATAGCGATAGGAAGGATCAATGGCATGGCTGGTAGTAAAGCCGTGGGTCTACATAGTGCAAGACGCCAAAGGGGAAAAAGAAAGTGTTCAGTATCCGTACAGTGTCCATTCGGCGCTGTGATTAACTCAAAAATCCTGGCCTGAATTGATGAGTCCAGTTTTTCCAAAGAACTTATAGTGCTCATATTGTTCTTCGACCCAAGCACTATCTCGGCGAGCTGTTCAACTGACGCATCGCAAAAGGGGTATGGCACGTGTAGAGGAGGTACACCTGATGCATGTGAAGCGCATGCGGTGTTTCTGACCTTTGAGGCTCAACTCCTGGTCGATGTGTCCAATAGCGAACTGCACCTGCATGAACATGCATTGCCGTCGATGGCTCTTATACTGATGTGGGCCTCACAACTGCATAATACAACTCAAAAGATGACAACACCTGAAGTTAAACTATCTGCTCTCGACTACATAAGATACCTAATAACAAAAAGCGAATAGAAGCGAGAGAAACAAAAGATTCTCCCAAGATATATAACGCCCAAACAACAGCCAGATGAAATCCAAGCCAGGCCGGAGCCAAGCTCTTAGCCTAGCCCAGCCCAGCCCAACTCGGATATTCCATGCTTTTTTCCCCCGGCTGTCTCTGATGCATGCAACAACAACAACAATTGACTCTTTACCACCCTTCCCTCCACCGCCTCCCCCAACCACCACCACAAATGAATACCGTACTCGCATAACCCATCTCATTACAAAGGCATTACCGGTCGTCCTCTTTCCTCCCCCCCACTCTCCCTAACCCCTCTAATCTTCAACAAAGTTGAAGGTATCTCTCACTCTTTCGCATCTAGCGACCCGCCTTGCTCCCCCTCCTGCTAAACACGCTCGGCCTCCTCTCGCCCATCGGGCTGCCCCTCTCAACCACCAACCCGCTCGTCTCGATGCCGACCTTGACCTCCAAGATGCGCTGCAGCAAGCCCTGCACGCTGCGCTGCAGCTCGAGGCCCATGTCGCGGTTGAGCAGGCCGACGACGAGGGGCGCGAAGACCTTGACGTGCTTGTCAAAGTCCTGCTCGGGGAACCCGGCGTAGCCGTCGAGCACGTCGATGACGACGGGGCGCCACGTGACGATGTTGCGCTGCTGCGTCTCCTCGTCGAGGTGGATGTAGCTGCTGACGATGTCGACGCACAGCGGGATGAGGGCCTGCTCCGTGTTGGCCCGGTTGAGCCGCCGCTCGCTGCTCGTGTCGTGGTACATGCGGAACAGGATCGACACGTACACGGCCGCCGACCCGCTCTCCTGCTTCAGCAGGTTCGGCGGCTGCCGCATGAAGCCTTCGCGGAACAGCTTGGTGCGCAGCTCGCGGTCCTCGTTGAACCGCTTCGCGAACTGGTACGACTTCTTCAGCAGCATCATCAGCCGCAGCAGCTGCGGCGACGGGATCTGCGCGTACACGTCGTCGTTCGAGAAGAGCTCATTCACCGTCTCGATCATGAGGAGCTGGAGCACGCATTTGGTGATAATCTGGTTGAAGAAGCGTCGGCGAGCCGTTGTCACTACGACCGGCGCTTGCTGGATGCCTTCTTGAGGCTTGTAGTCTTCGAGGTCTGTACGGGGAGAGCCGTTGGTGCCATCGTCAGAGACAGCCGCGGAACCTCGTCGAGGGCTCATGAGGCCGTTGATGCCCAGGGCGTTGGGGTCCTCAATGTCGCTCCTATCATCCGAGTCCAGAGGCAGGTCGGACATGCTGGTCGTATCAGACATTGCCCTCGACGTCTTGGAACCTCCTCCATTGATCGTTGGAGTATAGGATCCGGCCGTAGCCGCGGAGAACAAGGCAGTGGCCTCAGTCCGCTGGAAGAGATCAACGAAAGCGCTCACAATCTTCTCCCAGTGCTCTTCACTGAACTTCGTAACGTTCTGGTGAACGAGCTGCTGAAGACAATTGCTGCCAATTCTAGCAAGGGTATCATTTTCTTGGCAAATGCAAAGAGCCAAGAGCTCAAGGAAACGATCGAGCATGTACTCGAGAGCTTCGAAGAAATGGGTAAAAAGAGCAATCATGTGCCGAAGGGCCTGGATGAAGGTTGTCGACAACCAGACGGTAAGCTCCTCGTGGTTCAAAGCATTCGACATCTCAGACTTCGACCTGAGGACCATGAAGATGGGATAGAGAATTTGGCGCCACAAGGTGTCCCAAAACTCGCGAGGGAAAGCCGCGCCATACTGTTGCAATGTGTCGAACAGGTACGTGAGAGCCCTAAAAAATATCTGTAAGCGGCTTTCTTTTCCAGCTTTCAATTACGGAGCTTACCGTGACCGAACTTCCAAGTCCTCCCCAGTCATCAGAACGTCATGGTAGGCGAACAACACGGGGAACCAGAATTGTTCTTCTTGAGTCTGACGAGTAGGCTGCTTGGGCACGCCAGCAGCCTGGGGCTCATCCTTCGGCTTATCCGAGTCAATGGACAAGGGACATTCGGGTGTCCTGAGCATCTTGGGGACTGTAGACTTGAGAGTCTCGATTGCCTGCAATGATTTCCTCTGGAACTTATGGTTCTTCGAGAACTCGGTCAAGCAGACAACCAAATCAGCAAACGCTCCTTGCGAAATAACGACACCGAATCTAGTATTGTAGACTTGGGTGATGTTGTCGAACGCAAGATTGACGATTCCCTCTGTAGATATTATTAGAAGACCAGTCTAGCATCGTGTGTGGATAAATCTTACCATAGGGCTCCTTCGCGGCCACGGTGAATACGCCGAACATTGTCCGCCAACCACTGCGGATGTTTTCTCCTCTTGCTTGGATCATTTGAATGAGACATCTCAGAACCATATCCTTGACAGGCACAACGCTCGTATTCTTCATGATGTGTTCGAATGGCTTGAGGAAGTCTTTCTGGAACTTGAAACCGGGCAGTTCTCCAATCTCCAGGAATTTCATTGACAGCTGGCGCAGAGAGTTCAAAGCAAAGAAAACCACGTTGGTGTTGGTGTGGCAGCCGACCTGGTTGAAATGTTCTCCCAGAATCTGCCAGATGTTGGTCCACTCGAAACGCACACGGTTCATGTTGTAGCTCGAGATTTCAACCAACTTCTGGAGACTGTAAGTGCGGGGCGACTCGCTTTGACCCGAAGACTGGATCTCTTGCCAGCTGACTTGCGTCAACGCCCTGACGAATTGGACGATTGCTTCACCAGACAAATTGGCAGTATTGGTGAAAATCCTGTCCACTGCTCGAACCATGTCTGCAGAGCGGCTCTCCACAGCTGCTTCTGAGTGATACAGAGCCGCAGTTCCTGACCTTGGCCTGTTCTTGTTGGAAGCTTGGAGAGATTTTCTTGACTGGGTCGAAGCTTTGGAGGACGAAGAATTGCTGCGCATCAGATCAGGTACTGCGGTGTCTTCAATTCCTGCCGAGATGAGCTGGAATCGATCGAGCTGACTGATACACGTAAGGATTTCTCTCCACGACTCCTTGAGGAGATTGCCCTCGTGCTGGGCCACATCCAAGAGTGCGTACAAGGCTTCGATGTTCTTCGCCTTCATCTCTGTCAAGTTGTAGAGATTGGTGAACCGGGACAAAGAGGTCACAAAAGCCTGACGAGGGTCTTCAAGGTCGAAAAGGCAGGCAATGCGGATCGCCAGCTTCTGGCCTTCCATGCAGAGCTTGATAGTCTCGAGGTTGTGGGTGTTTTGAGCCGGACCGGAGAGTGCAGTGAGGAAAGGCATCCATGTTACTTCAAACATAGGCCCAACATGTCTGAAGGAAGAAGCGGGGATGAACTTGGACACAGGGAATCGAGACGGACCTCGTCGTTGTGCCCTCAACAGACTCTTGTAGAGCTGTTCAGTTCTGTTGGCCATTTGCTCGGAAGCTTGGATGTAAGCCTCCCTCTGCAAGTCCCTACCAACATTGGCGAAAGCCTGTCCAATGTTACCAAGTCCGCCCTGGTTGGGCTGTGGCAGCTGGCCCAGATTTGCCGCAGTCTCGCGCTCCGTGTCAAGAACGATCTCGTTGTTGGCGATCTCCTCGTAAATTCCCTTGAGATAGTCATCCGGTAGGTCGGCGTTGTCGTTGATGCCTCGGTTGTTCTTGATGAAGTCTTCGGGAGTCATACGAGCACCCTTCATTTTAGTGCTGTGCTGATCCGTGTTCAGCATGATTACCGAGTAGGCCAGCACGTAAGCCGTGTCTGCGTTGGCAAACGCACTCGGGTTGCCGGCCATGTATCTTTCAGCAAACTTGAGCATGAATCGATCGATCTTTTGCGCCTCTCCCGGAAGTCGGAAGCTCTGAAGGAATCGCCGCAAGGCATCAACGAAACGCGTTCTTGTGAAATCCATCTGATCAACAAAGGCATGCATGATCTTAACGTTCTCCTCATCACCTTCTCCGAGGTATTCACCGAGGGCTTTCTTGTCAATTTGGTCGTTAGACAAAAAGAATCTGGCGATATCCTCAGGAGCATCTGAAGCGATGAATTTGTCTTTGAGTAAGAGCTTCATGCCCTTCTTCGGCTTGTAGTTGAATTGACGGATAGCATGGTTCAAAGCAGTCTTGCGTTGCTTTGCCCTCTCCAGCTGGCTGGGATCATCCTCTGGGACCGGGGTACCCGGGCCATTAGGAGAGTCTATAGCTGGGGAAGCCGTGAGGTTGGCTCGAGTATCCATAGAATCGCGGATGTCCTCAACTGATGCTCTTCCGTCGTTCACACGCAGTGTTGCAGCAGCATCAGAAATGCTCTGCTGAGACCAGTTGACCAGTGACCGGAGGATTTCGACCAAAGCTTCCAGTGATTCTTGCTTCAATGAGTACTCCGGTGGGAAGCCTTGATCCATTTCGTTTCCAGCTTGAATAGAGACAGTTGCAAGCGATGGAGGAAGCGTCGCACGCGTCTGCCAATCAGTCGGGCTAGCTGCTTGTTGCTTTGCATGATGCTCCTGGTATGCCAGTTGTTGTTGTGGTGTGATTGCAACTGGTGTGCTGCATATCCTTGCCAGATGCTCAACGATCTTCTGGAAGTGGTTGTCAAGCGCGGACCTGTCGCAGTCATAGTTAAGATATATTTCCACCAGTGCTCTGGGGTCGCTTCCGAGGCGGTGAAGGATTTGAAGGATATACTGCTTCTGGAAAGCAGGTGCGCTGCGTTTTTCCAGAACTGCCAGGTAGATCTCCTTCATGAAAACCTCAATCTCCTTTTTGAGCATGACTCGCAGCTGATGCAGCATCAACCAGAAGATTTCACAGCTGATTTCGAAAACCTGCTTCAAGGAGCTAGCGCCATTTCGGCTCAAGCTGAGGCAGAGGTATTGCTTAATGGCCTGGACAAAGGTGGTTGGCTCGGCAGTGTTGCTGCTTCTGATGGTGGCGTACGGGGAGACAAAGACAGCGACGTTATTGTGGAGAATTGTGTGGATAATGTGCAGCGACAGCAATTTCGACCTCATGCTCTGAGATCGAACATTCTGAGCCTCTTCAAGAGGAACAGCTTTGGTGCTGAGGCGGCACATGGCGCGGAAGACGAGGTACGCATCCTTGACGTAAATCTCGTCTTCTTCCTCTTCTTCGGTGGGATCTGTGCCCTCTTGGCCATCATTAGAATGCAGTGTGTTTGCACGAGAAAGAGTACGGCGGTTCTTGTTCCGCGTGACGAGCGTGGGCGCGTTATCCGCAATCCTTGCGTCGTCGAAACTCTTGCGATTTTCGAAGCTCTGAAGGGTTATCTTGGCACTCTCGTCCTTCTCCACAGGCAGGTCCGAAGCACCCTCCGATGCTTCAGCTTCGTTCTCGCCATCCCCATTAGCGTCTACACCTCCAATATCGCCGGCCTCCGGGGACACATCGCCAGAACTATTCTTGTGCAGGGATGACTTGGATAGGTTGATCCTTGCTTCCTTTACGCGCAATCTCGACTTCACCCTCTCGAAAACCGTTCCAACCATCTGAGTCAAGGCACCCTGGGCGACTTGCTGATTATTGCTCGATTTCGAGTGCAAAAAGATATTGTAGGTCTGTCGGACAGCCTTCAGAAGACCGGCGCCGTGCACGACGATTTTATCGTTCAATATTGCCGACAGGAGAGACTTGAGGATCTGCAGTTCGATGTCGGCGTGGGTAGCGTCCATCTGGAAACAGTCGCATATCGTGTCGATGGCGCGATCGATAAGAGCGGGCTGTTCGGGAGAGCCGGCGGCTTGCTCGGAGGGGTAGGAGAAGTAGGAGTAGCTAATGAGCTTGCCGATGCAATCGAGGGCAGTGGTGACGACCTGTATCGTGTTCGCCTCAGTGGCCAACTGCAAAGGCTCAAACAAGATCTCCGGGTCAATGGTGGAAGGGTCGCCATCGCCTTTGATGGCTGACAGCGCCTTCTGAGTTGTGTCGGCCAACTTCTTGGTTTTCCGCGCATCCTTTGATGCGGCAATAGTTTCCAACGCTGTTACGACGAAGACGAGCGAACTTCGCGTGGTAGTTCTCGCAGTCGCGTTCGTGGCTGCAGTCGATTGGGAATCGGTGCGCAGGCGGATGGATGGCGACGGCGGTACGGTATGGTCGGAAGACTCGGTCGGTGGGCGGTCCTGCTGCTCGACATGATCTTCCGGTAGCGATATCCTCGGGGGCGCTGGCTGCTCAGTCCGCGGGGATTGGGGCTCGTCTTCGCGAGAGTCTTCGCGAGAGTCATCTTCAACGTTCTCCGGAACCGGCGCAGATGCCTCTGGCGGGGCCGCCTGTTCTGCGGCCTCGAGCTCTTTCTCCTCGCCCTCTTCTTCTATTTCTTCGGGAGCTTGCGTGGGCTCTACGTGCTCTGCAGGCTCTGTATCCGCCGGGGCGGGCGCGTCGACCTCTTCTGGCTGGTCATGCTCGGATTGCGCGGGATGCGGAGCTTGCTCCTCCTCCCTGTGCTCGTCTGACTTGATGTCCTGGTCGTCCCTCGGCGGCTCGCTGTCGGCCATGGTGTCCAATTCGGGGCGTCGTGGAGGATCGCGGAGACAGGTCTCAGCGCATCGCGTGGTTCTGGCGGAACGGCAGCTGGGGCTGCGGGAGATAAATTGTTTGGTGCCTGGGGAGTTCGAAGTGCAACGTGCCAGCTAGTGATGTAAGCCACTAAGTGTCCCTTGGTCTCTATGCGCGGGAGGCCAGGGCTCAGGCCTTGGCGCGGCCACGGCCGGCGTACGTGCTCCGAAGCGGAAGCCCCAGCAAAAGTATTGCGTTGAGCCGCTGTGCAGACAACACCCTCCACCACTCTTCGCTTCATCTTCCTCCACCCCCCAAATAGCCAAGGGTCTCAAGGCTTCGGAGCTGCTCCTCCCTCCGACTCTCCGCCCGCTGTTTTTGCGCCCGTCGCAGCTTCCTTCACCCTCCGACAGCCTGCCCACCACCACCCGCCCGCGCCGCCAACATGTCCGCCGCCGCCGTCCTCTCTCGCAGCTCCGGCCAGTCCTGCCTGCGCGCCGCTGCTGGCCTTCGCGCTCTGCCCAGGTCGCAGTTGTTCTCCGCGTAAGCTTCGCCAATGCTTCTCAATGGCGCTGAAGATTTGCTGACCGGCGGCTTTTCCGCGCTCCAGACGATCGGCGCCCGCTATCTCAGCTCTCGCCCGCTACTATGCATCCAAATGTCCGTCCCGCGCCCTCAACAGCTCTCAATGCGCGAAGCGTGAGCACTGACATGATTTTCCGACAGCTTTCCCCCCGCACACGGTTGTGAGCATGCCCGCGCTGTCGCCGACCATGACTGCCGGCAACATCGGCGCATGGCAGAAGAAGCCCGGCGATGCCATCGCTCCCGGTGAGGTTCTCGTGGAGATTGAGACGGACAAGGCGCAGATGGACTTCGAGTTCCAGGAGGAGGGTACTCTCGCCAAGGTCCTGAGGGACACTGGCTCCAAGGACGTCCCCGTCGGCAGCGTAAGCATAATTCCGGTCCCGATAGCAAGCTCGAGTGTGGGTTGACAGGACAACAGCCCATCGCCGTTATGGTCGAGGAGGGTGCCGACGTCTCCGCCTTCGCTGATTTCACCGCCGAGGACGCTGGTGGTGACAAGGGCGCCGCTGCCCCGGCCAAGGAGGAGTCCAAGCCGGCTGCTCCCGCTCCTTCTGAGGCTCCCAAGCAGGCCGCCCCCGCTGCCCAGGAGTCTGAGTCTACTGGTGCCCGTCTCCAGCCCGTTCTTGAGCGTGAGCCCATCGTTTCTCCCGCAGCCAAGAAGCTCGCGCTCGAGAAGGGTGTCCCGATCAGCCAGGTCAAGGGTACCGGCCCCGCCGGCCGTATCACCCTGGCCGACGTGGAGAAGTTCCAGGCTGCCGCCCCCGCTGGCGCTCCCGCTGCTTCTTTCGAGGACACTCCCGCCAGCGGCATGCGCAAGGTCATTGCCACCCGCATGGCCGAGTCGCTGCGCGAGAACGCTCACTACTTCGTCTCTTCGTCCATCTCCGTCAGCAAGCTGCTCAAGCTCCGTGCCGCCCTGAACGCCTCTGCCGATGGCGCCTACAGGCTGTCTGTCAACGACTTCATCATCAAGGCATGCTCTGTTGCCCTGAAGAAGGTCCCCACGGTCAACTCTTCCTGGATTGAGGAGAACGGCCAGGCCGTCGTCCGCCAGCACAACAACGTCGACATCTCGGTCGCTGTTGCCACCCCCACCGGTCTGATCACCCCCATTGTCAGGAACGTCACTGGCCTCGGCCTTCAGTCGATCTCGGCGCAGGTCAAGGACCTGGGCAAGCGCGCCAAGGAGAACAAGCTCAAGCCTGAGGAGTACCAGGGCGGCACCTTCACTGTCTCGAACATGGGCATGAACGACGCGGTTGAGCGCTTCACCTCGATCATCAACAGCCCCCAGGCTGCTATCGTCGCCATCGGCACCACCAAGAAGGTCGCCATCCCTGCCGAGACCGAGGAGGGTACCGGCATTGAGTGGGATGACCAGATCGTCATCACTGGTTCGTTCGACCACAGGGTCGTTGATGGCGCCGTTGGTGGCGAGTACATGAAGGCTCTCAAGAAGGTCATTGAGAACCCTCTGGAGCTGCTGCTGTAAGCGGGCGTGGCGAAAGTGGATTCAAGCAGCGAAGCCGAGCGGAGCAGAAAAGCTTTCATCGGCAGAGACAGGAATGCGGGAAGGAAATCTTTCAGGAAGGTGGTCTTCGTGGTTCTTGGGTATTTTGTGTAAATCTAACCCAGCTCCGCTAACGTTATCGTGGTGCATTTGGGGTTGTTTGCGAGAAGAAACCCTATTCCCCCAATTATTTCTTCTCTCCTAAGCCTCGAGTTCTAGACATCTGTTTTTTTCTCTTTTGTACGAATCACGTAGGCAGGCGGGCAAATATGCGTAGTATGCGCGCGTTTCTGCGGTTTTTCTGATCTCTCACATGGTGGAGCTTGCTGCATCGTCCTCGCCCGTGTAACAAAAATAGTCATAGTGCCATCTCCATCTTTTGAAATGTCATACCCCAGCAACTTTTAATCCGAACCAGACGCTCTCAATTGGTGTTGTTGTAAGACGAATTTTTTTGTTGGTGAAGATAGGTTCCGACTTCTGGCTTCTTTTCCTGCTTTTTCCGACAGCCTCTGAGTCGGAACGGGCGGCTCGGTAGCCAAATTTAGCAAACTCCGACGCGGCCCGCCCGCGTTTTCGGCGCGTCGGACTTCGGAGAATCGGTTGGGGATGAGGCTGTTGCTGCTCTTCCTAACCTCTGTTCTTCAACAATGCTTGGATTCTCTGGTCTATGACGAAATTTTTCTCCTGTTCTTTGATCACATATCATTTTCCGCTCCAGAAACAATTACCTTGCCACTAATCTTGGTTATGGCAGTCAAACTTTCGATTTCGTCCCATCTCGACAGTCAGCAGTCATCAAGTGGCTAAGCTCATGTGGTGCTCAGCTGGGCTGCGCTTCAGCGCTCAGCTCCGGTGGGGGCTATGCGCGCAGATACGCAGTACGGCCTGTGATTGTTGCGTTGATGCTGACAGACGTTACGGCGCAGGTAGCACTGATGCGAAGAACAAGGCAAAGGATTGTTGCCCTGCAGAGAACAGGATTTTTTTTTTTTTAAAAAAAAAGGCGTTGCGTGAGACGGCCTATTAAGCAGGTATGAGTTTCAGGGTCCAGGTGGTCAGTTTCCACACGATTTTGAAGTGATTGGAGCTACAGCACAAATTTATCGACAAGGAAATATATTTCCTTCGATTCAAGATGCCGCGAGGATGATGTCACTTGACGATACCAATCAACTGATAGAAAAGATGGAATTTTCATTCTAACCAACATCTACTCAGATCCAGATTACTCACTTTGTTTGTTAGATCTTCAAGGACGCGACCTTTATACCATCAACATCCAGTTCTTTCTGTCCTCGGTCCGTCTTCCAGCCCTGAAGTCCGTTCTCCAAGCTGTCGTCCAATGCTTTGATATACGGTGGCATCCCGCCCGCCCTACGCAGAAAAAAGAAGTCAGCATCAGCTCGCTCAAGACTAAAAACGGAGTAAACAAGGGGCTAGAACAGTAACTCACCAATTCAGCGGCTCCACTCTCCTCCCAGGGATGTTGGCACCCTGATACCAACTCTTGGCCTGGGGAAACAAACTATTGTCCCACTTCTCCTTCACTCTCCTGGTCCACTCCTCCTCCGTCTCCGCCTTGGCCTCGAAGCGCTCTATCCCGTTCTTCCGGGACACCTGCAGGACCTTGTCGATCCACTCAGCTTGAACGGCGGTGCACGTGGGGCCGTTGGCAAAGGCAGTAGGGGCCTGCGGCCCGTAGGTGAAAAAGAGGTTGGGGAAGCCGTGCAAGGCGATTCCGAGGGCCGTCTTGAGTCCGTCCTTCCAATGCTCAGCGACACTCTCGCCGGCGGAGTTGCGGATGTCGAGCTGCGAGAGCGAGCCCGTCACGGCGTCGAAGCCCGTAGCGAGGACGATGACGTCGAACTCCCTATGCTCACCATCGGCAGTGCGGATGCCGGTCTCGGTGATCTCAGCGATACCGTTGGTGTTGATGTCGATCAGGTCGACGTGCGGCAGCGACATGACCTCGTAGAAGTTCTGCTCCAAGCTCGGCCGCTTGGTGCCCCACGGGTGCGGCTTCTGCTTGGGGGCGAGCAGCTCGGCCTTGCGCGGGTCGGGCACGCGGCGCTGGACGGCCTCGCGCCAGAAGGCGTAGGCCTCGTCGTTGGCGGCGTCGTCGAACAGCGTGTCGCGGTACGTGCCCAGCCAGAAGCGGAAGCCGCCCTCCTCGATCAGCAGCCGGTGGTAGAGCGCGCGGCGCTGCTCGGGCGTGTCGGACAGCGCGTCGCGGTCCTCGAAGTCGTACGTGAAGCCAGCGAAGGTCTCGTAGCAGCGAGACAGCGCGGCGTCGTACTCGCCCGCCGCCTTCTTGCGCGCCTCGGCGGCCGGGTCGAGTGGTGTTTGGTTCATGGGCACGCAGTAGTTGGGCGTGCGCTGGTACACGGTCATGTGCGCTGCCTCAGGCCCCGAGTCCTGGATCGTCTGGATGCCGCTCGCACCCGTACCGATGACAGCGATGCGTTTTCCGCGTAGGTTTACGCCCCAGTGTGGCCATGCGGCCGTGTGGTGCATCTCGCCCTGGAATGAGCCCAGCCCCTTGATCCGCGGCGTGTACTTCTTCGCCGCGAAGCCGATGGCGGCGATCAGCCAGCGGCAGCGCATCTGCGTGCCGTCTACGCAGGTTACGGTCCACTTCTTGGAAGCTTCGTCGAAGCGGGCCCCTTCGACGCACCGGTTGTACTCGATGTCCTTGAGCAGGTCCCATTGCTGCTCGACGTACTGGAAGTAGCGCTTCAGCTCTTTCCAGTCTGCGTACCTCTCTTTGAAGGTGAAGCCTTTGTGCAGCTCGCTGTCGAAAAGCTGGTAGATGGGGGTATCGCTGTCAACACGAGCCCCCGGATACTGGTTCCAGTGCCAGATGCCGCCGCTTCCGGACCCCTTCTCGAAGGCCTTGACAGAGAAGCCTTGCTTGCGGAGTCTGATCTGTGTTAGCTGCTAAGACAAGCAGGTATTGGGTTCCTCCGTGGCGAACCTGTTTAACAAGTTGAATGAACCGAAGCCTGCTCCGATGATGAGCACATCAACTTCGCGGATGCCTTCAGGCTCATATTGAATGGATCCCATGGTGGTTGTGTGTTTACGCGTATGATTACTGAGAAGTGAGTCTGAGACAGAAACCCAGGGAAAGACGAGAAGAAGAGATTGGAATGTAGTGAGAGCGGCTGCTGGCGGAAGTGCTTACAGATAAATACTCGCAGTTGCCACGGCCGGAAGGAAAGAGCTCCCCCTCATCGTAGTCGCCACCCCTGTCCTACCTCAAACGTAGGAGCTAGCGTAGAGGTCCCTCTCATACTCGGCTAACCTCTAGATCCATATGCAGGGACCAGGGTAAATGCCTGCCTAACCCCTTCTGTGCCTCCCACGGCTATCTGACAGGAGTCCGGATGAGATAGGCTTGGATTCCCCCCATACGCTTGCACTGATATCGTGGTTGATTGTATCTTCAGAGCTGAATGAAATGAAAGTGACTTGAGGATGTGACGGAAGATGCTCCGCGGGAACAAGTTGATCTTACCCGCAGCATCACACATGGGTGGGGTGGGGCTGGAGTAGCCGCCTTCAGTGCGGTTCACCGTTGGGCAGCCGTTTTCTTTCCCTCGATAGCTCCGTCGTACGAGTGCTACAGCATCGCCATAGCTGCGGGGGTGGCTGCGGGCAGGAACTTGATCCGGCAAGCCGATATTCGTCAGACAAAGTTGACGTGGTCATGGCGTCCTGTGCAAGTCATGGCGAAACATTTATACTTTAAGAATTGACCTATTCGGATAAGCTGCTCGTGCCTGGATGTACTTGCAGCGTTGTTATTGGATGTTCTAGAACGTGGGGCCCCATGTCGCGGCTGCGAAGCGGGGTTCGGGAGCCCGAGTCAGTAGTGTGGGAGACGTGCCGCAGAAATGCAGAACCGGGGAGCCTACGTAGTATGCCCTGCGTTCGGCGCGGCAATATATTTCAAACCCTAAACACGTGGTTGTTAAGCGATGCGCGAATCGTGATGAGACACGCCAGGAACGCGGGACGCGGAACCCAATTCGCACTCCAGCCACCTAATACCAGCACTTACAGTCCCCTCTTGCAGCCGATGGCTAGCGTGGATTTGTTTTTTACTCATGCCATGGGTAGTTGAAGCTATCGTCCGGACGTATATGTAGAATTAAAAATTCGACACTCTCGTCCGGACGATAGCTTCAGCTACCCACATGTGTTTTTTTTTTTCCTAAGGCAGTGTTGGGGAGGCCTGCTATTCTTCGCGCTAGCCATCGGCTGTGAGAGGGGGCTGTATGCCTCCATCACACAAGCGGAAGAAGGGGCCTGCTGGGAAGCAGCAGGTGGAAAAAGCCGCCAGCAGTGGCCAGATCACTCCGTCACGACCGGCGAAACGCAGCAATGACACGAGCGCGCAGAACCTCGCAACAGAAGAGGCACATCGGCAACAGAATATCGCTCGTCGCTATCGCAAGGCCCTCAAAGTATGGGAGCATGAGTGGGAGGTGCAGTCCATGGGAGACTGGGGCGCCCAAACAAGGTTGCAGGCCGCCCTCCGCTTCTGGCAAGCGGCTGGCTGTGAGCTTTGCACCGCTCATGGAGACTACGCAGCTGCCGATGACCATGCGATGAAGGAGTGCACTATGTGGGACGATTCGCCGGTTGCGCGGGACCTGCTCAAGATCCTGCAGACGGTGACCGACGTGAAGGCTGCACCTGAGGAGAACGTCATCGACAGCTACGATTCGGATGAAAAGTCGTGCAAGGCCTGTGGCCTTCCGAGCAGTATGTGTGCCGCCATTCCGTCACCACAGCCTCAAGACCCCACGTATGCGAACTGCCATCACATCAACGTGGCACGACGCGCCGTCTCTGCCTTGCTCGCATTTGAGCACGGCGTGCTGAAAACAAGCATGTTGCTCGACGATCTGTACGCTCCGTCGTGGGCCAAAAGTGGCGACAGCAACGACATGCAGATGTGGATGAGCAGCCAGATGAAAACGGATCGGGACTATTATCCAGGATTTTTAAAGGCCCTCGACGACCTCTATGGCTCGTATCGTCATCTACTCGCCGACTACGAGTACCGTGCCAACCTCCGCCCACAGAAAACAAGGGGACTCGAAGCGACTGCGCTACCGCCGCGGTGCAAAGGCGGATCCGTCGAGTTCGCCGTCGACAGGTTGAACGCAAGAATTTCCGCCAAAACCGAACGTACACGCACGATTTATAACCAATTGGACGACATGAAAGGGCCCGGAGACGATGAGCAGGACGATGAAGAGGATGATGATGGCGAAGAGGAAGAGGTTTCGAGCTTCGATGATTCAGAATACGACTACCCCCAAGAGATGGCGTCAAAGGCAGATGAGCTGAAGAAGGCCAGGTGTGGTTTGGCAATCGATCTGAGGCTTCTCCATGTGCTTAAACCCATGTATCAGCGCTTGACTGAGAGAGATTCAACATCGACTCCTCCGTATCAGAGACGTCTGCATGGTCTGCAAGGCGGCAGGCAACCCATCAGGCCACAGTATTTATTCATGCTTGTGTCGATGAAACAGGGCGGAATGCACACGAGGAGTTGTTGCACGCCCAGAAAGCGATTTATTGCAACAGAAACCTTGGATGCTTCCGCTGCGGCCTTCCCATATCCATCTGCACTCAGTGGGAGATACCGGATCACAACGAACCCGAGCGACTGGATGATTTTAAAATGTACCAGCTGCTTCGACTCCCTGGTCGCTGTCCCTTTGAAGGCGTCGTGCTTGAGTTTATCTTCGGTATCAAATACGGGGTCGAGAAAATCTGGGACAGATGGCTCAATCGCCTGCAGGCCAAGCGTGTTCGCACATCTCCTGGTGGGAAGGATTCCATGCCTAACATAATCCAGTATTTGGGTGAAAGAAAGAACGATAACGAGCTGGGCTGGGATTTGGCTAGGGTATGCGGCTACAGCAATCTCGTTTGGGAATTTGAGTGGTTAAGTATGGAGTTTGAGAAGGAATCTGGTAGCCCAAGTCATTCTACCTAAGGGGGTTGTACGATGGGAATGCCCCTCATATTACTTTACTAGAAGTCTAAAATCTGTACCATAGTCTTTCTCTTCTGTCTTCTTTTCTTTTTCCCTTATTTAAAAGAAAAAAGATGGCGTGGGGAGAAATGTACGAATTACTGTAAAACGACGTTTCCATCTCAGAAATAGACCAATTGCATTTGTGTCGAAGTAGATTTCATATATAAATATGAACCACCTGGATGGATCATTGATTGGAGTCCGAGCGAATGGTTTGCTATGAATGTGACGATCGGAACGACATGTGCGAATGCTGGCACACGTGTTCCCGCCGCTGTGGCTCGTATCGCCAAGTTCTGCGATGACTGACCCACGGGCTTCAGCTACTACGGGCAATTGCAAGCGAGTCTCTTAAGCTTGCAAAGCCGAGTAGCGGGGAAAGCTAAATTTCATGCCGATTTCATGATAGTAGAACCGTAGTTGACACTTTATACTTAGAGCATTGTGAGCTTTAATATCAGCAAGTAGACTAAACAGTTCCATTTCAAGGGCGCACTCTAGTGCCAAGTATCTATGAAAATCATTAGCAGTGACAAAATAGAAGTGATGCAAGGGGCCGGGTCCGATGCCGCCAACTCGGCCACGACTTTGGTTAAGGCGGGGAGTCCGACGGGCCATAGCTCCACCTTCCCACGGCGCGGCGATCACCCGACATCGCTGGAGGTGCGAAGCTCACACCACATAAAGAGCATCCATTGCGCAGCGTGCGTGATGCCTGCCAGCTAGCCGTCGACAATGCCTCTGCCACGCACCCTCTTCATCACGGCCCTGGTCGTCGCCCCGCCAGGGTACTACGTTTATTCAACCGTCAACCGCCTCGAAGCCAAGTACCCGCGCCTTCGGCCCGAAGCCGCCTCCACCACCGCGTTGCGCACGCCCGCCTTCCCAGTGACGCACCACACGCCTCACGTCGACATCTACGGCGGGAAGCTGCCCGTGCGGGTGCTGCTCGAGCAGCACGCGCCGGACGGCCGCAAACTGAGCCTGGAAGAGGCGTGGGCGAAGCTCTTCTTCGAATCGCCCACGCTCCGGCTCGAGGGCAAGCTGTTCGGCGGCTTCGCGCGCGGGCCCGGCGACTGCGGCGAGCGCGGCTTCCACCCCAAGCAACAGCTGCTCCACGGCGCCATGGAGGTCATCCGCGCGCCGTCGCCGCCGTCGTCGTCCGCGGCGGCGTCCCGCTTCCTGCGCCTCCCACTCGCCCAGCCCGCGCCGCTGCTCGTGCAGTGGACCTTCCCCCCGCAGGTCGTTGGCTTCGTCCACAAGGCCGCCGTCGATTGGGGCTACCCGTGGCGCTTCATGACCGGCGGCCGCCACGAGTTTGCCGTGGGCGAGCCCGACAACGACGGCCTGGTCGAGGTGCGCTTTGCGAGCGCCCATGACTACGAGAGGGTAAATCAAGAGGGACACAAGCAGAAGACGATACCGGAGTGGACGGCGCGGCTGCACAGGGTCTATGCCATGTGGTTGCTGGACGAGAGGATTGAAACTCTGAAAAAAAAGGCGGCCGAGGCGGAAGCCCGCGGTGATTAAAGGTCGCGGAAGATTTCACATCCTGAGCGTGGTGTTCTGGCTGGTCCTGAGCAAAGCCGGGATCATCCAACCGACGACGTTCATGTATATCCACGACTTGTATTTTCGAAGCATCATGACTTGCACAATTTTAACTTTTCCTACCTTCTCAGAACCGAGGCGCTGGAACATAATCGAATTCGTGATTCGATGATTCGGGTTTGACAACCACTAACGCACCAGACGTCTACCCTCTTACCAGGGTGATGTCCACGGCCCGTAGCGGCTGTTCAACCTTGATGGTAAGCACAAAGAGAATTACCATAGCACCGGGTATACTATTGCCCATGAAAAACAGGCACACATCTTGACAGAGCTAGACGGCTTTATTTTATCGGGTAGTTGCTCCGTTAGAGCTTACTTTCCCCACGTGCTAGCTCAGCCACCAACAAGAAAGATTAGGCACCTGGTACGACGCCGATGACTTCCTTCAGTACTTCGGGCAGGATCTTACTCGCGTCGCCTCGAAAAAACCAATCATTATCCTTGAGATTCGACGCTGCCCCCTCTTCCTCGGATTCTTCCATGTTGAATACGGCAACCCTCGCACCCTGATATCTTGCGCCATGGATGTAACCTGCGGCCGGGTAGACGACGGCGGTGGTTCCAACGACCAGCATCAGATCAATCGGGCCTTTATCCATCCAATCATGGATGCGATCAATTGAAGATCGGGCCAGCGGCTCGCCAAACCACACAATGTCTGGGCGGAGGAGCGAAGAGCACTGTGGGCAGTGTGGTAGATCCTCAACGGCAATTTCCTTCAGCGGTATCTTGGGATCCGAGATATCGACGTCGTCGGGCAACTGCAGGGCGGGAACGATGGGATCCTGCATATCGTCCCGTTTAACGTAAGAACATGCCTCGTTCGTGCATTTGACATCGAAAAGCGAGCCGTGAACGAGCTGAATATTTTCTGCTGGATGGTTTGCACGTTGTGACAGACCTGGAGGATTCTAGTCGTCAGCTCGCTCACCGCTTGCCATGCTGGCGTGGGGGCTGTGGGGGGGAGTAAGCACCATCGATGTTCTGGCTAACAGCGAGATAGTCGGGCTTCGCTTTCGCGAGCTTGGCTAGCGCCACATGGGCCCTGTTTGGCTGCGCCTTGAGCGCGGTATGGCGACGATAATTGTAAAATTGCCACACGAGCGAGGGGTTTTCGAAGAAGGCTGCAGGCGTGGCCAAGGTCGTCGAGTCGTACTCCCTCCAAAATCCGCCGGCGCCTCGGAAAGTTGGAACGCCCGAGGCGGCCGACAGACCGGCTCCGAAAAGGGCCATGATCCGCTTGGACGACTTTAGATGCTCCGAAAATGAAACATAATCGTCGAGCGAAATGTCAACTGAGTCGGACGGCAAAGTTTGGGTGCGGACTCTGCGCTTCTGTTGCTTGAGGTACTGTTTTGAGAGCTCCTTCTTGAAATTCGAAGGTAGCTTGGGGCGGGAGGAGGAGGAGGAGGAGGAGGAGGAAGAGGAGGAGGAGGGTTGCTGCTGATTGGGCTCGGGAGTTTCCATTCTCGCAATTGCTGACGAGAGTAGATTGTACCTGACGTTGAAGCAAAAAGAAATGTCGTGGCTCCGTTTATGGACTATTGTGGTGAAGCAGGCAGCAACGGCTGCGCCACAGTAAGCACTTCTACTTCTACCAAAACGGCTAGAAACGCTCGTTCTACGGCCGTTCACCTGCCAGTAACTTGACGAGAAAAACGAGCCAAAGCTTAGCTATAAAGTGTGTTGGATGTTTTTGGCAGGAAGATTTAGCGCCAGAGAAGGACCCCTGCCAAACGATCCCCGCTCCAAGTGGGTCCGGGCGCTCATCCTCCGGCGAGTTCCCGTACCACCCAACGCGACCGTTCCGCGCCGCAGCAGCGCCCGTCATCCTGAGGCTGCCATGTGTGCGTCTCCCTCGCGTCGGGCGGCGCAAGGCGTCTGCTTCTGAAACTGCCGTCCTCGCACCCGGCAATTCCCTCGTGGCGCCGGGCCCATCTGGGCCGAAATACCCTCCGTCCGCCAATCGCGTATCACTAATTGCGCACCCAGGAATGCGAAACCGAGCTACACCGTGCGGCGTATGCATTTATGCTTTAAGCAACCTCCCCCCCCTTCGTTGGATTTTCCCCACGACTTCGTCCTTATCCGGCGGATCGCTTCTTGCACAATGGCGTCTGGCCTTCTTCTCGTTGCCCTGTTCGCTGCAGCGGTGCTGTACATCGTACTCCTCTGGCGCCAAAAACGTGCCTCCTTCAAAGGCCTGGTACGAACAACTCCATTCAGAACAATGATCCCAAGCTTACAGTCCCATGCAGCCGCAACCTCCCGGCCATCATCCACTCTTCGGCCATGCCAAGGTCATCAAGGAATTGGCGGATGAATTGCCGCCGGGTATCCATCCTGCGTGCTATGGCCATCTGTTGAGGCAAAAATACAACCTGCCCAGGGCTTTTTACGTCGATATGTGGCCATTTTCGCACAATTGGCTGCTCGTCAACAGCAATGAGCTATCCGAGCAGCTTACCACAAAGCCCAACATCAACAAGTTTGGTGCCCTGAAAGGCATGCTACAACCCTTCGGCGGCAAGCGGAACCTCGTTGTTATGGAAGGCGAGGAATGGAAGAGATGGCGTGGCATCTTTAACTCGGGCTTCTCCGCTGCCAATCTATCTAAGCACGTCCCGGCAATCGTGCAGGAAACGGAGAAGTTCCTGAACGTCCTCGCTTCGAAGGCCGCTTCCCAGGAGATCTTTTCAATGGAACCCGTAGCTGTGGACCTGACGGTGGAAATTATCGGCCATGTCATCTTGTGAGTATTGCTTCGCTAGTAAAAATGAGTGTATCTCTGACAATCGTTGCAGGGGCAGCGCATTCACCTCTCAATCAGGGGGTCAGGGTTACAAAGAAGGCCTCCGGGACCAAATCCACTGGGTATCCATTGGCTCCAAACCCGGCTTCGGTGCGATTCGGCAGCTCGACCCGTGGCGTTCCTACAAACTCTGGTCCAACGAGCAAAAGATGAACCGTGCCATCGGCCGTGTCATCGAAGAGCGCTGGGTGGAACGCCAGAAGACCGGACCGACAGGAAAGAAAGCGCTCTACGCGATTGACCTTGCACTGGACGCCTACGCCGCCGATAAGAAAGCCATGGGCCAGGAGGCCACCGCCACCATCGACGCCGAGTACATGACGATCCTGCAGGACCAGATGAAGACTTTCGTCTTCGCAGGGCACGACACTTCCTCGGGCACCATCTGCTACATCACCTGGGTCCTCCACAAGCATCCCGACTGGATGTCCGAAGTCCGCGCCGAGCACGACCGCGTGTTGGGCACCGATCCGTCGACTGCCGGCGCTACTATCGCTGCACGCCCTAACGTCATCAACGAGATGCCCGTCACCTCCGCCATCATAAAGGAGACGCTGCGCGTCTACCCGCCCGCCAGCACCATTCGCGGCAGCGAGGTGCCCTATCCCATCGTTGACCCAGAGACGGGCGAGACGTTCGAGACCAAGGGCTTCATGGTGTGGGCGCCGTCGTTCGGCATCATGCGCGACGAGCGCTACTTCCCGGACCCTCACTCGTTCCGCCCCGAGCGCTGGCTGCGCGACCGCTGCCCGCAGGAACTGGAGCCCCGCCTGAGGGACCCCCACGCCTGGCGCCCCTTCGAAGTCGGTCCGCGGAACTGCATCGGCCAGGAGCTGGCCATGATTGAGGTTAAGATCGCCATGGCCATGATGTTGAGGAGGTTTGAGATAATCCCGACGTACTCGCAGAAGGTGGACAGCAAGTTCGATTTTCTGGGCGGCCAGGCCTATCCTGTGCTGTTTGGCACGGCGAAGCCCAACCAGGGCATGCCGGTGAAGGTAGTGGAAAGGAAGATCTAGTTTGATAGACGCATGTTGCGGCTGTGGACCACGTTCTTATTGGCCAATCACGCACGTGGCTGAAGCGGTCCTATGGAACTCAGCCTGTGTTAATTGATACCCGAAATACTCCCCTAAAGGGATCTCTCATCCCGGTAATCTGTTCCAGTGTCGCGTTAGCCGCCGTTATAATACACTTAAAATTTCACTTGATCGGAGTGATCACCATAGGTACTGTATTCGGGTTAGCCAATACATCTCCTGGAACTTGCACGGCTTGATTCAAAATCAATCTACTCTCCTCACATCGTCTCATGACACAAACTCAACATTAAACTTACATAGGAACACTAGCTACTAAGCCACAGCTTCTGTTCGGAAATGCCTCAAGATCTCGCAATAAGTATCAAAGCGATCGTCGTCTGACGGCGGCGCCCGATGCTCTTTCTGGAGATGCTCGATGAGCAAGTACTGGTCGTACGTCTTCTCCCGGCCCTTCGCTGCACAGTACCCGCACCGGTAGTCAGTGCCCAACGCGAACCGCTCCCAGTTTGCCGTCTGCGCCCGCCGCTGTCGCTTCTCCACCAGATACTCTGCGCATTTCTTGATTTGCCTGAGTAACGATCCGGCCTTTTCATCGGTTGATTGCTTCTCTTCCAGCAGGGAGAGGATGTCCTCTCGGGGGCTCAAAGAAGCATCGGAGTCCATGAAGCTGGGGATGTTTTTCTTGCAGATCTTTCCAAGGGTGTACACCTCCTCTTCCTTCGGAGACACCCGGCTGATGCTCATCACGAATGCTGATTTGAATAGGTTAGTTTTCCTTTTCAAAGAAGTTCTCTTTGGTGCGTTGAGCACGTCGTAGGCTGCGTTAGTGATCTCCTCTTCCAGCCAGTCCTTTGAATTGCAGGTTTCGAGATCTATTCTGCTCCCTGCATTAGGGTTCAAGAAACTGAACCAAGTTAAATTGTCAGTATAACATACTTAAACGGTATTCATCTGAAGTGCTTACGTCTTGCACATGTAAGGACCAGAAGCCATCTTTGTGGAGATAGGTGCTTTCTTGATCATTGTGCCTGAGGGCCGTATTTTGGCCTTCTTGATTGTTGTATCAAGGCAAGATCGAAATTCGCTTTCGTTGTTCGAGGCTCTCCTCTTCATTGGGAGGTTACTTTTTTCTCGAAATGGAGCCAATTGGTCGTAGGTGGCGATTGCTTCATCCACGGTCATCCTCAAGCGTCCCAAAAGGATTGCGATGAGCCTTCAATTATGTTAGTCCTGAATCCCTTTTTCTTTTTTTTTAAAAAAAAGAAATCACAATACAACTTACCCTCCTGTGAAACTACCGCCTGCAAAGTCAAAGTAGTGACAAGGTAGATAGCCTGCAGCGGAGGAGTCCTCTCGTTCCCGTTTTGCGACTCTTTCGGACAGTATCAGAGGCGAGTCAAAACTTGAGTTTGCGTTGTTCTTCGTCTTCTCAAATCTCGTGATTTCGGTCATGAGAGCCTTCAATATGAGCAATTGAGTCACGGGACGTGACTGCTGCCCACCGCCTGCTCAATTCATTTAGCTATAGCGGGATCCCGAGGATTTTTGCTATGCTTACCCAACATCAATACAGTCAGATGCTCCCATGCATCCTTCTCTCTTTCAAGTAGATTGCTATAGCCATCTTCCTGGTCGTTGGGCCTGTTTTCGGCAGTGGAAGATGGCTCACTGACCTTTTGGTCCTTGGCTATCGACTCTTTTCGACTGCTATGGGTGGATGCCAAGTGAGAGAGCCGGGTCTTGATGTTTTTGATCGATTTGCTCGATTTGTTTGATTTATTCGAGTTGCTCGAGTTGCTCGAGTTGCTCGAGCTGCTCGAGCTGCTCGATCCCGCACTGCTTCTGGAAGCATCACTTGTGTGGGAGTGATCTGTGCGATCAGTGAAGGTCCTGCCCATAATCGAGTGTGCTACAGGCAATAGTTCGTCCTCTGAATTGAATGAGGGAAAGGGCAAGTAAAAGTCAAGAGTGGCTGAGGATCATATCTAGCAGAGTTGTAAGGATAAAAGAGTGCCTATGCTGGGGAGATGAAATGGCAAACGGTATCACCTTATCAGTGCTGAGCCCACTTCCAACGATCCAACTAGTCTGACCTGTGAACACATACAACATGTGAACCTATTTTTGTGCATCCAGGTGAGCCTATACTGGACGCCTCAATAATCATTAGGCAACAGCACGACTCAGCTGTGGCACACCGAACCGCTCGGGGGGTCAGACGAGGCACACAACATCGGGCGAATGACACGTACAATCGGGAGATCAGCCGCACCCTTGTGTTTCGTTACGGTCCAGCCTTGCATAGCCACTTTGCGACAATTGGTTGCACAATCTGAATTCAGCCTTGCTGGTTGTACTGGACCCTCGGTGGCTGAAAATCTTATCCGAATTCAGCCTTGCCTTGAGCTCACCTGAACACAGCCTGCCGCGCAGTTGCGCATTATTACGCATCATGATTCCGAATGCACTTTGCCTTGTCAGATAATTGCCTCGTGTGATGTGTTGTACAGTGCAATGTATGGAGCATGCTGTAGGATCGAGTGTTCCTTCGCCACCTTGGGAATCCCAGGTGGTTCAGATTTCATTATCGGATGGATACCGTCCGTACCCGTCTTCCGCTTGCTCCGAGACAATGAGAAGCAGTTGCGCCTTTCCACTCCAATAATAAAAAATTCTAGACCCCAACAGCTTTACAAGATTGGTTGACGTCTTGCGCAAGTGCAAGTGTTCGATCTGCACCGTTTCTCTTTTCTTCCAATCCAAGACAAATAGAACTCCAATGTTGTCTGTAAGAAAGTTAGTAAAAGATACATATAGGTAAAGGTCAGTGAAAGAAAGAAATAATGTGCTTACAGTCTGTGTACTTCTTCTCACTCATTTTCTTTGTATTTTTCTTCGGATCTAATATGATCACCTTTTCTCCCGGAAGGTCGTCCAGTAATTTTACAGAACGACAGAATCTTCCCTTCTTCCGCACTATGCAATTAACTTGCTTCCCCTTAGATCTTGTCATAAGTTCTCGTCCTTGATGCCCGTCAATCGAGCTGTCTTTCATTGTATCACTTGATGGTTGTGTGCTCATGTTTCGTGACGGAATTGATACAGCAGTCAATTCGGAACTGTGTTTGGAAGGGCTGTACGTTACACCGGATTTGCTCGGCGGCTTGGTTGTTTCTGGGTCTTCGGACGTGCTTTTCTGAAGCGTTATCTTCGTTCCGGCAGTCGGCTCCGGCACTTCCGAAGCGTCCATTGTGGCTTTCAGCAACGGCGGTATCGAAGGTGGTGCTTTAGATGGGACATCCAAAAAGCTTGATCTAATGCTTGTTGGCGTGTCTACGAGGTCTGATTGAAGGACCTCCGGTGCTGATTTCGATCTTGCTGCGCTATGTGCCACTGGAGGTTTCCGAGGATCACCTCTTGTGGAAGTCGCAAGCTGAGAGGTGAGGGTACAATTAGCATGCGTTCGATCCTCATCGACAACTTTCACTTACTCGTATGTCCGCACAGGGCTCACAGAAAACGTTGGAACTTTGCGACTCGGCCTGTGCCCTTCGTGCAATGTCTTTGAAGCATTCATGTGCTTCTTTTGCGTCCCCTCGCGCACATGGCGTTTGTGACATCATTTTGCTTACCCTCTCAAGTCCTTCCACCAGAAGCGGCTGGACAGCGCGATGGGTGCTCTTTCTCCTCAGGGACTTGATCCAATCTCCTATTTCAGCCTCCGAAGAGGCATAACACTTTGGTCTGGAATCTGATTGCGGATCAGCTCGTGATTTAAGTTCCCCTCTTAGTGTTTTGATCGCCTCGCCACAGATTACAGTGACCATTTCAAGGAAGACACAGGCCAGGGAAAATAAGTCGGTTGAGAGGTTTCGGTCGGTGGAGTCGATTGCTTCGCGAGGGGCGTAAGTGAGAGTGTATTCCGTCCGGCCACCAGAGATATCCGCTGCTTCTTTACTTTCATAGACCCTGGAAAGACCAAAGTCGGCCAGGATTATTGACTGTGCGCAGTCAATGAGGATGTTCGCCGGCTTGATGTCCTTGTGCTTTACGGGTATGGAATGGAGCCATGCAACGGCGCTGGAGAGACAAAGAAAGTAACGTAGCATGGCCCAGACATGGTGATGCTCCGAGAAATCCACTTTCTTCTCTCCGTTCTTTCTTGACATGTCCTCGAGCAAGTGCTTGAGGCTGTACTTCGCAACAGGAAACATAGCAATCCCCATCAATTCGCCTTTTTCGTAAGAGCTAATAAAAGCGATAATGTGGTGATGTCGCCTTTTGGAAAGATCCTGCATGTTGTGGATTTCCTGCCTGAATTTCTTTTTGGCCTCGTTGACTGCCTGTTCGGAGCCTCTGAGTAGGATTTTCTTCACCGCGATCCAATCGTTTGGGAAGCTGCCATTTTCCTTGTGTCTCGCAGCGACAAGTATGCATTTCCCGTTGGTGTCAATGTAGTCGTCGTCTTCCCGAAAAGGAATGCAAGTTTCTGAAGTCGTGATGACGAGGTGATTTAGAGAACCGTCGGTGAACTTCTCCTCGTGCCATCTCTTCGACTCCTCGCTGTAGACATATTCCCACAGCGACATCTGTGACGTCTTCTCGTGCCCGCTTCCGGTCTTCCTCGGTTGTCGCTCATCTTTGTTGCCTTCTGATTCATTGACTAGTGTAATCTTTCCATCGGCGTCTCGCGTTTCCCGGTAGCCAGGAATCTTGGGCAGTGGTAGAATTTGATCGTCGGTGGGGTCGAGATGTGCCATTTTCGGTGTCAATTGGCTCGCTCTAACTTGTTGTCGGCCTGTTCATGCCTCGCGAGGCACTTTTTTGGTTGTGCACAATGTGTGACGCTCGAAAAGTTGATTCAGGGCTGCCACACATAAGAGGAAGGTCTGCCTGACCGGGTTTGAACGGAGACTGCCGTGGAGGCCAAAGGCAGGCTGAGGAAAATGTACTAAGCAGTGGAGTCGCGAGAGTGAAGGTACGGTTTTGGAAGGGTTATGTGAGCAGTGATCAGCAAGGCTGGACCCCACAATGGGGGGCTCAGCATGCGCCATAAGAGAGGCAGAGACGAGGCTCTTGTAGAGGTGGTCAGACGAAAAGGCATATTTCCGCTAATGATCAGCTGGGCTGTCGTGCGCAGGTGCGTAGATGCACCTGTCGGTTTCTTGCGGCTGCATTTGTGACGGGTAACTTGCTCAGCTGCTGCCTGGGCATCGAGGCTGCGCTTTGTGTGACCACCACAATGCATACAGCCTTGTTACCCAATGCGGGGCTGTGTCTGCCCCAAGGATTTGCCCCGGACCGCCTCGCGGATTTTGAGCCGCGCATACTTTATTACAAACGAACACGCCCCCAACTTTTCTATTCACTACTAGAGACCGTGACAAAGATGTCTGACCCACTATCCGTTGCCGGATTGGGCCTTGGGGCCGCGTCCCTAGCAATTCAAGTGTGGGATGGGGCAAAGCAAGGTATATCCCGCTAGCTGAGATGAGAGCCTTGTAGATGCTAAGAAATGTTAGGATACAAGTACTTCGAGTCGGCTGCCAACATGCCATCTGAGTGCAAGTCCATCCAGACTGGCTTGATGATTGAGTATGATAAACTGCTCAAATGGGGTGAAATTGCCAAACTTGATTCCGGCGGCGGCTATGGCGGCTTCGACCGAAGCGTGAAGAACAATTTTGCTGTCATCCTGGCTGTCCTTAGGGAGATCGACGCCGTGTTGCGTGACATGCACGATAGAACCGTCCACTCTCCACAAACTGCCTTGCCAGATCAACATACATCAGATGAACTGTCAAGCGAGCAGGCGAACGATGCCTTGATGAAGAAGTACGATGAGATACTCAACATCTCGAATAAGGCTGCCGAAGAGGAAAATCACTCAAAGCTTGTGAAAAGAGCTCTCAGGATTGTACGCAGCATTCGCGACGTTGCCAGTGACCCCAAACGTGTTCGTTGGGCCATGGGTACCGACAAACCAAAGCTTGAAGCGGGGCTACAGAAGCTCCGTAAGCTCACTGGCTACCTTTACGATACCGTTGAGGATAAAAAGCTGGATCTTCTCCTTCATGACACTCATGAGATCCACTTGGCACTGCTCCAGCTCCTACCAAGCTATGCAGCAATCGAATCTGTACGCGAAGATACGAGATCTGTCGTGTCTGAACCAGCCAGCTCGGCATTGTTCTTCTCGGACAGCAGCACGCTTGTTGGAAGCGAGTCACGGGCAAGTCTGATAGCGTCGAACAGACAGCGGCAAGCCCTCGTCGACCGCTTAGCAACCTTTAGCGCTCATTTCGCGAAAACCAACGAGGATTCCTGGAACGATCACACTCTCCTCCTTGAATGGGAGCATCAATCAAACTCAGATAGCGGATGCGACGATCGGGCGACGGATGCGGCCAATAACCGGGCTATCACAACCTTCGGTGGCCAACGCGTCTGGATCGAGTGGAGAGCATATGATGCGGTGCTCATTCCAAATCCAGAAGATCCCCAGTCATTCAACCTCGATGCTAAGCCGGAAGTCCATAAATGTATTCGAAGACTGGCACAGCTACTCCATGACCAGACAAAGCCCGTGGAGTTCCAGGTCCCTCATTGCCGCGGGTTTGTCCAAGACGGGGAAAACTCGAGGTTCGGCTTCATCTACGACCTGCCAAACTCGTCCGAAGACATCGGATTGAAGACGCTGTTCGAGGAGCTATCCCACAAGGACAGGAAAATGCCGTCCTTGGATAGCAGGCTCGCCGCGGCCCGTAAGCTCGTCGAAACAGTATTTTGCCTTCATGCCGTGAAGTGGTTACACAAGAGACTGAGCAGTGTCAACGTGCTACTCTTCACAGACAAAGGCAACCCTGATCTGACTGAGCCATACATCTCCGGCTTCGAATCATCGAGGCCAGATGAGGGTGTGACCATGACAATGGCATCGAAGGATCCGGACTGGACCCTGATGTACTGCCACCCAGACTACGTCGAGGAGAAGAGGCGCGTCTTTGGAAAGACGTATGATCTCTACAGCCTTGGCATCATCCTCTTGGAAATTGCGTATTGGAAGCCCGTGTTCGAAATCTTCAGAATCGACAAGGCTCTGGTTGTGAATCGGGCGACAGCGGACCATATACGAGACAGTCTGCTGGATGAACGAAGCGAACACCTGGCCTTCGTTCAAGCGGCGATGGGGCGACGCTACTGTGATGCACTTCGCACGTGTGTCGGAGGTCTTGATGGGTTCAGCATCAAAACTGATGCCGATGAAGCTGATCCGGTCATCGGAGCAATGGTTCAACAAGCCTACATGCGCTTGGTTGTCAATGTGCTCAACGACATCACATTGTAAAGGAGTTCAGTGCTTTTGGATCAGTCCTTCGTACATTCCTGGAATTCATTTTGTCTAAGTAATAAATTTCATTCTAAACTATTGACCATGTTTTCGTAGTGAAAGCATTCCACCAATGCTTTCGTACATGCAAATCAAAACAGTTCTTTCCGGAGGTGCTGAGGGTTTACGTACTCAATATCTACGAAAACTCTTTGATGGAGATGACCACGTTTATACCAGTGCCCTTGTCATTTATGCGCTCTCCTTCTCATTTCCACTAGGCCTTACCCTTAATCTCCTTATTAAACTCCTTCCACGCCTCCTCAACGAGCCCCTTCGTAGTCAGGAAATCTACAGCCGTAGCAGCCAACCCCTTGCCGACCCTCAAGCTCAACTCAAACGCCTCCCTCGTCCCCGCCGCGCCCTCGAAATCCGGGCTGTGCGGCCCGTTCCCTTGCTCCCCGGGCCTGATCCAGAAGCCGGCACTCAAGCTCGGCAGGACGTAACTCACGTCTCCCTGATCGGTACTCGCCATGGTCCGCCCATTAACCTCGTCGACCTCGGGCACCGCTATATCGCCGCCCAGCCTATTGAAATGCGTGCGGTAATACCGCGCCAGGGTGCGGCTGGGCACATGATCCGCATACGCGCCACCATCGGTAATCACGAGCTTCGCACCACTACTCAGCGCGCCCGCCTCGAAGCACCTCCTCGCGCGCTCGAACAGCTCATCCCTTCCCTTCTTCGAGTCGGCGCGCACGACGAACTCGCCCGCGGCGTAGGCGTGGATGATGTTGGGGCGCAAGCCGCCGTGCGTGATGTGGCCCTGGATGACGTCTCCCGGCTGCGTCTGCTGGCGCAGGACGGAGAGTGCGTTGTACGCCGTGATGAGCGCGTCCAGCGCGTTGACGCCCAGCCACGGGCAGGCGGCGGCGTGCGCCTCGCGCCCGAAGTACTCGACCTTGAAGGCGCGGTAGGCGGCCGTGCGCATCAGCGCGGCGTCGCGCGTGATGCCCGGGTGCGAGATCAGGTTGATGTCGCAGTTGTGCTGGGCGTATGCTCCGGCTTCGATGAGCTTGATCTTGCCGCCGCCGCCTGGTGAAGGGGGTGGGTTAGTGGAGGTCTTAGGATAAGAGGTGAAGGAGATGTTCAAGATGGAGGACGTGGTTTGGTGTTGAGGAGTTGAGCATGAAAACATCTGAGAAAATAGGGAAAGAAAAGTGCCAGTGAGAAAAGGAGAGAAATGACATGAGAATTACCTTCTTCAGCTGGCGTGCCAAACAGCACAACCTTCCCCGGCAAGTCGTGCTTCTTCATGGTCTCGGCCGCAGCGAGGGCACCCGACAACGACGCGGTGGCGATTAAGTTGTGGCCGCACGCGTGTCCGATCTCCTGCAGGGCGTCTATCATTCACACATAAGCTCCCGCTCACAATCTTTCAGGGACGATCCCTGGACTTACCCATTTCGGCATTGAAAGACACCACAGGTCCCTTCTTGCCGCTATCGAAAACAGCGACGAAGGCCGTCTCCATGCCGTATGCCGATGGCGTGACTTGCCATCCTTTCTGCGTTTTCAGAAAAGATGTCAAAGTCTCGTGAGCGATATATTCCTTGTACCCGAGCTCTGGATTATCATGGATTTTCTTGTTGATAGGCCACAACGTGTCTGCCTTGGTGTCGATGTAGTTGCCAATCTCGCCGAGGTAGTCGGGCGACGACGAGGCTGCGTCCGCGGCTAGATCCGCCGACACAAGAACCCAATCATCCGCCATCTTGGGTACTTGCACCAATGACGAATTGGAATTTTGTTAAAGAAAATAAGGGTTGAAGAAGAAACGGGAGGATGGAGGCTGTGGTTGGGAGAGATGCCGGCTCGCTTGCCGTGACATGGCGCCGGCCGCATCACTAGTACTCGAGCTCAGCTCTACCAAACATCCCCCCCACTTTTCGATTGTAGACCGCACCACACGGTTGAATCCGCGCTCCGGCCCGAACTAACACATGCCGGATGTAGCCAGCCAAAAAGATAAACCGTGCGGCAATCGGAGCAGATCAACTGCGCTTGGTTATACTGCCGGCCGTCATCTTATCAGCATTTGCCGCGCACTACATATACGCCGCCGCCATGGCTCGATTCCCCGCAGCTCGCGAGTACTTTCCGATCGGCAAGTCGACAACCTGGAGTAAAAATGGCCGAAAAAGACGACCTCGCCGTCTCGAATGACCCAGTACGCGATGTTGACGAGAGCGTGGTCGAGGAAAAGTCGCGCTTGCGCATCGATGATGAAGCCGGCGACTTGGCTGCCAAAGCGCTGACGAGCGGTCCGCTTGATCCAGAGCTATCCAAAAGAGTTTTGCGCAAGATTGACATGTATATCCTGCCATTCTTGTGCATCACCTACGCCCTGCAATTCATCGACAAGACGTCGCTGGGCTACTCGTCCGTCTATGGAATCATCGCCGATAATAACCTCAAAGGCCAAGACTACTCTTGGGCCAGCAGTATCTTCTACTTCGGTGAGTCTGGCATAATGAAGCCTGCTATACCTCAAGTACTGACCATCCTTCCAGGCTACCTCATCGCTGAATACCCCGGCGTGGCCATCATCCAGCGCTTCCCCGTCGCCAAGTTCCTCGGAGCCAACATCATCCTCTGGGCCGCCATTCTTATGCTGACTGCCCTCTGCTCCTCCTTCGCCGGCCTCGCCACCGTGCGCTTCTTCCTCGGCGTGACCGAAGCCACCATCTCGCCGGGCTTCGTCGCCATCACGGGCATCTGGTGGACGCGGCAGGAGCAAGCCGCGCGCTCCGCCCTCTGGATCTCCTTCCTGGGCGTCGGTTCGCTTCTCGGCGGCCTCATCGCCTTCGGCATCGGGCACATCAGCCACGGGTCGCTCGCGCCGTGGCAGTACATCTTCCTCATCCTCGGCGCCGCCACCATCCTCTGGGGCATCCTCTTCATCCTCGTGGTGCCCGATTCCCCCGCGACGACGCGCTGGCTGACGGCCGACGAGCGCGTCGCCGCCGTGCAGCGCGTCGTCGACAACAAAACCGGCACCAAATCCCGCACCTTCTCCCTCCCGCAAGTCGTCGAGGCCGCCACGGACCCCAAGATCGTGCTGCTCGGCCTCATCTCCTTCGTCAACGCCCTTGCGTCCGGCGGCCTCGCCTTCGGCTCCCTCATCATCCAGGGCTTCGGCTTCACCCCGCTCCAAACGACCCTCATGAACATGCCCCTCGCCGCCGTGCAGACCGTCGCCCAGCTCTCCGCTGGGCTTTTTTCGTCGCGCCTCCGCGGCTCCCGCCTCTACGTCGCCACCCTCGCCATGATCCCGCCCATCGTCGGCACCTGCCTGATCAACCAGCTGCCCGAAGCCAGCCGCTGGGGCCGCCTCGTGGGACTCTGGCTGCTGGGCACGTATCCCGTCGGCTTTTTGGTGTTGCTCGGCCTGCTGTCGACCAACGTCGCCGGCGGCACCAAGCGCGCCGCCGCCAGTGGTTGGGTCTTCGTCTGCTACTGCGTCGGCCAGATCGCCGGCCCGCAGTTCTTCAAGTCCAAAGAGGCCCCCGAGTATCGTGGTGGCATCGTCGCTATGCTGTGCGGCTTCTGCCTTAATCTGGCCATGAACTTGCTGCTGCGCTGGCTGTACGTGCGCGAGAACGCGCGGAGGGATCGTATGTTGGAGGGGAAGAGCGAGGAGGAGATCAAGGCGATGGAGGAGGAGAGTAGGGTGCAGGGCTTCGAGAACGTGACTGACGGGGAGAATCTTATGTTTCGCTACGTCCTTTAGGGGTGGGTGTATTGTTCTGGTTGTGGGAAGGTAGTGGAAAATCCAACCCACAAAGCCATGATACCACAGTTTTGTTAAACTGATCTCGGAGACCAAAAATGACCAAAAATTATCTCACGTTGCTTCAGTCTCATTGTTAGCTTCTTGAAGTGAGAGGGTGACTGGCCTTTAATAGAATGTTGGTGTCATTCGTGATACTTTTAACGCATTAGAGGGTGAAATACAGGCTAGACAAAAAAGAAACATCCTCTCCTAGACGATGTTACACTGCCGCACTCTGACATTCACGGAACCTGAAGAGCAATTTCAGTTCATCATCTACCGCAGAAAAGGGGGTATTGACTATTTACAAGAATCTACAGTAGCTTGCACGTACAACACCTTACAAACAACGCCACGCTTTTACACTCATTCTATCTTCCCACCTCAGCGTCTAGGAACACCTCAGCTTACGAAGCTGGCCGTTCGCTCTTGGTATGGCCTCTAGCCCGCTTGAAACAAGCACTGAAAACACCATGGTTAGCAAGCAGTCTCAAAAGATACGGGATTATCGGGTACTCACAATTCACTCTTCGTCGCCTCTCTGAGCTTCTTCAGAATCACTCTGAGCTCACCCAACTCCGTCTGCAACTTCACCCTTGCATCATTATCCGTGCGCTCGTCCAAGGCCAGGTAGATGGCGCTCTGGATCTCGCTCGCCTTGTCCGTGGTATAGTTGCCGAGCGTCTGAGCCAAGAACTCGACGTCGAGCGTAGCCTGCATGAGAGCGGCGAGCGTGTAACGCGGCCGAGCCTTGAAGCTCTCGATGAGATGCTTGCTGACCTGCTCGAGGAGGTACTTGAGAATCTGGCTGGTGAGCGGTGCCGCCGTCGTCGACACTTGCGTGTGCACCACGACGAGCTCGAGCAAGACGTCGTACACGTAGGCACGCGCGTCGCCGGGCCGGTCGGTGTCGGGCTCCCACTCGGGTGCAGAAATTCCGGCCTTGATGATGGCGGCGAGCTTGTTGCTGATCGGTGAAGTGTACGACTGGAAAAGGCGGGCGTAGATCTGAGACAGGGCGTCGTCGATCTTTGCGCCTTCTTCGAGCTTCACTGAAAAATGCTGTTCGTACTGTGCGATCAGTTGAGGGATAAGATCGGTACGCAAGGCCTGAAGGTTGGACAGGGTAAGAAGGATACGGATGCTCTGTAATGCGTTAGCTTCTGTACTTGATATTGTTTATATGAAGAATTCTTACCTTGCTTGATGCGTCAACGGCGTTCGAGCTAAGATCACGAGTTGTCAATGTGCGCAGTGGCAGGGTAAGGCCATCGACGTCATCCTCCCATCCAGTGTTGTCCAAATTCTTCGGGCGCTCCACGTTCTCCACCATGCCCTGAAGAACTTTGTAGATGCTGGTTACGAATTGACTCCGAACCATGGCCAGAAGTTTGCTTGAAGGAGGTATCACAACATCTCCAGCGCTGGATCTGGTCATAGCCTCAGACAAGTATAGCATCTTCTGCACAGTAGCCAGAAGAGCGTTGTCCAAGCCCACAAACCGGAAAGGCATATGGGTTAAATACTTGTTGTCAGACCAGCGCGTCCAGTCCTCAAGCAACTTGGCATAATCTGCGTCCTCTCCCCAGGCACCACAGACAGCTTGCACACAGCGTTCGCGGACCGTGCCGACGAAGAGTTTTAGCTCATCGTTTGTACGGTCACCACGCGTGATCCGCAGAGCCGCTATTTCACTTGCGGCAGAGCCAACAAGGATCAATATCTTGCTCAGGTATTGCACGCCGCTCAGCGAATTGGAATAAGGCGCCCAGAATGCGTACTTTTCCCATCCAGCGCCAGTCTTAGGGGACGGCGGGGGTTTGCTGCCATCGATCTTGAACCTTGCATCCAGACCCGGCGTCAATGGACCAGGCATAGGAGTCCTCGGTGTATCCGGGATAGGAGAATAAAGCAGGGAAATATCCTCAGTGGGAGGATCAGTGAAGAAGGACTGTACGCCCTCTCTGATCAGGTTTACAAGCTCCTTCGCACCGGTTTGTAGGTCCATGACACCAGACGAAGACAGGCGGTGATGCGCTTTACTCTTGCCTTCGGGGCCAATAGGCAAAGTTCGTTGAGCCTTGCCGTCAATAAATGACTGCGCAGTCTCCCAATATTCAACGACCTCTGCCAGTACGCCACCCTGAGGCGAGAGAAGCGCATTTAGCGATTGAAACTCGTACTCCCAAAAGTCGATGACCTTTGACGAATCAATCTTCGCCGCCTGGTTGGGCTTGTCCAGGGTTTCGGCAGCTCGCAAGTGCGTGGCAATTTGTCGTGGAGTCGGCCTTTCCCCATTTCCAAGACGGCGGCGCAATATTTCTATTTCAACCTTTGAACGTTCCAGAGTAGCGATAATCTTGGTCTTCAGGAAGTCATAGCGGCTGAGGAGCCAGACCCAGATCGGGTTGTCATCAACGCCCAGTTCCAAGAGCACCCTGATGAGTGTCATATGCTGCTCTGGCTTCTCGTCCTCGGCCGGAGACTGCTTCGTGAAATGCGTTCCAGCCAATCTCTTCCAGACATCACGCTTGAACACTGCAATCTGCTCTTCAACGTCGGTCCACATGCGAGCCGTCACAATGACCTGGTGAATCTGCGGATCCGTGAGGGGAACGCGGTTGTCCGTGGCGTTCTCCACAATCCTCTTGGCCTCGTTTGCGTATCTACGCGCCTTTCCATACTCCTCAGGAAGCATGTCGTAGTCCCGTCTTTTAATGCAGTCCTGAATCGATGCTCCAATCTCGAACAGATTCCGGTGCTTCTCAACCGATGACAGGATGGACTTCAACATTTCTCCGCGCTCACGACCACCCAGGGCGGGGCCCCATATTTCCTCGGCCTTAACAGCGACTTCCAAAAGAGGGGTCTTGATACCCTGGACGCCATATTCACACTCTTTTGTCAAAGCCGTTTTCCTCTTGTCCCCGACAGGCACCTGTCCTGGAGCGACAAGTGCCTGACTGGCTCTGCGGTAGTGACCGCTTTGGCGGCCACTGAACTGGCGGGACCCGGTGCGAGCGTGGCCCTGTGGCTGCTGGGGATCTCGACCCTGGTCGCGCATCTCCATGTACACATTGTCGATGGTTGTCTTGGCGCGGACGAAGCGCTCAAAATTGGATTCTACGAGGACCTTGAGGGAGGCGGATTTTTTCTCGATGGAGCGCGACAGAAAATCCAGGCCTTGAAGGAGCGATTCGGTGGAGGCATCGCTGTGAACCTGCGACAGGAACAGGCCGGGGTTGAAGGTAGTGGAAGACAGCAGAAAGCGATTGCCTGCACTGCGGTCAGACAGCTTGTAGGGGAGAAGGTTCATGTCAGTACACACGGAGCTTCAGGTCATCTTCCACGGGGAGCCCCCTCTGCCGTAAGACGTTGACGACGCTAGAGGCATTCCCCAGGGGATCGGCCTCGTCTTTTTGCACGAGCGTGTCGACGCCCTCCTTCGTCTTCTCGGTGCCAGGCACGCTGCTACGGATGCCGGATCGCTCGAGCACGGAATAGCGGGAGCGCCTGCGCTGGATGGCGGCAGACTGCCGGTTTGGCTGCGGTTCGTCATCGGAATCCTCTGCTTCGTCTTTCTCGGTGGGCCACTCGGAGGGGTAGAGCGTCTTGAGGTTGTAGTGCTCGAGGAGCTGGCGCTCCATGTCGGCGGCCATTGCGCAGCGGCGGGGTCGGGGAGTGGAGAGAGAGCTTGGCTTGGTGGAGGCTCTTTGTCGGGCGGCAGGGCAGCCTAGCTGCCAGTTGCGGCTACGTTAGCTCCGTGGAGGGAGCCACAGCGTAACGCGGGCGTGCACGTGCCGGGCGGTGAAGAGAGTGCCGCGCGCGAAGCCGACCCGAAGCATTTCCCTGCTGCACCCGGTTTGCGCCTTGGCGGATGAACTAATTGCGCGCTGAAAGCAGAGCAGCAAAGCTTCCTCCGTCAACACCAGCGTCCCGCTGCACCCACACGTACTCCCGCCCATCGCCTCTCCGCTCACCCACGCGTCCACCATGCTGGCCACTCGCTTCGCCGCCCCCGCCAGGCAATGCCTGCGCCAGGCCCGTCCCGCGCCGCGCTGGGCGCCCGCCGTTGCGAGGTCCTACTCTGCCGCCGGCGGAGACCGTGTGGCCAAGTTCACCGGCCAGAAGGGCAACGACGGCAAGTACACCGTCACCCTGATCGAGGGTGATGGTATCGGCCCCGAGATCTCTCAGTCCGTCAAGGACATCTACTCGGCCGCCAACGTACGCTCGTCCACTCGCCCGCCTCCCGCCGAGCATGCGCATTGACAGCAACACCAGGTCCCCATCAAGTGGGAGAGCGTCGACGTCACTCCCCGTCTTGTCGACGGCAAGACTACCATCCCCCAGGAGGCCATTGACAGCGTCAACCGCAACAAGGTCGCCCTCAAGGGTCCTCTCGCCGTACGCAATCTCGCAAACCCTACCCGACAGCCTACCCCAGCCCCGCCTAACCACCATGCATGCAGACTCCCGTCGGCAAGGGTCACGTCTCTCTTAACCTGACTCTGCGCCGTACCTTCAACCTCTTTGCCAACGTCCGTCCCTGCAAGTCCATTGCCGGCTACAAGACTCCCTATGACAACGTCGACACCGTCTTGATCCGTGAGAACACCGAGGGCGAGTACTCCGGCATTGAGCACGTCGTCGTTGATGGCGTCGTCCAGAGCATCAAGCTCATCACCCGCGAGGCCTCTGAGCGTGTCCTGCGCTACGCCTTCCAGTACGCCCAGGAGGTTGGCCGCACCAAGGTCCGCGCCGTCCACAAGGCTACCATCATGAAGATGTCCGACGGTCTCTTCCTGAACACCGCCCGCGAGCTCTCCAAGGAGTTCCCCGACATTGAGTTTGACGCTGAGCTTCTCGACAACACCTGCCTGAAGATGGTCACCGACCCTCTGCCGTACAACGACAAGGTCCTGGTTATGCCCAACCTTTATGGTGACATTCTGTCCGACATGTGCGCCGGTCTGATTGGTGGTCTTGGTCTTACTCCCTCCGGTAACATTGGTGACGAGTGCTCCATCTTCGAGGCCGTGCACGGCTCCGCTCCCGATATCGCCGGCAAGGCCCTGGCCAACCCCACCGCTCTGCTCCTGTCCTCTATTATGATGCTTCAGCACATGGGTCTCCACGAGCAGGCCAACCAGATCCAGAGCGCCATTTTCAAGGTTCTCGCCGAGGGCAAGGTATGTCACATCCCGCAATCCACCCCATTTTCACCCCACGCAGATCCCTGTCCTCATTGGGTCACGAGCCCGCAAAGCGGCGTCGGCTAACTGCTATCTCTGTAGACGATAACCGGCGACCTTGGCGGTACCGCCAAGACCCACGAGTACGCCGACGCTGTCATCAAGGCTTTGTAAAGTAGTGCTGAGGTCTTGGAAATTTTATAAACAAAATTTTGGGGGGGCTTCCCTTTTTCCATTCAAACAATCAAAGCATACGGATTAGAGGATGTTGCATCTGCGGCTGGATTCGAGCGCGTGTGGGGTCTCAATTGTGATCATGTAACTTTTGTCGCGGCTGTATCATAACCCTGTGGAAGTAGACGGGAAGAGCATTGGAAGGCATATAGAAGGACTGCCGTTGGGCATCATTCGTCATCCTGTGCCGCACTACTATTGTCAAGCGAGACGCCCACGCTCCGTCCGTTGCGGGTAAACCCGAGGAAGTCATGGAAAAAGTCGGGTCGCTTCCGCGCATCAGAAAAAAAAAAGAAAATACAAATTGCCGTACAGGGTATATCAAAACAATCAGATAAGCCCGACTTCGGGACCAAGCAAACACCGAGGTCCCCGTCCCGACCTCCGCCATAGCCGACGCCTCATCCCAATGTGCACTAAGGCGTGAAACAAATCGTCCTTGTAAAATTCGATGATCGTAAACTCCGTCTCTTTTCGTACAGAAGAGAATCCATCATAGCCATCCGTTGAAGATGCTCATCGCACAATCGCCGGATCATGTAGTTCATACGGCGGCGGTGGTTCCTGCGGCACGCTCAAGCTCCCACCACGCGAGCTAGCAGCAGTAGTCTTCTGGCGTTGCGATGACGAACCGCCGACCATCTCCTCCTCTTCATCCACTTCTTCCTCTTCTTCCCGGGCGTCCCCACCAACCCGGCCTGGCTGCTGCTGCTGCCGCCTCCGCTTTTTCCCCGGAGATGCCTCGGCCTTTCTTCTCCCCCGCCCGCCGCCGCCGCCGACAGCATTCGCGTCTCCTTCGCCCAGAGCGCGCTTCTTGCCCTTTTTGGACGACGATGACGGTTTTGCCGTTGTTGTCTTCGTCGCCTTTTCGGGTTGCTTCTGCTTCTCCTTCTCCTTGCCTTTCCCCTTCCTGAACGCCAGCACCATCGTCTCTTCCCCGCCGGCGCCGGCGCCGGCGCTGACGCCCTCAGCAACTGGCGCCGCGCGCGCTGCCCGTAGTAGTGCTGTGTAGAAAGCGTCAACGACGCGCTTGAGCCCGGCGACCGAGATGGCGGCGGTTGACGAGTCTGCTGGCGCGGCGGTCGCGGCCGTGTGCGGGGAGAAGAGCTTGAGGCGGCCGTCGGCGGAGAGGGCGAGGAGCGGGGGCAGGGCGATCTTGGAGATGTGGACGCCCGGGTGGGCGAGGTCCAGGGCGAGGTGGGTGCGCAGGTAGTGCGAGAGCGCGGCTGTGAAGGGGCCGGTGATGTTGTTGTTGGTGGTGGGGAGGAGGGCGGTGCCGCGGCGGAGCAGTTCTGGGATGTCGTTCCGGGAAAGGGTTATGTCGAGCGCGCGCAGGGCGGCGGTTGGGCAGGCGGCGGGGAAGGAGAGTTGGAGTTGTAGGCGGGAGAGGATGGATGGGAGGGGCGAGGCGGAGGAGAAGCTGGTGCTGGCTGTGGCGTCGAGGTGGGAGAGGATGGTCTCGAGCGATGCGGAGAGGAAGCGCGAGCGCAACTTCATGGGAGCGACGCGCGCGTCGAAGGTGGAGGCGATGTAGGACGTGAAGCTGTCACGGAGCGCGGCGGGCATTCGCACAAGGAGGAGCGGCAGTGCCGTGAAGCCTTCTGGCGCTGGAACGCTCTCGTCCTCTGGGTCACGCAGTAGCAGCGCGGTGTAGCTAGCCTTCTGGTACCGCAGCTCGACATGTACACCTCGTGCTTCCGAAGGATCAAGAGACGGTGCGTCCGTAAGGTCGCCCGGCTGTTCATCCTCCTGTGCTTCTGCATCTTGCTGGTGTAGTTTCTCCCATGATGCTTCATCTCCAATCAAATCCCATGTGCAGCTCTCCAATATGCCGGAACCGCCGTCCGCGTTGCCGGCGCCGACGTCAACGCCGCGGAGAATGTCACCACGCAGGATGTCGCGCAGCCGGCGTGCATGCATCCGGAGCGTGGTCTCTTCAAGCAGTATATTTGCGCCATGGTAGAGAGGCGACAGACGATATGCGGTGTAGGTCGAGTCGTACAGCGGGTATTTAGGAATGGGATCCGCCATGGCCGGCGGTGGTGACGCGTAGGTTGCAGAGCGCGTCCGTGGAGATCGAGAGCGTCTCCAGTGGTGTTCTGGCGTGTCGTATGGGAGATTTGAGCGACCGCATGTAATTTACAGCGATTGCGGACGGGATTTCTGCTTGATCAGCACATTGGACGTCTCGAGGGTGTGGAGCTAGCTCTTGACCAGATCCGTCTGTTTACCTACAACGGCAAAACTGCGGCAGTCCAACCATCTCTGTCCCGCTTCAGTAATCTCTACCTACACACTCCACGCCAAATCTCTACTTGACTTTCTCGAAACTGCGCGTCCGCTGACCAGGTGGCTGGCTTTCCTCATGGGGCGAGCTGGACAGATCTTCGTGTTTACGAACTTCGAGAAAAGGTAGAATTCTAAAAGCCAACAACTGTTGCAGCGGCAGTGGGATGGCTGCAATGCCCCGCAGCGGCGCGTCTTGGCAAGCATCTTACTGGATTGTCTTATATTTCCGACCTTTTCAGCTCTACAAGGTCTTTTCGCTTGCTATTGCAACGAAATCGGGGTAGGTATGGGGATGTATTAGTTCACATACATGTCGTGCATTCAAATCCAGATGCCCTTCAGTCGTCTTTTACATCATTAAAGGACTCGTAGTATAGGTATTCCAATGACTCATATTCGGACACTGTTTCTCCACAAACTTACCGCGGCTTACCGCAGTTCACCGCGCCTGCCCAATCCGGCAAGCGCTAATCTCGGCGGCCCTGTATAAAGACCAGCTACACGGCGCTCCCAAAAAGGCTCTGTCGATCTGCCGTTATAGACGTTCGTCTAATCTTCCTTTCAGTTCTGAAACCCGTTGTTTAATCAAGTCTTTCGGGTGGTTACTTTACCAAAGTTCCTAAAGTGATTCTGAAGCTTTTGCAAAATGGGTCTCACGACGACATCTCAACTGGAGAGCTATCTTGCGTCAGCAGGAATAGAGTTCGCATATGTTGAGGAGTTGTCCGGTGGCACGGGGAACTTCGTCTGGCGCCTCACGCTGCCCACTGGAGAAGTACGGGTTGTGAAGCACGCCGAACCATACGTCAAAAACAACCCCAACATCCCCTTCAACGTCGACCGCATGGTGTTCGAAGCCAACGCTCTCTCTCTCCTGCCGCAAACGCTAAGCTCGTCTGAGCTCTCCTTCATCTATTCTTCACCACTTACTAACGCTTCCCAGCACCCAACTCACACCTACTACACCAACTGTCCGCCTCCCAACCCTCTACCACTCCGACCCGGACGCCCACATCCTGATCATGGGCGATGCCGGGCCGCTCAACCTCAAAGCATGGTACCCCACCGCTCCTACCGAGGCTATCCCCCCGATCGGCGCCGCGCTCGGTGTCTGGCTCGCACAGCTGCACCACCGCACGCGCAACCTACGTTCCCACATCGATAACGTCACCGCCAAGGGCATATACCGCTATGCCTACGCAAACCTCGCGACCGCTTTTGAGAAGCATGGTCTCGATCCCGCCTACGCCAGGTCGGTCGATGAGGAGTTCGGATCCAAGCTCGCGACTGATAATGTTTGCGTCTGCCATGGCGACTTCTGGCCCGGCAATGTGCTTGTGCGTGAGCAAGAGGCAGATGGATCAGAGATGCCGGCGAAGACGCTGAGTATTGTTGACTGGGAAATGACACGCCGTGGGATCGGAGCGACGGATGTTGCGCAATTCGCGGCCGAGGCGTGTTTGCTTGATCGGTTTTGTGGTGGGAAGGGGCTTCTACAGGCCTTCTTGGAGGCGTATGTGGGAGCGGCAAGGGAAAATGGGGAGGTCGGTGGGAATCAAGGGAAAGAAGAGTTTGTGAAGAGGTTGATCGTCCATTTCGGTGTTCATGTGGCGTTTTGGCCTTCCGTTGTGGAATGGTGTGGGAAAGAGGAGACGGGAGACCTGGTGAAGCTTGGAAAAACGTATATTGAGACTGGTTGGGGTGCAAACTGGGCTGCTGCCAAGGAGGGACTGCTGGCACCGGTGTTGGGTTTATTAGAGTGAGATTTCAGGCTCCGAGTCGTAGACAAATGTCATTTTGCGACGCATTCATCTTAGATCAAGGCCCAGTTGAGGCCTGTATGAGATCGAGAAGAAGTGCCACAGTCCCATATTGCATCCAGCCGCGTTTCAAACGATAGGACCGGTTGAGAAGAACCGGTGTGGGAGCGTGGGAGGACGATGACGACGTGATCGCCGCGCTCGAAAGTGGTTGCCGCCCTGCCCGCACTTCCGAGGCTTATCGTCGCTATCGTGTACGCATCCTCGCCTCGACTTACCACCCCAAAACTGACCATGTCTTCCTCCAAGATATGTAGGCTTCCGCCTGAACTGTTGCTGCATGTTCTAGACAGCCTTGCGCCGCCGTCTGACACCGTTGCTCTCCATCTCTCCGACCCGGCGGCGAAAACGATCCATGCCTTCACTCGTGTGTCGAGACTTACCTATCCAACCGCCCTACGCTATCTCTATTCACGTTGCTTGAGTATCGACTCCGAGAGCCGCTTGCGTCTACTTCTTTTATCACTGGAAAGCCTCACTGCCCCGGGACGCTCTGAAGAAAGCACCCTTCCTCACGTGGAAATTAAGCCGCTTCTAACCAGTCTATACCTCGCTCCGTTTCCACCCAACTCGATCGACAGCCAGCCCATCGCTCAATGGTGCTTTGAGCTGTTGTCTATTATGCAGTTCACGCTCAGACGACTCGTTGTCGATATTCCTTTTCACACCATGGCCCCCCACATGGACCATCTCAATGTCTTTCCAAAGCTCAATACTGCCTTCGATCAGCTCTGGGCCCTTGAAGAATTTGTTAGCTGCGGCACGTTTCCGAACCTTTGGTGGACTCTTTGGCCTCGCCTTAAAAGGCTGGCTCTTACTGCCACCAGCCTGGAAGACTTGAATGATACTCTTTCCAAGGAAGAAGTGTTGGACGGCGTTGAATGCATGGTACTGGCAAATCCGTCCTTCTCCACGCCCTCTTCAAGACGAGTCTTCTTCCATCGAACAGCGCAAAGCAATACTTCGGTGACATTACTGCATCAGGATGACGAATTCCGGGCTTATTGGAGTGCTGCCGACCGGTGGCTGTCCATGGGCATGGGGGAGTCTGCAAATGGAGGTGACGACCATCGCAGCGAATGCCTTGAACGGTTTTGCCTGCCTCCAGACCACACCTTTCGTCGGGATTGGCTCCTGGAAAAAGCGCTCCATGGAGAGTTGTGGGCTGTAGGAAAAGAGAAAGATCCGCCAATAGAATTAGAAGCGTCGCCTCCAGATATGGCACCATCAGCTCTGCTCAACCAATTAGCTCTCCTCGCCTTGGATCAAGCTTAAAAAGACCTCATCGGACAAATTTCTCATGGCCGAACATCAAGACTCTACGACAGATATACCAGTTCATTCAACGAACAAGTCCAGCGCCTCACCATACCCATTATACGCCAATCCCCTCCAGTTCCAATCCGGAAACCGCGGCTGCATTTCTCTCCCATCCGTCGCTCTACTCCAAATACACTTCCCCGCACCCTTATTCACCTTCACCTTCGCACGCCACAAGCTCCACGCCCACCGCAAATCCAGCCCCTTCGCTCTAACCTCCTCCGGCGGCTCTAGGATCTTCGCCTCGGTCCATGTCCGTCCCTCGTCGCCCGACACCTCGACCTTTCTCACAGGGCCATTTCTCCCACCAGGCAACGCGTAGCCCGCCACCTCAATGGTGCCGTCGGCGGCAGATGGCGTAACGCGACTCCCGGACCGTGGGAAACCGATGACGGAGTTGACGGGCATATCCATGAGAGCTGGAATGCGGTTCCACCATTTGTCTGAAGACATTTGGTCATTGCAATGGACAGGGAGGATCTTATAGTCGCGCTGCTGGTAGTGGTTTTGGCTCTCAAATGGTTGAACAGTGATAGTGTCGACCCTACGTTCAGCCACCAATCCTAAATCAGCAGCCTTTTCTCCAGCACGTAGCAAGAAACCATTCGCGATGAGCAATACATACCACTTCACGCTCCTCGCCCCCGCCACGCCCGGCACGACGATGCGCACCGGCGCCCCGCGCGCCGCCGTCAACGGCTGCCCGTTCGCCTCAACCGCCACAACGACCTCGTCCTCGGCACTCATCGCCCGCGCCAGCGGGATACTCGCTCCGTACCAGCCCTCCTCCTGACACGCCGTCGCGTGGCTCGCGAACTGCACGTGCAGGCCTCCTCCTCCTCCGTCTCCTCGAACACCACCCCTACCACCACCTCCACCGCCGCCGCCACCGCCATCCACAACGCTATCCACCCGCTCCAACGCCGCACCACCACCACCAGCGGCGACAGCAGCAGCGGAGGAGTCAAACACCACGCCCGCGGCGCCCAACACGTCCCGCAGCCGCGGCCCGCGCCAGACGCAGCACATGGCGGCGCCGTCGAACCAGTCGATGCCCTTGACCTCGCGCAGGCGCGTGCGCATCTCGTGCCGGCGGTTGCCCGCGCACTGCAGGGCCGCGACGACTTCGTGCTGGGGGAAGCGGGTGCGGAGGTCGGTTGGGGTGAGGGTCAGGGAAGGAGGAGGAGGGGCGTTGCCGGTGGCAGATGTCGTCGTCGTCGTGTTGATGGTTACGGTTAGGGTGTGGGTGGTTGGGTTGATGTGGGGGATCGGTCTGGTTTGGGTTTTTGGACTTGGTGTTAATTTTTTATGCGGTTCTGTTTTTGTGAGGGTTGAGGGGGGAGGAGAGTGAAGTGGTCTCTTTCTTTTTTCTACTTTCTTTCTGTACTTAGATCTGGAAATATTGCTGCGTGCCCAAGGAATAGAGCTTCATGACTAGAGACGAAAATAGAAACAGACGTACCCATGATTTCTGTCGAAATTTCCGGACTTGGTAAGGAAGCTATGAATGCGTTTGCCCGCTAGTTAGCAAGGTCGACTTCTCCCCCTTTCTGTTGAAGCATGGCATTGGTAAGTTTGTGTGCTCACGAGGATAATAGCTCGCCGATGGGTGGCTCGCGGTTCAGCGGCTCCTTAACGGAGTACTCGAATTTGGTCTACGATGACTATTAGAGTTCGAGGACGAATCAATTCAATCTCCTTGGGAGGTCCGTACGATGGTACTGCCAATTGTAGCCATCTTGCGGGGAGTCACTTTGTTGGGTAACGGGCTCACAGATTCAAAGTCGCGGGTTTATGGCTCGTGGGGGAAGAGGGGAGGAAACTAAGGTGGGCGTCTGGACACAACAAAAACCGGGAAACACGCGATGACGGAGTAAGAGTGCACTACGTGGAGTATGCATCTATTTATCTTACATCAGGTACACGTTGACCTCTCGTAGCCGAGCCGGAAGTGTCACTTGCGAAAAGTATATGTTTCTGTGACCTAACAGAATGGAGAACGAACGGTACTTCGGACGCCTCTGATGCATGGCTCAGCAGATGTGAGTGGTTGGCACGATGCACAGAGGGTGAACGTGGCACGTGGATGTTTGCTGCTACACTGGCCAAGTGCGGCCTCAAACGGTTATACGCATCCTGCGAGTCAGCCAAGCTTTGGTTGACTGGCATGTTAAGCCGTCACAACCCGAATCAGCAATGCTCATTGGTAGCACAAGTTCCGATCTTATCACCTCTTCCCCTCTTTCCAATCCTTTGGTAGCACGTCGGTAACAGTAGAGAATCATACGAACTTCTGCAAGTCCAGCTCCAACCAAATCAATCGCATAAATCCTGCGATAGCTCCTCCAATGCCACCAGTAATGCCTTGGAACTACCGGAAGCAGCAGTATTTGGGACGAACATCAGGTTCTCGTGATGGACGTCTCAATGGCTTGAAGCTTCCAGAAGTGCGCAGTCGCGCAGCTCCAGCACGTATGCCAGATATCTAGACAAAGACACCCCCAAGACACAGCTAGCAGCAATCACTGCCCATGACATAGAGGGTCTGCGGTGGGGTTTTGGTATACTTGCCGATGCAAGATGAATGCGGCGTCCTCAACTCTGGTACCCCGCGCGAGTGAGGTTCCCCAAACCCCTTTTTGGGACAGCATAGCTTCGCCGACGAAGCTTCAACCATATCAACCCGCGAGCTCATCGTCAATGTCGAGAATCTCTTGGGTAAGAGACTGCACTCCGTCTTTAGACAGCATGTCTACACTGCCCTCCAAGTCCTTGACTACGTGCTCAAGACCGCTCATCAAGGCCGCTAGCTCAGCACGTTGAGCCTGTATCTCGGACAGTAGCTGGGTGTTCGCTTTCTGGGTGGTCGACAGCTCGGATTGCAAGGTCTCGGATTGGGCGGAGAGGAAGGGCTGGAGGTGGGCGAGGGCGAGTGTCTCAGCGGGGAGTGTATGCGGTCTGTTTGCAGTTAGCAGATGCTGGTCATCAAATTACCGACGTTACGTCCGCACGGGCTTCGGCACTATAGAGCTTCTAGCGCCTCGTATCGAAGAAACTCACGGGGTAGGTGGCTTGACAGTCTCTCCATTGGCCTCTGCCTCTGCGCGCTCTTTGCGTTTCTTGGCATCCTGAACAAGAGCATCGAGAGAGTTTAAAGATTGGACGACATTCCGTGAGGCGAGGATCTGGTCAAAATTGTTCTATGGGGCAGAAGGGGCGAAGTCAGTCACCGGGTTTGCAGGGCTGAGACACGGTGGGGATCGTCGGCTCATCCAGGGACGGCGCCCGCGGCATGCGAGTAGCGCATGGAGCTTGTGCTGTTATCGCTCACTCACCCTTGCAGCGTCTCCCACTCGGCCGGTAAAGTCGCGCCAGAAGGCATCGAGGTTCTCGGGCACATATTGGGCAGGCGTCGGGAAGCAGGCGGCGAAATTGGCGTAGGAGCAGCGCTTGATGGTCGCGTCGAGGGCTTGCGCGAAGATGTTCTGTAGGGCTGTCGCGCGCGGCCCGGGCGAGTCGGCTATAGGCGGGGCACGGGCAGGGGACGGTGAGCGGTCGTTGGCACTGCCGTTCGGCTGCTCGTCGACAGCGGCCGGCATTGTGGTGCGGCTGTGGGCGAGATTGTATTGGCGATGGGAGAGCAATGGGCGGGCGTGGGCGCTTGTTTACGGTTCGTCGGCCTATATTTGGGTCGCTCAAGTCGGCAGCGCCGGCTCTTGGCGGGACAACCGGCCGGCGCAGCGCTCAAGCCACAGCCAAGCTGGGGCAAGCTTGACACCAACTTGAAACCCAACCGCACCCTTTTCTCTGCTGCTGCGAGAGCTCCGCCATGCATACCACACCGCCCTGAATTGCGGCGATTGCTGCTCTCGGTGCTACGCGCAGCGTCTCCATGTCCTCGTCGGCCCCATTCTAAGCCCGCCTTTCTGCTCCATGTGCCTTCAAGGTTAAATTACCTTCGGTTCCAGTCTCGTATCCGCCAGCGGGTCATGTATAGGCCGAGTCGTGCCCGACATGGTGCATGGGTGAACACCACCGAACCAGGCAATTTTTAAAGCGCTCGGGGGAGGGCTAGTGCCCGGAGGCCAAGGGGCTGTGCCACAGGGCTGAAGTTACGGCCAACCCACGATCCGCACGCCAAGTCCGACCCCAACTAGTCTGATGTTATTCTGATGCTTCTGCCTGCTACTTAATACTCAGAGTTTGCCCCAAGACTTTCTTCTGTACCACCGCTCGCTGCACTTTCCTACAACCCAGTCACTCATTTAGTTGAAGCGACAAGATTGCTCCTCACAAACACAATGGACGCCCACGCCGAGAAGCAACAGCTTGCCATGGCCTATGTATGACACCATGCCCTTCTTCGCTTACCTCAGCAGTACTAACAGTCGTCAAAGGCCCAGATGTATCCTACCTGCACTGAGACGGGCGGACTGATGCCTATTCGCATGTCGAGCACACACCTCAAAGTTCCTCTCCTTGTCTCGATTCCGCCGCCTTCAGCCCCTCGCGTCAGTCGCCGAGAGTACCTCTTCGACGAGGAATCGCAGGAGCTGCTATTGGCTGAATACAAGCCCTTTACGCAGTGGGCCGCTATTTTCCTCGTCTTCATTGGCCTCTTGGTCTGCGGTGGGGTTGTCTATCTCGCCGTGCTTGCTTCGGTTGCTCCGCCTCCGCAAGGCCTGAGCGTGGCCTGAGCGCAACGGGCCAATGCAGCCGCAAGGGGCGGCATGCAATCTTTCTTTCTCATACGAGACCGGGATATCCTACCAGGGTCTATACTATACCGCCCTCACGCCAGACTTCAAGACAACCGTCACCAAAAGGGGCTTTCTTCCGCGGATGCTAGCAGAGAAGCGCCAGAAGCGCCCAGTTCCAACAGGGGACCTGGAGAGCGTCTTGCGCAGGGGAGCGCTCGGGGACACGACCTCCCCCCACCCGGGGCGTGGCCGATAAACCTCAAGCAGGTTCTGTTCTTGAATATGATTGTTCATTGTAACGGGTTTTCGAGGGACTAGGGTCGGAGGATACGCATGCGGGGAGATGATTCCAAGGATTGGAGACTTTTCGCAGCTGGTGCGAGCTTTCTGGATGAGGCAGGACACGCTCGCGCTGGAAGGTCGGCGTCCGACTAGGAAGCACTTCCGGCGCTTCTAGGAAGGAAGGCCATGGACCCTTTTCACGTGGATGGAAATACATGGGATGCACGATGAAGGCTTTGAACGTGGATCGGAAGTAGCGCGTCCCTGCTGCATGCGGGAGGCGTTTGCTTGGAGGAAGTCGCGCGTTTGCGACGTCCCAAAGCGGTTAGACCGTCGCGTCATGGCATACAGTCCATACATTTATTTCCTTGAGTAGCTAAACAACAACTCTTACCTCACCATCTCACGCTCATCACTTCCCTCTCAAAGCTTCAAGTGACCTGCGCGGCCAATTTTGTCGTCGCTCGTGCCCTCAGACAGGTATGCCGCTTCTTCGCGCACGCAGATATCCGCGACACTTTGCATTTTCATCCTCGAAGCTCGTCTGCCTCGGTCGCTCCAGCTGACAACGCGTTCATCAGACTCCATTCGAGGTTCCAGGCAGGTCCTGCGTCAACCAGCAACCATGCGGAACCTCTACACGCCGCTCGAGAGCAACCCTTACCAGCCTCACAAGACGGTCGAAGCCAAGTACACCTTGTGCGAGACTTGTGAGCGCAACATCGAGAGCAAGGATTGGCCCGCCCACCAAGCCGGCAAGAAGCACCAGAAGGCCAAGAAGGAGAAGGAAGCCAAGGAAGCTGCCGCAAAGAAGCCTGTCCAGGAAGACAAGGTCGCCGACTGGGGCGATCAAGTCAACGACGATGCTGCCCAGCAGGAGGAAGCCGGTTGGAACGACGAGAATGGCTTCACCAGCACCGGTCCTTCCAAGAACAAGGGTTCTAACGGTACTTGCTACAACTGTGGTGAGCCCGGCCACATGAAGGCCGATTGCCCCCAGCCTCCCAAGGGCGGTGGAGGTGGCGGTCAGGAGTGGTAAGTTGGACGCTATGAGTCGATGCTACCTGAATCAGGCGAGAATACTCACTGTATCTACAGCTTCCACTGCGGCCAGCCTGGCCACCGTAAGAGCGAGTGTCCCAACGGCGGCGGCAATGCCTGCTTCAGGTGTGGCGAGTTCGGTCACCGCAAGGCCGAATGCCCCAACCCTCCCCAGGGCGGTGGCGGCGGCGGCGGTCGCCCTTGCTTCAACTGCGGCGAGATCGGCCATCTCAAGAGCGAGTGCGTCAACCCGACCAACCCTGCTGCTGGTGGAAGCAGCCGTACTTGGTGAGTGTCCTTCTACAATGATTCCTAACTTCCGTTGATACATTTTAGCTACAAGTGCGGCCAGACTGGACACATCGGCAAGGACTGCAACTTCTGCCAGAACTGCGGAGAGGAGGGCCACGGCTTCTTCGACTGTGATAAGAAGCGGGACTGGTCCAAGATCACCTGCTCTGTTTGCAAGGAGAAGGGCCACACTAAGAAGAAGTGCCCCAAGGCCCAGGAGATGGAGGCTAGTGGAGGAGGCTTTGGCGGTGGCTTCGACAGCGGCTTTGGCGGCTCGGCTTCCGGTGGCTGGGACTCTGCCGGTGGTTCTGGTGGAGCGACTGGTGGCTCTTGGGACTCGAACGGTGGCGGCGGTACCTCCAACGACTGGGCCGGAGACGCTCCAGCTGGCGGTGCTGGTGGTGGCGGCGGCGACTCCTGGAACAACGACAGTGGCGCGGGTGCTGCTGGCGACGGCAGTGGCAGCTGGGACAACTCTGGTGGCGATGACAACGCTACCGGCTGGTAAATCCCAGCCCCATCCTGGGTTCAACCTGGGTTCTCACGACAACGACGTTCATCATAACGAAGTTCAAGCTCAGTTTCACGATGGCTATTTCTACAACTGACGTAGAAGTCACCTGTGGACATTATTACGAGAGTGTTATACGGGTTTCATTGAAAACAAAGGGCCACGGTTGACTAGCTTTTCTATAGTAAATCCACTAGGCTCTTCGCTAGACATGCATCTGATCAGTGCCTCGTGATTCGAAAAAAAAAAAAAAGCATTCTGCGAATGTGCTTTCACTGACTATGTTAGAAGTTGGCTTTACTTATCACAGCACGCCATCAATGCGGGCCCTCCCGAGGGCAAAAGAGGTTCTGGAAGTAACACGCTTAGCGATTATTCAGACCCGATCAGGTAGTAAACCACGTCGAGAACGCATGTTCATGACAGATTTATAGTCTAGAGAAATTCCGCATGGTACTTTTTGAGGAGCTTGGAGACCAAACTTGCTGTTGTTGGCAGAAGCGATCAACCAGGGGTGTATTTAGCGCTTTCTTTCGGGTAGCTCAACACATCACCCATTCACCTCCTCAGATCCTCGCCTCAGCCAGCCGCACATCGTTGCCCTCGACGCTTCTTGAAGAATCGCGGACACAGGTTTCTGGCAGACGAAGAACGGGGAGATGAACGAGACGCACAAGCGACTGGCCTTTGGATTCCGATTGATTTCGACCACGAAACCGAGCATACTTTCCGTACTCAGTGTTGGATCGTTTCTCGCGCCAGAAATGGAAGAATTTTGGGGATCTAACAAGATCGTCTCTTCTGAGCTCTCACAGCAAGAGACATCGCTTAGCAAACTGTTTATCGCGTCATTCAATGTGCTACTACAGAGGAGTGCTGCAGCCGATGGCCAGCGCGAAGGATAGCAGGGCTCTAGAACATAGCGTAACTATGCCCCCAGCTTTGCTTCAGAAAAATAACGTATATGGGCAGTTGAAACTATCGTCCGGACGTGTATGTAGAGTTTTTAATTCGACATTCTCGTCCGGACGATAGCGCTAACTACCCATGACATGACCAAAAAATAAATCCGCGCTAGCCATCGGCTGCGAGAAGGGACTGTATACAAAGCAACCGTCAGCTTTCTTTGCAAGGTGAAACCGGAATATTTCCGGCAGCATTACGAACCTTTCTTAAGGCTCTACAGTACGAAGCTAAAAAAGGCTTGATGCGGCATTGAAGGGCGGAAGCGAAGTCTCGGCGCTGATGATCTTATTGCGATTGCAAGGGTTCCCGTTCGTTGTCAGCGATTTGTGTAAAGCTCTTCAAAATCTCGCGGAAAAGGACCCTTCGGAAGCAGTACCGAGGGATAGTTTGAGGATCCCGATTTAGAACGAGGCTTTTGACCAGGAATTGAAGAAGGAGGACTCGGTGCAGACAGCCCCTTGTTGGACCCGCAAAAGAGGTCGAAGAAAACTATGGACAAAGAGCAACATTGAGTCTCCCGCGAAGCTTCTGGTATTCAACCTAACGGGCAGCAGAGCAAAGTAGAGCTCAGAGCGTCTTGGCAATTCGCTCCGGGACTCGACAATGACCAGGACACAATGAGTTCGACGGGAAGAACTTCAAGATGATCGCCACTACCAACACCAACCACGACTTCTCGGGTGGGAATGTATCATCCGCTTTATCACGAATTCGTTTGTGATGCACGGACTGTCATAGTCCACCAAGATATTCATTTGGTGAATCCAAATGGGATTCTGTTGATAGGCGCGTGGACACTCATAGAGTGTCCACTTGGATGTGGACGTGTTTGGATAAAGGCAAGCAGAGAAATGGCGGAGACTGCAAGAGAGTTCACCTTCCCCCCTGGAATTCTGGTGTATGATCAACAAAGACAAAGTCTCGTATCAGCGCATCGTTGACCACATCTTCAAATGCCGCGAACACTACAAGGTCCCAACAGACAGGCAATTCCCCGCTGGTACCTCACTAAATGGCTCCAGGACCTTCTCCGTAGAACTCTTTGTCTATTCTGCGAGACGTGTCGTCCAATAAGTGTATTCTCGGGGAACCAACCTTATTAATAAGATTTCGGGTGACCTTCAACTGTTCATGCACCAGTCCAATCAACTTCGTTCGGGAAAGAAAAAGTGGGCGATTGACGAACAAGCACGTCAGAAAATTCTGAAAAGAAAAGTTAACTGACATATATCTGATACATATCCAGTAACAGGAACCAAAATCAAATCGTATCGTGTCAAAATACTCTATCGCCCCTCACTACGACGCAATTCAACCTTTAAGCCGTGCGGGTCAAAGTTTCTGTCAAAAATAAACTTTTATCCTCGTCAATACCTGAAAGCTTAAATTCTAATATAGCCATAAGACAAGCATAGATCTTATTCCCGTCGAAGTTTTATAGCATTTAAAGAATTTAGATCTTTGTGAGAAGACGTAAAAAAAAAGTTGCATAGGGTCCCAGCGGGTGGTGGTTGGGCATCCTCGACCCAACATGAGTTTGATTTTTGGGTTCTACGCCTATAAGCCTATACACACCCCTTCCCCCCCTTCTCATTCGCGAACCATCTCTCCTATTCCCCAATCATCTTTCCCCCCTCAACCCCCTCGCCCCCTCTTTCTCCCTTCAGCCAGCCATCAAACCTTCAACACCACCTCCGCCAAATCCGCATCCTCCTCAAACCTCCCCCGCATCCCCACCAACTCGTCGACATCCCACGTCGCGTGCACGAACCGTCCGCGCAGAAAGCGTCCGGCGTCGCTCGCCAGCCACGTGGCGAAGCCGCCGGGCAGCGAGGGGTCGTCCCAGGGGAACATCTGCTCGGTGAAGCCGATGTCGACCCCGGCGGGCGTGAGCAGGGCGCCCGGGTGGAGGGCGTGCGCGCGGACGGGGCGAAAGGTGGTAGTGGAGGAGAGTTGGCGCAGCTCGGTGTCGAGGTGGCGCAGCATGAAGGTGTGGAAGGGCAGCTTGGAGGCGCCGTAGAGCGACTGCGTTGGGAAGAGGGTGTAGGACATGACGTCGGCGATGGCGATGATGACGCGGTCGGAGGAGGAGGTGGTGGAGGGGGAGGACGAGGCTGGTGGTGGTGCTGTGCGGACGGGCGCGCGCACCTCGCCGCTCATGTCGGCCACGGGCATGTACGCGGCCTCGGGCACGAAGGCACGCACGGCGTTGAGGTTGCCGAGAACGTTGGTCTCGAACGAGGCGCGCAGCGACTGCTGGGTGTAGCCCAGCACGGGGAGGCCGTGGTCGACGTACGCGGCCGAGAGGACGAGGATGTCGATGTCACGGCGCAACTCTACCTTCTTCCCATCGTCATTGTCGTCGCCGCTGTTGATGCGCCGCCGGACGTCCGCGAAGACGTCGTTGACGCGGTCCTCGTCGGTGATGTCCACGGCGTAGGTCAGCACCTTGTCGACGGCTCCGTCACTACTCTTTTCGCCAAACTCGTCGCGCAGCCCCGCCGCCGCCTCGGCCAGCACGGCCTCGCGCCGCGCGAGCAGGACGACGGTGCGGGCCCCCGCGCGCAGGAAGCCGCGCGAGATGAACAGGCCGACGCCCGTCGCGCCGGCCGTGACGACGACCGTCTTGCCCGCGTGCGAGTTGGCCGGGTTGAGCGGCGAGATGGCCGCGTACTCGGTGCGGTGCGTCGTCTTGGTGAGATTGGGCCACGGGTGTGTGGATGACATTTCGGATTCTTCTTCTCTGTTTTAGCCAATGGTGGGAGTGGTGTATTGGTCGGTTGGGAGGCGTTGTTTGATAAGATGGAGCCGTGGACTTAAAAATGTAGAATGATTGTGATGGAACTGATGTTGATCTGACAACTCCCCTTGGAGTGGTGCTGCAATGCCGTACATAGCAGCCTGTTTTGCGTCTCTTATATCCTATTTCTTCTTCTCGCAGCTTGGCTTGGCGCTTACTATTTTCCCTTCAGACGGCTGGTCGAATATGGAGCAGTGATTAATCCCGCGGACGAAAAGTATCGGTTTGAAATGATTCATTCTGACCATGATGCTCTCAGAAGGTCTTGGCCTAAGAATCATCATCCGATGTTCTGTAGGTGGAATGTGCAAACGGTGGGGTGGTGCGTCAGTGGCACAGGAATGCCGAGAGCTTGGCTGCTGAAGGATGCGCCTTCTGGAAACTCGAAGACACAGCAAAGAAGCTGGTCTGACAAATCGAACGCAGACTCACCTGCTGGCGGGATACCTAGCGCACTCGCCATAGGGTGGCGTTTAAGGTTAAACGGACTGCAGCGATATGTTCGCCTAGCACAAGGCCATTGTCAAAGGATACATACGTAACCCAACGGCTGGTTGCATATCGCCCTGACGGCTCGCACCAAGCAACACAAGCACCACGTCGGCGGCTGACTGTGCACTTCACGTCTCCTCGACCTCTTGTACCCTCGCCCCACAGGTCGGCCTCGCGAGGCGTATGAAACGCGAACACGAAATACCATGTATAAGATGCGCGCACATATAGACTCGGGCCGACTGTTATGATGCGCACATATAAGGACAACGACGTTCGAAGAAACCTCCCGGAACGAATCGAATTCGATGAGTATATTAAAGTTGATGAAGTAGGTCTGAGCGACCGTGGAGAGAAGTGGACGGCCGGCATGGTGGCTGCTCGTTCTAGCTATATCTCCGAGTCGACAGCTGTTGCACTCACCGCCGTCATCCCCACTGCATGTACTGAACCTTGCCTTACAAGGCCTACCAGCCACGTCGGCCGGTGGGGGTTTCTCTTGAGGTCTTTTCCGGAGCGATCATCCAGCACACCGGGATTCAGCAACCTTAGCTTGGAGCGAGCGGTGAAGACAATGTTGGCCGGTTGAAGAAACAATATGAAATGACCTATATAAATTCAGATTGGTGACTTCCCATGGCGCATGAGATGGTCGAGTACGTCAATGGTATAAAATTGACTGCCTATAGTCAATAGAATACTCGTCTCTGCGCAAAGTACAACCGAGTACAGTACGGATACACAGGCTGGCGGCGCCTTATGTAGAAGAGTGGTGTAGACCTAGCCAAGAAAGGAAGCAAAAATGGCAGAAGAGATCGTAAATCTCCAGGCACCTACAGCAGTGAACATGTAAGCTCTGTTGGCCGGTCTTGTAGAATCTCCCCTGCCGCTCATTATATGTCAAGTCACTCATTTCGTCATGGTCGGCGGGGGAGCTCTTGATAACGTCATGCATGCTCCTGCAGCACGGTCCTGCGTGCGTGCAGCTTTGGAGATCACCATGAGGGAATTCATATAACCGGGTGATCGCTACACCGATTCGTGGATAAGCGAGCGAATGATGCGTCCTCTTTGAAGCCGGAATGCCGTAGTTGACCAAACTGGTAATGCGGTTTCCGTGATCACCACGTCTCAGCGCTTGGCAATGCACCCCGCCGTAACTTCAAATTTGAACCGTTTTTCTTTTTCGACCCCATGCCGTGCCAAGATCTCCAGCCGAAGATAACTGGTGTCGGGGAGGGGAAAGTCAACTTCTGAGGGTGATGACTCGGATCGGGTACGGAAGTGAGCGAGTCCGAGGGCGTGCTTGACTTCTCGGCTTGAAGAGCAAGACGTATCGACCTGCGGACACAGGTCTTAAGGCTATTTGTACACCCTCGAGAAGGATGCGCACGGCCATCCCGCTCTTCCTAATGGAGAAAAGCTGTTCTCAGAAGATCAGCTTCCCGGTCCAGATGACAGCCATAACTCCGTTAATCGAGGCCAACACTCGGCGCTCGTGCCGTACAAATCCGTCCGATTACCGAGGTGACTTCAAGCAGGGGTGCAATCCCACACGTGAAGAAGTAGCCGTTGGTGACCAGCGCGTTCAAGCACAGGCGATAGACATGAGTTGATGGACGCTGAAGCGCGGGATCGCCGTTGACGTCGTCGGGAAAGTTGATCACAAAGCCGATCGAAAAGACTCTGTGCAAATGTTGTTGTTTTAGACCTGAGGTTATTTTCGTAGATTGACTTTCCTTTCCGGCCGGCCCCCTATAGCGTGAAGCGGTCATCAGTGCTCTAACAGTGAGAGTAGATGAGTTTTAGCAATGTAGACGTGCATGAAGAGACGTGCTGTGATCAAGTCTAGCAACCTGAGTGTGCAAAGAGTGCATGCCATCCACACCAAAGCAGAAGGGCCAGCTCTTGAAACAGGACAGAGTGAACGGCCTGTGCGGAGACGCAAAAGGATTTTACAGTGGAACCTACACCGAACAACAACTGCCGGCATCGATTACCTATGATAAGCCCAGCAACATGGGACCGGTAAACCATCAGGCCCGAGTTTAAGACTGAAGTGGGATGCAGCCACGGAGAGAATGGCGTGAGCGGTAGCATCACCGTGACACCACTGCATTCCAATAGGTGCTTTGAACACTCTCTAGCCCAGGTTGCGGTTCCAGCATGTTGGCAGCGATGCCACATGGCAGACGAGGTTTCTCCGGCATGGATTCAGGGAAGCAAATCCCGAGATGGGTAGCAAGTCCGTGAGATTAACGACGAGATGAGATTCAGATCAGCGATGGTAAGGGCGGGGGAGCGTGCGCCGAGGGAACAGATACAATGGTGGATGTGGATACGGCATGCGTGGCCGGTTGAGGTCTGCGGCTGCAGACGGTGAGCAGACAAGGCAACAGATTGGCGGGCGGAAAGCGGCGGGCTGAAGGATTTGTGGCCGAATCAAGGCAGGCAATGACTCGGCGCAAGGGGCACAGTGGGCGACGTGGAAACCCCCTGGCGCCGAGTTCCGGGTAAGCCATGTGCGCGTGCGCGCCGGGACAACGGTTTGCGTACCTTGCCGGCAGAAAAGGGACCCGCCGTTGATCACTTGGACTGGAAGTCGCCGCTCAACGTCTATCCCATTCCTCATTCCGAGCTTAAGGCAGAACACCGGTGTTCCACGAGTCGTGAAATTACTCGGTGTCCGAGGAGCGCGGTGCTCCCTGCCTGGCGGATGCGGCGCCAAGGCGTCGATGAGCACCCGCACGCCCGTTCACTGCCTTCATTGGAACCCTTGGGCGTGTTGATCCTTTCTCGACTGGCCCACGGCAATGGCGTGCCTCTGCTGCCTCCACGGCCCCGGCTACAGGATCAGACCCTGCTCCCGACAGCCCCGACGTAATCCACAGGCCAGCCGTGAGGCAAGGCAGGCCTTGAAAAGCTCTGTCCGAGTCATTTCAGCCCTTCGCAATCCCCCCATCCAGAAGGACCATGGCCGCGCAAGGGGCCAGCGACGATCGGCTTAGTTGGACAGAGCCCAAGGGTCTTTTCTACCCGTTGCCGCCTGCGAATCCGTAGCGGGATCCCTCGGGTTACCAACGAAGTCCTCAGCTGGCTGCTTCAAGATGAAGTTCGCTCTGTGGTTGTCAGCCCTATTGGCGGCCGTAATCCCCACAGTCCATGCTGCCAGCGCTGCCGAACTGCAACAGATCGTCTCGGTTATGCCGGCGTGCGGAGTGCGTTGAGCTCCCCGCTTCGTTACGTCCGTAGGTACTGACACAGCTCCAGTTGCTCTGCCTCGAGAAGAACATCGCCGCATCGCCATGCGGCCTGACCGATACCGAATGCAGCTGCTCGAACTCAACCCTCAACGCCCAGATCGAGCTGTGCGTTGTGACGACCTGCAAAGTCAAAGAACAATTGAGTACGTCGTCGCTCATCTCGCCACCCTTGCTCTCTGCTGACGAATCCAGCAACCAAAAATGCCACCCAGACGCTCTGTGGCGCGCCGGTACGGGACAGGACTAAATCCGTCTCTGTTTCCGGTATCGTTGGCGGCATCTTTGCATTGATTGCCTATGTCCTCCGCATGGTGGCTCGGCATCCCAAATTCGGCGGCACGCTCGGTTGGGACGATGCTATGATGACCGTCGTCGTCGTTCTCGTCGCGCCGCTGACTTGCCTTTCGGTCGTCCGTAAGCATCTCCGAAATCCGAAAGGCAAACTTCGCAGCTAATCGAGTGGTTAGTGGCAAATCTTGGCCTTGGGAAGGACATTTGGACAATCCCTTTTGATAACATTACTCATATCCTCTACGTGAGTCCATTCATAGTAACTCAACTCCGCAGCCTGCTCACCCAAAGTCCAGATCTACTACTTCGACGAGGATCTGTATCTCTCCGCACTCCCACTCCTGAAGGTCTCCATCTTGCTCTTCTACCTGCGAATCTTTCCTGAAAAGGGCTTTCGCCGGGTCGTGTTCGTCGTCATCGGGCTCTGCGTTGGTTATGCCATAGCCTTCGTCATGGTCTCCATCTTCCAATGTCGTCCGATCAAGTACGCCTGGCTGCAGTGGGACGATGAACATGAAGGAACCTGCAACAACATCAACGCTCAGGGATGGTCTAGCGCTGCGCTAAACGTTATTCTGGACTTGATCGTCATCATCCTTCCAATGCCTCAGCTATGGCAACTGCAGCTAAACAAGCGCAAGAAGTTCCTGCTGCTTCTCATGTTCTCTGTTGGCTTCTTGTGAGTGGTTTGCATCAAGATATCATGAAGTGCATGTCTGACTCCAGTTCTAGCGTTACCATCGTCAGCATTCTCCGCCTTCAGGTCCTAATCCAGTTCGGTAGCACGCACAACTTGACCTGTGAGTTCTGCCCCGCTCTTTCCATATTAACCGCATGCTTACTAGTCCAGGGGATTACACACCTGTTGGATATTGGTCCACCATTGAAATCCATGTTGGCATAATATGCGCATGCGTAAGTCTTCGTGTGTGATATTCCAGAATCCGATCAAAGCTAACAACGAGCATCAGATGCCGGCTATACGTGCGCTGCTGATGCAATGGATGCCCAAGGTCATGGGCCAAACAACCAAGGACAAGTCCTATGGCCAATCCTCATCAGGATTCAGCTCCAAGTTTGGCGGCAGCAGCAACAACGCTATGCCAAAGGGCAGCCAGCTCTCAAACCGACCAAAGGGCGAGGACGACGGCGACTTCATACCGCTAGTTGACGTCGAGAGTCAGGCGGGCACGTCCGTCCATGGTGGACCAAGTTTGCCACCCACCAGAGCCGGGCCGCACGCAGCCCAGCCTAGGGAATTTCAATGATCTCTCCCTCTTTCCTTTTTCTAAGACACGACGGACTCTTCTGTAGTGCGGATCATAGCACGGATATTGACGACAATCTTCATGAGGAAAAGCTCGAATCGCCTCACTTTTCACCCATGAATCTGTCGTCTTGGATGATGGCAACGGGAACAGCAATTGGAACGGTAAAGGGTGGGATAGAAATTCCGATGCGCGTCACTGAACACGCAATCTTTCGTTTGTCTCTTTTCTTGATATCCCAACTATTTTGGACGAGGTTACGGGGTTTTCCATGGCGGCATTTTGGTTGGTCGGATTAGATACGGGCAGTCGTTTGATGTTCAGCGTAGTAGAGAGACGCAAGATTCCAGCAGTAATTGAATCCTGGTGCATTCCTTCCGAGAAATGCATCTCCGCGGCGGCTTGGCACGTGAACTGGTTGCTGGTAGTCAGAGGGAATCGGGGGCGTCCGTAGTCCCAGCGACCATCGATAATCCCTGAAAATCCGTCCGGTGGCGTCAGTAGTCTTGATACTCCTATTCTCAAAATCCTGCAAAGCATCTAAGCTTCCCTCCAAGACGACCGGGTGGATAGCGTACCAAAGTAGACATGAATCCTAGACAGAGACATCCAACCAGCGACCTCAGCACTCCTTACTACGATGACGGCGGAGGATGGGATTGGAGCTAGGGTAAACTTTTAAGCCATGCACAGACCCTATTCGCGGAATCTGGTGTTTGAGCTGAATGGACTACACCATCTCAGGGCTTGTACGGGGTTCTAACGATTGCGGGGGAGGATTCACGCTAACTTATTTTAGGAATACCAATTAGGCTAACTAATTGGTGTCTTGCGACTTTGTCACGGAAATCCTGAAAAGGGGAGATCTCCTTAGTGAAGAGGTGAGGTCTTATTTTCAAATGCTCTTTATAGGCTCTGATGTGCCAGTCCTGGTGCATGGTACCAAGCGTTGCGATTCTTCTTTGTGCATATCATTTGGCTGTCATTTTGACGTCGTCCTCTCTTTTTAGTGGTAACTACGCGCGATGTTGGTCGAGAAATACCTCGGCTTGGTGGCTGCTTCCGCAGCGGCTGTTTCAGGACTGTAAGCTCACAGACGGTTTGTGAGATGGCTCTTTTTACTCACTCGATATTAGCTCTATCCCGCGCTCTCCCGCGGAAACTGAGAAAAGATACATCCACGAGCATGCCCGGCGTTCCGTCAACTCTACCTCGGAGTATGAATACGTCGTTGTTGGCTCCGGGCCTGGTGGTGGACCTCTCGCAGCTCGCCTTGCTCTAGCTGGCCATAGTGTTCTGCTGATCGATGCTGGTGATGACTACGGCAACACGACGGAACAGATGGTCCCGGCTTTGAATGCGTTCGCTACCGAGTACACTCCGATGAAATGGGATTATTTTGTGCACCACTATGCGAACACTACCAGGCAACAACAGGATTCCAAGATGGTCTGGAGAACGGTCGAGGGTGACAAGTACGTCGGCAAGAATCCGCCCGAAGGAGCCGAACCGCTGGGCATCCTTTACCCACGCGCTGGAACCCTTGGTGGATGCGGCTCGCATAATTCTCTGGTCACCATCTGTAAGTGATAGACTGGATACTGTTGAGCGGTTCACTCATGCCGTTCAGATCCGCACGAAAGCGACTGGAAGTATATCCAGGACCTGACAAACGACGATTCATGGTCTCCGAGCAACATGAGGACATATTTCGAAAAACTGGAACGCAACCGCTATCTTCCCAACTCCGTCAGCGGTCACGGTTTTAGTGGGTGGCTTGAGACCTCCCTGGCTGATCTATCCCCTGTCGCCACGGATCAGAAGCTTCTCTCTTTGGGCATTTCCGCTGCCATGGTATGTTTGATGATTTTGGATAGGAAGGAGGGTAGTGGCTGATTCACACACAGGCGATGGGCCGAGGTCTCACTGGCAAAGTGATCAGTACTGCGACAGAATTTGCCCAAGCTCTCCTTACGGATATGAATGCTCCCGGACCAGAGCGTGATGCTACTGAGGGCCTGTACCGGGTTCCATTGGCCATAGATGCAACCAACTCCAAAAGGAACGGACCTAGAGAGTTCATCCTCGACGTGGCAAATGCTGTCAACGTTGACGGCACCAGGAAATACCACCTTGATATCAGCTTGAATACTTTGGTGACCAAAGTCCGATTCGACCAGTCGGGTCTTGTGCCAAAGGCAGTTGGCGTGGACTATCTCAGTGGACAGAGCCTATATGCCGCTGATCCTCGCTATGCAGGAGCCGAAGGCATTTCTGGAACTGTCATGGCGAGCAAGGAAGTCATCGTTGCTGCTGGCGCGTTCAACACCCCTCAACTACTCAAACTCAGTGGTGTTGGCCCGAGGGACGAGCTAGAGAAGTTCGGTATTGACGTGGTGAAAGAGCTTCCAGGTGTTGGTACCAACATGCAGGACCGCTACGAGATGGGTCTTATCTCACAGACTGAGACTGGTTCCCCTTTCAACGTCGTAAAGGATTGCACCTGGCTTCAGTCGTCGCCTGACCCGTGCCTGGAACGGTGGAAAAATGGCCCGACTACCGCACTAAAGGGAGTGTATGCCAGCAGCATTGGCCTCGCCGTTATCAAGAAGAGTTCCGCTGCCGCTGAGAACGATAATCCCGATATCTTGATCGCGGGTGGCCCAGTAAACTTTCCTGGTAAGCAATTCCACTAGGTGTGTTAGACAAGATTCTTACCAACAGAACCGTAGGCTACTATCCCGGCTTCGCGCGCGGTACCTTTTCCGATGCTAAACATTGGACCTGGCTTATGCTCAAAGGGCACTCACGGAACAACAAGGGCACCGTCAAGCTCCGAAGTGCGGACCCGCGTGATGTTCCCGAGATCACCTTCAACTCCTTCGACACCGGCAACACTGAAGACGGTGCAGACGAGAAAGACCTGCAGGCAACGTACGAGGCGATGGAGATGGCCCGGAAGATGACCAATGAGGTGATTCCCCTGGACGGCTCCTTCACCGAGACGTGGCCGGGCGCCAATGTGTCGACGGAGGCACAGATGAAGCAGTTCATCAAAGACGAGGCATGGGGACATCACGCGTCATGCACCTGCCCGATCGGAGCTGATGGCGATGAAAATGCGGTGCTGGACTCGGAATTCCGGGTGCGCGGAGTCAACGGTCTGCGCGTTGTTGATGCATCTGTGTTCCCTAAGATCCCCGGTTTCTTCATCTCAACGGCCATATACATGGTCAGCGAGAAGGCGGCAGACGTGATCATCAACGGCCCGAAGGTGACAGACGTGCTTCCCCTTGGTAGCGTCTAAGGAACAGAGCAGGCCACTATAGCGATACGTAAATGGAGCGTACAAATTGAAGCTTGAGTATTCCATGAGTGAGACTTGTGTGTCGACTTCCCAGCCGCCTCTGGCAAGAGCTTGCATTATTTTGAACAGAGATTGAGAGGAAAGGGGTGAAGGCTAGTGGTGACGGTGGGAAACTAGTTAAAGTAGGAGCGAGGCTTGCCGGATGAGGGAGATGACGTCGGGTTTTCCGCCGCGCGAACCAGAAAAAAAAGTTCCCCGCGTGCACCGTCTCTGGCGAACACCGCTACCCCGCCGCCATGGACGCCGCATTGCGCGCCTCTCCTTCTCAAGTCGACCTTTGCCTGCAGAATCTTACCCTCAGCGTCGCCTCATATGTCTCGGACCATGGCCCCGCTGCGGCGGCTGACGCCAGCGCCGCTGCAGCGCTGGCCTCCTTGAGCCTCAAGGTGCGCTTGCAAGCACTCACATTAGGACACCGTAATAAATTAATTGTCAGGTCGCCGCATAGGACGTTCCCTCCACTCCCACTTTGCTTCAGCGTCTCCAAGACCTGCAGGCCCGCATCGCCGAACAGCCTTACAGCATCTCTCTCCGCCTCCAGGTCGCCGAGCTCTACCGCGCACTTGCTTTCCCCGATCTCGCCGCTGGGGAGGCCTACAGAGCTCTTTTGCTAGTCGACGAAGTGCTCGACGAGTCTGGCGAATATCATGAGCAAGCTCTGGAAGACATCCAAGAGGAAATCGCTGCGAAGCCTGCCTCCTTCCGCTTCTACCTGGCGCATAAACATAGCGACAGGTTCCTTGAACTATCGCAGCGTCTCAGCGACTTCCAACACTCAGAGGAAAAATGCGACGTTGAGGTTGAAGAAGAAGAGGCCTCCCTGTGGGCCCAGACTCTCTGGATTGACGCAACGTATGTTCGCGTCATGATCTTCTGGGAAGCCTTCTGCTGAGCATGTCTAGGTATGCCTTTGTCACGGGGAATCTGCTAGCATGCGGATGTCTTAAGAGCGCCCACGACTTTTGCTCTCGAGGCTTGAAGGCCAACCCCAACAACCCCCATCTTCTTAAATTTCGCGAGCTTCTCAACCAGCGATTGAGCAACCATTTCGCTTCTCGTGGCTTTAGCCTCGACGACGAAGACATCACCCCTGATGACTATCCGGATCGCACTTTCGTGAGGCGCGAGCTATACCCCTGGAACACTTTCGAACCGGATAGGTACTCTCCCGAGTCCCTCGTCCTGCTCAACGAACAGATCAGGTCCATCGCACCGAAGCTCGAAGCACGGGTCACGGAACTCCCGCTTCTGACGCCCGATGCCGATCCAACCACCGGGTAAGCTCACTTCCATTCCCGCGCGAGTGTTCAATAAAGCATGTCTGCATTGCTCAATATCCAGCCCTGTGCTGTAAACAACCGCGACTCAGAGGACTAACCATGAGAAAAAGCCGCGATCCTTCCGGCGAGTCAGCGCAGGCGACGATCAAACAGCTCGGCGTATTCGCACGAGAGGACGTGACTCCGGGCGAGATGATCCTAGATGAGAAGTCCCTGCTCACCGCAAACGCCCGACTCCACGACTCATACTGCGATGCCTGCAGCGCTCCACTGCCAGATCTGCGCAACAGCTCAGAAGCGAGCCAGTGCGCCTTCTGCGAGGATTGTGATGATATTGTATTCTGCAGTCAAGATTGCCATGATCTAGCCCAGGAAGCATATCATCCTGCCCTGTGCGGCAATGATGTGGAAGCCATCGCCAAAGATGCTTCCGCGGCTGAAGCAGCTGATGCGCTGTACTCTTTGTTGCTGCTCCGCGCCTTGGCAATGGCCGAGACCCAAGACGTCCACCCGCTCGAGCTAAAAGAGCTAAAATACATTTGGGGCGACTATCACATCCCGCCTTCAGGCAGCCCCAACGTGCCCCTTACGCCCTCGCCACTAGGACCCGCCAAAAATGCTTTCGGCGATGCCCCTCGGACGTTACCTTTCTCATTCAGCGCCAATGTCTTAACGCCGCTCCACATGCTCGAGAAGATGGACGTCAACATCTTCACCGCCTCCGCCAACTACGATTTCTGGGTCTTCAACACGCTCTACGCGAAGTTCCGCGGCACAGCATCTGCCCGCCAAGGCCGGGACGGTAAGCCTGATGTTGGTGCCGTGCATCCGCTCTGGTGCCTCGCCAATCACAGCTGTGATCCGAACGTTTCTTGGGAGTGGCAGGGAAACATGCGCTTCTGGGTCCGCAAGGAACGGGTGGCCTGGAAGGGCCGGAAGGGCGGAGGCGCCGCTCCCGAAAGCAGTCAACCGGGCCTGCGGAAGGGCGATGAGATCATGAGCCATTATTGTGACATCGATCTCTCCGTCAAGGATAGACGCGAATGGGCTGCAGGCGCGCTCGGCGGCATGTGCATGTGCGAGCGGTGCGTGTGGGAGGCGGCACACCCGGAAACCCCGTAAAACGGTAATACATGTTGATCAGCGCCCGGTAGCTCATGGATGGGGAAGATCAGCGGGAAGGGCTGTGCCGCCGGGCACAGATCTAATACCGTTGCTGGCCTGAAAAACGATTTACGTTGATATGCCGGATATGCACGCTTGGAGGCGGTCGGCAAAGAAGGCGTGTAATTAAGCTGTCTCACGACACTCTCACCTATGTGCTGATTTTCAAAATCTTTTCCCATGTTGTCCTGCCCAGGGAGGTTCTGCCCCTATAGATTTTAAGATCTGAGCCCTCTGCACCGCAAATGATACCACACCCTTGCTATGCAGGCAGTTGAAGCAAATACTCCGACAAAAATGTTTCAAAGCTATGCGAATAAATCCGATATCTATAAGTCCGATATCTAGATTCAATTGCGCACGAGGATACTATCTTTTAGGTGAGAAAATTTCAAAAATGTCAAATTCTTCCGTCACACATCATAGCTAGCAGCGTCAGGGATATCTTAATTGCTCGTCCAAAGTGATAGTTTTATCCGCATCATTGTCAAGCTGATTAATGTACGCGAGTAAAATAGATGACTGAAAATGAGTCGGACGTCTTTTAGACAGAGGTCCGAAAGCCTGGCACCATGAATCACTTAACGATCAATGTTTGCAATCAAGGCGAATAAAGAAACCTGGTATGACAAATCGCTGAGATCTGATCTGTAATCAGCAAGCCTGTAAAATACAAAGTATATCTGCAATTAGCAATGACTAGGACATCATTGACTTTGTAGTCGAATCCCTTTTGCGGCTCAGGATCTCCTCTCAAATGGTTACCAACCCGAGTTCAACCATCGAATCCTTCCCCCCTTTTTTTTTTGAGAAAAAAGAGCGTCTCTTGTCGTAACCGCACACGAACGTAAATGCGGCCAAAATAATTCCTCCCCCGTTCATTGATTTTCGTCTCGTATGCTCCAAAACTCCGGGCCCATGCATAGAATGCATATAAATCAAGCGCTTATGTTAGTTCAATAGAAACCAATAGGACCTCTGCGATCCTGAGGTACTACATAGTCCACCTTCGTTGATGCGTCTTTGGAATCGGTTGCCGGTGTCGAGTCCGTTGCAGGTGCGGCAGGTGGTGCAGTCTCAGCCGCGGCAGCCTTTCTTCTCTTGCGAGATTGCAATGTGCGATCCTCTTCTTCAATCTCTTTCAATGCTATCCAAATAGTTAGCCTTGTATAATTGGACCGGATTTGCCATGAGAGCAGAATTGAGCAATCGATAGCCCATTGGTTCTTTAACCCCCCTTCCAAGCATGTTCCGAGATACGGGAAAAGAAATTAGGGCACCTACCCTCGTCCCAATCCTTCTCGCTCTCCTCCCGTCCGGTACCCAGAATACGTTCGACATCGACCTCCTCCCCTCTCTGAACCTTCTCCAACACCTCGCGCAGCAGGGCAATCTTGGCGTCGGCCTTGCGGGTAAAATCGGCAATGTCGCGCCGCAGCACCAGCGTGTTGATGGCGTTGGAGCCGACAACCAGGCCAAACGCAATCCACACGGACGCCGGGTTCCACGGCTTCGCCCGCCATTCCTTCCAGGTGAAGGGCCGCTTGTTCTTGGAGCGGAAGTGCTTCGGAACCATGTTCTGCCAGAGACTGGGCTGGATGACGCGCGGAAGGTTACGGCGGTCGGTAATGGCAGCGCTTGCGGCGTAGGCGCGTCGGGCCGTCGTCGTGGCGCAAACGAGGCATTGCGAGCGCGCTGTTGTCGTTGTTTTCTGCGCAAAGGGTCGCATGGAGAAGGAAAACGGCGCGCTCGGTTGTGCGCACGTCGCGCGGGCGAAAAGGGCGTTGGTGGGCGGCATTAGGCTCGATTGGAGGTTGATGCTACGCAGGGAAAGTCAATGGACGGGGAAAGTTGCCGTCGAGCTGCCGCGAACGGCGCCGGAGACGGGCCGAGGAAGAGTTCCGCACGTGATGTTGCCGCGTCGGGAGTGATTTATCGCCGGTGCATCGGACTTAAGATGGTGGCCGCTGTACAGAGGGATATTGCAGCTGGAGGCCAACTTAATTTGTTTTTTGCTAATTTCATGGTCAGTTGAAGCTATCGTCTAGATGAGAATATCGAATTGAAAATTGGTTTACTTTTTTTTTTTTAAGAAAAAAAAGGCAAAAGGTAAGGCATAGCTACCCAAGATTCGAGGACCCTGCTATTCTTCCCGCTAGCCTTCGGCTGCAATACCTCTCTGGGGGCCGAAACACGCCTGTCATCGTCGGCTGCGATGATGCTCTTTTGTCTTGGCGTCACCAGTGACGCAGCGAACATACCCGACAATGACATGGCGTGAACCTCACAACCTCTCCACTGCTCGTGTCGGAAACAAGGAAATACTTCGAGAGGCGCTGCCACTAAGTTATTAAAGGTTCTTAATCAGCTGTTCGTCAGATGAGCGTTCCGCAAAGCTGCGCTACCTCTCCTGATGGCATTGAGCAGAGAAACTCAAACACTGCCGGATAGGCTGCAAAGATTTGTGACTTTGACGTCTACAAGCTGACCACCACCCGACATGGCGCAAAGTGACCCATCACATTCATGCCGGCCGTTACACGTGTAGGCAGGAGAGTTGGTTAAATAGAGTTCATAGAGGACGAATGACTCGTTCTGCGCAGTTGGGCCAGTATCACGAGCTTTGCCACCTGAGGCACAAGGTGCCTCTGATGACTACAGCACGAACTTGACACGAACCCTGGGTATGCAGGTTGGATGACGAACGAATGATGAGTGTGTGGCATAAAGTGGTATGAAAGGCATGCGGGCAGCTTGGACCGGCGGGCAGCAGTTTTCGGAACGGGACATCATTGCATACCTGATCCGGTAATTGATAAGATGACGTCTCACCGCCCAAGGCGATGCATAGGTGGGAACTGCACGGCGCGGTAGCTGCGGATGTTAGTCTTCCAGGAAACACAGCACGCCGGAACGGGGTTAGCTCCGATTGGGGTCCCGGCCAGGCGGTGCAGCCAACGGCGCGGTAGAGAGCGGCAGAAAATTGCAAAAAAGCAGCGCGACGCTGCGGCCCAATGCGTGGAGACAGGGCTCGCAACACCTGCGGTCTGATGTCGAGCGGCTTGGCCTGTTTTCCTTTTCTCTTTTATTTTTTTTCTGCCGCGGGGCAGGCAGACCGCTAGCGCTCACCGGGGCGCACATGTTGGCGGAGCAGAGCCGGCCGACGTCATTCCCGTTCTGCGATGGATCGCCGCGCGCCAACGCCTGCTGGGTCCAGTCTGGAAATGGACCGACACGGCCAAGGTGGCCCTCCCGACGCAGGCGCCGCAAGATAAGGCCGCCATTGCGACACTGCCCGCTGCCCCTCATGCTCAGCGCGCGGACGGCGGGGTCGTAAGCGCGTGTGCGACGTGTGCGACGTGAGCTGTATGTAGGGCTGGGGCATTGGCATCGAGCTGGCGCCGGTTCCAGAGGGAAACGCCTGGCACCTCACCACCACAATGGCGCTGCACCGCCGCCGCGGCGGTGGAGCCGGGCGCGCGGCGCCAGCCCGAGAGGGCGTTGCTGGATGCCGCGCGGGTGAAGCGAGGGGCATGCCCGGGGCCCCCGTTGTCGCCAGTAGCTACGGCTTGTCCGACCGTCGTCATGGACGAGCTGCTCGTCCGGTACAAAATCCACAGCAAGCGCGCCTTTCCAGAACGCTCTATCCGCCACGCCCATAGCTGGCCCTCTGCCAAACACCTTCTCGCCCACCGGGCCCGTCATCGTGTACCCACATTACTCCATTAGCCGACTCGCACGCCCCGAGCCCGCAGCCTAGCCAGCCCTACTTCTCAGTGCCGCCGCCTTGCTGCCCACCGCTGCCCCGCGCCTCTTCTTTACCTGCGTCTCACCACCTCCACGCCGCACACACCTCACAATGGGCAAGCCGCCGAATCTTTACGCTTTCCCCGACGACAACGAGCTTGCCAAGAGCTTGCGCGTCTATGTCTTTGACGCTCAGAGCAGCGCATTGGAGCGCCACGGCGTCTTCCGCGTCGCCGTCTCCGGCGGCTCGTTGCCCAAGCTCCTGGCGAAAGCTCTGCTGTCCCCGGGCGAGGGCAGGTTCGACTTCTCGAAATGGGAGATTTTCTTCGCCGACGAGCGCGCCGTGCCGCTCGACCACGCCGACAGCAACTACGGCCTGTTGAAGGCCGAGCTGCTTGACAAGATCCCCGCGGAAGTGGGCAAGCCCACCGTCTTCCCCATCGACACCCAGTACCTCAACGACGTCCAGGAGCTAGCGGACCAGTACGAGCAGACGCTCGTCAAGGCCTTTGCCGCGCGCGACAGCGTCAAGATCCCCATGTTCGACCTCATCCTCCTCGGGTGCGGCCCCGACGGCCACACCTGCAGCCTCTTCCCCGGCCACCCTCTGCTCCGCGAGACCGACGCGTGGGTCGCGCCCATCGAAGACTCGCCGAAGCCTCCGGCCAAGCGCATCACCCTGTCCCTCCCCGTTGCCGCGCACGGCATCAAGATCGGATTCGTCGGTACCGGCGCGGGCAAGAGCGAGATTCTGCGGAAGATTTTCGACACGGAGGAGGGCCACGCTCTGCCCTGCGGTCTTGTGAACACAATGGCCCAGGAAAGGGTTACGTGGTTCACTGACTATCCGGCGGTGGAGGGCGTGCAGTTCCCGGTCAGGAGAAGCAGTCTGTAAGGCCTAGACGGCCGGGTTGGTGGTGAACTGGGGGCGGATCCGAAAGTTCCACGAGCTACGTTATGATGTCCGGGCGTCTTTTGGCGGGTTTTCCTCTCGTTTTTCTTATCGATGGAGATATCCAAGCTTGTTTGCGCGACGGTTGGCTCGGTCGATTCTTAGCCTGACATAACCCTCTATACCAAACGTGCTCGCATAGCTGTAGATTTGGATGCTGCCGGGCCGTTCAAATGTCATGGCCTTTCACAATACTTGCCTGTGCACCAACGAGTGAACGAATTCCGCAGATCCCGAGCCGGTAGATTGAGGCGTTTCCATGCGCGCCAGGGTTCGGGAAGCTGACGGGTGTGTTTGTAGGGAGCGATTTCGGGTGCTCACGTGCAGCGCGCGGCCCGTTACCCTGTGGACGAGCGGGCGGGCAGGAGCCGGCAAACAATAATAGGCCGGGCCGCTAAGATCAACACCACTTGCTGCAGGGGCGGCCGCCCAACCTTGCGCACTTCCCTTTTCGCCCCGCAGAGTCGCAAAACGCGATTCGCCATGGGAACCGGAGCTCAACAACTGCTACTCCACCATGTCCTTCGTATGTGCTTCGGACGCGCCCCGCATGCACCTTGTCTTCCACTCGCTCACATTCGCAGCTCCCTGAACCCACCCGCAGTCCCGCGCAATCATCCCCGTCGCGACTACCCACGCTATCGAGACGCCCGACCATCGGCGCCGCAGAGAGAGATAATGGAGCCAGACGTCGGAACCAGCTGCCGCAGCCCGCAGCTTCGAGGACAGCCGGCCCCGCGCCGCAGGAAGACCACAGCACCGGACAGCCGGCAGCCCAAACCCGACCGCTGAATCGAACGCAAAGCGTCGGCGCGAAGCTGGCTGCCGCAAAAAGGACCGGAGATACCGCAAAGCAAGATATGCCCCCTCCTCCGGCACCTTCCTCGGGCGTGACTCGCACGCAATCACTACGGAGACCGACAGTTGGCCAGAGTGCTGCGTCAGGACTGCGCGCCCCGACCAAGGCCGGCGCTTCTTCAGGCGCTGCAAAGCCCGTTGGCCCCGTACGGACCAATAGACCGGGCTCATCGTCAGGACCATCGTCCAGAGACACAGCGCCGCAAAAGTCAGGCCAGAGGGAACGGACGAGAGCTGCTACAGTGTCATCTCCCCAACCTGAGCGGACACGGCCGGTGGCGGCGGCGCAGAGGCTCCAACCTCCGTCGGGCAATGGCTCAAAGATCGGAGCTTCAGCCCTGAAGCACTCGAGATCCAGGTCAGAACTCCCGGGTGGGGCGGCGCGGACGCAGGCAAACATTGCATCCTCGCGGGGCGTGGTGGGCTCAGAAAAGGAGCCGAAACTGGTGGCCAAGCCCGCGTTCTCAACGTTGCAGCAGCACTATTCGCCAAAGAAGACGTCGGAACCGAAGAAGGCTACGTCGGCATTCTTCCACGCATCATCAGTAAGCACAGGAGGTGCAGATGCACTTTCAGCCGAAGTGTTGGCGCTCCAAACAGAGCTGCTCCAGCTTCACGTCCTGCACGAGTCGGCGGCGGCAGTTCGGAGGCAGTGGGAGCGCAGCGCGGAGCGGGCGCTGCGGCTCCAATTCTACGAGGTGGCGACAGCGCATCACAACATGCGCAAGAACGAAAGCGAGGTGCAGGAGCTGGTGAACCTGCATGCGCTGCAGGAGTGGAGCAGTGGGAGCGCCACGTTCGGCCTCGCGGAGAATATCCAGCTCCTTGGGCCGCTCCTGAACGAGCTGCGGGCGCTCACGGACGCAGGCGGGCGACATACAAGCGTGGTGCAAGAGTTCGAGGAGTGGAGCACGCGGGCGGAGGAGGTGTGGAGGCGCAGGGAGGAGGCGCAGAGCGCGGAGGTGGTGGAGGGGCTCGGGGACGGATGGAAGGTGGAAGTGGGCGCCCTCATCCGCAAGGTGACGGCACTGGCACGCGATGCGGAGCGGCTGGTCGAGCCGGCGGCGGGATCCAGCATCAGCACGGTGGTGGGCGGCTGCCGGGCGCTGGTGACGGGCATAATGCGCGAACTGCAGCTTATGAGGCGCATGGAGGGGGAGGTGGGGGAGAGCGAGGCATGGTTTGTGGAGCAGCAGCTGCAGGGAATGGCTGCAGAGACGGAGCAGGTGCAGGTGGGCTGGAGGGAGGTGTAGTGTGTAAGCAATGCAACCGAATCTGCGTGGCGTCACCAAGCATCTGTGTGGTGTGCATGCGGGCTGCCAGGGCGGCCCACGTCGCGGCGCGGCGGGCAGGTGACGGCAAAAAGAAGGTTCCTTCGGGCCTGAGCCGCGCGACAGGTGCAGATGGAGCAATCTTACCAAGCAGGGCGAGCATCGAGCGCAGCTTACTCAGCGAGCCCGTCTCCTTTGCAAGCTGGCGCCCATGTCGCCTCTTCCGGCCGCTCCCGCGCCCCTACCGCGCCGGGGTCGCGTTCCTGCTGAGTAGGTGCCAGATGCTCCATGCCGCTGCCAAGAGCCCCGAGCACCAGCCGTCAGACGGCGGAAATAACCGTCCGTGAGCATATACGCAGTAGCGCGGCCCTTCCTGTTTACCACGCACGCCTTTTCTGCTCGTAATTCATTCTGTTACGTTAGCCCCGGAGAGTCAGCCAGGCCCACCGCACAGCACACACGCGCCGCACACCCGCTCTCCAGTTTTCCCCCGTGCTCCACGCAGCTCTCGCGGAACCCTCTCCGCCCGCCTTATAGCTGCGGCCTGGCCATACACTGCGCCAACGTGCCCGCCTCCCTCCTCTGACCACCGAATGGCGGCCTGCACAGGCCTGCCGTTTCACCCTTTGCCTGGCGGGACCTATGGATTCTGCGGCTGCGCGCTGGAAGAGGCCGTGGGAAGAGCACTCACACCCGCTCCCCAACCATCATAGCCACCATCCCCGAGAACACTGCGAATGCACCCAGCACCCGCCCCTGCCCGCGCTCCCCGACGAGCCGGAGCGCGTCCAGCCATGGCCCTCCGCGGGGCGGCACTTGTATTTGGCCGAGTCTCTGCAGAGTCAGGCAGATGCAGCGCAGAACAACAAGAGACGCCGCCTTTTCTCTGACCAAATCCCGCAACCCGACCCCCATTTACCACGCCCTCCCGCTGACTCAGCCGGCTTCCATGGAAGCGGGGAAGACTACGATGGTACATTCATCCTCTCCCATTCCCTGCCCTTCTTTGTCATCGCAATAAGTCAGACTGTGTAATTGACCGCTGGGTCTGCTGACACGGAATCTAGCTGGCCGTCAGCAGCCGCCGCCCGCCTCACCCGGCATGTCGTCTTTCGATGCTCGAGGCTTCCTGCCCGCCGTCGTGTCCAAGGACGACGGTGCTTGCTGCCCTTCCTCCTGTGCCGGCTTGGCTTGCACGAGACGTCGAGCCCTGATCAGCGACATTGTCGCCGAAGTCGACACGCTGAACGCCGACATCCAGCGCATCATCCTGCAGGGCAACAGCCAGCCACGATCGGTGAGGAGTTTGCGGCGCCTTCCTCGTTCGTATTACCGGGCTTTCTGGCCCCAGTACTGACCCTCCAAAGCTTTCTTCAGGAGTTGCGAATCTAGGAACAGACCAGGTCCTCGTCTATGCCCTCGACCTCTTGCGAGCCAACGTTGCCAGCCTCCGAGATTTGACCACCCCTCTTTCCATTCCCTCCGGAACAGGAGCAGAGCCCCAGTCAGCTGCCACTGCCGCCGCTACCGCCGAGATCCGCGATGTCATGAAGCGCCGATTTGATCCAATCGCCAACCAAGAAGTCTCTCACTTTCTACCTCGGCCGACTAGTGGGGGAGACCGCACAATCCCTCCACCTGGACCCCCCGAGGATGTCCGGAGAAGCTTCCAAGGAAGTAGGGATCCTTTGTCGCCGCGTCACTCTCCTCCAGGAGCACTCCCCTTCACCAACAGCGGAAACGCCCACCACACTCGACCCCCATCACCCGCAGCTTCTCACAACTACCACCACCCCCCACCACTTCGAATGCTCCCCTCCCCATCCTCCCTGAATATACCCCAACCGTCAACAATCCACTCCATCGCTTCGCCCTCGCCCTCTCTCCTTCCCCAGCTTTCGTCATCCACATCAGCCGCGCACACCGCTCACTTGCAAGACCTTCAACACCAAATCTCACTCAAAACCCTAGCACTCCAGACACTCCGGCAGGAGTACGACGCCCTGCTGTCGAAGCTCGATCGGCAGCGTACCAAGTGTGCCACGCTCGAGAAGAAGTTCGAGGTCACCGACGTGGAGATCAACGGCCTAACGGCGGAGAAGGAGGAGCTGGAGGCGCGGGTCGCGGCCCTCGAGCTGCAGGTTGAAGAGTTGCGGGAGCAGCGGGATGATGCAAGACGACGGGAGGTGAGGACGGGCGAGCAGTACAGGAGCATTGTGGAGATGGCGGGGAAGCTGCAGGGCATGGCGGCCGAGGAGAAGAGGGCGTGGGCGCAGGAGAGGGAGGGACTGCTCAACGCTTTGGGTTGGAAGGGTGATGAGGATGGTGCTGGTAAAGAGGAGGAACGACGACTTGAGACGGGGGGTGTTGGGGGAACTTTCTTGCAGCCAACGTCGTCCACCGCCGCCATCACCACCAACATGCCATCCGTTCTGGACGATCCGATGAGAGGAGGAGCCTTATTCGACGCCGCCAATCCTCCGCTTTCCCGCCGGGATTCCGAGCAGCACGCCCCGACGCCCGCTGCTGCTGCTGCTTCGTCTCAAGTCATAGCTGCGTTACGGGTCGAGGTCGCTCAATTGCGCTCTCGAACGCAGACTCTGGAGACAGCCATCAGGTCCATTTGCGACCAGGGTACCAGGATGGAAGAGGCTTCCCAGACCATCGCTGAGGCGGGGAGAAAGATGAAAGAGGCGGCAAGGGAGGCGATTGGTGATAGATGATTTTTCTTTTTTTTTCCTCCAGCGTAATGGAAGTGGATGGATGCTACGGAAAGAGGGATATGGGTGTGTTAACGCCATATCAATTTCTGGTGGCAAAGAACAAAATGTTGGGCATATTTTCTCCCTATGATACCCATGGGCTGAGCTTTTTCTTCTTTCTCCTATGTCTTTCAGCATTCTTTACTTCACATTTTGCATTCGAGAATACTTTTTGCCATTAATTTTCTGTTTCCTAGCGTTGCATAGTGGGGGGTTTGGGTGTCTGTATTTGACAGAAGGTTGAAAACTGGAATATGGATCTGGCATCTATGGCTATGGTACACGATTGTTCTCGTCCCTTTCTCTCATTGCCCTTTTTGCCGGGCAAGATAGAAGAAAACGCGGGCGACTTTGCACGGAGAGGACATGATTGGCAACAGCAAGGACCGGTTCTTGGCTATTTTGAGTTTCGGAACAAGGAAAAATATCCCAGCTGTGATCGGCGAAGCGGGAAGGTCGGGCATACTGCTCCCCGGTATTCACCGATGGAGGAGTTATAAATACAATTCAAACTGCATCTGCAAGGCTTGATTCGAGCGGCATGAACGACGACAGGGTCTAGGTCTTCTTGGCAGCAATACCTGTTTTACGAGCAATTGGAGAGATTGAACGTGGTGTTTGAGATTTGTCATGCATGCATCGGAATTAAAGAGTTACATAAAAGATGGTTAATCCGACGCGCGAATCCAAGTCGCCGATCTTAGTTCTGGGGTGCAGCGGAACTTTCTCTCGGAACTAAATCTGTCGACCGGCATGTTCCAGCGCGCCAATATACTTGCGTTTAAGACACTGCTATATAGTGGTCATACTAATTTAGGCAGTAGATGTGTCGACTTTTGGTGGGTTGCGTAAAACCAGAGCAAAGAGATATTACTTTCGTATCTCTAGATATGAAAGCGTGGGATTTTCGAGAATCTTGACTCTGGGCGACTTGTGGGCCTGCGGTTACTGGTCGTATGTCGTATAGCAGCACTATAGTTAGTGTTGGTTCGCGGGGAGGAGCGGATGGGCTACGTTTCGCGCTAGTTTCACTCCCGCGATGGTGGGCCTAACAGCACATTGGCGAAGATAAGAAGAGAGAAAAGATAGCCGTACGCGTAAGGGAAATGAGAGTAGCGATGTCCATTGATCAACGAGTCAGCCTGCGAGAGGGCGGAAAGACTCACAGTCTGCAGCTAACATGTTAGGAGAATAGCACAGCGGCGCAGCACGCCACCAAAACCTCATAATTTAGCTATTAATATTCTCAACTAGTTTCGGGGCAACGGTAAGCTCACCTCAACGGGGTTAGGTAGTATACCTAGGTAGCTCTCATAATGCTACGGCAGCAAACTTACCCTACGACTCGACCTTTTTCTCTCCGCCGTCCCCTGGCAGCGGCAACAACCGATGTCATGGTTGACTTAGTAATGTGTATTCATCTACTCCGTGTTTGCACAAGTGTGGGCGCGAAAGTGAACAGTTTTCGAACGAGCCAAGCCGTGTAACTCGTCACATTCACCCAGTGTCATGACGGCAAACAGCGGTCAAGAGGCTGCACAATTTTTCGTTGAACAAGACCCACGAGTCAAGGTCAGAGCAGCAGAGCGACTCAGAAACGCCGGAGTTGCGGAGTTGCCTTTGCTGGAACCAGTTGGCCAACGCACGTTCCACATGCCTTCAACCCCGCCATCTCTGCTTCTTTCTTCTTCCTTGGTGGCAGCTAGAAGTGTTCGTTCGGATGTAGACGAGCAGCTTGCACGAGAACATATGCGTCCGGACCAACGTTTCGACTGCAGATGTCTTGTATGTGTGGATTGTAGACGATGTTCTCATTGGCAGTTGGATAGAGTGCTAACCACCAGGAAACAAAAGCAAAAACAAACCGACCATGTAAACCTCCCGTTTTGGTATCGTAAGCAGAATCCAGAGCACCAGAGCCCAAAAGCCAGAAATCAGAGAACCAGCAGACCAGGCTCAACCAGCCCAGATGAGTATCAAATCGCCAAGAGGCAGAAGAAAGGGGGTATAGAAGGAAAGACCTAAAGACCAAAACCAGAGCCCACCCGAGCCAAACCTAGAACCATTCAAAAACCGAAAGAAAATCCAGAGACCGACCCAAAAACCAACCCGATAACCAACCATCTACCAGTACTTCTTGTAGCCGACATAAGACTCCATAGCGAACATGATGTGGGAGTCCGAGGCGATAGACTCCTTGTCGTCCTCGTCCTCAGAGGTCTCCTCGCCACAGAGGGCCCTGAGCGCCTTGTCGCGCTCCTGCTGCATCAGCTCGCCGTTCATGACCATATCGTGCTCGTGCTGGGCGCGCGTCTCGGAAGGCAGCGTGATGACAGGGTCGCCGCGACGGATGGGGAAAGGGCTTGGCAGGACGGACATGGGACGCATCGGGAGCTCGAAGGTGAAGCTGTTCTGAGCTGGGGCAGCGAAGGTCGTCGTCGACTGCTCCTGCTCATCGACGTCGCTCGGCGAGGGGAAGGGCCACCTGGGCGTCCTGATGTTGACATTCCTCTCCTGGATGACGGGCATGCGCTCCTTGGGCTGCTTCTTCTCAATGACGTCGCCCGGAAGGGAAAAGGGCCATTCGGGCGTCCTGATGTTGGCGTCCCTTTCCTGGGTGGCGTGCATGCGCTCCTCGTGCTGCTTGGCATACCAGGACCAAGGGGAGACGAACATGCCGGACGAGGAGGAGAGGCCCGTCAGAGGCGAAGGGGTGGGAGCGCGAGGAGACTCCGGGGAGACGCGGAAGCGCTTGCGGCCGTTGGCGAGGTCGGTGTCGATGGGAGAGGGAGCGCGAGCGCGCTTCTTGCTGTTGGCGCCGCCGCTGCTGTAGCCGTTGGAGCTGCTGAAGCTGTTGGTCTTCGGAGGCGTGATGGGGGCAAAGGACTGGGCGAAGGACTCGGCGAAAGGATCGGTCTTCTTCTTCTTCTTGATGCCGGCTTGCTTGTCGTCAAGGAAGTCGCCGAGTTCGTCCGCCAGATCCAGCTCCTCCTCGTCGACCTCTTCCTCGTAGTCGGAAAGCGAACTCTCGTACTCGTCCTCCTCATCCTCATCATCCTCGAGGTAGGGGAGGTAGTTGCAAATCTTGTTGAAGTCGATGGGGCGAGGGAGATTCTCCTTAGGGATGTAGATCTCAGGAGAGTCGAGGGCCAGCGGGCTCACATCGCCATCTTCTTCCTGGACATTGGGTCCATGGTGGTACAGGTTCTTGCACCAGATCTCGTCGGCACGCTCCGTCTTGTCGAAGATTTCATAAGAAGGGACGATACCGTGGTCCTGGCAAAGGGAGTAAAGGTCGTAATGATGACGACGACGAAGCTCGTGCAGCAGGACATCGGCATTGCAGGGGTTGGCCAAGTGCTCAGGGAGCTCAGGAACGAGGCCCTTGTAGCTGGAGAGCAGCTGAGCCTCATCAAAAGGGATGGCATTCAGGCCCCTGCGAACGCTGTCTTCGATCGACTTGAAGTCCGACTCTGATTCGTACTTGTTGATGTTGAACACGTGCGCGTTGTGGTTAATCTTGAACTGCATGAGAGCCTCCTTGCGAATGGCGAAGTCCAAGGTCGCCAGAAGCTCGTCGTCAACGAGGACGCTCCAGTGGAAGTAGAGGTGCTCAATCATCTCCTCAGCGGTGAGGTCGTCGGTGAACTTCATGTCGGGGTCCAGGCGACCAGCGGAGAAGTCCATGTAGAGCTCGTGATAGAGCATGCGGATGTGGTACAGGGTGATGTAGAGCAGGTCCTCAAACTTGTGGAGGAAGTCAGTGATGACAGACTTCTTCTTGCCATCGAAATCAGTGTCAGTATCAACGACCAGTGCAATGAGAATGTGAAGCAGATGGTCAGGAAGACCAGCGAGCGACTTGGGAGCATAGCACTCGTACGAGGCGTTGTTGACACCGGAGAAGTAGGGAACCAAAGTCTCTAGCTTCTCAATCTCCTTAGCCGCGGCGTAAATGCGATCACGAGCGCAGTCAAGAGGCATGCGAGGGGCCTTGCGGACCTCCTCAAGAGAGGGAATGTTGACCAGCTTAGGCATCTTGACCTTCCGGAAAGAGCCAGCCATGGGCGAGGTAACAGTGAAGCCAGTCATGTTGGAGGTGTTGGAACGTGTCTTGAAGCTGAACAGGACTTGGACTTGTTGATGAGGGAGTACAAGGTGAAGTGAGGTGAGATGTCTCGATCGACTGATGAAGAGTCAAGTCGCTTGTTCTGGCCGGACTGTGATGAGAAGGTGGTCGCGACGGTGAGCTGGGAGCTTGAAGCGTGACGACGGGGTGAGACTGGGTGTGAGCGTGAAGCTTTGCGAAGACGAGTTCGAAGCTTGTTTGGGACCCTGCTTGATGGGCTAGGAGTCCAATCGAAGTGAGGTTAAGTGAGGTTGGCGAGAGAGAAGATGGTGGGGTGGGGAGGAAATGAATAGGAGCAATGCCTGTACCGAGGCGAGCAGAGCTCCTTGGAAGATGGATGTGGTCTTGGGTGTTCCACTTGATCCAAGGCAAAAGGCAAAGAGAGCTGAGGATGGCTGAGGAAGGAAGACTGGAGCAAGAGCGGAGGCATATGAGCAGCGGATTCAATGGCTAAGCGAGCCAAGGATGGCTGTGGTTGGCTGGATGTTGCCTGCGAAAAGGCCCGAGCGTTGTGGAAAGCATCGTGGAGTGAGGTTGAGTGGTGGTGAGGTAGCCGGTTGCGAATCAAGGTGAGGTGCCACGACACCGACCCCCACCAAATCCTCTCGAAGGTGCTGTAAAGCCTCAAGGTCGTCCTAGAGATGATGGTTAGCGGTATTGGAAACAAAATGCTGATAGAAAATGCGCTGCAAATGGGTTGCGATGCGGGCTTGGTTTGGTGGGTGGAGATATCGACGTAACAGCCGCCCGCCACTAATCATCCAACGCAACGACTACACGGTTGAAGCATCATATTCAAGCGCAGAGCATTGCAAAGACTCAGCTGACTCACAAGAAGGAAATTGATATATTGCGACTCCTTAGCATTAAGATATTGGGTGCGGCCTTCGCACGAAGCAGCGCATTCTTCCGCACGGAGACAAAGTACATAAACGAAGGCAACCCAAAGCCGTATCTACCATCGAAGAGATCCCTCTAGTGTCTGTGTCCCGCTTTTATACAGGGTAGAAATATGTAGCAGCGAAAAGGCCAAAAGATGCCGTCATACACGAACAAACCATTCTCACGCAACTCACAATCATGCCTCATCATCAACATAGGCGGGGTCAACTTCAATCACAGCGGGCATTGGCCCAATATCCGCTGCGTGGGCGCCTGGCATCTCGACGTGCGGGATGTGCCAAGACTCGTCGTTCAAGTGCTCGACAGTGCTGTTCGTCACGCCCTTACAGCCGAGCAACGACAGGAACTGCGGGAATCATGTCAGCCGTGAGCAGTGAATAGCAGGACCCGCGCTGCGCTTACCTGCAAGTTCGGCAAATTTCCAACGTGCGTCACCGTCTCTGCGTTGATCTCGCCCGCGAGATCGCAGTCGACCAGGCCCAGCGTCTGCAGACTGCTCCTCCCCTCCCACTCCTCATCCAAAAACTTCAGCAGCTCGCCGCCAACTTCCGGACACTTCTTCAGCCACAACTCCTTCAGGCCGACGTTCCTCTTCAGGATCTGGCAGAGCTGCCAGTCGCTCACCTCGGCGCCAACGAGCCGCAGCGTCTCGAGCCGGCTCCACGCATCGGCGAACTTGTTCCACTCAGTGCCACTCCCAGCCTCGGGCAGGGCGCGATACAGAGACGGAAGCCGGCGCGGGCCGCGATGCTCGGCCTCATCCTCCCGGTCATCGTCGTCATCGTCGACGGTCGAGCCCCAGTTGATGATCCAGCGGCGCAGGAAGCCGCGGCCAAAGGGGTCCTCGATGCGCAGGCACAGAGTGCGCAGGTTCTTCAGGCCCGCAAGGGCGTCTGCCACAGGCGGGGTAAGGGCCCAGATGCTGAGCTCCAGGTGGCGCATCGACATGCAGTAGCGGTTCAGGATGGACGAGGTGAGAGCGGTGTGGAAGGCCAGCAGCGTATGAGGCCGCAGCTCCGACGCCTGTGGGATGACATGTGCGACAGTGCACGCCTCGTTGAAGAGCTCAGACGACGAGGATTTGGAGCTGCATGCCGACGAAGAAGGGAGAGAGCCGGCGCTGCTGCTGAGACTCCTGGTGCTACGGGAGTACGGGGACGCGGTAGGACTTGTGCTCGAGAGCTGGCTGATCAAGGACGAAACACGGGTGGGATAGACTCCCAGGGACAGAGTTTGCAGACTGGACGAGGCAAGAACGTATGCGGACCGACTAGCTAAGGAAAAGGCGAGCAGAGAGCGGATGGGCAGAAAGCTAAGGATATGGAGCAGGAGCTCGGACGGCAGAGAGGTGAGGTGGGCCATGGTGGAATGTGCTACAGCAGCAGAGCCCGATTCTCGTCGGCCTGGGGAATTTATCGCGCTGGCTCTGGGCGAGGCGGATCGTCGGTGAGCGAGCCCTATGTTGCTGAGTGAGGTTTATTCAGGTGGTAGGATTTCAGGATTTCTGAGGAGAGCATCAGCCGGGGGTTCTCGCATCCATCACGGTGCTCGCAAGGCTTTATCTCTGCTCGAATGACTGCAAACGTACCTGCTGTGGCTCGCGATGCAGGGCTGGCACTGCGCGAGGCCGGGCGGGACGGCCACGACCGGGCTTCTTAAGTCTCAGCTTTTTCGTGGGCGAGAACGCATGCCTGGGATCCCGCTACCACGGGAGCGTGCCAGCTGCCGCAAAAGCAGATGCGGGCGTTGCTTTTGTCGAAACGCAGCCTATCGCATTTGTCGAGGCGCGGTGACGTCTGGCGGCCGCGCTGGCCCGTCGCGCGGCCAGGCACGTCGTCGCTGGCCGCATGAGACACGCCCTCATCTGCTCAGTGTTGTCGCAGTGGTGGATGACGTCCGTGACCTGGGAGCCAGATGTCAGCAGGTCGATGAAACCGTCAGCCCATGCGATCGCGCGCCAGATGCGGATGCAGGTCATCTCCCACACGAACTCGGCCCTGGCGCACACCGCAGCGACCGACATGCCGCATTGCTTCGTGGCTGCGCTGCTCGCCCAGGCTGGCCGACGCAGGGGGCGGCGACGTGACACGGCGGCCTGCAGCCTGCTCATCTATAAGGTCGCTGCGCCTCGGAACGAGCAACACGTCGACTTCTTTTTTGTCCCTCCTGCCTGCGAACCTGCTGCGTTGCGACGACCGCATGGCCAGCACACCGCGCGCCTGTGCCCGCCCTCGACCCCGCCGTGCTGGTGGTTGGCCGTGAGCTTCGACCCGGATTCGGGGCATGTGCAACCACGTGACGGAGCCGTCTCCGGCTGGGTTGGTGAGATGCAGAGGGAGCCGGAAATGGGACGAGCACGGAGAGAACCACGACGACGGCAATAACGAAGGATGGTGGAGGATGTGCCATGCCGTGTTCGCTGCCGGCCCACGACGGCATCGTCGGCATCATAGCGCGCCCCGCCAGCGGGACTGGCCTGGGCGGAGGAGCAGCGGGATTTCTCCGCCAGCTGAGCGCGACAGTCCGCTAGCCGCCGCACCAAAAATCCGCGCCCGACGGACGACTCCAGCCTGTCGCCTTGCTGCCCTCCGCCCGCCCGGCGGAAGACGCGAGCGAGGCCGGCGCGTGACGGCCTCTGCGCCAGCGCGCAAAAATCTCGGGCTCCGCTCTGCGCAGACGCTATTTCCGTCGCCTCATCCCCACCACCACCACCACGCCATTCCCCGAGCCTCATGTGAGCCTCGAGCTATTTCCGCCGTCGTTCGACGCCGCCCCATCCGTCTGCCGGTCAGCATAGGGCTGCCGCCAGGACCCCCAGCCACCGCCGCATCATTCCCCCCTTCGCCGCGCGGCTGCTGGCGCCAGACCGCGCGAGGCCCTCTAGCGCGCCTGACGACGTGTCGGGAAGCGCACCAAGGCCACCACCACCCGCCGCACCATCGAAGGGTCCTCTTCGCCATAGCGCCCTGACTAATGCACCCAAGCAGAAGCAGCTCCTACGCCATCGAAACGTGCGGCAAAGCGGCGAGGTTTAACCTTCTTTCGCGACACGGACACGATGGTGCGCCTGAGCGCTCGCTTGCCAAAGCAGCGGAGTCCATGATAGCCGTCTCACCTGTAGTAAGCCTTTAGCCATGGTGGGGGGACTTCGTCATTTCTCTCCTGGATGGACCCTTGGCCCGGTTACGGATACCTCGCGCTGCCTCCCAGACATGTACCGTCATACCGTGCTACTTACCCCACCCCGCCGTTCCTTTCTGTCCTCTGGGCTCGACCACCCCAGTCTTTCCCACGTTCTACCATCTGCATGACAAACTTTCTGGCGCCCGTTCATCCCGCGCCAGACTGCGCCATGTGGCTGGACCCGTGCGCTTGCTTTTTCTTCTTTCCCCCTCTTCCTTCAATAATAGCACCTCCAGCGAAAACGATTATCCGCCCACGAAGAAAAAGGTTCGATCGAGCGCCGCGAAGGATGAGCGCTAGCCATGGCCACCGATCGGGTTAACTCGCAGGGCGTGCCTCGAGCTAACGACACGGCGCCATTGGGCCATGGCTGGGGCGCCGCTGCATCAAAACGAGAGATAGAGGCACAGGGCACGAAAGGGCGTTATTGAGGGCGCGCGCCGGTCCGCGTATCCTGTTGGTGTTGGGGGATAGCAGTGGTACAGTGGTCGTTGCGCCGTTGCTCAAATCGCCGATGGAGGCTCATAATCTCGATAGCAGGGAGTAACGAGGAGCTCGTATCCATGACAGAGGTCTCTGCTTTATTATGGGGAGAGGGTGAGTAGCGCACGTTCTGGATCCTCATGCCACAGAGTCAAGTAAAACAGATAACATGAAAGGAGTACGCGTCTCAGGCACCACGACAATCAAGAGAGATTCACATACGAGGAAACTGAGCGTTTGCAGGGATGCCATCGGGGCTAACCCAGGACGGCAAGAAAATGAGAGAGCGAGTAGGGCCAGGGTGCACGCAGCTTTCCTGACCACGTCCTTCGACCAAAACTTAGCAACCGCCTGAATAATGGCACATGCACGCTTACCCAAGAGTCAGGAACCCTGCCGCAGCTCCATCGCTCCAAACCCTCCCCGCTCCTGTTAGGTTAGCCATTAGCTTCCGCTTATCGTTTTCCGCGCGATCGACCGCCAAATCGATCATGTATGCTGAATCGCAAGTGCCCGGCATGATCCATGCTCGCAACCTTGTTTCTTGAAAATTTCCGTTCCCCCTCAACCATTTAGCTGTCCGCCAAGGGCTACGCACGCGACGTGAGCAATCTCGAAAGGTCAGATCCCGGCCCCTTCTCACGATCTCGCCAGAGAACGTGTCATCACGCACCAATCTCAATCCCAACCGTCAATCTTCCCGTCCCGAGTCGGGACAAGCTCACGTCAAATCGCTGGCGAAAGGGAAGCCCAGCGCGCTAGAACGCTGCTAGAAACGATAAAGGGCCAACCAAGAAAGCCAAAGATCCACCGTACGGCTGAGACGGCGCGCGAGTCTAAAGGAAAGAAGCTCTCAAGATCTGGGAACGAACCGTATTCCGAGCCACATGGCCCAGCGGGGGGGGTGAGAGAGAAGGGGTGCCACGCTCGGCTTTGCTGCCGCTTACCGCTTCCCGCCCCATCCGTACCCGCCACGGCGCCCAGACTCTCTCCGAGCATCTTTTTTTTTTTCGCCGCTCTAGCACTCCGCCGGCCGGAAAAGGATAAGAGAAAGCATGAGGACGAGGCTGTAGAAAGGAGAGTGATAGGATCAAAGCGCAAGTGCGCCGGAAGAATTGCACATGGGTCCCCTCAGTCAGTCTAATGATGCTAATACATTGGAAGAGAGCGCTAAGAATTGTCTCATACGGGAGGAACCGCAGAGGTTGAAGGAGAAATGAAAAAAGAGGCGGTGCACAGACTTGTCCCTACAGTACCGTCAAACAAGGCTGCGCGGCGCTAGCAATCGTCTTTTTTGTCTACGTGCATATGCGTGACTGATTTTGATTATCCGCCCCCTCGTGACGTAGACACTACATCCAAGCGTTCATTCGCCTGCCTACGAGCCATTGCGGTGTGTGCCCTAAAGTGCTTGTGCGCGCATCTCGCGGAATGACTCCAAGTTGATCTAGTCCGTTGCAAATGGATTCTGAACAGCAATTGCGAACGGCTCACGTGGACAGCGCTGTACATACAGTAGTGCGGTGCAGGGATGCTATACAGGGTCGGCTGTGTGGTTGGCTCCCCATAACTGGGTTGCCTGATGTGGCGATGGATGAGCAAGGCCGCCGGCCACAGCCACAGGTAAGCTCTACCGGCGGTCGACCTGCAAAAAGCGTGCTTTCTGACAAGAACGCTCCGCCTGGCGACGGGCTGACGCCAAAAAGGCCCCCGATTGGTGATTAACGGCGCGAGGGCGAGCCGGTCCCACATGGTGAAAGCGAAAAAGTCCCGGACCGTCGGCTAGGGCAATCGACCGTTTGACCCTTAGGGCTGATAGTCCAATGACGAAGCACAGGCACTAGCAGCCCTCTAACATCTCCCGAAGATCAAGTGAGTGGAAAGGGGGAGTTGTTGCGCGCAGTGGAATCGGCAGGTAGCGCTGACGAAAATTGGATCGGATTCATCATCGAAAATCTGACAATGCAAGTGAGATGGAATCTGCCGGCCACGTTGTCAGCTTTTTCCGATGATGAAAGCCGAACCCCGTCTCCCGTGCCGTTTCCGCTGACCGGTAGAGCGGGAGTATCCATCAATCACAGTTGCGGTATCGGCAGCGGGAAGAAGCGGGCGTTTGCTCTCGTCTGATTTTTCTCTCCCACTCGTGACGCTGGCTCTCGGTAGTGAGCTCGTCGACCCCGTGGGCTGGTGGTTGGGGCCATTGGCTTGCATCGTCTCAATCAACGGTTTCTGCCCCTGCATCCATTAGGTGGCAGATGGAACAGTAGCATGTGGAGCGGGGCCGCATATGCAGTGCTGGCCTAAGAGCAGGCCAAGAATGCGACAGAATTGATTGCTGAAGAATTAAGCGAAGGGAGCCAATTGCAACGCTCGACGGAGATGTGTAGAATGGCAACACAGATCGCGGCGCTGGCGTCTATGACGGAGAGCAGGACGTTCCAGAATGTGTGGCTGGGCCGGAGAGAGGGACAGGAACGCGGCACCCCTGCTCGTGATCCCTGGACTGAACCGCAAGTGGCGGGCGGGACCCACGGAAATGCCCCTTGTATCCGCAGGCGGGTTTGCTTTTTTTCCCATTTCTCGTGGCGGTACGCGGTTGTTGCCCATGGCAGTCCAGGCGCAGGCAAACCTTAATTGGCGGCGGGAACAAGCCCTTGTGGCTCTGCGTGGCACGCTGCTGCGCGTCAGGTTCGTGCTCGGTCACGTTGCTCCTCGCCTCGTGGCATGCATTCTTCCTTGCTGCTGGCACGAGGGGCGGGTATCGTTAGACGCAGGACTCATGAGTCGCGCGGCTGCGTCAAAACGTCACCGCAGGCCAGCCAGCGCGCACCAAGGCAGAGTGGGGCGCTGCCCTGCGTCCGTCAGTGCTCCTCCAGACTCCACACAAACATCCTGTCAGGCGACGATCGCGCGCAAACTGGCGCCGTGCAGGCCTCACCCGCCAACCGCCGCGCTCACAGACCAGCCGGGCGCAGCCCGTCGCCGGCCAGCGCCCCAATGGCCGGCCGGCTGGAGCCCGGCCCGTGGGGCGAGCGAGTGAGACGACCGGGGAGCAAAACAAAGTTATGGATGGCACGCGCAGCGCACGTGGGAGAAGCAAGTCAAACAGTTTGCGCGCCGCGCGCGGAAGTCGGCCTCGAAACGGTCGCCGACTCCGCGAAGATGATGCGCAGCTAGCGCGCCGCCGCCCGCCAGAGGACCAAACGCGCGCCGCCTTCTGCCGGCTTCGAGAATCTGGATCGTGCGCGCGGCGCAAGCCCAGCTGAGAGCGCAAGGGACGAGACGAGACGAAAGTGGAGGCGAGAGTGGCCCACCGCGATGTGGTTCCGCTGGCGCGCACGGCCTGCTCGGCCGGGGTGGGGATGGGCCGGTCACGCTCAACGGCGAATGTCGTCGCTGTCTGTCTGTCTGTCTGTCGTCGTCGTCGTCGCCGCCGCCGCCGCCTTCTTCGATCCGATCGCGCGTGGCGTGCCTCTCGAACGCCCTCTGCTGCGCTGCAAGCCAGCGCCCGAACTTGATGCGAGCGATAAGGGCGGCGTGGACGCATCGCGGCGAACCATTCCGGGAGATCCCCTTGGGCTGCTGGCTTCAGCTCCTGTGCGTCAGCACTGGCCGTGGTGTCGCGCATCTGGGTCGCGGAAGGATCTGATGAGGTGGGCTTAGGGTGTTGGTGAACAGTGCGGTGGGTGCGCGGCTGGACCCTGGCACGCACGCAGATTGCCGGTGAGCGTCGAGTTGATGAGAGAGAGGTGGTCAACGACGAGTACCGGGGCCATCCATGCCGCCCTTAGCAAAGCGTTTGTTGGCATCGCAACACCTTCCTCGCGCCATCCCGTGCTGTTCGGGCTGCTGTCCTGCTGCTGCCAACGGCGCAGCGCACCCCCACTGCGCGACCGGTCAGTGCTTGCCTGGAGAGAGTGGTCTGTCACACATGCGTCAGGCAGCATGGCATCGAAACAACACGCCGTCCTCACCGCCGCGCGCGTGCGTCACGAGGCTTGGGGGGGTGGTGGTGATGGTTCTGCCCAAGGCGCTTGGAAGCGAGGGCTGAAGAAAGTCTTACCCCACCTTCCGCATCGCACAGCAGCCGCGCTTGCGTGCACATCCAAAACAGCCTGCGGATCCGCATGCTGCGCTTGACGAGCCTTCCCCTTCTTGCCGCGGCTGCCCAGTCGTGCTGCAGCGTCGTCGTCACTTCCGCATGCTCAGACCCTCAAGCTTCCGCAAACAGCATCTGCCCCGGCTGCGCAATCCATAACACCAAGCCGTCTCCGAGCTAACACCTCTGGTCGTGGTGGTTTGGAGTAGATCTGCACGCGCTGCCGAACACCATCACAGGCTCGCGCTAGTCTCGTCACACGCGCGCATTGGAACGAATTTCAACGGGGTTTGAGCTTCGCTAGTCAGCTTTGTTACCGTGCATTCGAGTCCATGCAGAACCCGCGTCCGCACCATGCGAAGACATGGTCATTAATCGAAGGCGATCCGGGATCCGGCACCGGCCGAGTCATGGCCTGCGATCCCACATCTGCATGCATGCTGCTTTTGCGAAGGCTGCCGGTGAAGGATGATGGGGGGAAATTGCCTGCTGTTCAATATGAGAAAAAACGAGGCGAGGGACAACCGCCAAACGTCCTTCGCACCTTGGCCCAATCACGACTGTGGAACCATGCAATGCCAGCAAATGCCATGTGGGCATGCTCTCCCGTGGGGCCTTAACCGCGCCTAGCGCCAGCAGTTCCCACTTCGACGTAGGTATGCATGCGCTTTCTGACTTCCTCGCAGAGTCCTCAAAGTTGCCACATCTGGGTGGGACGACGGATTGGAGTGGAGGAGGCGCACGGGCCTCGGGGTGCGTGCGCAGCAAATAGTGCCTCAGTAGCAGGCAAATCCTCAGCCAAACGCAAAGCAGGCATCATGGCGGAGGATGCAAGGACCTGTGCGCTCCCCCCCCTCGCTCTGCGCCTCCGTATAGTAGCAGCGTGCCTCGGTAGTCGGGCAGCCTCTCGAGCTTCAATCTGCTCGCACCAATCCCAGCCGTGGCCCTGGAAAATCTCGATGTATCTACGGTGTAACTCCCCCGGACCATGTGCACGCGCGCGGGCGCATATCTCGATAGGCACTCGTGGTTCGTCCCGCGTCTGTCATGGCACTTGCTTGGCCTCTGTGGCGCGACCCCCTCGAAACGGCCAGCGCAGCTATTCCCAACCTATTTCCACCCTATTCCCACCCCCTTACAGCCTCGGAAATTCCCCGTCCTCCCACTCAGCTCTCTCATACACGCACATTCCAGAATGCCTAGAATGCGCCACACACACCGCACCGCCCCTCCTTCGTGTAACCCGACGTCAGGGGAAAACTAGAGCGGGGACCTGCAGGTGTGTGTGTGCTGCGCAATTTATCGTGTGAATCGTCGGTCAGGACTCCAGTCCAGTCATCGTCCTTTCTTCCCTTTCTTCTCTTGCCATTCTCGCTTCCGCTTTGATTGCAGCCTCGTGAACAACACACCATGCTTCTCGCTAGTAGGTAAATTGGACGTAATCCGGGGCCCGTGCGTCCTAGCAATCGTGATTGTATCCTTCTTCCTTTCGCCTCCCCCTTCCCTCTGACGGATGCCTTCCCGCCGCCGCCGTTGCCATCGTGACAGTCGTTGCCGCAACGCCGCATGCATCCACCGACCGAGTTTTGCGTGTGGGGCTGATAGCTCTGCCGTCTCGGTCTGAGTCCAGAATATCCTCCTTTAGCCCGATGCTCTTTGGCCCCTCTGCTCCGACGGCCTGGTGAGCTAGGTGGCGGTATTTTACGACAGGAACGGACAACGGCGGCCAGCCATTGTTCTGAAGGAGCCGATGTTTTGGCGGAGCTCGGGAAGTGGGGGAGGGATTTGGGGAGGGCGTTTTCCATAGCTTAGGAGTAGTGGTGGTGGTAGTGAACCAAACAAAAGAACGACCGATAAGGATTCCTTCCCGTTTTAATGACAGGAAACGCCGACGCAAAGGCCCGTACTGCGTAGAGTTTATGGCTGTTTCAATTGGTCCTGCTTCTTTAGACGTTTGTCCTTGTCCTCTCCTCCATCCTAACCCCGCCGCCGGTATCTTTGTTGTTGTTTAGATCTTCGGACCCACTATCCAGGATGCAGTAGCACAGGTTCAACTGGACGACTCATCATGTGACTATTTATCACTGAGTGGTTCTGCCTGGGCATCAATGATAACAAATAATAGATCAGACTGTCGGCAATCGTCAACCGCGTGGAGAGGCAAACCTTAAAAAAATCTTGAGAGCACAATATGCGTAACAAGATGGAGGTGCGGCCGTGTGCGTGAGAGGCTAGGGGGCGATGATGCTTATGACGATGGTGATGATGAAACGCGCAAAAGCCAAAAAGTAGGCGGTGCCCCCTCTCTTAGCGGCAGCCGTAATTGTCATGGCCGTGAGCCCGTTTCCCGCTCCAGGTTCTGTCAACGTACTGTGCTCTTGCTCGCCATCGACTAGGGCCAACCCTGGATGCTCGCAGCACAAACCCCCTGCCGGAAACTTTCGCGCCCACGTGTGAAGGAAGGATGCGTGATCGGGCGGAAGATGCATGCGTCGTATGTAACTCGTAAGACAGTGGCAGGTCGGCAATTTGGTCCTCCAACGCGTGAGGCGACGCCAAGGACGAGGAACAGAGCGGCTGTCGCAACAAAAGTCTGGCTTCCATTTTTTTTTCTTCTTTTTGTGTGATTTCCGGTAGATGAAGATTCCCTGACATGCGTCCCTTATTTCTTGCACATTCCGACACCCCCATGAACATGGTTCTCCGACCCAAAATAGCCCATTTTCCGGTTTTCCGACTCACTATTCCGCCATCCGCCCTGTCCTGGCATGCCTGAAAAACGCGGTACCCTAAAATCCCATGATGCGGCGCTAACGTCAACGTGATGAAAACTTAAGCGAAACGGCGTACCGTCGACGCGGGAGAAAGAACCCTGATTCGCTATCCGTAAACCTTTTTCCAAGAAGCTGCACTCCAAGCCAACGCCACGCTTGCGGAAAGCAACAAGTGCAAAAAGCAACTAACAGAAACACAACGAAGAGGAAGTGGAGATGAGTACGATGGTGTGGCGAAATTCCCTCGTAATGTGGTCGTAATGCTTTGCTCACGGTGCTCCGGATCGGGAAGCCCGCTCAGCTGCCGGGGCTCCTTGCCCAACGCTCGAATTCGGGCAATCTCGGTGCGGCGGCGGAGGCTTCCCCGTATGATTCGCGGCAAGGCCTCCAGACCCTGGCCGCTCATCACAATGGAAAAGGAAACCAAGAAAAGATAGTGCGAGGCTTGAATGCCGTCCTCACACACACCTTCTATGTATCTTGACTCGTGCGTCGCGTGTGGTTCGTCAGCCGGGGAAGCCGCCGTGCTGGGAGTGCGTCTGGTATGCCCCCTGCGGTGGTGCTGTCGTGGTGCTCTGCGCAAAACCCATGGCCGTCGAGAAGGTCGGGAAACCCTGGCCCTGCGGCACCAAGGGCGGTGTGACCTGCATGTCAGGGTAGGGCATGTTTCCGTGGCTGCTCTGCCTAACTGGCACTGGCATGCTCATCGGTGGCGGGGATTCGAACGGCGTTGCCTCGTGCGATCCCACGTGCGACCCCTGTGCTGACACGGAAGCGGGACTTTCGTACAGCTCCTCGAGACGTGCGTTGGCAGGCGTCGATGTCGCGCTCAGACCACGTGGCATGGGCACTGCCATGTTGGGTAGCACTTCGTTGATCTTCTGAAGGAGCAGGGCGAGATAGCGCGATTGGCCGCCGCGGAGCGTCGAGATGAGGTTCAGGAAGCGCCCGAGGTAATCGCGCGGGCCAAGCTCGAACGAGTGTTGCTCCATCGGCACGCAGGCCATGACGTCGGTCAGCGTGCATGCCACGTCGAAGAGTTTCTCAATCTGTAAAGCAGAAATGAAAAAAATTGCGGTCAGCCAACGTCGACAATCTGCAAGCGGCGCAGCACGCCTGTTTCAGAAACTCACCAGTCCGACACCGTGCACCTCCATCGCCTGCTGCGAAAACTGGCTCGACATGGTGATGAGGTCGCGGGCGATTTCAATGGGGTACTTGAAGCTCATTGTGTTGTCTTGGGACACGGAAGAGATGAAGCCGTGGCTGATGGCAAGCTGCCAGACCATGGTGCGCAGCCATTGCTGCGAAGTGCGCAGGTCGACGGCTTGCACTTCGGTGCTCTCGAGATAGCTAGGCAACGCGTCCGAGAGCTGGTTCTGCATCTGAGCAAGCCACGATGGCAAGCAGCCGGTGCGGACCTTGTTCCAGAGGCCCATGAAGGTGTGGTCGAAGGGCTTGTAGAGGTTGATGAGATGGATGAAGCCGGAGATTTGCATGCGCTCCGTGGGATCCTCGTCCTGCGTGGGGATCTCAATGGTGGCGTCGAGCGTGATGGGGCGGTGCTTGTGGAGGGCGTACGCTCTGCGCATATGTTAGCTTCGGCTGAAAAAAAAAAACTCGACACGGCCGTGGGACGGAGCCCGACCTCTCTTGGATGAAAAGCAGCCAGTACAAGCGGCGGCGGCGCGACGTCTCGATGAAGTCGCCGGTCTTGTACGTCTCCTCGTCGTGCATGCCCAGCAGCTGGGCGTGCGTCGTGGCCTCGCGCAGGTAGTACCAGGCCGTGTTGTGCTTGTCCAGGCACTGGTAGCTGCTGAAGAAGAAGAACGAGGTGATGACGGAGTAGCGGGTGGGGTTCTCCACGTGGTTGTAGCTCTTTCTCACGCGCACGGCTTCCTCGAGCAGGACGTGGCCGAAGTTGAGGTTGGGGATCGGGCCTTCTGGACCCCGCGGCACGACGTTTGGCGGGAGCGACATGTTCGGCTGGATGAGCATGTAGGCGCAGAGGGCGGCGATCATGCAGTAGGCCTCGACGTTCTGGTCCATGCTGAGGATGGCCTCCTGAATGCGCTGGTGGTGCAGGATGGGCTGGGAGGGGTACAGATTCTGGAAGAAGAAGTCGACGCAGGTGTGGATCAGGTCCAGAGACATCAGGCCGGGCTGGCGCTGCAGGGCGATGTTGTGCGTGTTGTAGAGGTCCGGGAAGCCGCTGGCGGCCAACTGCGACTGGCGCTGCGTCTCGCGCAGCTCGGAGAGCACCTTGGCGCGACTGCCCTTGGGGCCCTTCTTCTGGGGGATGGCATTGTAGGTGCAGTTGAGGCCGGCAGAGACGCAGTTCTTGCAGGGCTTGTGGCCTTCGCCAATGCACTTGACTTTGCGGCGGTGACAGCTGCTGTGGTCAGACGGGTGTGGGCGGCGGCGGCGGCGGGGCACTCACCTGTCGCAGGCGCGCTTGACCGGCGTGCTCGAGGGGGTGGAGGACATGGTGGACTGGTTGGCGAGAGCCTTTGCCATTGACTGCGAGGGCTGGCGGGCGGCGCTCATGAGCCTGGGCGGGCGGCGTGAAATAATAAAGTTGGTCGACAGGACGTTCTGCACGCGCACAGCATCCGACTTACCTCATTGTGCTTGTCCTGCACATCCTCTTAGCGCGGCCGGCCAGCCTTAAACTAGCGCACTTTGGAACCGAACATGCCCAGAAGTCAGGAACGAGCTACAGCACGCGCGCCCTTGGCCGCGGAAAGCGCGAGCAGGGGCGATGCTTGCAGCGTCAACGCGGCGCCCGCCAGCCCACTCCCAGGCACGCCGCACCCAAGCCTCCTCGTGCGCTTCACGCCGCCGGACAGCTCTGCGCGCGCGTCTGGCCCGTGGTGGGGGCCTGGCGGCGGCTCCCAACGCCAATCCCAATTGCGTCCGAGGGCGATATCAAAATTTGATCGCTGACCCCACTTGTCGACGGCAGCAGCGCGTGTCAGTGCGAGCGCGACACACTGCGACATGCGGTGTCCATGTCCATGCCCACTATGGCGTCAACGCGTTGCCGGCCAGCTGTCCGCCAGCGCCCTCTCTCGCCTTGCCTGCCGCCGCAGAGCCCACGCTGCGCCCGCGCCTGCCGGCCACCGCCACACAGCCCGCCCACCAGCCCTGCCCTGCTTTCACACCCTCGCCCTCCCCAGCGCGCTGCCCGACAGCCGCCTCGCCCGCCAGCCCAGCAGGTGCGCGGACCGGGCGCGTGTCGTGTCGCGCGCGCTGCAGCGCGAGGACAGTCGAGCTTGAGCTGATCTAGCCGCGGCATATGCTGCCGAATGAATCGCGCGTATCGGGACAGGCCGCCCGCTTTCGCCTTGGGGGTTGCGTTTCCTGGGACCGGAGGGGGCCATGTTGCCATGAAGCGTCCGAGAATGCCTCTGAGTGAATCGAAGGCGCGAGAGAGCAGCGCCGCCCTCTATATACGTGCAAGACGCCCCAAAAGGCCCTTCTGCGGTGCGCTTCTGGCCTGCCTTGCGCCCTGCACCGGGCAAGCGGGTGCTCGCCGCTCGCGGCATTGATGGCCCGTCGCCGGGGAGCTGACGATGAGGTTGCCCCATGACTCGAGAGCGGGTAGCCGGCGGAGCAGACCGAGCGGCCATGTCGCTTGCTGAAGCAGAATCCAGCCAGAGTCGTCCGCATCGTGAAGCCCCCTTGTCTCCCGCTTGCCGCTCTTGCCATAATCGCCCTTGGGCCTCGCGCCGCTGATGACATCTACCCACGCCCCGGATGCGTTCCACGAGTCGGTCAAACGAAATGTGCTGGCTGTCAGTTGAGCGCCCGCGGCGGACGTGCGCCGACGCGATGGAAAACGGGCCCTGCCTGAGACACCAAGGCAGAGGAGAGCTCGGGCTGCGGCGCGCCCAGCCCTGCCCGACTGCGGCGGCGCGAGAGAACGCCGGAGCCAGGATGATGAGCGGGTATCGAGGTCGTGCGTTGCTGCTGCTGATGACGAGCAGTGGTGAGGACGCGAGACAACACCACGCCCGGGTCCGACGCAGCCCCTGCCTATATACCGCCTAAGCGACGCCGCCGTGTGCGACGCAGAGCCTCACGCTGACTGCTGTGCCGCTCCCCAACCGCCCCCCAAACAAGGCAGCCCTCGTTACACAACAGCACTGACGATGACGACGTCCCGCTTCGTCAACATGCGAATCACCGTTGAATCGGCGCGATTACTTGTACAGGATGTCACTAGCCACAGCCATCAGCCCCAATGCGCCCAACAAGGAAATTGACCCGCCTCCGCAAGAGGCCATGAGCCCCAACCAAGACCACTGCGCTCCCGAGTGCCTGGTTGGGGAATTAGAACCATGCATCGAATCAGCATGACAAGCTCAAGCACCTCCACGTGCTGACCATGCGCCAACGCCATGCTCGCTCAATGCCTACCATAATTACGCAGAATGAAAAGGACAAAAACCAGAAAGTCAGACCACCCTCGCATGCCGTCGCCAATTACGCCAGGACCTCGCCGACCCCGGTCCAAATGCTACTCCCCCCCCGCCCGTATGTATGCTTGACTGCGCCCGCGATGCGGTCCAAGGCGAGAGCTGAGCTTCTTGGCCAATGCCGGCCTTCAGGATCACTACAGGGCAGGGCGTCCGTCAGGCGAACTCCATCCCAGAGGCAATCCCCACACCATGCTTTGTTAGGAAAGACGCCTTCGCCGCCTACGTGAACTCCACCCTGCTCCCTGTTCCGCCACCTCTTGCTAGCCTCGCCTGCGCCCGCTCCGCCCTGCGCCGCCGCCGATTGCTGTCGGCTCTGCTCTGCTCCGTGCCAGCCGGGCTGAACGGGTCTCCGCTGCCCAAGCTGCCAAGCCCGCTCGTGGTGCCTGGGGCCGGCGGCGGCAAGTTTGTTGCCGATTGTGGAGACGACTGGTGTTTCGGTACGGGTGGAGGGCCCGGTGGCGACTGATCCATTACCGGGAGCGGAGGCACAGTTGACTCGGCTTGAGATGTAGTTGAGAATCGATGTTTCTCCTTCTCCATTTCCGCTGCCTGCTGTGCCTCCATCATTTCCGTTCGTCGCCAGTGCTCGTCACCGCTCATAGAGCTTAGACTGCCTGCGCGTTTGCGCTCGCGCCGCCGTGCCTCCCGCTCGGCTGCTGCTTCCGCCTCGTTCAGCCGGCGCAAGGTGACGTGGCGGCCATCTTTGTGCATCTTGACCTTGACTGACACGGGCGGCGACGTAAGATTAGTGTCACTGCTATGTGGTCGTTGTCGACTGTGTCCTCGCCGCGAGGCCGCTGCTCCAGCTACTGCAGCGCCAGTGCCAGCCAATGCGGCATCACGCTTCGAGTGACGGCGGTGAGCATGCCTGCTTGGCGACGCATAGATCTCGGAATCCGAGTCTGCGTACATTCCGCCAGCGGGCACGGGAAACGGATCGTGCGGCGGTGGAGGTACGCCCGTTACGTGGTGTGTGCCCTCACCGACCGCATCGATTCTGCTTTCCATTGTGGGTCGTGTGGGTGTGATCGGACCAGGGCGTTGGAACGAGTGGCGAGACAGCTCGGGGCTGCTTCCCCTGAAGTCAAAGGCACTTTCAGTGCCATTGGAGTACCGTCTGCCAGGTGTTCTCAGAGGCGTACCATCCCCTGTAAATTTCCGCCGGTGGCTGCCCATCCGCGCAATCCGCTCGTTTTCGATATCCTGCTGTCGCACCTCCTCCACATGCGCCTCCTCCTTCTGCTTCTTTCGTTCGCCCAGTTTGTGCTTGATGAAGCCAAATAGGCCCAGCCCCAGGAGCGTGTTCCGGACGCCATGACCATCGCCGTGCTGCTCATCGCGAATGCTCTCAAAGCTCTCCCGACTGTCCCAGGAGTCAATGGAATCTCCGCTCCTCCTGGTGCGGGGGCCAGGTCTGCGCATTGGGCTTCCCGAAAGAGCAGCATCCTCTGCAACCTCGCTCTCTTGAGTGCGTCTGTAACGATCTGCAGCGTTCCCAGGAGAAGCCGGAGCCCTGCCTTCCTCGAGTCTACTCAAGTCCGTCTGTGTGACGGAAGTTGCCCCTCCGGGAGGCGGTACGTAGCTGCTGACGACGCTGTCTTCTTCCGGTTTCCTGCGATTGAAAAGACTCTTGACGGCGGCGAACGCACCGAGGCCCGCAGTAGCACCTAGCAATCGATCGCGCCACGTATGGCCACGGCGGCCTCCATCCTCGGAATACTTCTCGTCGAGATAAGCGTCGTCATGATCGTGGCGGGATCCAGGCCGGTGGTGCGAAGTTGGAGGCCGCGAGCTGAGGACGGTTTGCTGTTCGGTAACTTCAGAGCGTCTTCTGCTCTGCGATCTCCTCCGCATCGCTGCCAGCCCGGCCCCTGCAGCACCGGCAGCAGCTAATGCGCCAAGGTCACGCCGGTGGCTTCGGCGACTCTGTCTATCCTCGGTCACGGCCGTGTAGTCGGAGATGTACGTCCCATCATCATCGAACGCGCCCACCGGCAAGTTCTTCCACGACAAGTAAAAGTAACAGAGAAGGAGACCGAATCCCCAAATGGCATACAACACAAAGAGAACTTTCGGAGATCCCCAGAGTGTGAGACCGAGCGGGATTTGAACAAACCCAAGAATGGCAATCGCGCGTCCCAGCCATTGGTGCATCTGACAAGTCTCAGTCGACCGGGATTTCGCGGATAGAAAGGAAAAGACTCACCATCAGCTTCAGGGGGATTTTGAACCGCTCTCTTCCCTTCTCTCTGTGATGAATGAGGCCGCCGCCTATGGCCTGCACGAGGATGAGGACGTAGATGGCCGTACCAATTCCATGATGCGGATTCGTAAGACTCCTCTCCGGACCCACAGCGAAATACCCAAGCATGAATACCACTGTCGTCAACAACACAGTCAAGATTTGCAGCCATATGTGCATGCGCAAAGCTAGACGGGGATTGCGGTGATAGAATCGAGCCATGAAAATAGCCGCAGGGACGATGGCAAGAAAGGTGATTGCAGCGACAACTCCATGGCCGATAATGAGCGGTTTGTAACCTGCCATCTCCTTGAACCGGTTCCCCATGCCTTTAAGCTGGTCAGCACTGTGCGGGGGTTGGTGCAAGTTAGAAATGAGCTTACCGTTATAGCGCATGGTGTCAAAGTTCAAGCCCATAAGGTTGGGTAGCAGAAAGGTATTCCTCTCTGAATCCCATGTACCATCACCAACGTACATGGTGCCGGAGGAATATTGGCTGCTGCCCGGAGGCGCAAGCCCGTCTGTGGACATTCTGAGTTGTTTGTGACGAAGTTATTGACGCGCGAATTAATCTGGCAGGTGGACGGATATGTAGCTGGCAGTGCGCGCAAACGGGGAGAGTCTATAGCATGAACGCCGTTTGTATGTGCAATGCCGTCGGGATTCGCGTCGGCTGAGACCAGGCGGCACAGAACAATGTACAGAACGAATGCGTAAAAAACAGGTCGTGACGGTCGTGCAAAGCGCGGGTGGGCGCGGAGCCTGGAGGAGGCTCAAGCGGGTGTGGAGACCGCGGAGGGAGGCGCGGTGGTGAGCGCGGTGTGGAGCGTGGTGCTGACGACAGAGGTGCGGAGGGCGGAGGTGCGGAGCATGCCCGACGGCGGAGCTCGGTGGGGCTATCGCAGCGCTGTCGCGAGGCGTGAGGGAGGGTTGCGCTTGTCTGGGAAAGCTTTCGAGAAGAGGTCGCGGACGTGTCGTCAGCCGGTACACTTGGGAGAGCGCGAGAGAAAGCAGCTGCCGTTTCCCTGCGTTGCAGCTTCCAGGGCTGGCAACCTGCTCTGCTGGCCCAGCAACGCCGCCGCTGATTGGCTCACGGCGCGGGCGCTAAGCGGCTTCCCAGCCACCTTTCTTGCGCTGCCGCCTCAGACGACAGCCCGATATAATCCACCACTGTCCTCCCTCGCCCGTCGAGGTCAGACACGTCGCTCTCAATACAGCGCACATGTCTCGCTCGCGCTGTCGCCTCCATGGCGCGACTGTTCCGCCAGCTCTCTTCAGCGTCACCAGCCGGACACACCCGCGTGATCCACGACAAGCGAAGTGATCCAAGCTCCACGCGTCCTCCACACTTCGCGCAATCCATTGGCAAACGTCACTTCAGCTTATAACACGCATTATGTCCCGCGTTCAGCTGTGTCCCCAGAGCCATCCGTGCAGCCCGCATCAGCTCGTGTCCAGCCCCACTGCTCCGCCTCAGCTCTCGGGCCTTGCTTCGTGCGACCGTAGCTTGGTGTTGACTATGACGCACATTCTGTGTGTAGCGAAAGCCATGACCACGAAGATCCCCGGCCCACAAATATGACATTACTCAAACGAGCAATTCGAGCTATCGAGACTTCTGATTAAGGTTGATTGCGATAAGTTGTCCTAATGCTGCGTTGAAAACGACGGTTGTGCTTATCCCGCTCCACACGGTCGGGTCTTTCTGTGCAGCAGCTCGGTATCACGCTCCTAGCTATGACAATGGCCGGCTGCATGTACTTCCTGACAGACCCTCCCTGTTAGCTTGATGAATGTTTCCTACATTCTCTTCTTTCATCCTCACGACTTGTTTCGTTTTTCTTTTGTTCCTTTGCTTTCATACGAAATAGCATTTCTCAAAGCTGTACTTTTTTCCTGAGAGCCATCGCTGATCAATGTTTTCTTTTCTCCTTCAGAAATGGCTTTCCACTATACATTGAACAGTTGGCACATGGATATTCCGTGTTCGTGTCGTCACAAACTGTGGGTCGCAGTCGTAGCTTGTCTTCAATTTTGCTTAGCCATAATTGTCGCCGGTCAGAGATGCCGCACTACCTTACCCGAAAGAAATCGTAGTGCCATGACTAGATCTGCAATACTATGGTCCAGTTGACCACAGAACGCTGCAGATTTCAGATTTCACTACGTCACCTGAAGGACTCGTGCTACGACTGGACGTTCGGTGATCATCGGCGGTTCCTTGAAGTAGTGCGCTTGGTGCTTGCGCATCCCCCAGGATCGGACCCACTAGCATCTAGACCTTATAGGACACTTGTTTTGAACGGTACATCTTGCGCTATTTGGAACGCTCATCATGCTACCGGTCTGGACCCTAAAGCCACGGCAACCGCCCCGGAACCAATCGGATTCCCACTTCCCTCCAGATGGTTCATCCATTTCTTTTGTTGGCTTGCTTTTCTTATCATGCTACTATTTACTTAGTGTTTTGGGTGGTTCGTCCTAATAACGTAACACCACTCGCTCGTTACTCCATCGGCAGGATCGTAACCACGTTATTATCCAGCTACTTGCAGAATGGCCTAGCTAGAGCAGCACAAGATCATATGGCTTCGAATTGGGCCGGCTTGGTCTCAACTGTTTTACATGCATTCCTCGCGGTCCTTATCTATCTGCTCCGAGCCGCACTCGACGGAGAGCTCTCGAGACTATTAAAACGTACGAGGACGCAAACAACCGGGAAACACCTTAAAGGCTTTCCGTAGATGCCACGTGCTGAGATCAATGCATCTCGTCGGCAACAAACTCGATGATCTGCGTCCATTTAAAGTCCTTGACATAGTATACACAAAACAGCCTCCTGTTAACCTCACACAGCTCAAAAATATCTATCTAGTTACGCCCAGAAAGCCCTTATTAGGAAAGAGGCTCTTAAACAGACTCAACTACGTATCTACGGGAAGTACTATGCCGCTATCGGTTAAGGGGGGGGCGTCTCTCTCTCTCTCGCTGAGAGCAGTTAGTAATAATAATCGATCTATCATGATGGTTTGAGCAAAAAAAAAAAAAAAAACTGCTGCTGCATCTTCCTCTAAGCAAGTTTAGTACTGGAGGGTCAGGCGGTTTCAGCAGGACATGAGTTCTGTGCACCTACCACGACGTTTCCGCAGGGTGTCCTTCCAGAGCCCCATCTCAAACCTCCCGCTCACGCCTTTCGTAGTACTGCTAGTAAGGAGTTGGCTCCGTAGCGTACCATGCCTTTTCTATCAACACGGAAGGCTACCTCACATCTGCATCTCTCCGTATTTTGTCAAACAGTCTTCAAGGTGCGTGCTGGCGTTAGAGGACCATTCAAAGAATGTTTCTAATTACTCAAGAAGTCTTTACCAGCACCTCTATGCTTCCTGCTTCAAGTTAGAGGACAGAGGAAAGACTTGAGTGCTTGATAAGGTGTTGAACGTCAGGAATGGCAGTGGGGAAGTAACGCCGATGAAAGCCATGCTGGTGATCTCGCTTCATTAACGCAGAAAAGTATACCCAAGCCCCGGATCATGCTGAACAGCCATACACCGCCTGGAAAGGAGGGTTTACATCTAAGTTACTCCGACAGTCAGCGAGTGAAGTCATAATGTACGTTGCAAATTCCCCATCACAGTACATTGAACTGAGTGATTTTGTTAGGTGATTCGTAGAAGGTGCTGGAGGTGCATGCGTACCTTCTTGGGTGTATGGTGTCACGCAGAGAGAAAATTCCTACAGCATGACCTTCCGCTTGGTATTGAGCAAGCGCTCCCGCGAAAGCACCTCCCGCGCTTGGCACTGATACCTTGCCCAACCACGACCACCTAGCCCAACAGCGCCATCACATGTCCCCGCTACCCGAGCACACTTTCCCGGGCCTGTGTTTCCCTGGATACTGCAGGCACGGCCCCGGAAATTTTGCACGCGCATCCACGACAGCCTCTTCCTCCGTCCCTCTATTTAACCTCCCCATTCTTCCCCAACCCAGGCTTTCTTTTCCTTTTTTTTTTCTCTGGCTCTCTTTGCCTTTTGGCTTAGATCAAGTGTAGTAGCTGTTCTTTTTAGTTTAATCTCTAGAACGTCCCTGGGGGGCATTTCTATTGATTAAACTACTTTTTGGAGACCGGTCTGGCGGCCTCTGGGCTCCGCCTATGTCGCTAAGCCACGGTGTCGCTTGTATTGCACTGCCTCAGGCTGATGCGACCCAGTCTCTTGGTTTCTCGTTTGCCTCGATTATTGCCTTTTCGTTGAGCATGTACCCACCATCCCTATGGGGCCTCGAGGAAGAGCTGGCGGGCGTTACTGAGACAAGGAGGGCCAGGTCATTATCTATTATTCATTACTTTGGTCATGACAATTTCTAGTACTCAGGCCCTTCCGAATTTATGGAAAAATCGTGTACCTTGGATTCCCGCCCTTGACCTTTCGCACAACCTCCACCGGACCCCTTGTAACCATCTTACTGTCTATCCAGGATGTAGTAAACTCACCGTCGCGACTTAATTTACATTAGAAGCTTTTTTCCTTTCTAGAATACGCACTCTATTCGCTCTTGCTAAGACAAGTTAACGCGTCTTGATAGTAAGAAGTCTTTCTTCTCCTGTATTACCACTCTAAAGGAGTCAGTGTGGTTTATAGCAACTCGACCTCTCACTTCGAAGACTTTCCCCACGTTTCTCTCTTTTTTTTCTGCCCTGTGCTAGTAGGTATAAGAGGTCTTGTTTGGAGATGCTACCGTTACCGTAGGTAGATTCGGGGTAGAAATTAAGGGAAGATGGAGATGGTCGAGATATAAGCGAGAACAAGGGCAAATTACGGTGAGATGCTAGCGTCGGAAGACTGATTCTTAATGATATGTCTATGGCTAAGTCACTAAGGTGGGCATACAACCCCCTCTTAGAGCCGATGGCTAGTGCCGTCTTTTTTTTTTAAGGAGCACCGGGGTTCTAACTTATTATCGCCTTGGGAAGGGGTATTAACCCACGATTTTGACCTATCATATCACCGGAGCGAGCGCGATGATTTTTGTAATAAATTTTGCGCTGGCATTCTACTAAAAGAGCGGGGCTGTGTATGATTTAAAGTTGGGGGTTATCAGGAAGAACTGGCAACGACAATTAGAACCGATGAACGACATGACTATAATACGCGCTCAACAGTCCATTTAGAATTCATCTTCCAACATAGACGGAGGTACCGCGGTATGATTGCAGCAGATCTCGGAAATGATCCAGGGGCCGGAAAAATAGAAGAGACGACGCCATCGCTAGCCGTGCGCGGTGCCGTTCGTTACCCGACGATTCGCCTGAGGCTAAAACACCGTTTGGTGCCCAGTGCTGCATCTACAACCGATATCCCGCGTTTCCCGGGGAATTCAACAAGCATCACGCTAAGCATTCGTATTTTCTCGGCTTTCTGGGACGTGCTCGGCTATCACCATTCATTCATGATTCTATAACCTTTTCCGCATGTAGCTGACAATGAACATTCACTGTGTAGGGTTTGAAAGATGTACATTGAATTTTTCACTTTTCCCGTGCAAAGAAGGCAGGCTAGTTTAGGAGGACATGGCGGGAAGAGTGATCTTCTCAATAGTCCAGACCTTGCCACCCTGGCTGGACGTCATCTCGGTGTAGACGGCGCCACCGGAGCTGGTCAGAGTGTCGCTGAAAGAGGTGTCGGCAGCGGCGAGGGTGATGGTGGTGTTGAGGTACTGCTGCTCGGAGACGGTGCCGGTGCAGCTGTCGTCGCACTCAGTGCCGGTGCCGTAACCGGTCATGTAAGGGCCCGAGTCGTAGGAAAAGTAGGACAGGTTCTCGCCCGTCTCGGCGTTGGTGACAATCCTTGGGTAAGTGTGAGCGCAACTTGTTTCGACAGGTGTTTGCAGGAGATGGGGCTTACTGTTCCCAAGTGGTGCCGTCGTCCATCAGGTTGTACTCGATCCTGACCTTCATGTCGCCGCTGACGGCGGACGCGTTTGAATCCTTCTGGCCGAAGCTGCCGAAGAGAGAGGCGCGGACACACCACTGAGTGGAGTCGGCGCCGCACCACTCGTTTCCGTCAGACCACTGCTCAAGGGTGGTCTGAACAAGATCGCCAGTGCCGTTGCTCATACCGGGCCACAGGAAGAGCTCGCCATTCTGGGAGGAGGGAGGAGTGCCGGGAATGATGGTAGTGACGGCATTGACGATGGTCGACTTGGTGGGGCCGAGAGAGACGGCGCCACCCCAGGTATCCTCGCGCTTCTGCACGAGACGCGTGACAGAAGCAAGGGAAGGCAGAGCAGCCGCAAGAGCGGGAAGAGCGAGAAAAGCTGTAGACTTCATATTTAAAATAGGATTGAACGAATGTATATGGGTAGAGAACGAGAGCAACCAGTGCTTTGGTGATGGGAAGGAGAGGCAAAAGATCATCATGCCAATTATATAGCATCCTTACTAGGCCAATAGGGGACGCGGTTGGCAAAAGCCGGAGTATACGTAAGCCCGGGGTGTGTCTTGTCCTTGAAACCAAGCCTTCATGATCTACGCTCGGCTCCCGCTTTGTGAAACAAATTCTCTCCACCTACCATCTGTTTCTCACGACGGAAGAAGTAAGCATCCCGCGTGCCTTGCACGACCGTTATGACCATGCAAGGATAGCGACACGCCTCCACGTCAGCAGCGGATTTTTGACCAATATGAGCAAACGTCGGATTGTGTTTGTTGATAAATCGAAAAAGCCGGCCCACCGTACGACGCAGGAAATGGCAACTTCGGCCCGTGTCACATATCGTCCGGAATACCGGCTAGCCGTGCGCCAAAGATAGGGCCAATGGCGTTGAATTGCGCCCCTTACATTGCAGATAGTTTGTCGCGATTTAAGTCGAACGGGCGCTAGTTGTAACTAGCTGTCATGTTACATAGGGCTGAATGATGGGACAGCAGCATTAGTTGGGTAGGGAAATCCGGTGCTGTCAGATCCCAAGGTTCTTGGTAGATGGCGCCATGGCTCGGCCGACATTCGTCCGTTTATTTCAACTGCATCTGTTTCCGAATTAAGATCAAGCCCGGACCCTTGCTACTTTGGAATGTTGCAAGAGATATCTTGCAGTCTCGTTCAGCAATCTCTGTCGTCGCTGTGGAGTCTGCAGTGACTCGGTGGTTCTGCAGGTCACGTCTTCTTCAACATGTCTTCGTTCCACTCATGGCAGAAGGGTGGGGAACTGGTGAGAGCAGATATTGCCAAGAAGCGCAGTTGGAAGGCAGGGAGTCGGCGTTCTCGGTGACGCCGCTATCGGCGAGTTTTAAGGCGCCGACAGTCGACATTTCAGCGTTGACCATTCACACTGCACGCAACAACAACAACTCAGCTCAACCACTCTCTTTCAATGACCAAACCAAAGATCCTCTGCCTCCACGGGGCGGGGACCAACGCGCGCATCTTCGAAGCGCAGACGGCGCGGCTGGGTCTGGTGATCCGGAAGCATTTCGACCTGGTCTTCCTGGAGGGACCCATCGAATGCGCGGCGGGTCCGGGGGTGCTGCCGTTCTTTGAGGGCGAGGAGCCGTTCCTGCGCTGGCACAACGAGGTCGACGACGAGGTGAAGAAGCAACGGGCGGGGCCGCACGCGCAGCAGATGGAGCGCGTCCGCAGGCTGCTGGTGGGCGCGATTCGAGAGCAGGGCCCGTTCGTGGGAGTGCTGGGGTTCTCGCAGGGCGCGAAGACGGCAATGCAGTTGCTGCTGCTGCAGGAGGAGCAGGGAGTGGAGGAGGCAGGGAGCAGGATCAAGTTCGGGGTGCTCATTTGCGGGACGGTGCCGGCGGAGGACCTGCTGGTGGCGCATCGCGCCGAGGGCGAGGAGCGGCAGGGCGTGGTGGTGCGGGTGCCGACGGTGCACGCCGTGGCCGAGTCGGATCCATGGCGGGCGCAGAGCGAGCAGCTGCCCCAGTACTGCGACGAAGCAACGCGCCGCGTCTTCCACTACACGGGCGGCCACCACCTGCCGCATCTCGCGGCGCAGAACCAGCAGCTGGCGGATCTCATTCTGGACACGTACAGGGCGGCCGAGGCGCGCGCTTGACAACGGCATTAGCGGGATTGCGCAATCCACGGCGCGGCTTCCGCAATCGCGGCCCGGCCATTTAAAATGTCAGGGAACTCCAGAATTCAATTTTGTCTCTCTACTGCGGGATCTGCCTGACGGTGCACATCTCCTTCTCGGCGTTGGGGAAGCACTCGTGCACGCCCTCGGCCCTGAGCGTGCGGAAGAACCAGTCCATGGCCGTGGGGTACTGCTTGCGCATCGCCTCGTCGACGCCGAACTTGAAGGCCGGCACCAGCGACGACATGACGGCCAGGTCGGCAATGCTCAGCGCCTCGGTCGCCAGCCAGCTCCGCCCGCCGCCCAGCGCGCGCTCCAGCGTCTCGAGCACCTTGGCCAGCTTGCCCAGCGTCTTCTGCTCGGCCTCCTCGTCGTGCTTGGCGAAGCCGAAGCGCGGGTAGAGCAGCTTCAGCACCTCCGGCCACACCTCGCCCACCTGGAACAGCACCCACTGCTGCACCCGCGCCTTCTCCGCCGCGTTCGCGCCCACCAGCTGCGCCGCCTTGGGGCCCGACTCGGCCACGTACTGCATGATGGCGTCCGACTCGACCAGGTTGACTCCGTCGGCGCCCTCGAACGCCGGCACCTTGCCCGTCGGGAACTTGGCCAGGAACTCGTCCGTCTTGTTCGTCTTGCCCATCTGGAAGCCCGCCACCTCCTCCACCTCCAGCCCGTTGATCTTGGCCGCCGCCCGCACCTAAAGAAGAGTCAGCTTGGCCATGCCCGCTTGGGATGCTGCAACCCCCGGACGCACCTTCATGACCCTAGGGTTGTCGGGGTACGAGTAGATCTTTCCGATGGGAGCCATTGTGTCGATTGTTTGGAGTGAGAGAGGAAGGGTTGAAGTTGTCGCTCTTCAGGACAGAAACGCGCGCAGCTATAAAGCCCGTCCTCCGGCCGAAACAGGAAACAGTCAGCCCATCGGAACTCTCAGACGCTAATGATGTAACTAGAGGCGGTGGACCAGCGCCGTACCTACCCCTGCTTTCTAATCCCGTGTTAATGAGATCCTTCCAAGCGTTTCGGCGATGTTCCACCGAACCCCCAGCGAGCACGCTTCGACCATTCGGACCGGATTCTAACCGTCCGACCGTTTCTTGAAAACCATTCAGAAAATGCCAAGGCGGACGTTCTGGAGACATGAAATATGAACAACTTCCGCCGGGGGAAAGTTTCCGTCTCTCTTCTTGGCAGACGAGCAAAGCCTAGAAAAATCGTCGGTCAACTAACCAACCGGCTAACGGATGATCAGCGAACAGGCGGTAAGCAAGGAGACATGTTGCTGACAATTAGAAATAGATGCCACTCCCAATTGCCAAGGATGATGCATATCTCCTGCTGTAAGCTCGTGAGAACATTACCAACCACCATTCCGCACAGGGGATGACCGGTGAGGACTACGCCACGGCTGTCAATACTGCGAGCCGCGAACGTGACGGGGTAACCTTTGTCGGTTAGATGCTTGACCGGAAAGTATAGCTATAATCTCACGCGCATATCCACCACCATATCCTCGGTCAAGAAACGGACGACGCATCCAGCCCAAAGTAGAAAAACAGGGAACGGTCCTGGAAGAGAGATGACAAATCAAAGAAGGACCAACAGAAAAGCAAAAAAGAAAAAAGTCCAATTGCAGTTGGCAAGCAGGCGGCCCAGGATGTGTGGGTTGCATGTAAATTGACACTTGTTGTTTGGAAATGAGCCGCATACCCGATCTGACAGAGCTGACAAATCGACATATGTCTGTCTGGCAAGGCTGGTGTCTGCCTTGCAGACATGCCCAACCACGTCTCTCCCAAAAAGACCCATTTCTGCGATTGGCGACTGGGGCGGGCGAAGTCAACCGCCTCGATATTTGTCTGTCAGGAGGCCGCCCTTTTCTCTCTTCAGAGTTGGAGGCCCTCAGTGTACCCTCGAATCACAATTCACCAGGGCATCAGCTCCGGTACGGCTCTTTCCACTTGTTGCTAAACCGGTTTTCATTGTTTCACAGAATATGCTGGCCACGCTACAAAATTAAGAGAATAGAGAAGATATACGCAATGATGTGAAGATTAGCAAGTGGCGGCGGCAGTGTCGGACGCGACGACCTCGATGTTTGAGGAACAGAGGACGCGGAGCTACGACCATATCTGTTTCGCCCGCTATTAGTGGGGTCTTGCTTCTCACATGGCGAGTTCTAGTACCCTTCAGGCGGGTTCAACCCGTCCGGTATCTCGAGAGCCGACGTGTAGTACGAGGGCAGATCCGAATCCTTCCAGACGTCGACGACGGACTGATGCACCTTGCGTCCCGCATACTCGAGATCCACATTCGGCTTGACATAGCTTCGCGCCTCGCCGTCGCGGTGGTTGAAGACGCCTGCGTACGAGTAGTTGAAGTAGCGGTGCTCGAGGGCCTGCGAGCCTTGGCCGCTCCACTCGCGGAGGTCGTCGCCCGTCTTGTCGGCGACAAGAGAGAAGACGTTGGCACCGACGTCGAAGCGGCCGAGCGTGTCGAGCTCCCAGTTGGCCTGCACGGTGGAAATTTCCGAGTAGTGGTCGTAGAAGGTCGAGTCGGTGGTGCCGACCAGCTGCTCGGGCACGGCGTCGCCGAGGAGGATGGCGAGAACCCGATTCTGGATGGTGTAGGTCTCGTTCTCGTCGAAGGTGACCAGCACTAGCGTGTTGTTCATGAACTTTGGGTTGTCGAGGAGAGGCTCCAGGAAGTTGCGGGTCCAGGCTCCGGCAACAGTCACGGACGTGTCATGCCCATCAGAAGCTTTGCGGTAGTTAGCACCTGGTTGATAGAAATCATAGCGTCTGCTTCGTACTCATGTTGGGTGTGATGAACATCCATTGCGGCAAAGTCTCGTTCTCCAGATCTTGCTGGAAGAGCGTCAAATTCTTGGTGACGCCGAGACGTTTCTCAGAGTCGAGAACGTTTCCGTAGCTCACTTGGCAAGCTGTCAGTAAAATGATGGAGCATTTCACCGGGGAACGTACCTGCTGGGTTATGCTTGCGGACATACATGTTCGCGCCGGTAGTCGGGTTGGGGTACGCTGCGACGAATCAGTGAAGACGGACGGGGGCAGCAGTAGTTTACCACCTACCCTTGCCCGTGTAACCCGTGTACGGCTGGATACGAATTAGCGAATCGGTTGACACCTGCCAAAAGTTGGAATTCTACCATGTCCTCCTGGTACTCTCCCCAGCTGATTTCCTTGTCCTCGAGGAGATCTACGATGGAAGAAATGTTGGCATCAAAAGTGGACAGGTCGTCATGGCTATTGGCGGTTCAGCAGGTGCTATTCTGGATTGTTTCTGGTGGTTTACTTCATTCCAAAATAGTCGCCTCCAATAGCGGCAAGGTAGTTGGGCTGGCTGGGATGGGTGACGGCGTGATAATTATCAAGAGTAACGCCCTTGGAAGCAAGCCAGGCAAGGTTGGCCGCGAGGAGTCAGCGGAGACCCGAGGCGTGTGCAGACTGCATACTTACGGTCACCGATAGCTTTGTCGTAGTCGGTGTTCTCGAGCCAGATGATTGCGATGCGGTCAAAAGCCTTGCCCTTCACAAAAGTGGTTGGAGAGAGTGTCGGGACCTCCGAGGCTCGTTTTTGCAGCCATGCCGCAGCGTCGCCAATGGCCAAAAGAATCAAGAACGTCGTCAGGTGGGCCAGCATGGTTCGGAGCTATCGAGGTTACTTGCAAAATATTGATGGAAGCACCTGGGGCCTTTTGTACGGGAGCTGAGCCACTGTCCGTGGGTGCATGTTAAGCTTTCATTCGGCCAATACTATGGTCCACGTAATAAGCGGACAGCACGGGGACGTTTTCTGGCGGTGCCGAAGTCCCGATGCGGCAGGTGATTGCTGCCACGAGCATGTGTGGCAGCCGGGAGGTGTGATTGGCCAAGCGCTTGGCGGAACGGGTGCGGCCAGAGGAAGAAAACTCGCGGCCGCACAACATCGGAGACTACCAGCGCTGCGTGGCCATCGGACGGGCTCGATTGGCCAATATCAAGCATGGGGCGACCCGTTGGATTTGCTTGGCCATGCACCATCACCCGCTAGTCTACCACTTTTGTCGCACCCTCGCGTCCACGCGCCGTTGAAGGCACACCACAATTCGACCATGCGGCTGTATCCCTGCTTGCCGCTTTTTGCCGTCGAGCCGTTTATCTTTCACGAGCCACCATCATACTTGAGCCGACCGCTGGTCTTCTGACACTTCGAACGCCGCTCTTGTTCTGCGCTGCTCAACACATTGTTTTACTAACCAGAGAAACCGGTCCACCTAGGTCGAATTTCACGCGTTGAGATGGAGAGCAAAGCCAAAGAAACGGAGGCGGATGGGGGAAAATACGTCGCCCTGGGGCAGGACGAGCTCGCCCTTGAGCATCAGAAGGAGCACGTGCGACCATCAGCTTCCGAGACAGATGAAAGCGACCAAGAAGAGGCCATGGGGTTGCTGGATCAAAGTGTCGTCGCTCGGACGAAGCGACACTGTGGTGCTACCCGACGTTGCTCTGTATACCTGGAATTCGCCCTCTTCGGCGTAGTCTTGACCATCGCCTTGTTTGCCGCTCTCATTTGGACAAAACAGCCTCGCCGCACACACGCGGATGGAATGGGAGATCACGATCGGCGACCTCAGGAAAAGTATGTGTTGGACCCAAACTGGAACTTCGACGAGGCGCCGCGTGTCCGAGAATACCACTGGACCATCAAAGATGTTGAGCTCCGGCCAGACGGAGTGAGGCGACCCATGATGACCATCAACGGCGAATTCCCAGGCCCGATGATCGAGTGCAATGAGGGCGACACGATTCTTGTCGAAGTGCACAACGCCGCGGTTAACTCGACGTCGATCCACTGGCACGGGCTCTTCCAGAACGGCACAAACTTTATGGACGGAACAGTCGGCATCACACAATGTCCGATAGCACCCGGATCCAGTATGAAGTATAGATTCAGCACCGGCAACCAGTCCGGCACGTACTGGTACCACGCGCACATGGCCATGCAGGGCTCGGACGGACTCTTCGGGCCTCTGATCGTCCATTCGAGAGCGGAAAAGAAGCTGCAGCAACTTGAGTATGCATCGGACCGAGTAGTCATGGTTCACGATCACTACCACGACTTGACGGGCGCGCTGATGCCCCACTACCTGGCACCGGACAACGAAAACGCGGAGCCAGTCCCAGACGGAGGGCTGATCAACGGGGTGAACAAGAGGGACTGCAATGCTATTCACGGCCGCGACTGTGACAGCACAGCTGCTGAAAGGGCTGTTTTCGATCTTGAAGAGAACAGACACCACCGCCTGCGTATCATCAACACTGGTGCGTTTGCTGAGTTCCAGGTCAAGATCGACGAGCATATCTTTGCAGTCACAGAAGTTGATGGGACGGACGTGGCCCCGGCATATTACCACAGACTGAACATCAATCCCGCACAGCGGTATAGCATTGTTATCAACACTAACATCACGGACCGACGCTCTTTCTGGCTGAGGGCAAAAATGGTGACAGGCTGCTTCGCAGAGGAAAATGCCAATCTCGAGGAAGAAGTGAGAGCAATCATTAGATACACGCCAGGCGGCGACAACGAGGAGCCGACGAGTAGCGATTGGGATGACCAGGTGGACATGCAATGCCTCGACATGAACACTACAGAGCTCCGACCCGTGGAGGAGATCACGCCGCCGGCGCCGGACACGACGATTCATCTCCGCGCAAACTTCGAGATCGGCAACTGGAGGCTGAGCCGCGGCTTCTTCAACAGTTCCTCGTGGCGGCCTACCTTGTCCTCTCCAACGCTCCACCGATACACGAGCGGCAACGAGAGCTTCCGCCCGTCGCCCGAAAGCCCGGCCAAGATCAACGACGTCGGCTTCGACACGGGCGTGGAGCTCGTCTACGAGACGACGGGCATCCAGACGGTCGACGTGCTCGTTTCCAACTTCGACGACGGCAACCACCCGCTCCACCTGCACGGCTACAAGTACTTCGTGCTCGCCTCGGGCCACGGCTACCCGCCCGCAGACCTGTACGGGAGGCTCGACACATCCAACCCGCTGCGGCGAGACACGGCTTCGATCGAGGCCTTCGGCTGGATCCTTCTGCGCTTTGTGGCCGACAATCCGGGGGTTTGGGCGTTCCACTGCCACATCGGCTGGCACACCGAGGCCGGCATGCTCATGCAATTCGCCACGCGCATCGACTCCGCTGTCGGCATGCAGATCCCGGATGAGCAGCGTGACCTGTGCCGCAACGACGGGCTGGAGAAGGGCGCCTCCCCTCCGGATTCGACCTGGTTCGGCGACTTTGGGGATCTCGAATGATTCACGCCAGACTGATCCACTTCCCACGCACCCCAACCTCGCACTCGGTCCTGTTGCTGAGATCGTATTTCCTGTACTCGCCCTCGATGAGGCGGCGTGCCAGGCGCACGCTGCCAAGGTTGCGCAGCCGCTGCATCTCGGCGAGGCGGTCGAGCACGAAGCGGCGGTGCTCCTCATTCGCCGGACTCGCGCGACCAAGAATGAAGAGAGGCCAAAGGAGCGTCGGTGTGGCGGGAAGGGCGGCGAGCTGAGAGACGAGGGCGTCCACTGAGCTTTCCTTGCTCAGGACCGTGTTCGACGGTAGAAAAGGGGCGAAGCGCTCGTGGAGGTAGAGGAGTGCCGCCGTGCGCTTGCAATTGGCCACGAGGACGAGGTGCTGGATGTTCTCGCCGGTTGTCGGCGCTACCTGCGGCACTTCAAGGATTTTGGTCGATAGGTCGCCCCACACGAGCCGGATCTCTTCGTGCTCTTGGGCTGAGAGGGCGCGCTTGAGGCTGATTGCCGAGTAATACGACGCTGCTGTGGAAGTGCGGTCGATCAGACTCAACAGACCGCGCGAGCAACCCATCAAGGCGTCTATCTCGTCCATGCAGTCGTCGTCGAGCCACGCGTGGCCGGGCGTGTCGAGATGGGTGTGGCGTGCGGTCGAACTCATGATCTGGTGCGCGACGAAGTACATCATGAAGAACTTTGTCAGGGCCACGGCCTCGGTATGCAAGGAGCCAGTGCTCTGGACGTGCTGGAGCACGCCGAGGCCGCCTTTGAGATGCGTCATCCACGACTCGTCGCAGCCGTCGGATATGTCGTAGAAGCAGAGCATCAGAACCGTGGCCACGAAGGGCCAGCCCACGGCGCCAGCGTCGATGCTCGCGCGGAGCCCGTTCATGGCGCGCGCCTTGTACAGCCATGCCTCCCGCTCGTACCTCTTGTCGTTGAGGAGACGGAGCTGGTTGGCGGCCACGGAGAGGATGACGTGCTGCAGCGGAGTGTAGGAGAGAGCCATGGGAGCGACGTATCGCAGGTACGGGTTGTGCGTCGGGCTGAGCGAGCAGTTCGGGCAGATGAAGGAAGTAAAGTAGTCGAACAGATAAGCCTCCTTGTGCGACAGTTGGCCGTGGCCCCACGGGTGTGGCCTTGGGTCCGCTTGTGCCACGTCCACTTCGCCTTCTTCTTCTTCGTCATCCACAAATTGGCCATCCTCGCTCATGTGCGCATACGTCGTGTTCAAGAAGATTGGTCTCCGCCCTCGTGTGTCCAGGAAGACTTCATGCCCGCCGCCGCTCTTCTTGTGCTTCTTCCCCTTGGCGGCTTTCGACCACACGCCCTCCCGCCCAAGGCATATACCCCGCTGCGCCGCGTCTTCCTTCCAGAGAAGCCTGATGCCGTAGGCGCAAGCCAGCCCCAGGCGCTGACAGCGCGAGCAGCACGGCCGCTGCTCCTGGCACCGGCTGTGGGCTTGCTTGCATGGCCAGCAGCCTGTGCGGTGCCGTGCTTCTGCTCGGCGGACTTCCCCGGCGGAGGGCAACGTGGTGCGCGGCATCTTCGGTTTTGTAGTGAGGAAGGGTGTCGGTGTGTGGGTGGGATTGTTACGTTTATTGATCGAGACACGGACCCACTTCCCCGCATCGCGAAGATAACGCCCCCACTCAATACTCCCTTAAACTCCACAAAGGTACATTTTCGCTACTACTACTACTACTACGTCGTGTATTTAAATCCCTTTTGCTCAAAATCCGTCTGGTCAAGCAAGACTTCGAGAATCTCCTCGTTCGCCGCCATGGCTTCGGCCCGTTTGTTCTGAGACGCACAGAGCGCCCAGTACGCGCAGATCAAGCCGATACAGACACAGTAGCAAACGATCATAGCCACCACTCCACCAGTGTACGCGGGCGCTTGATCAGCCCGGAACGTTTGTGGCCCGATCAGGTTTCCCACGGCATAGCCAATGTACAGTATAGCAAAAACAACCGTCTTCTTGGTGTTTCCGGCCGTGTTGGCTTGCGCGAGTCCGATGCCGACCACGTAAGGCCCGAAGTACGTGTAGAGCTACCATTCATCGTCAGCCACTACGCATCAGGGGTTGCCACGGGCATGCTTACGAGGTAAATTCCGACCATTTGTCCTCCGATGTTGTCCCTAGGAACCGCGTACACGACCGCCGTGCCGATAATCGGCACAATGCACGCTGCCACAGTGACCAGGCAGCGTCGGTTTGCCCATTTGGCTCCGGCGTATGAGAACACAAACGCCGAAATGGTACTCATGACTCCGGTTGGCATGCTGAGCAAAGAGGCCTCGACCGACGAAAACCCCAGGTTGGCGATGATGATGCTGTTGAACGTCGTGAGCCCGCCGTTTGGGATGTTGATGGCAATGTTGAAGAAGAAGATGATCCCTGCCAAAACATTAGAGCAATGACGAGCACGGACGCTGGGGGACTTCCTCACAGGTTTTAGGATCCACAAAAGCCTCTTTCACCTGGTCCCACTTCCACTCTTTACTCGCAACACCCGTTTTGTTTGCAGCCACGCGCTTGACAAGGTGATATTTTTCCTCCTTGGTCAAGAAAATGGCCTCCATCGGATTGGCAGGCAGAACGACCATGACGAACACGGACCAAGCGAAGGTGATGGAGCCTGCGACGTCAGTAGTGGTACAGCATCTGCCGGCGTGGAACTCACCTATGATCAAAAACAGATAGCGCCAAATTGCCAAGGCACCGTTGATGTGGCCGATGGCCCAGGATAGAAAGCCGTTGATGACAGAACTCGCCGCGGCAAACACCAATGCGTTCCTGGGAGGTTGCTCTTCTTTCTTGTAAAAGGCGGCAATGATCAGAGAAATGCCAGGCACGATGATGGCCTCGAAGCAGCCTGATGGAAATCAGTTTGGTCGTATGCCAAGTTTGGGGCAGACAGCATACCCATCAGGAACCTCAGAGCCATGAGGCTGCTCCAGTTATGGCAGGCAGCCATGAGCAAAGCCATTGTGGACCATCCCAGGCTGCAAGCGCAAAGGAACTTTGCAGAAGGGAGTCTATGTATCAGGTACGAGGCAGGAAACATGCCAGCCAATGCCTGGAACCATGAGTATCATCGATGAGTTGCAGGTCATCCTTGCTTACTCCGAGCGATAAGATGGATCCCAGCCATGAATACTGCTGCCCAACCAAGTGCGTATCCGTTCGCAGTCCGTAGATGGCGGCAGTGCTCAGCGAGACCTTGTCGACTGCGCCAAGCGTCGCAGTAAGAAAAAGCTAAGCGTGTGAGAAGCCGGAATTCCAGCATGCGTGGGACCTGCTCACCATGGGAATCATAATCCAGTCCACCTTGCGGACCAGCTTCTTCTCCTCGTCGGCCGAGAGCGGCGGATACTGCTGAGTTTCGGCAAGGAACTGAGCAGCTTGATCAACGTGCTCGACGATGCCGGCCTTGTGGTCGACACTTCTAGACTCGACGTCCATGTGGGCGGATTTCTCGTGGATAGACATGGTGGACTGGGTCGCAACAAGACACAGGACTTGTCAAGGCGCACCCATTGCCGACTTATACGCGTGGGTTCGGCATGCTCTCGAAGGCTACCTTATCGTTGCGGCGTGCAATCTCCAGAGTTGCAGGGGTCTGGAGAGAGGGATGGTCGTTACGGCGGCGCTATCCCCAGAACGGTACAGTAGTCCCTTCCCCACCTTGTGCCTGCGCCGCATGCACCTTCCAACATTTCGGCCTATTCGGCTTGCTTTCTGCCGCATCCGCTCCGACGCTCCACGGCTTCGGCCTGTATCGACCTTCCCGGCAAGAGTCCGAGCCCGCTCAGTTTGGCTTCGATCCATTGGACACGAGCCGTGAAGCTCTCACCAAGTGGGGCTAAGTTTGCGTGAGAGCGCAGCATGCGGGCTGTATAAATTCCTCGCGGCACTGCGCCTGTGATGCAGCATCCACCTCAATCATGGCTCCTGTGAAAATTGCAATCGGTGCGTCGCACCTACAACACCTCCCGCGGACCTGCTGACACGTTCCAGATAGGGGAGGCACCTTTACCGACATCTGGGCCAGGCAGGAAGGCCACCGGGATATTGTGCTGAAGCTGCTCTCCGTCGACCCGCAAAACTACCACGATGCACCGACAGAGGGCATCCGGAGAGTTCTCTCCATCATCCGTGGACAGGAGATACCTCGCGGTGTCCCTTTGCCAAAGGACGACATCGAATTCGTCCGCATGGGCACCACAGTCGCCACCAATGCCTTGCTAGAACGGAAAGGAGCCCGCCACGCCCTGCTGGTGACCAAGGGATTGCGAGACCTCCTGAAAATCGGCTACCAGTCACGCCCACGCCTGTTTGACCTGAACATCGTCAAACCAGACGTTTTGTACACCGATGTGCACGAGATTGCCGAGCGAGTCACGGTCGAGGACTTTGATGAAGACGTCTTCGGCGCCCACAAGGCAGTTACCGAGATCCCTGGCGAACTCATCCGCACCTCAAGCGGAGACATGGTCCGCATCATCAAGCCATTGGACGAGGACGAGGTCCGCGCCACGCTGAAGGACATTAGAAGCAAGGGCATCGAGACGATTGCCGTGTGCTTTGCTCACTCGTACATCTTCCCAGAGCACGAGGCGCGCGTCGGCCAGATGGCAGCCGAGGAGGGCTTTTCGCACGTATCGCTCTCGTCCGCTGTGGCGGCAAACATGATCAAAATGGTGCCCCGGGGGAGTTCAGCATCGGCAGATGCATACTTGACTCCGAACATCAAGCAGTACCTCTCGGGCTTCAGAAAGGGCTTCGAAGGCTCGCACCTTGACGACGTCAGGGCCGATTTCATGCAGTCAGACGGCGGACTCGTCAGCCACAAGAGCTTCAGTGGACTGAAAGGCATTTTGTCAGGTCCTGCCGGTGGAGTCGTGGGTTTTTCTCGCACCTGCTACAGCCCCGAGACCCAGGTGCCTGTCGTCGGGTTCGACATGGGCGGAACATCGACCGATGTCAGCCGGTACGGAGGCGTTCTGGAACATGTCTTTGAAACCACCACGGCCGGTGTCACCATCCAGTCCCCGCAGCTCGATATTAACACGGTGGCTGCGGGAGGCGGCTCCATGCTGTTCTTCCGCAATGGTCTGTTCGTCGTGGGTCCCGAATCCGCGAGCGCCCACCCTGGCCCGGCGTGCTACCGCAAAGGTGGACCTCTCACCATCACCGATGCAAATCTGTTCTTGGGAAGGCTGATCCCGGACTACTTCCCCAAGATCTTCGGCAAAAACGAGGACGAGCCTCTCGACTTGGACATTGTCAAGGCAAAGTTCGCAGAGCTAACAGCCAGAATCAACGCTGAGACGGGCCAAGCTCTGACCCCCGAAGAGGTGGCTTACGGGTTCTTGGACGTTGCAAACGAGTCCATGTGCAGGCCGATCCGAGCGCTGACTGAGGCGAAGGGCTACGAAATCGGTAAGCTTGTCCAGACGGCATCGCGTGCATGTGCTAACGGAACTAGCAAAGCACCATCTCGCCGTATTTGGAGGAGCCGGTGGGCAGCATGCTTGTGAAATCGCCTCCAAACTAGGCATCTCCACCGCCATCATACACAGGTACTCCAGTATTCTGTCGGCCTATGGCATGGCGCTCGCCGATGTCGTTCAAGAGGCCCAAGTTCCTGTCAACCTCGTCTATGCTGGAGAGACAGTTGACCATCTCAACCACAAGCTCGCATCCCTGCAGACCACCGTCACACAACGGCTCCTCGCCCAGGGCATCAAAGAGAGCGACATGCGTTACGAATTCTACCTCAACATGAGATATCGTGGAACCGAGACGGCCATGATGATCCTTCAGCCGCAAGGCGGCAGCTTCAGAGACGCCTTCTTGGAGCAGCACCTGCGTGAATTCAACTTCACCTTCCCAGATACCAGAGACATCCTAGTCGACGATGTTCGCGTCCGCGGCATTGGTAGCAGCGGATCTATCTCGTCAGATGCAGATAAGCTCGCCTTTGAGCTTCAAAAGACCGTGTTTTCGTACGCCAAGGCAGATCTTGTGGAAACTCGCGTCCGTGGTGTCCTGTAATCCCGAGTCATTCCAAGAAGCTAATTGAATGTGCCAGGTTAAAACCTTCTTTCAAAACCACGGCCAGATTGCGACTCCGGTTTACCTTCTCGAACAGCTTCTTCCCGGGATGAAAGTGGCCGGCCCTGCGGTGATATTGGACAATACCCAGAGCATATTGCTTGTGCCAGGCACAGAAGCCAAAGTCCTGTCAGCGCATGTGGTGATTGACGTTCCTCGCATTGTCAAAACCAGCACATCTTCGACGACGGTCGATCCCATCGCCTTATCCACATTCTCTCACCGGTTCATGTCCATAGCAGAGCAAATGGGCCGTATTCTTCAGAAGACATCCATGTCCCTGAACATCAAGGAGCGTTTGGATTTCTCCTGCGCAATCTTCGGCCCGGACGCCGGCCTCGTTGCAAACGCCCCGCATGTGCCCGTACGATTCCTCCCATGACACATTTCGATCAAGATCACTGACACGTGCCAGGTGCACCTCGGCTCGATGAGCTACGCAGTCAAGTACCAGCACGATCTCCTCAAGGACAAGCTGGTTCCAGGAGACGTCCTTGTCTCGAACCATCCCGAAGCCGGAGGAGCCCATCTCCCTGACGTGACGGTGATCACCCCAGTCTTTGAACCGACTGGTGAGCGCGTAGCTTTCTACGTTGCTTCGCGTGGCCACCACACAGACATAGGGGGGCTGGGCGGGACCTCGATGCCGCCCAATTCCACGGAGCTCTGGCAGGAAGGCGCGGCTATCAAGAGCTTCAAGCTGATCCATCGAGGCGAGTTTTTCGATGAGGAGGGTATCAAGAACATTCTGCTCGAGCCGGGAAAGTACCCGGGATGTGTCGGAAGCCGCCGCCTCGACGACAACATCTCGGACTTGAAAGCGCAGGTCGCAGCCAACAGAAAAGGAATGCTCCTGATACAAGGCTTGATGGAGGAGTACTCTCAGGAAGTGGTGCAGCTCTACATGCGCGCCATTCAAGAGAACGCCGAAGTTGCGGTACGCCACTTCCTTCGCGAAACTCGTAAGGAGAAGGGACCGGTGTTCTCAGGCAACGACCAGATGGATAACGGCTCGGAGATTGTCTTGACGGTGAGCATCGATGAATCTGGATCGGCCAAGTTCGATTTCACGGGAACCGCCCCGGAGATGTACTCGAACATGAACGGGCCTCCTGCAATCACCTACTCGGCCATCATCTACTGTCTACGGTTGCTCATTGGCATTGACATCCCAATGAACCAGGGCTGTCTAGCGCCCATCGACGTCATCCTTCCGAAGGGCAGTTTCCTGAATCCTTCACCCGGGGCTGCCGTTTGCGCCGGCAACACTCAGACGTCTCAGCGCGTCTGCGACGTCATCCTCAAGACTTTCCGAGCAGCGGCGGCGTCTCATGGCTGCATGAACTGCCTCGGTTTCTTTGGCGAAGTTCAGGACCCTGCGAGCGGGGCCGAGCATTCGTTCGCGTTCGGCGAGACCGTGTGCGGAGGATCAGGGGCGACGGAGGGCGCCCACGGCGCTGACGCGGTACATACGCACATGACAAACACCCGCATCACTGATGTCGAGACCCTTGAGCGCCGATACCCCGTCCTGCTCCGTGAGTTCTCCATCAGGCCTGACAGCGGAGGAAGCGGCCTGTATCGCGGCGGCTGCGGGGCGATCAGAGATATGGAATGCCGCGCACCGCTTAGGTTCAGCGTCATCACCGAGCGCCGGTCGATTGCGCCCTACGGCATGGCGGGCGGCGGCGACGCTGCAAAGGGAAAGAACTATTGGGTCAGGAAGATTAAGATGGCAGATGGCGATGGCTACGAGGAACGCTGGGTCAACATGGGACCGAAAAACATGATAGCCATGCAACCTGGCGATCGTTGTGTGCTTCTCACTCCGGGAGGAGGAGGATGGGGGCTTGAGCCTGCTGCTGGTCCTGAGACAACCCCAGCGAGTAGAGACGCCGCTGAGAAAAGGGGCGAGACACTCCATTCCCCACGCGCAGTAGGTAGCATTGCTGCTTGGTCAACCGCACAGGCCGAATCCTCCTGACCCTCTGCAGATCACTGCAGAAATTTAGCGATTTAGTAAAAACTGTGATCCGTGGCGCAGCAGCTGCGCCTTCACGGTTCCAGTGTGGTGTCCGTCAAGCCCCACGAATCAATATTCTCCTTCCTCCAAGCGGACAATAACGTCCCACCACCATGGCAGCATTAAGCCCCCCCGTTCCTGGCATCGACTCGACGCAGACGTGTCAGGATCCGCAAACTCCCTGAAGGAAGGCGAACGGTGGCAATACCGCGCCGCAAATCTGTTTTTCTCCGAGTCGCCCAACTCAAATAACAACATGATGAGGGTTAAGCTGTCACATGTGAGCTATTTACTTCCTTTCGCTTAACATTTCGGCCAATTAAATGCATCGATGGGGGCCTTGCAGGCTGGAACTTTGCTGTTGGCTACGAAGAGGCCTGCAGGGGGCTATCACCGTGCCACCGGGATGGAACCCGGGTGGTACTTACCGAGAAGTCCCGTACCGGCGGGTGCCTCCGCCATGTCAAACCATAAGGCGAATCAGGTGGCTCTAGCTTTTATCGTGCTTGGAGCTTATGCGAGGGCAGCGCCGCAACTAAAGCCGCCGGTGCGTGCGTCGCATTGCCTACGTCCGCAGCGCACGCGTGTCTAGGGTATGAAGATCGTGTGTCTGAAAGGGACCCTTGCGTGGCGCAGTCTTCAGCCGAGGGAAAGATTTTCTTGAACTTCCGTGGAACCTCGGTGTACTTGAGTAATTCCTTTTGGCGTGTCCGGGTGACTGTGCTTGACTAAAAACAGCTGGCTGTCCCAAGGTTACAGGCACTCTCAGGGCTGTGCAATCCCGTGCTCCCCGCCTCCGAATATCACAACCTCCTCACCCGTGACAGCCTCTCCACTCTGGCTGGCGTCGTCTTAGTGGGAAGTCGCAGTGGGTCTTTGAGATTGATGCTTCGTAATCGGCGCCAAGATTGCCTCCCACACATCCCTGAGCACCTTTTGATCTTCGTCGATGTAGTCAAGGCATCCGTAGGAAGGGAGACGACACCCCACTGGGGTAGAATTGATGCTGATCTGCTCTGAGTGCCGTCCGTCCTTGGCAACAGGCCACACGAAAATCTCCTATGAAGATCCAACAAAAGCAACTTCGGGATATGGCTTCAATTAATCACGTCTGAGGTGGGGCCACTAATGGAAGACGGGCGATTAGTGGCGAGCCGTCAGCGACTGTGCACCGCGCCAAAGCACGGTGCGACAATCCGGGGACGGCAGCCTCCAAACCGTATCCGCTTGCTCCATCATTGGCTACTTAACGAACAAGCTTTCGCAAAATTCGCTGAGATATCCGTAGCATGTGATCATGGGGCCAGCCAGAGAGGACTTATCTCCCTAGCGTTGACTTCTCTGTTTAGCGTACCGCCTTAACCAAGACTGGCACCATTCCCGCCCTGGTAACTTGCACGTTTCTCTTCAGCTCCCATGGTTCTCGCCAGAGCATGTCCATTGGTAGTCGAGTGGTTACGAAATTCCGTCATTTTTACATTTCAATAATATTAGGACTCATCTTCTTTTCTGAACCTCTACATATGAGATATATTACAAGGAAGATTAGGACGTCGTGTCATGGGTATATCTAGAGGATAAATGGAATGTGATGGAAAGAAGTGGTATACGCAGCCATGGAGAAAAAAGAAAGGAAAAGGAAAGTTACAGTGGAAGTCATTCCTCGCGGTTCCCGCCACCCCACACCTTAGTGTGCATACCGAAGCCGCTCTTCGGCTTCACTCCGGGCATGTTCGCGCTCATGGTACGCAGGGGTCGGGTATCGCTGTCATCGCCGCCCAGGCTCGGGGCACCTGACACGCTGCACGACACGCTCTCAACCTCTACCGAAATCTCTTGCTGTTGGTGCACGATCAAAGGACCCTCTCTCTGCTGATAGGAGTGGTCGATGCCGGTTGTGCTGTGCAAGTTCTTCGGGGTGGGCATGCCCACGCCGCCGCTCCGCATGATATTCTTAAGTTCGACTTCGTCGTCACCGCAGTCGTGGTGCTTCTTGTCCATTGCCTCGGCGTCGGAGCTGGTGACTGAGCCGGTGCGGCCGGCGAAGGCAGCCTGGATTGCGGCTTGCTTGGAAGCAGAACCCGAGCGAGTCCGGTTACTGAAGCGGCGGTTGGTGTCGAAGCCTCCGGTGTTGGAGGATGAGCTGGAGACGGTGGCGATCAAGTCGGCCATGGACATCTCAATCTTGAGCTTGACGATGTATGCGAGAGGGTGGAATTGCATGTAGACGAACGAGTTCTTCAATGACATCATGCCTGGTTGCGGGTCAACGTGATGGTGCGGTGCGCTCGATGGCGTGAAACTTACTGATGATGAGGATATCCATGCTGAGCGAGAAGCCGATAATGTAGATGTTGAACTTGACCAAAGATTCGTATTTCTTCAAGCCCTGGCGCACCAGGTTCTTCTGCACGATGTAGATGAAATACCAGTTGAGCGAAGCATCGACGATCAGATAGATGACCTTCTCGCAGCGGTCCCAGATGTCGTTGAGGTGGATGTAAGCTTCGGAGACCTGGAGGCGGGCAGGGATCCAGATGCAGTAGACGGAAATGTTGATGGCAGTAATGAGAATGGCAACACCGATCTTGATGTGGAGGCCTTTCTTCCGGTTGACAAGAAGCACGGATACTCTGTTGATGATAATCTGCAGCAGGAACTGGACCTGCAGCGCCCAGGTGGTGACTGGAAGCGCGAGTCAGCGGCGGGGATGGTGCATGGGGGGCCGGCGTGCGTACGGATGCAGAAGTAGAAGGCAAAGCTGGGGGGGATGTCGCCGCGCAGATGCAGCCAGCAGATGATGCTGAAGGAAAGGCACACGGCAATCTCGCCCCAGATCATCCAGATGTAGGGCGTGTTGAGCCTGCTGGCACCGTGCTTCTTGGAGACATGGCGGGTCTGCTTGATGGCAGTCCAGACGGTGAGGAAGCCAAAGCCGAGAGTGAAGCCCCAGGCCAGGCTGGCCAGGGCGATGTCGTCCTCGGTGACGGGCTGGAGCTCGTAGCCCGGGGCCAGTAGGGTGATCATGATGGTGGAGAGAAGGGAATGACTGCTGCAGAGCGGCGGGCAGGGCCGGCATGGGCGAGGGTATATAAGAAGGCATACGAGGGCTCCTTTTGGTTGTGGCGCAACTAGCTGGAGGTGCAGGCGGACCGCCGGCAGCGGCACTAGCACGGCCGGACGCCTTTCTAGAGCTCGCTTGTTCCTGGGCTACGGCTGTTGATGCCCAGCGGTGCGCCAGATGTGGCAGCTGCCGGCCGGCGCGTCTCGGGCTGCCTGTGCAGCGTCGTCGAGGCTGCAGTGCGGCGGCGGCGGGCGACACATGACAGCGGTGGCAAGGCTCCGCGGGCGTTTCACCACGCACTGGCGCTGACACAACCAGAGAACGGGCATGACGACGCTGGGGGAGAAGGAGGGGTGCTGACATGCGTGGCTGCGAGCCGTGTTGGGCGGAGCACGTTCCGGGGGGCGGCGGACAGGCTTCCGGCGGCCGCGCAGCTGGCGTTCCTGGCGCTAGAAATTGCGGAGAAGGCTCGCTAATCGCGCATCGGCCCCAGTGCGCGATCGCCTGCGCTCCACTCACGGCGCCCGGATGCCAGCCGCCCATGACGCTCTTTATTTCGCAGGCCACCCATCCCCGCGTCCTCGCCCACGCCTGGACCCTATCGCGCCGCCATCGCCACCGATGCAGCCCCTGTAAATTCCCGATCCGAGCACCCACTGGCTGTCAAGCCGAAACCCTAAAACCCCTGCCTGTCTGCCCGGCACCCTAGCTGCGCCGCGCCTTGGATGGCGTACGTGCCGGTCAATCTCCCCGCTCCGGCCCGCGGCCCAGGTACCGGGTACTTCCATGCAAGTCAAGCATCTTCATTCGCAACATCTCTTTTAGACTACAGAAACCACGCACCTCCCTATCCCCTATCCCCTTCAGTAGCTCGCGTCGATCCAGCTGTTGTAGTCGCTGCCCAGCACCGTTGCGTGGCTAACCGCCGCCTCCAGGCTGCTCTCGTATTCCCTCTCCGCCGTCGACGCCCCGTCGCCCTCGTTGCTCCACTCGTAGAACAGCGGCGTTGCGCCCTCGGCCATGGTCGTCCAGCCCTTGGGGTTGACGATGTCCGCCAGCTTCGACCTCTGGAACACGACTCGCGCGAGCACCCGCCACGGCCTTCCCAGGTACACCTTCTCCGCCAGCCCCGATACGCCCGACGCCGCCGTCACCGTGCTGCTGTCTATCACGTACCACGACTCGTCGTCGGCCGTCTCGCGCGAGCTTGCCGTGATGGCCCCGCCGCCGCTCGACGCCACCGTGCACTCGCCGAACCAAGCGCTGGCCGCCCCGAAGATGTAGTCCACTGCGCCTTCTATGTAGCAGTTCGAGTAGTACTGCGTCCCCTTCTTGGCATACAGCGTGTCCTGGTAGCTCTTGAATTGGCACCCGTAGAAGCCGAGCTTGTCGGCGTTGGCCGTGAGCCTAATCGTCTTTCCGTCAGTTTCCGGCCTCTTGGGAGCATTCGGAGCGTCTTACGCGACAGCTTGCGCTCCAGCCCCGTAGCCGTTGACGACATTGATGTTGTACATCTTGAATCCGTCGGCCTTGACGTTGACGGTCGAACTGGCGTCGAGAGAGCCGGCGTCGGCTGACTTGATGCTGTGGCTGATGGTCACTGTATTCGACTTGTAGCTGCCCGTGTCTTCTGTAGACCCGTAAAGCGTCAGGGCGCCCTTGTATGTGATGGTCAGCTGCTCGGCGTAGGTCCCCTCGCTGATGAAGATGCAAGCATCAGCAGTCGAGCTTGTCCCAAGCGCGCTGAGTGCACTTGACACCGTCTGGTAAGTTGCACCTGATCCGACAGTCAGACAGCCTGATGGAGCGCTTGTCCTACTGGTCCTCTTCGCAAGGCCCGGCGTGGGCGCAGAAGAGACGGGTAGCCCGAGGGCGAGCAGAAAGGCGGCAATCGACCTCATCACGGATGAGAATGTTGGGCAGTCAAATTTGGATTCAAAACAGAAAAGGCATCGCGCGTGCATTCTTATATCCAAGGAAAGTCTCGTTGAATATGCGTGCAGTCACGAAGCGGAGAAATTTCACAGCGATCCCGGCGAGCCATCTGGAATCTCGTTAATTGATGCCCCATATACCTACGTGGCTTGAGTCCCGGCTAAATTACCCCACACAGGCACAGGCTCTTTTAGTGGTGGGCTTTTGTGCTCTGCCACTTTCTCGACGAGATACTCCACTTCTTCCCGGGTAAAGAAAAATCTTTGGAGTTGTCGGAGAAAGTGTGCATAGGTTCGGGCACTTCATCTCGTTTGATGCGCACGCATGAAACAATTGCACAGCATCAACTGCCGAAACAATGCCGAAAATGGAATCTGCTGAAACAACGCTAAGCCTCTGGGGTAAAAAGAAGCTTTGAGCTAAGTCCGATCACCTGCCTGTCAAGCCGTCGGGCCGTCCCACCCGGTGGCTGGCGGAGGAAATGGTCGGGAACCTGCATATCTCTTACACGCTTTGCTCTCGGCTCCAGTTATTCCTCCACTTGAAACGAGGGAGCCCTGCTTTAGAAAAGCGCCATGGCGCCCGCAGTGGAATCGACCAGGCCTAAGAAGCGCTCCTCGCCATAGCCTCTTCGAGTTCCTATATATCCCCCTCTATCTTATTCTCCACAATGTCCCTCGTTAAACTCCTTGTCTGCTTGACTACTGTCACTGCCATCGCCACAGCGCTCCCCGCTCCTGCAGGCGACAAGCCCGCCAATACCCTGGCGCCTCGCGCCGTCTGCACGCCCACTGCCGGTGGCTCATCCTCAACCGACGATGTTCCTGCCATCAACTCAGCTCTTTCAACTTGCGGTCAAGGCGGCACCATCGTGTTCCCGGCCGGAGTCACCTACTATGCCAACAGCGTCCTCGACCTTTCGGCTTGCGCGGGCTGCGATATCCAGCTCGAGGGGCTGCTGAAGTTCTCCAGCTCAACCTCCTACTGGTCCGGCAAGACGGCCATGATCCTCCTCGAGAAGTCTTCCGGCGCCAAGATCCGTAGCTTGACCGGCAGCGGCGTCATTGACGGCAACGGCCAGAACGCATGGGATCTCTTCGCATCCGACACCTCGTACAAGCGGCCGACACTGCTGTACATTACTGGCGGGTCTGATATCGACGTCACCGGCCTCCGACAGAAGAACCCCCCGAACGTCTTCGTCTCCGTGAAAGGCGGCGCCGAGCGCGTTTCCTTTTCCCATCTGAAGCTGGACGCAACCTCCAAGTCGGATAATCCGCCCAAGAACACCGACGGCTTCGATATCGGCGAAAGCACCAGCGTGACGCTTTACGACATCGACGTGTCCAACGACGACGACTGCGTGGCGTTCAAGCCGGGGGCGAACTACGTGACCATCGACCAGATTACATGCACCGGGTCGCACGGCATCTCGGTGGGCTCGCTGGGCAAGTCGAATGATGATTCCGTCAAGAACATCTACGCAAGCAACGTGAAGATGATCGACAGCACCAAAGCGGCCGGCATCAAGACTTACCCGAGCGGCGACAGCCACGGCTTGTCTACCGTCTCCAACGTCACTTTCACGGCCTTCACGGTGCAAAACTGCGATTATGCCTTCCAGGTACAGAGCTGCTACGGCGAGGACGCCGAATACTGCGAGACGAATCCTGGAAATGCCCAAATCAGCGACGTAGTAGTCAACGGATTTTCCGGCGAGACCTCTGACAAGTACGATCCGACAACGGCCAACATCAACTGTGGGGCAAACGGTAGCTGCGGTATTGCAATCTCTGACTGGACTGTCAAGGCCCCGTCGGGAAAGAATCAGGTTCTGTGCTCAAATACCCCGAGCAATTTGGGCGTTACGTGCACATCAGGGGCTTCCGGGTGAAATAGCATGCATTGAAAGAAGATTAACTCTAAACACAGTCGCAATCAATGAATGAGTTTGTTAAAATGGCGCGCGAATGATTTTAACCAGCGGACCTGAATAACTCCTGCAACGCTGCTACAAACGTCAAGGGGGTCAAACAAAGTACAATAAATATTCCAGTAAAGAGAAAGAGGGCAAGACAGACGCCAGACGTACGCTGCCGGTCCAACCCCTTGCGACGTGGCGTGGTTTTCATGAGACAATCGTTTCTTCGTCAAGGCACCCGGGTCTTGCAGATCCGTACTTACCAGAGGCTCATGGAAAATGTGATTGGCCACCACAGTTTGACAATGCCGCACTCGTCGAGGCCAGGACGAGCTCATTGGATCATGGAGCTAACCATCTCGCGAAGCTCCGTAATCTCTCGTCTCAGCTGCCTCACCTCGACGACAGCTTGCTCGACGCCGATTTCGGGGGCAATTTCTTCACATTTCTTCGCCCAGCCTTCTGACTCAAGGTCAATCTCTCCGGACAGCTCCTCCCATTCTTCGATGGTATCGTCGTCGTCTTCCCCACGCTTACGATTATCTTTGACTTTGTGGGCTTGGAGCGTCTCGATTGCAGCAGTGATCAACAGCAAAGGCGAATAGATGAGGCCCATGACGTAGTCGTTCAAACGGCCGTAGTGTTTCTCGTCCATCCACCATTCGAATGGAATGATTACCAAGAAGAGTTCGATGAGGTTGAACGCTTCGACAGTCAGCTTGAGCAACTTCAAGTAGAGACAGGTACTCACGAGCAATGAAGACGTTTTCGTCGGGAGCTCGCACAAACTGCATGGTTTTCTGAGAGAGCTGCAACGGGGATCAGCATGACGCCCACCTTCGAGGCCGCGATCGAGATACGTACCAGCGCCATGTATTCATCAATAGCGTTATCGGTGATATCTTCATAGGCGCTGTTGTACAGCGCAATGAGGATATTAAGCAAGACTGGGGCGATTGTCAACTGATGCCTGCGAATAAGCGACTTTTGACAGGATGTACTTACCAACCATAACGACAAATGTGAAGACGTAATACAAGATCAGACCAAACGGAGGCGCAAAACGCTCAAATCCATCAAACTCAGGCGACTGCATGATAGCGTTCAGCATCGCTTTGGTGATGAATGAGAAAGCTGTGATCTTGCTGTCAACCTGATCCATGCCGATGAACGCCTGGAAAAAGCCAATCAAGATGACCAAGAGGAGAGCAAAGAAGATCAGAGACTCCTTCATCATGACTTTCAACACCACGAGCATGGCACCGAAGAACCGGAAGGTGTCCAGGTACAGCAAAAGGCGCATCCAGAACATCGGGGCGCTGAAGGCCAGGAAATTATAGCTCAGCGTGTTGAACCGCACCCGTGGTCCCGAGTCGACATCGTGCCCGAGTGCGATGAGACGAGTCACGAACGAAACGGTAAGAAGGGCGTACAGAGTGCTGTTGAAGACGTTCCAGAAACCAATGTAGTAGCGACCGATCTTCCAAAACTTGGCTATTTCGTCAAAGATGAAGCCAGCAGTGAAGACGTACAAGAGGGCCTCGACAACGTCAAGGTCACCATCCGGGTTGATTGTGTTGATAGCTCCAGTGTACAGGGCCAGGTAGACGAGAGAAATCAGGATCTGGAGGGCGTTTTGGTAAGCAGGCACGCGCATTCGGTCGGGGTCTAAGTGAGCCCAGTAGTCGGTATTTCCCTTCTGCTTCCAATCGATGAACCGCGAAGGATCCTCGTCGTCCTGCACCAGCCAGCCGCGCCAAAGGTAGTTGATGCATTTCTGGTAACCGGAAGATCCGATGATGCGCAGGGCGTGCAAGTCAACGGCACGCTCGACGACATTGGCAGGCATTGTCTCTTCACCATTGACAACGATGGAGTAGCGCTTGAGCAGGATGTCTTCGAGCAAGAAAGGCATGTCCTCCTCGCTCTCGATGCTATCGGCAGTCAGTGCCCTGCCACTCACATGCCTGAAACAATGGCCAGACTCACATGATCTTCGCTATGACCTCGCAAGCCACGGCACGGACATCGTGCAGATCCGAATCCCACAGCTCGATGACAGCCTGCCTCTTGAACCACTTGTTGACGACCAGCAAGCAGTAAACGACGCAAGCTTTGTACTCCTCGCCGCCGGCGGAGGCGGCCAGCTTGACTACTGACGGAGTGATGATATGGCTGTGGGCACGGGTGACCAGGGATGCCTCGACTTCACACGGAATAACAACCTCGATCTGGTGCTTGAGGCGAAGGGCGATCTTGGTCACTTCTTTGGCCGGGATGGGCGAGGGAGGAACATCGTCCCTACGCGTGGGGAGCACTGCGAACCATCAGCATTGGCACAGCAACTACGGCTCCAGACTCACAGGCACGCATCTCGTCGCGGAGCCGGGGCCGGTCGCGCCGGCTCTTGTCAAGGTTGAAAAGGCGCGCCCAGCGTACCATGGCGACGGCAGTCTGGCTCTGTGAGAGGTGCCGGAGAACAGATATCGCGCAGAGGCCGTTTTCCTGGGCCGGCAGAGTCTGTCGCAGCGGAGCGGACGATCAATGCGTGGGAGGGCGCAGCTATCTTTGCAGAGAAAAAAGTGGGAAGTTGGAAGCAACGCGGCGGGGCGGCCATAGCTCCTCGGCCGGCAACGCGTGACGTGTGCTGCAAGCGGAGCGCCAGTCTCGGGTCGCGCCGAGCGCCAGCCATATGCTATGCTCGACGGCAGGATGCAATGAATTGGTAAATTGGCTATTTTCGCCGCTCCCTCTCCGAATGCAGCGCGACAGCTCTATCTCGTCCCGATTTTTGGATCCTTTTTAACCGCCTTCAGACGCCACCCCAGAATTGGCATGCCGCAGCTGCCCATGCCTTCCAAAAGAAATCCCTACGTCAAACGCGCGCCTTTCCGTCCACCGTCTAGCTGTGAATCTCGCCCTCGTCGCTCTCGCTCTCATCCTCGTCGCCGCTGACCTGCTGGTTCTCACGCTCCCTCTGGTCCATAAGGGCCTGCAGCTCGGCGTCGTCGCTCTCCGTGACGGCCTTGGGCGCCATCTTGACCCTGCAGCTGCCACCATCGTAGCTCGAGATGCACTTGGTGACTTCCTCAATAGCCTGCTCCAGGTTGGTGATACCGGTGCTCTTATCCAGGCACTGGCTGGTCAACACGTACAGCGGAGGCGACACGAGCCTGACCTTGACTGAGTTCTCGGCCGTGTTGTGCGCCTCAGCCTTGCGCAGCGCATCCTTGACAGCGTCGATACCCTCGTAGCCGAAGCATGTAACCTCGATATCGGCGCGCACCTTGGTCGGCTGAGGAGTCAGACGCTTGCCGATGTACGAGAGGAGCTCCGTCTTGACCGGCTCGTTGGGGAACTGGATCTCATTCCAGACATCGGGGTTGGTGATGGAAAGCTTGAAGGCGTCGAGCGAGTGGCCGTACTTCTTGTTCAGCGGCCAGCCGATGGTCTGGTACAGCTCCTCGAGAGGCGTCCGCGTCTTCTCGGCGACGTGGCGCATGATCGAGTGCACCATCTTGCTCTTGTTGTAGCGCTCCTCGCACTTGACGATATCCTCGGGCGAAACACGGCGCTTCGAGAGGTCGATGTAGCCTATATCCTCGTCAGCGCGCCACGCCCGCCCTGCGCATGCGCCGCTCACTCACCCTTTTCCTTGTCCACCCTCAGCACAACGACGACCTCGTTGCGGCCGACGCGAATGAGCTTCTGGATACTACGGATGCGACGTCTGGAAAGCTCGCTAAGCAGGATCATGCCGTCGATGTTGTCGTACTCGAGCAGCTTCACGTATGCGCCCATCTCGGCGATCTGCAAACACGGTCAGCGCGTGGCCGCAGCGGCGGGCGAGTCTGCGCACCTGCTTGACATTGACCATGACGAAGCTCTCCACCTCCGGGTACTTCTCCTCATAGAAGCGGCAATTCGTCAAAGAACCTTCGGACGACATGGCTGGTTTCGGGGCCTCGACGAGGTCTTCGTACGGCTTATAGTCTTATCTCGGGGTATCCGGAGCGTCTGGTATCGGTGCCGCGTGGAAGTCGAGGCGCAAGAGCAGATGGTGTGTTGGAGTTCAGTAGGGTGTCGGCGGCGGTGACTACACAGGCGAGAATTCACAGGCACAATTGGTGGGGCGAAGTGCCAAGATTTCAGAGCCACAGAGCCGCCGAGTCCAGCCGTCCGCCCTCGCTAGAAGCCTACCCGGCGAAGTATGCCCGTACTCCGTCTACCCTGCTGCTCCGAGCCCCTTCTTTTGATACTGCCGAGGGCTTCTTACTTTTTGCACCCCCCATTCCTTATTTACACCCCCCCAGAGATACTCACTTTTTCTCCGTCGCTCACCTTATATCTTGTATGGCAAATGCGGAGAACTCGCCGGCATCTCATCGCGAAGAAATAACCACCATATATTATCACTACCCGTAACAAAAGACTTGGTCTTTACCACCACCACCACCACCACCACCACCACCACTAACACTAATACCGCCACTGCCACCACCGCCACTACTACGGCTACTACCATGGCTACTAACCTCTCTCTCTCTCTCTTTCTTTATAGACACCTCAACGTATAAGGCTCCGCGGCGCGCGATCGCAAGGGTTAATGTAGCAAAGATCCGGGAGTAGGCGAAGAGTAGTTTCCGAAATAGATATTTAGAGGGGGAGTGTAAATAAGGAATTGTGGGGGGGGGGTGCGAATAAGAAAAGGGGGGGGTGCAAAAAGTAGAAGCCCTGCCGAGGGCTTGACCAAAGTTTTTGTTGTTGCCGCCGCCCATGAGCAAAAGCTGGCTGCTGTGGCACCACCTTCGCTTCCACACATCCTCGACAGCGACCGGGCATGCCCATCTTCCTCTTTCGGCGGCCACAAATCCACATGGCTATCCCCGATTCCTGTTTTCGCATGCGTACAACGAACCATTGTAGTCTCATATTTTTTCTATTTTCAACTCGGCGCCGTGGCCCGTACCTGCACGTAAGACGGCCACAGAGCAACAGACCGTCACCGCCGACCTTTGTACAATATCTAGAGGTGACCAACACGGAAGATGCGCCACTTCATACACGGCCCAACCAATTAGATATCTCCTGCAATCAACAGCCTGTAAGGAATCACACGCGTGTATTTTCAGCTCGTATCTGCACGAGATAACTGTCTTAACCATATGAACGCCTCATCTCGACACCGGACCACTACGTCCGAGACTGTGAGCTGAACATCAACTACGGTTCACAATTCGTGTCATCCAGTAGTGGCCAGGAGGAGAAGAGAGGATTGGCGTCTGGCTTGTTTCATCCAGCGCACAGCCTACCGAGGTATCCGCCCAGGGAACAGACCAACCAACACTTTCCCTCGAGCAAGCGTCCTGTTTCCTCAACCACCGTGGTTCTTGTGGAGGGAAACGTCGTCGGGGTTTTAGGCAGCCTGGCTCTTGATGACTGTGACATGGCTGTCCGTAATCTATTGTCCCGCTGCCAAGGTACTCCGCTCCGCCCGCCTCACGATGTGCTCATTGGTCGGTGCACGCCAAGGGTGACCAAGCTGGCTAAATTCGGAATGTGCTTTTACGGCTGGAAGGCCTCGTTCCCAGATCCTCCAAGATCCAGCCAGTGAGCGGACGCCGCCACCCCGCCATCACCTAAGATAGAACGGTGCCAACACCATCGTGGGCCGCCGGACCTTCGTTTTCAGCCGACGCCCGTAATCTTAAGATTTCCGCCTTACGGACCTTGGCGCTCCTGAAATCTCTCGCTCTGGCAAATATCATGCCGCAGTACCCACTTCTTTACGCTTTCTGTTTTCCTCTTCCCCCTTGACTTACCAGCCCACCACTTCATCATTCAATCTGCTGGTCTAATTCTAGTCAGTCGGACCTAACTGCTCACAATCGTTTCGAAACTCAGCACCTCGATACACAATGAAGTACTTCAGCGTCGTCCTGCCCTTCACTCTCCTCCTTAGCCTGTGCGCGGCCACGCCTGTGCAGCCGCGACAGGCATATGACACACCCACGCCAACGCTGCCAAGCTCAACCCCATCCAGCAGCGCCACTTGCTCTTGCGAACCCAGGATCTGCATCCAATCCTGGCCTCAGGTGAGAAATCCCAAACACTATCACCTCGAGCGGAAACTAATCAAGATGCTGTCAACAGTCATGCCTCTGCGCGAACCAGGACAAGTTGGACTGCTATGAAAAGTGCGGCGGCGACTACCCGGAACTGCAGGTAGGTACCTCCAGTCAACGTGAATGCCAGAAGCTGACGTCGGCTCCTAGTCGTGCGAGTAAAGGCTGAATGCAGCGTCGCACCATAAAGCGAACATGACCACTTTTAAGACGCTCTTTGGAATTGACTTTCACTGCGGTCGTTATTCTATTCTTCATCATACATCTATATTGTTTTTGGCCTTCTCTGCTTCCGTTCTTGGGTGTGGCAGCTAAATCAATCCTTGCGAAAGTCGCACTTATCTCTTCCTTGCTCTTCTGAAAGCATATCGCGGTGATGAGCATTCGTGACTCCGTCCGTTTAGCGTCTTATTCGTTTCCAGCAGAAGCCGCCTTACCCTCCGCCAGATGGGTGAGAGCCTCGCCATCGACCCTCAGCCCAACCCACTCCTCCATTTGCTTTGCTCCAATGCCTGCGTAGAACTTCAGCGACGGCTCGTTCCACTTCAGGCAGCTCCATTCCAGCCTGGCCCCATCGATCCGCTGCACTTCCTTTGCAAGCTCCTGTATCAGCAGCTTGCCATATCCTCTCCGACGGTATTTAGACTTCACGAAGAGGTCCTCAAGGTAGACGCCCGGCTTCGCACGCCAAGTGCTGTAGTTGTTGAAAAAGAGCGCCATCCCGGCCACTTCACCTTCCGGAGCAGTCACAAGCAGGGTTTTGGCGTAGCCTGAGCTGGTGGAGGAAGACCCGTCAGAGGATGACGCAGCGAAGGAAAGCGTAGCTGCGAGACTTTCTTCAGTAGCCTGGACCGAGTCGAGAGCATTTTCGTAAATGGCGAGTTCCTTGATGAGGTCCAGGATCGCGCCAACATCTACCAGCGTCGTTAATGAAATCGATTTAGCCCAGTGCATGGTAATTACCTTCGCGAGTGGCCAAGCGGACGGAGGGCTTGTCGGACATGATGGTGGTTGTTGTGCAGGCTGCTATTGAATTGGCGGGAAAGGCACCTTTTATGTTGTGCATGCGACACGCCCTACAATCTACATGACCACAAAAACGCCGCCCCACATGCACCAGCGAGCGCGTCTCATTCGGTCGCGGCCGATCGTATTTCCGAATGCGGCTCCACGAGCGCGCCTCTGGTTTCTGAACGGTTTGCTATTCTTTTGCTGGGCTGAGTGGTCTCCCTTTTTCATCCACGCCTTCGAACAATGATGTGTCGTGCAAGGCAGTGCTGGGCGCTTTCTGTAAGTGCTCCCATGAGCCCCACTCGACGACCCAATTCTGCTTGTTTTCATTCCACCGAAGTACCGGGCATTGAGAAAAGATCTTGGCCCAAAGGCGACGCATGAGCCGTGAGGTAATGTTTTGTGCTCGACGTCGACCTGGCAGCTTTTTCGGAAGATGCTTTGTCTCCAATTCGTCTTGCAGCAAAGATGCCAGCACACCTGGGTTAGTAGGGCCTTCGGCAAGCCACTGATCTGCAGGCTGAAATCGAGAACTCGCCGTTGTCGAGAGTCGAAACAGCATATCTGCTTTGGAGCCGTTCTCTGGCAGGAGGTGTTCCCGACAGGCAAGAGACAAGAAACGCTCGCCTGCAATGCCACCGACATTTGCTAGTTTAGCCACATCGTAGGAACTCATGTGACTTGGCACACCTGGCCTCCTACGTTTGAAGCCGTGCCACTTGCGCACACCCGAGACCAGATCCCTGAGCCTCTCCCATTCGTCTTCGGGTAGCGGCGGGAAGACCTTGTCCAGGATGGAGGCATACCACTTACGCACCATGTTTCTCTCGCGCTTTCGCGGAAACGTGCGCATCCAGATATTGGTCAACGGCACTTCCAGGTACGTCAATTTCAACTTGGCTCTCCTCAGCTCCACGGGACGCGCATAACGCCTCTGGCTCTCCAAAAGAGCACGGAGCCTGGAGTAGCGTTGAGAAATCTCGTACTTGTGGGGCTTGCCATTACGCCTCGGAGCTTCAGCCACGGCCTTCGGGATGCCTGTGATGGCTTCAGACGGGTCGAGCGTTGCGGCGACATCTGCCTGCCACAATCTAACGGCCTCGCTCTCGCCGACTGCGTCGGGAATGAGCAACGTCTCCATTAGCTCGTGCCGCCGCCTGCCAGTACGCCCATACGTCAGTAGTAGAAGCTGCTGAAGAGGCGCCACCTCGCCCTCATTGACACGGCGCAAAAAATTCAGGCCCTTCCACGCATTTTTCAAAGCCCCGCGGATACGCTGCGGTGAGAATGCCGGGTTCTCCAAATGATCTTTATGGTCGCAGTGCTTTCCTTGCGGCGGATGGTACTCGCGGAAGCGGCGTAGAACGTGGCGATGGACGTAGATGCGGGCGGCTGGATCGGGCAGGTAGGTGCACTCGCGAAGCAGCGCGCGGAGCAGATGGCGGGCGCCGGAGGCGTCAGTGGTTGGGAGCGCGGGCATGGAACCAGGCCTGGCAGGTGACGCCTGCGAGTGTGGAAGGTTGGTGAGTGATGGAGCGCGAGCACGCGGATGGGGGCTAGCGTAACGCGTGCATACGCGACTGATTTCCGTCTCCACTTCCTGGCGCATATGAGCCGGAGCATCACCAGCTCGGCCAGCCCGCAGCTCCGCATCCCCTCAACCGCCGCGCGCCCATCGCCGCGTCCGCTCCGCGCTCTACTGCGCTCCACGTCGCCGCCGTCCGCCATGCAGGTCGCACCCTCCGGAATGGCTGGCTTCGAGGGTCGCGCCTCCTCCTTCACGCCCACCCAGCCGCAAACCCATCGGTCGCTGTACGGGGACAGCGGACCGCCGCAACAGAATGGCTTTGCCAGGAGCTTCCCCGAGGGCAACGGCTTGTCGCAACACCACATGGATCATCCGCCGCAAATCTACACTGTAAGCGCACCAGCCGCGCCAGAGCTGACCTCGCACTGACTCTTGCGTAGGCCGTGTACTCCAACGTCAATGTCTACGAAATGGAGATCAACGGCATTGCCGTCATGAAGCGCCGTTCCGATTCGTGGCTCAATGCGACACAGATTCTCAAAGTTGCGGGGGTGGACAAGGGAAAGCGAACGAAGGTCCTGGAGAAGGAGATCCTGACTGGGGAGCACGAGAAAGTCCAAGGTGGCTACGGCAAGTACCAGGGCACCTGGATCAACTACCGTCGCGGTCGCGAATTCTGCCGGCAATACGGCGTCGAGGATCTTTTACGCCCTCTGCTCGACTATGGCGTCGATGGCGGGTCGCAGGGACACGAGGTCGATACCCCTACCAAGGAGCAGGCCATGGCGGCGAACCGGAAGCGCTTCTATGCCAGCACCATGGACGGCCGAACTCAGAGTGCTGCTGCTGGCGGCACCTTCTTCTCCAACATCTCCTCCACTGCTTCCAATGCAATCGCCGCAATGAACAAGGTTGCCCGCATGAACTCTCCCGCGCCACGCCCTGGAAGTGCGCAGCGTCGTCACATGGCATCCACCCCTTCACGCCCTGGCTTTGGAAGCCAGGAGTCCTTCCGTGGCGAAAGCCAGCAGAGCGTTCCAGGCCTGCGCTCAGAGCGCAGCTTCAGTGCCAACGGCGGCGATTCCACATATGCGACCCAGACCCAGGTCGATGGGCCTATCGACGGCGCTGAGCCGCCTCGTAAAAGATTGCGCCAGGAAGAATCTTTTGCGCAACGCAACGGCGATGGTGAGCTCATTCGCGACGGTTCTCCCACGGAGCCTAGCGAATCCTTCGTATATCACCAGGCATTACACCATCTCTCCACCGTTGATGGCGATGTGCCCGCAGCCTTACCTCCTCTCCCGGGACCCGCCGACCCCTCGTCGCAGGAGAAACAGGCTGCGCTGCTCGACCTCTTCCAAGACAACCAGTCACGCACTGACTATTCGAATCACCCTGCCATTGTCCATCTTTCAGGGACCGACCTCGACATGCCGCTAGATCAGTCCGCAAATACTGCTCTGCATTGGGCGGCAACGTTGGCCAGAGTGTCTATTATGCGTTTGCTAATTTCCAAAGGCGCAAACATCTTCCGTGGCAACGCTGCCGGTCAAACCCCACTGATGGCTGCCGTAGCAGTCAACAACTGCCTTGACCACAGCTGCTTTCCAGAATTACTGGAATTGCTTGCACCGCTCATTGAAGTTAGGGATGATTCCGGCCGGACCATCCTGCATCATATCGCTGTTGCCTCGGGTGTCAAGGGCCGAGCAGCATCGAGCAAGTACTACCTTGAAGCCCTCCTTGAGTTCTTGGTGCGCAGCAACACCGGTCAGAGCAGTCAGTCTTCCTTTGAGGGCAGTACATCAAAGCCTATCGGCCTGATGAGGTTCATGAGCGAGATGGTAAATGCAAGGGACGTTGCCGGGAATACTGCGCTCAACCTAGTCGCGCGCATCGGAAACCGCAGTATCATCCAACAACTGCTAGAAGTCAAGGCAGATCCCTCGATACCCAACTACAAAGGACTGAGGCCCCTAGACTTCGGTGTTGGTGAGGATCCCGAAAGGAACGGCCAGCAAACATTGAGCCAGGTGGGATCGCCGAGTAAGGGTAGAGGCCCGGCAAGCAGAGTGGAGGAGGCCAGCAGAGAGATGATGCCTGGTAAGTAGATGTCCTTCGTCTCCCACCGTCGCACGAAGCACGTTTAACCTCTAGCAGCCATGTCTTCGTTCCTTTCCCAAACAGAATCGCAATTCAATGCCGAAATTCGCCTAAAGCAGGATCTCATCGATCGCACCAATGCCAGCATTCAGTCCCTATCGACCCAACAGCGCCATCTCTCCAATCTGCTTGCCTCTCTCCAACGCAGGCAACGGCTCCATGCAGAGCGTAGCCAACGTATCACCAATCTCAAAAATGCAATCAAAGACCAACGCAGTCGCCTTGCTCGCTCCGGGGCCATTTCGGTGGAGCAGGCCATGAGTGCGTCCAAGGACAGCATCAGAGTGGGTGACGCAGATTCGGTGTCCCCAGTCCAATCGAAGCTCGGCCAGCTACGGGACATGTCGCCCGACTCGGCCAACAGTGTGGATTTGAACGCTCTCTCATCATCACAGCACTCCTCACTCGTCTCCCTGCCAAGTGCCAATACGCTGCGGGCCGCACTGTCGGCTTATGACAGCAACAATGCGGAGCTCCGGGCACGGGCGGCAGGCCTGCGAGAGCGCAATGGCGAACTCGAGGCACAGTACCGTAAGGTCGTCTGTCTCTGCACAGGAGTGGCAGAGGATCAAGTCGAAGTTTTGCTTGGCAGTCTTGTTAAAGCGGTCGAAAGTGAGGTTGGCGACGGGGTCGAGGTTGGCCGGGTGAGGGAATTTCTTAGGAAAGTGGATTTCGTGGAGAACTAGCGGGATGGGCGACTTTGATTGTTTACGCCCGTGATGTTCCCAGAATACCTACTACTTTGCAGGTTTGATACCCCGGTACCACGGGCGAACAAAAAAGAAGGGGTGTTGTGTGCTGGACACGGTCGCGGATCGATGGGTCACTTCGACTTTCGTTCTTCCGACAGCAGCCAAATCGTAGCTCTTTGTAGGAACGAGGGATAGGGGTGGCGGCGAGGCCAGGCAGATTGCCTGTCTCTTGGATTTAGTAGGCCCTCAGGAGTCATGCCGCATATGCTTCCATCTACAGACGAATTGATGAGATTTCCATCGGTCGCCCGTGCGTACGATTGATGTGCTAACAACGACTGTTTGCTGGCAAGAGGGACGCGCTGCAAGTTTTCACAGCAGCCAGGGACACATTGAGGCATTCCGCCAGCGATTAGGAGTGTTAGCAGCATTCTTGGTGTCACGAGCGGGCTGCGGCGGCCATGTCTCTGTGCAAGCAAGAGCGATTGACGGCCGTGTTGGGTTTAGCGCGTCTGACGGATTGAAGTGGCAGGGTGGGACGCGGGCACAGCCGACCGACGTCTTCACTTCAACACCTCAACGTCGCGCGAGGTTCCCGTTGCCGTGCTCAAGCACTCTCGTTGAGCGCAGCCCGGCACCTCCACCTGCACTTGTTTACTCCCGCCCCGAACCTGCGAGCGAGCGCAGACGCTGTTCGCGGCGTCGCATGTGACATCCTGCTGCCTGAATGCACAGCCTGGACACGTAAATCCATGAGCGGCGCGGCCATCAGGCAGGACCATAGAAAGGAAAGATACGGGTGAAGGGCTCGTGTCGCGCTGCTGCCGTAAGAGCTTTTCTGCTACGATGACCCGGGTGCAAGAGCACGCGCTGGCGGCTGCCGCGCGCAGGAAGTGGGCGGCACACGTGCTCGCCGAAATTGTTTGTTCATAAAGTCCTTGACGGGCATACCCGGCTGATCTTGTTGGCGCTATCAGCAGGACTGTTCAAGTTGGCCAAGGGCGGGCCACGGGTGTCGCAAGGCTACGCGCGACTGCCGTTCCTGGTGCTTCGCTCTGCCTTCCGGAAGGCGGTCAGGTCAGATCAAACCCGCTGCGTTTGCCAGTCGCCCTGCTGCCTCTGCTCCGCCCTGCATCACCCAGCATCCTCGTTTGCAGCTTCCCCCTCCACTCCATTGCGCCTTGGAGGGCACCTAACACCGACACCCACCGCTTCAAGGCCCTCTCCACCCCGTCATATTGCATTGGGCTCTCAGCACATCTGCCCGCGCCATGGCCCGCCACCCTTCGCCGCTAATCTCGCTGCCCGCAGAGCTGCAGATCAAGGTCGTGGAGGAGCTGTACGAGGACCCGCCGTGCCCGTACGAGGACCCGCTCGCCAAAGATGCTTTCCTTGAGCATGTCAAGGCCGTTCGCCTCACCTGCAAGGCGCTGAAAGCTGCCGCTACCGACATCTTCCTGAAGACGTGGTTCTCTCACCGCTCCATTGTCTTGGAGCGCAAGAGCCTGCTCAACTTCTACCAGATCGCCACCACCTCGCCTTTCAACAGGCGCATTGTGCAGCTCGATGTCGCCGTCTACGAATTCCGCCCGGAGCTTGCCCAGGACTTTACCGTCTTCCTTGCCCGCATGGAGAAGGAGGCCCGCGACGAGAGCTGCTTCCTCCGCCACGACCGCGTCAAGGAGCATTTCTTGGGCGATGCTGAACGTGCTTCAGACTGGCCCAACGCGAGGGCTGCCTACGCTGCCTACAAGAATCACGTCGACAACCAGGCTGAGCTTTACGATCGCTTCGCCCACGTTCGCCTGCTGGCGCGCTCGCTCAAGGCTTTCAGTGGTCTCGGAAGCTTACGCACCATCAGCGTCAATGGCGCACAGTCTCCCCTCACCGGCGCCTGGACCAGCGGAATTCTCCAAGAATGTGGCATATCTCTTCTCCACAAGTCCGTCGTCCCCCAGTGTCTCATTCCGCCGAAACTTGACTGATGTTTTCTTAGGGAGAAAATCGCCCTTCACCCCGCCACTCTGGGAACCGTCATCCGCGCCATGGCCTGTAGCGAGGTGGAGCTTTGCACACTAGTGACTGCTGGTTTGAACGTCAGTGCCTTGCAACTGCCACCCCCTCAGCGTCGCCGCTTCAGCAAAGTCGGTCTCAGCCACCTCCACAACCTCAGTCTCCGCTTATTGGACCCCAAGCTTTTCCCTTCGGAGTCAAGCTCCGCGCTTTTTCGCTCTGGCCTGCTTGCTCGTTTCATCCAACACGCCCGGAACCTAGCGAATCTGAGCATCGAGTTCTACAACCAGCCTTACGACGTGCCCCTCGCCAAACTTCTCGGACGCCGTATTGAGAAGCTCGAGTCCCTATCCCTTGGTGGCCTGGCCTACCATGCCCAAGATCTCATTGAGTGGCTCACGGAAAATAGCTCGAAGCTCGAACATCTACAACTCGACTACTCCTCGCTCATCTCCGGCACGTGGCGTGAGGTCTTCCGAAAGATGCGGAGCAATCTTGACCTGAAGTCCGTCTACTTCCACTTCCTAGCGGACGACGAGGAGTCGATCCACATCACTGGCGAGAATGTGAACGATTTCATCTTGAAGAAGTCTTCAAAGGTGGACTGGGACACGATGGAAAGCAAGGCGCTGCCCCAGAACGTGGGCGATCTAGCAGGCCTTTTCTCCGTTGTTGTGAACAGCCAACCCACGCACCACCATCACCACCACCACAACCATAACCATCAGCACCATCACAACCATCAGCACGGACAGAATGGCGCGGATCATGCTCCAGAGGGCAATGGACACAGCCCTAACGAAGCACACGAGGCTCCAGTCACCGCAGGTCCGGCTCCGCCCCCGGGCCACCCATCAGGCGCTCAGGTTGAGACACAAGCCAACAACTCCGCGCCCGGAACCACCTCCTCGCAAAGCGAAACTACTGGTCCCGCTGTTGGGGCTCCTGGAAATGCTGGTGGCATCACGAACGGCACCTTGTCTTTGCCGATGCCCCCGCCTCAGGTGATAAGCGCCATGCAAGATCTCTTCCAGAGCGCCCTCGGGGTCTCTCTGGATTTCCTGGATGACTTTGACGACGGTGACGAAGATGATTTGTCGGACTCTTTCGATGATGACGATAACGAAGAGTTCGACGACGAGGAAGCGTCTGACGATGACTCTGAGACTGAAGGTGACGAGGATAGTGACATCATTGATGAGCAAGATGAAGACGGCTACATGACAGACGACTCCGAGGCTGATGCTCTTGTCGATAAAATCACCAGCGAGCTATAAGAGTCACTTCTTCCTCACTTCGCCTTAGACTTGCTTTCGACCCTCGCGGAGAGGCCTTCGAATCTTCTCTAATTCAGCACTTTCTACACCCGGTTCCTTGACATACGCGAGGTCTCTTCTTCCGTCGTCTAATGTCTGCCGCAGGCAGCTTAACATCGACGTCTTCAACGGTGTCTGTCGAAGGAAAATTATTCAAAGCTACGGGTGAGTTCGGAAACAACTGGCTTTACGGGCACGGGATACAAACTCGCCTTGAGAAGTTTGTTGCTCATTATCCAATCTACTTCTTTGAGTCGGCATCGTGGAAGGCCTGATATTCCACGAAGGCATAAAAGTGGGAGCTGAAGAGAGACGAGGAAGTAGATTAGGACTTCTTTACCTTTTCCTTATTTTCTCGAGTCAAAATTCGTGGGAGGTTCACTATCTGCGTCTTTGCGAAATTCCGATTTCCGCTGCAAGACACAATATGCGGAGAACATGGGGTATTGCGGCAGAATTTCGAAGCACGAATATAAAATGGGGTGCATATTCAATGTGGCAGCCGTCTACATTTGATGTCATGCAGTGATCGATCTTCGTAACGGACATCCCGTTCTGATATTCTTCATCGCCCTTCTTCTTTTTCTTCGAGTACCAATAGTGAACTCCGCTACGTGCAACAGAACCACCGAGGGCAATGACCAAAGCTAATTGGCTTTGATTGTCTAACAGTTTCAACGCCGTGCATTTCCCCAGCAGTCTTTCATCCTCGACCATGTTCCACTTAATCATCTGAAAACGCCGCTGCAGGTTTGCCTTCAAAAACTGACACCATCAAATTGTAGACTTTTCATGCTCTCATCGCCCAATGACACATCATCCTCATTTATCCTTGTCCTCCTTCAACGTGACGATCTGGTTAAGCACAATCGCATCACCTTCTCGTTCAGGGTCAATGCAGAAGTAACCTGTGCGCATGGCCTGGAAGCGAACAAGGTCATCCGAGCCACCTTCGGGCTTGGTTGAGTGTGCGGCGGTCAAAGCATCGAGACCCTTCTCAATGACGGCATTCTTGTGAACGATTTCGCTGTCAGGGTTGAGATCGTCAGCGTAACCACCAGTCTTCCAGTCCAACGCATTCGGCTCTGCAGCACGGAAGAGAGCGTTGTACTGGCGGGCTACGACGCGGTGGTTTGTCTTCGCGTCGACCCAGTGGATCCAACCCTTGGGCTTGACCGTGGGATCCGTCTTGACGGCGCGAATCTCGTTGACGAGGCCGGTAGCCGAATCCCTGGTGAAAGATGTCGCCTTGATGGGGCCGACGTTAAGAAGACCAACGGTCTGGCCGGGTGCAAGGCGGAAGAAGTTGGGATCGGACTCCTCGCGGAAGTCGCTACGGTCAACGTAGACGCTACGCGAAAAGGGCACATTGCGCTTGTCACCGTCGGGCTTCTTCGGGTCAAAGGGCACAGAGATCTCCTCCTGGTGGTCCTCCGGCACGTCTTCGATGACAACCTTGATCGGGTCAAGAATTAGGCTGAGACGCGGCACTGTGCGCTCGAGGTGCTTGCGGACAGCGTTATCAAGTCGGACTGCCTGGATGCTGGTGAGCGCGTCTGTCACGCCCAATTCATGGACAAAGCTCAGCAGAGCTTGGGCGGGAATGCCGCGGCGGCGGAGAGCGACGAGAGTATACAGACGGGGGTCATCCCAGCCACGGACAGCCGGCGAGATTTTCTTGGTGGTCACAGTGCCGTCCTCGTTCTTCTTGTCAACAGTACATCCCTCGACGAGCATGGCAATACGCCGCTTCGAGAGGATAGTACCCTCCACATTGAGACGGCCGTACCTGAGAGGGGTCAGTCAAGCTTCAAAAGCGGAGCATTGTGTCAGCACTCACTCTCGCTGCATGGGGCCCTTCTCTTCCGACTTGGGCACCTTCATGTCCAGAATCTCCAGGAGCCAATCATAAGATATGCGGGACTGCTGGAACTCGGTAGTGCACAAAGAGTGGGTGATGTTCTCAAGAGCATCGCAGATGCAGTGGGTGAAGTCGTAGGTGGGATAGATCTTCCACTTGTCACCGGTGCGGAAGTGGTGGTTCTGCTCGACAATGCGGTAGGCGGCCAGGTCCCACATCTGCGGGTTGCCCTCCTTGGGATCAAGGAGACTCTGCTTCATGCGTAGGTGGGCCTCGCCGGGCTTGTACTTGCCGTCGCGCATGGCGCGGAACTCGGCCAGCGATTCCTCGACGGGCCTGGCGCGGTGTGCGCAGGCAAAACGGTCGCCGCCCTTGTTCTCGCCGCGCTGGCGGTTGACCTCCTCCCCTGCACGTTGTAAGCGGGTGCGCTTCCTGCGTGAGTGCGGGGCCCTTACTGGTGCAGTGGCACACATATCCCTTGTCCCGCTTGATCATCTCCTCGGCCAGCTCATACAGCTTATCGAAGTTGTCGCTGCTGTAGGTTATGGCGTGCGGCTTGAAGCCCAGCCAGGCCACCATGTCTTGGATGGAAGTAAAGAACTTCTCCTCCTCCTTGGCGGGGTTCGTGTCGTCGAAGCGCAGAATGCAGACGCCGTTGTAGTTCTTCGCGAAGCCAAAGTTGACGGCAATGGCCTTGGCATGACCGATGTGCAGATAGCCATTGGGCTCGGGCGGGAAACGCGTGCGGACGTCGGCGACGGGCTTCTCGTTGTAGACGCGCTTCAGCCAGCCCTCCTCGAAGACGTTGGCAGGCTTGGACTCGGCAGGCTTTGGTCGGAGGGCAGCTTCGGCCTTTGCGGCGGCCTTCTTCGCGGCGGCCTCAGCCTTCTTGCGGGCCTTCTCGGCGGCCCGCTTGGACATCTCGGGGGCCGCGGGAGCGGGAGCGTCGGCCATGGCGTGTGGGAGCGTGCGAGAGCGCAGAGGAGCGGAAAATGGGTGCGGGCGCGGTGCAATGTGGGGTGTGAGGGGCAGCACGGTGTTGTGTGAATCACTTCGAAAACATGAGTCAGGCACCTGAGGCGCCGACTGTCAGCCACACATCGCCGGAGTCACGAATCTCCGAGCGCCACCGCGCGCCGCCATTGCCTTGGCCTTCCGCGACGTGCTGGCCTTTTCTTCGTTGACGCCCGTCTTGGTCTCCAGGCCACGCCGCTTGCAAGATGCCTCTCGTCGACAACGACCAGATCAAGGCGGCCACCCTGCACAATCCGCTGCCACTGTCGCTGCACCTCTACGTCTGGCCCTTCCTCATCGTCTGGCCGCTCTTCCTCTCCGTTTACCTATCGCCCTCCCAGTACGAGAAGCACATCCAGTCCTCCGAATGGACCTTCGTATGGTGCGGCTCCATCATCACCGTCCAGTCCCTCATCTGGCTCAGCACCCACTGGAGCGTTGATCTGAAGGCCCTGTTTACCGCGACCAAGGCCAAAGATGTCCGCAGCGCCACTCTCATCAAAGTCCACCCCATTGCCAACGCCGGCGCCGCTGAGATCTGCCCGCTGAAGCGCGACAATGTTGGCGGCAAGCAGAACATCTCCTTTCTCTTCCAGAAGCGCCGCTTTCTCTACGATTCCGAGAAGAATTCGTTTGCGACTGTGTCCTATTCAATCGACGCCGAGCCGAAGCCCGTCATCAGCGCCTTCCAGAGCTCGCGTGGCCTGACCAGCCCCGCCGAAGTGCAGCGCATCCACGAGCACTATGGCGACAACTCGTTCGACATCCCCGTGCCGACCTTCCTCGAGCTCTTCAAAGAGCACGCCGTCGCGCCATTCTTCGTATTCCAGGTCTTCTGCGTTGGCTTGTGGATGCTGGACGAATACTGGTACTATTCTCTCTTCACTTTGTTCATGCTGGTCGCCTTCGAGAGCACCGTCGTGTGGCAGCGCCAGAGGACGTTGAACGAGTTCCGTGGCATGAGCATCAAGCCGTACGATGTTTGGGTCTTCCGCGAGGACAAATGGCAAGAGATTGAAAGCGACAAGCTGCTGCCTGGCGATCTCGTCTCGGTCGAGCGCACCAAAGAGGACAGCGGCGTAGCATGCGACATGATTCTGGTCGAGGGTACCGCCATCGTAAACGAGGCGATGCTGTCCGGAGAGAGTACCCCCGTCTTGAAGGACTCCATCCAATTGCGCCCAGGCAACGCTCACCTCGATCCCGAAGGTCTGGACAAAAACGCACTGCTGTGGGGTGGCACCAAGGTCCTCCAAGTCAGCCACGGAAATCCTAGTGAAGACGCCCCCGATGCCATTCCCCGTCTCGCCTCCGGCATCCCCCCGCCACCCGACAAGGGCGCGGTTGCTGTTGTGGTCAAGACCGGATTCGAGACGAGCCAAGGTAGCCTCGTGCGGACCATGATTTACTCGACAGAGCGCGTTTCTGCCAACAACGTTGAAGCCCTGCTTTTCATTCTTTTCCTGCTCATCTTCGCCATCGCCGCGTCTTGGTACGTCTGGCAGGAGGGCGTGGCTAAAGATCGCAAGCGATCAAAGCTCCTCTTGGATTGCGTCCTTATCATCACCAGCGTGGTTCCGCCGGAGCTACCTATGGAATTGAGTTTGGCTGTCAACACGAGTCTTGCTGCCCTCAGCAAGTACGCCATCTTCTGCACCGAACCGTTCCGCATTCCTTTCGCCGGCCGCGTCGATGTCGCCTGCTTTGACAAGACCGGTACTCTGACCGGCGAAGACCTTGTCGTCGACGGCATTGCCGGCCTGACTCTTGGACAGCCAGAAGCTAAGGCTGAGGCTGATGGTGCTCAGACTCAGCTGGTGCCAGTCAACCAGATCGGCCCTGATTCCACCTTGGTCCTCGCCACGGCTCATGCTCTGGTCAAACTTGACGAAGGAGAGATTGTGGGCGAGCCCATGGAGAAGGCAACTCTGCAAGCTCTTGGGTGGGTACTTGGTAGGCAGGATACTCTCACCAACAAGATTGGCCGTACGAGCGTCGCCGAGCTGGTTCAGATCAAACGCCGTTTCCAGTTTTCCTCGGCCCTCAAGAGACAGAGCTCTGTTGCTACCGTCTTGGCGACGAACCCAAAGTCCGGAAAGAAGACGAAGCACACCTTTGTTGGCGTAAAGGGAGCTCCGGAGACTATTCGTAACATGCTGGTCACCACCCCGCCCAAGTACGAGGAAACCTACAAGCACTTCACTAGAAATGGCGGTCGTGTGCTCGCTTTGGCATACAAACGCCTTTCCACCGAAGACGAGATCAGCCAGAAGAGAATCAACGACCTGAAGCGCGAGGAGGTTGAATCAGAGCTTCACTTCGCTGGTTTCCTAGTCCTCCAGTGCCCACTCAAGGATGACGCAAAGAAGGCGGTTCAGATGCTCAATGAGAGCAGCCATCGTGTGGTTATGATTACCGGTGACAACCCTCTCACTGCTGTCCATGTGGCTCGCCAAGTGGAGATTGTTGATAGGGACTGCTGGATCTTGGATGCTCCCGAGAACGACGACTCCGGCAAGAATCTTGTTTGGAGAAGCATTGATGACAAGGTCAACATTCCGGTCGACCCCACTCAAGAGCTTTCCCGAGAGATTCTCGACACAAAGGACGTCTGCGTCACGGGATACGCTCTCGCCAAGTTCAAGGATCAGAAGGCATGGCATCAGCTCCTCCGCCACACCTGGGTCTATGCACGCGTTTCCCCCAAGCAGAAGGAAGAAATCCTTCTCGGGCTGAAAGACGCAGGTTACACCACTCTCATGTGTGGTGACGGTACGAACGACGTGGGTGCGCTGAAGCAAGCCCACATCGGTGTGGCTCTTCTCAACGGTACGAAGGACGACCTGGACAAGATTGCGGAGCATTTCAGGACCACGAAGATGAAGGAGGTGTATGAAAAGCAGGTGTCTCTCATGCAGCGCTTCAACCAGCCTGCTCCTCCAGTGCCGCCCATGATTGCACACCTGTATCCTCCTGGACCGTCGAACCCGCACTATGAGAAAGCGATGAAGCGTGAGCAGGACAGGAAGATCAGCAAAGGCATCATGGCTGCTGAAGAAGCTGCAAAGGCAAACGGAGCTACTGCGCCGACGTCGAGTGCAGTTGCGGCGCCGCCGAACGAGACGCCTGCGCAGAGAAACCAGCGTCTCGCCCAAGAGAAGGCACAGAGCCTCGCGGATAAGTTGCAGATGTCAATGATGGAGAACGAGCTGGACGACAGCGAGCCGCCGACGATTAAGCTCGGAGACGCATCCGTTGCCGCGCCCTTCACCAGCAAGCTGGCCAACGTCATCGCTATTCCCAACATCATCCGCCAGGGACGCTGCACCCTTGTTGCTACGATTCAGATGTACAAGATCCTAGCTTTGAACTGTCTCATCAGCGCATACAGCTTGAGTGTCCTCTACCTAGACGGCATCAAGTTCGGCGACGGACAGGTGACGATTAGCGGTATGATGATGAGCGTCTGCTTCCTGTCCATCTCTCGGGCCAAGCCCGTCGAGGCGCTTTCCAAAGAGCGTCCGCAGCACAACATCTTCAACATCTACATCATCGGCTCTGTCCTCGGCCAGTTTGCCATCCACATTGTTACTCTCATCTACATCTCCCAATACGTGCAGCGCACGGAGCCGTAAGTGTCCTCGCCCTGGTGTCTTGGTTTCAGATGCTAACCCGACTGCAGAAAGAGCGACGACGTGGATTTGGAGGGCGAGTTTGAGCCATCTCTCCTCAACAGCGCCATCTACCTGCTGCAGCTGATTCAGCAGATTTCGACGTTCGCGATCAACTACCAGGGTCGGCCGTTCCGGGAATCGATCCGCGAGAACAAGGGCATGTACTACGGCCTCGTTGGCGTGGCATTTGTTGCCTTCTCGTGCGCGACAGAGTTCATTCCCGAAATCAACGAGAAGCTGCGCCTGGTTCCTTTCACGACCGAGTTCAAGATGACAATGACGGTGGTCATGCTCATTGACTATGTGGGATGCTGGGTCATTGAGAAGACGCTGAAGTATTTCTTCAGCGACTACAAGCCCAAGGACATTGCCGTACGCCGCAAGGACCAGATTGAGAGGGAGGAGGCCAGGAAGAAGCTAGAGGCCGAGGAGGCGGAGAGGAAGAAGGAGCAGTAGAGAGCATGCATAGCGTGCTGGATTTGCTGTAGAATAGTAATAGAGGATAGAGGAGCAAATGTGCAGCGCAAGTCTGCCCATGGAAATGCGTCCGGCTTTTGCACGGTCTCTCTGCGTGAATGATGGTGCGAGAAATGGCTCGACGGCGGGGTCAGACTCGGGAGGTGGTCACTTTTTGCTTTCTGGCGGTCACACAAAATGGCGCACTCGGCACGCACGCCTGCATCAGGATTTTTGAAGGAAACATGTTCATTACTAGCGCCGCTCTTGCCCGATGGCTGGCGTGACAGGTCAGTAATGGAGACCCAACAGCGTGGGCCGCGGCAACGGAGATCGAAGACTACGACCAGAAAGGCAGGTCGAGATCTTGGTGTCCTAGGTAAGGAAAGGAAGGTTGATTGGCCGCGCGTTTTGGTGGAGCTGACGAAGCCAGATGCACGCCGTGGCATTGCTTGCGGTTGCTTGGCTAATTCCACAGGGCAGTGTCGACGTCCAACGAGCGCCTGTTGTGCTCGTTGGCCAACAAGATGGAGGCCGTGGGTGGCCGTGTCAGTTGGGTCAGCGGATACGAGGGGCTCGCGAAGGAGCAAAGGCCATCACGGTGTCCAGGCTGGCGAGCTGTGCCGCTCGCGAGGCCGGCGAGAGGCCGCAGCTAGCGGAGATGAGCGGTGGAGCTGCCATTGCTTAGATGGACCTTCCCTCTCCTCCCGCGCCCGCTTCTCCACACTCGCCCTTATAAAAAGGCCAAGCTCGGTCGTGATTGCCCGTCCGACTGTCTGCCCAAAATGCTTGGCTCCCACCTCCTCGTGCTGCTGGCTGCCGCTGCCAGCGCCTCACCTCTGCGTGCCCGCTCCGACTACCAAGTCAAGGAACACTTCCACGCCCCTCGCAGTTGGTCGCGCATCGGACGCGCCCCCTCGGAGCATGTCATCAACCTCCAGATCGGTCTGAGGCAGTCCCGCTTCTCTGAGCTCGAGAGGCACCTCTACGAAGGTGCGTTTATCTACCAGTTTACCCTTTGCTAGCTTGTCCCGCGAGAGAGATTACACTTCCCGGTAGTAGAGTGGAACAAGCATCATCTCTTGCGGAACGTGCGAGCTGGGCGAACACGCTGCAACTCCCCCGTTTTGGCAACTTCTAACACAACGAAGTCTCGGACCCCAGACATGAGCGCTATGGCCAGCATCTGACCGCGGATGAGGTCAACGAGCTCGTCGCGCCCTCTGACGACACTCTAGACCTCGTTCACGAGTGGCTTGAGGACAACGGCATCGCCAAAAGCCACCTGGAATACAGCCCTGCAAAGGACTGGATCAAGGTCTCACTTCCTGTTGACCAGGCCGAGGCTCTTCTGGACACCGAGTATTCGGTTTACCGGCACGAGACTGGCGGCCATATTGTGCGCACTCCTGCCTGGTCCCTCCCTCGCCATCTCCACGACCACGTCGAGACCATCCAGCCCACCAACTCGTTCTTCCGCTCCGCGCCCCGAAGAAGCAACGTCAGGCCCATCGTCGAGGACGTGAAGCAGCCGCTTGCTCGCCAGAAGTTCGTCAGCAGCCAGGCTCCTTTGGACGCCGACGTGTCTGCCATCTGCAACACGACCTTCGTGACTCCGCACTGCCTGCGTTCCTACTACGGCACCTTGGACTATGTCCCACAGGTTCCTGGCAAGAACAAAATCGGACTTACCAACTATCTGGACGAGACCAGCAAGCGGACCGACGTCAAGCTTTTCCTGCAGCAGTTCCGCCCGGATGCCGTCTCTGCCGCCGACAACTTTACCATCGAAGTCATCAACGACGGCGACAACACTCAGACCCCCAACACGCCCGAACAGAATGATGCCGGTAAGAACATGGAGGGGAACCTTGACGCCGAGACCATCCTGGGCATTGGTTATCCTACCCCTCTCATTGCCTACAACACCGGCGGCTCGCCTCCCTTCCAGCCTGATGCCAACACCGAGACCAACTCCAACGAGCCTTACCTCGATTGGGTGCAGCACGTCCTCGGCCAGTCAGACGTGCCTCAGGTAATCTCCACCAGCTACGGAGATGACGAGCAAACGGTCCCCCCTTCGTATGCCTACACCGTCTGCAACATGTTCGCCCAGCTTGGCGCTCGTGGTGTCTCTCTCCTCTTCGCCTCGGGCGATGCGGGCGTTGGCGACGAGGGCGCTTGCATCAGCAACAACGGTACCAATGCTACCACATTCCTCCCGTCGTTCCCCGACGGCTGTCCTTATGTGACGTCCGTCGGCGCCACTACAGGCTTCTCGCCCGAGAGGGCGGCCTACGACGTCCTCGGCTCCGGCAGTGTCTTCACATCCGGCGGTGGATTCAGCAACTACTTTTCTCAGCCCTCCTACCAAGCCGAGGCTGTTCAGAACTACTCGGCAGCGTACCTTGCTGATGGTATTTATGCCGGCCTGTACAACGCCTCCGGTCGCGCGTACCCGGACATTGCAGCCCAGGGTCAGAAGTTTGTTGTTACTTGGGAGGGCAGCAACATCCGTCTCGACGGCACGTCAGCATCGACTCCTCTCGCGTCTGCCATCATTTCGCTCGTCAATGACGCTCTCATCGCCGCTGGCAAGAAGCCGCTCGGCTTCTTGAACCCCTGGCTCTATCAGGGCGGCTGGAAGGCTTTCAATGATATTACCAACGGCAGCGCGGCCGGCTGTGGTGTTGACGGCTTCGTGGCTGCAGAGGGCTGGGATCCGGTCACCGGCTTCGGCACTCCCAACTTCCCTGCCATTCTAAAGAGCCTGGGTCTGTGAGGATTTACATAAGGGTGAAATTATCAGGAAACATGGCATGGTGCATGACACAGATAGAGCCTGCTGAATGAGAAAGACGTAGGGTGAATGGTTCATACGATGTGATGAAGATTCCTTCCAGTTACGTCAAGTAATGAAATCTGTCTCCCTCTGAGAGGATCAAATAGAAACGCAAACATGATTATATGCGAGCCAAAGCTGCACGTCAGCCTTCTCGGGCAACGATTCCTCCTTCTACGTCATACTAACAAGACTGTTATACCAATCGAGGCTCGCTATATCCGTCTCGTAAGGAGGTGTATGAAGCTTACAGCCTCGCCGCATGCGGTTGATGGTCAAAACAAGCGTCACGCTAGCCCACACTCAGGTACATGGTGCAGCATGCGCTAGCGCCACCATGCCCCGGTGATCAAGATGTGTAAAACAAGCTTTAATTAGTCATGATCCTGTCACTACAGGCGAGACTTGAAACATGCACATACACAGATCGACAAACACTGGATACGCGGATACAAGGGAATCTACATGCAAGAGGTCTTTATGGCCGGAAGAGATGAAACGGGCGCAAAAGAAGATAAATTGCCCCAAACGCGCACGCTTCCGCCCCCAACTAATCACGATTCCCACCAGACCACAGCCCAGTCTTCATGATGCTCTCCATTGCCAACGCTTTTTTTTTTACCATTCCCGTCATGAGAAGCGAATTTAAGGGTTCTGCTTGGCGAAGTCGACGCCCTTCTTGATGTTCTTGGCCAGATCCTGGACGCAGACATCGATGAGCTTCTGCTCGTAGGGGGTAACCTCACCGACGGGGAGAATCTTCTCGACACCGCTGGGGCCGAGCTCGACGTTGGAGGCGAAGAAATCGCAGCCCTGGTCCTTGAAGAGCGGGCTCTCGACGAACGTGGGCTCGATGACGCCCTTCTCGCCCTGGGCAGCACGGAGCAGGGACTCGGCGAAGCGGGCACCGGCCATGGCCATGGAGAGGGTGGCGGAACCAGCACCGCCCTTGGCCTGGACAACCTCGTCACCACCGAACTGGACACGCCTGACGTAGTCGTCGAGCTCCTGGCCCTCAAGCTTGTGGCCAGCCTGGGAGAGCAGAGGAACGATGGTAGCACCCGAGTGGCCGCCAATGACGGTGATCTTCTCGTTGGCCGGGTCGGAGCCCTTGAGCTGGGAGATGAAGCGCGAGGCACGGACAACGTCAAGAGTGGTCACACCGAAGAGGCGCTTGGGGTTGTAGACGCCCTTGGACTTGAAAACCTCGGCGGTGATGGGGACGGTGGAGTTGACCTAGCTCTGAGTTAGCAATCATAAACAAATGAAGGATATCACAAAAACCATACCGGGTTCGAGATGATCAGGACGTTGGCGTTGGGGGCGGCGTCAGCGGTGGCCTTGGCAAGGTCACGGACGATGGAGGCGTTGGTGTTGAAGAGGTCTGTGAGTGATCAGCGCGGCTGCGATCGGCGATTGCTGGGGGAACAATTTTCATACCATCACGGGTCATGCCAGGCTTGCGGGGGACGCCAGCGGGGATGAGGACGATCTCGGAACCCTCGAGGCACTCGCGGAGGCCAGAGGGAGTAGGGTCGTAGCCCTTGACCTGAATTGTGGGTGAGCGGCAGGCTCAATGGCAGAGCAGAGGCGGGCAGCGACATACGGTGCTCTTGGTGTTGATGTGGCTGACGTCGGCAGCAACACCTACAGCGGCGCGTTAGCGGAGGGCGGGTCGTCGAGATGTCGTCGGAGGACGCGGTACGTACCGGGACCGCCGCGGATGTCGTACAGCGCAAGCTCAGAGACGCGCGGGTTGAGCTTGAGCAGCAGCGACAGAGGCTGGCCAATGCCGCCTGCAGCACCAAGGACGGTGACCTTGGAGTTCTGCAAAAAGGGCGTTAGCAATGGACTTGGGACGCGGCCGGCGCAGACGAGGGCGCGGGCGGAGCATCTTCGAGCTTGCGTACCTGCCTGGCGGAAACGGAGAAAGCCCTCCGCTGGGCGGCGCCGAAGACCTGACGAGCAGCGAACATGGTGATGGATGCGGGTGGGACGTGGAGGCGGGAGGCGCGATGGAGAGAGAATGTGTGGGATGGATGGAGACGGCGGGTGTGAGGAAGTTCTGTTGGCGTGTCGGCACGGAAGCTTGCGCCCAGCTTGGCGCCGCACAATTCTCGGACGCCCGGCCGCTAACTACTGTAGGTGCCCGGTCTGCTCCCGCCTGCCAGACCCTGGCGCCAGCTGCTTCACCGCGAGCACTGAAGCACTTGCCCGGGCGCTCCCGAGGCCGTCGAGCTAAGCATTTGCGGGGACTGCTCCCGCCAGAGGCCAGCTGCCAGAGCTGCATCTGGAGCTGACGCGGGTGCCCGGCCGCCGCTACCGTCATGACGTCTTCAACCCGGCTCCCGGGTTGAAAAAGAGCGTTTCTTGCGCGCTCCGTTCCGCCAAACTGCTCCTCACCATGCCCGTGGACCACGAGAACGATCTTCTCTTGATCACCTGCGCCTCTGGGAAGCAGGCTTCGCGCCTGCTCCCGCTACTGTACGGCACGTGGAAGCGCCTCCGCCTAGTCGTCAACTCGCCGTCATCGGAGCAACGCCTGAAGCAGCAGTACCCTGACGCCAGCGTGACTCAGGCCAGCCTGGAGAATGTCGACGAGGCCCGCCGCATCATGGCCGGCGTGACCACCGTCTTCCACATCGGTCCCTCCTTCCATCCGCACGAGACGGAGATTGGCTATTTTATGGTTGATGCGGCCGCCGAAGAGGCCCGGCATGGCACGTTCAAGCACTTTGTGTACTCGTCGGTGCTCAACACCCAACTGCGCAAGATGATGAACCACGACTGCAAGCGCTACGTCGAGGAGTATCTCATGGAGTCAGGCCTGGACTACACCATCCTTCAGCCCACTCACTTCATGGACACGTTTCCCGTGGCACAGCTGCTGTCGCAGCCGGAGCCGCTGTACCGAGCCAACTGGAGCACGAGCGTGCCCTTCTCGTTCATTGCGCTGCAAGACTTGGCCGAGGCGGCGGCAACCGTGATTGAGGAGAGGGACAGGCACTACTTGGCGCAGTATCCGCTCAGCTCGACTCGGACGCTGCCGTACGACGAAGTGATCGGGAACGTAAGCCAGGCAATCGGCAAACATATCAAGGTCGAGACGAGGCCGGTGATAGAAGCCACCAATGCCCTCCTGGACATGCTCTTTGGCGGCGCGGACAAGGCTCACCCGAGAACGAGGGACGCCGCCCAGCGGATGGTCCTGTTCTACAACTACCACGGGCTCAAGGGCAACCCCAACATTCTCGAATGGCTGATCGGACGGAAGCCGACGGCCCACGCGGACTGGGTGCAGGCGCAGGTGCAGAGCGTGCAGAAGCTCAGGACTGGCTAAAACGAGCCACGGTACTGTGGACGCGTGATCTGGATTTACGGCCGTAGTTGTTGGTTTCTTCTCTCTCACGGAGTCTGGTGTTCTCTACCATCAGATCAGCTGGGCGCACGGGCCTGCTGGGCGTTGCGTCACCCCTTCACATGCTGGGGCCCCGGTCTGGGGAAGCCACTCGTAGATAGCAACACCAAAGCTCAGGTTTAGGCTGGTGGCCATTGCTCCGAGCCTCAGAGTGGCGTCTGCATGCATGGCAACGGCCAGTAAAGCATTGCTGGCCGCGCAGCAGGCTGGGCCGCCGTGTGCGCGTGCCAGCCTCGGCCAATCAGGCGGGCCGTGCTGGACCTCGGCTCCTGCCCCAGGCCGGCGCGCAACAGCTCCTCGTCGATCCCGAACTGCCAGCTTTGCCAGTTCCCGCCGACCGAGGAGGAAGACGCTCAGAGGTAAATATTCGCACCTAGTGCCTCTTACCTTGCTATCCGCACGCTATCCCCCCAGCCCGAGTCCTCATGTTTAATGCACTAAGCCGGTCTCGCGCCTCTGCATCCCTCCTCCGCACGCAGATCAAGCCCGCGACACCATCTCTCAGCAAGGTACTTCCTCACGCTCCCCGGTGCCCCGCTACCGTGCGACCGCAAGCTCGCTAACCCCGCGCCTCAGTTCACGCTCATGGCTCCCGCGCGGAAACAATCCTCCTTGCCTGCTGGTATGTCCGCCCGCCTTTGTGCGCTCCTTTCCCTCCTCTTGCTCACGCCGTGGCTCGCACAGGCTACAAGGAGGACATCAGCAAGGGCCGCATGCTCCGCTTCGAGGAGTCTCTGCCCCGCTTGCCCGTTCCCACCCTCGAAGAGACCGCGAAGCGCTACCTCAAGTCCGTACACCCCTTGCTCAACACCACCGAGTACGAGAGCACGAAGAAGGCTGTTGAGGAATTCGTCCAGCCCGGTGGTGTGGGCGAGACTCTCCAGAAGCGCCTGGTCGCCAGGCGCGAGGATGAGAGTGTCAAGAACTGGATATACGAGTGGTGGAATGACGCCGCCTATCTGGCCTACCGGGACCCCGTCGTGCCGTACGTGAGCTACTTCTACTCGCACCGTGATGACCGCAAGCGCCGGGATCCTTCAAAGCGCGCGGCCGCCATCACGACCGCCGTGTTGGAGTTCAAGAGGCTCGTTGATACCAAGGAGCTGGAGCCCGAGTACATGAAGAAGCTGCCCATTGCCATGTCCAGCTACGAGTACATGTTCAACTGCTGCCGCATTCCCGCAAAGCCCGCCGATTACCCTCAGAAGTACGATGCCGCCCAGAACAAGCACATTGTCGTCATCCGCAAGAACCAGTTCTTCAAGGTCGATCACGAGGTCGATGGCAGGCAGCTCACCACCGCAGAGCTGGAGCAGACATTTAAGAGGATATACCAGAAGGCCGAGAAAGCGCCCGCTGTCGGCCTCTACACGAGCCAGAACAGGGACGTGTGGACCGAGGTACGTTGGAACCTAGCAAGACGTCGACTGGAGCATAGCTAACAGTGTCAGGTCCGTGAGCGTCTCATTGCCGCCCATCCCTCCAACGAGGGCGTTCTCAAGGCCATTGAGTCTGCCTCCTTCGTCGTCTGCCTCGACGATGCTTCACCTGTAACCCTCGAGGAGCGCGCGCATCAGTACTGGCACGGCGATGGTGCCAACCGTTGGTTCGACAAGCCGCTTCAATTCATCGTCAACGACAACGGCACTTCCGGCTTCATGGGTGAGCATAGCATGATGGATGGCACGCCCACGCATCGCTTGAACGACCACATCAACATGCTCATCACTACGAACGCACTGCCCTTCGACGATCCATCTGTCCGCTCGAACCTGCCGGAGCCCGTTCCCCTCAACTTCAAGCTCAACACTCGCCTGCAGGAGGACATCAACGATGCGCAGAAGCACTTTGATGGCCAGATTGGCGCCCATGAGCTCCGTGTGCAGGCGTACCAGGGTTACGGCAAGGGCCTGATCAAGAAGTTCAAGTGCTCGCCGGACGCATACGTGCAGATGGTTATCCAACTGGCCTATCACAAATTCTATGGCAAGAACAGGCCAACCTACGAATCCGCCGCCACGCGTCGCTTCCAACTCGGCCGTACGGAAACCTGCCGCACCGTGTCGGACGAAAGCGTAGCTTTCTGCTCGGCCATGGCTGATCACTCAGTCTCGCCTGAAAAGTGCCGTGAGCTCTTCCGTGCCGCGCTCGATGCACATGTCAAGTACATCACCGACGCCAGCGATGGCCGAGGTGTTGACCGTCACCTGTTCGGCCTGAAGAAGTGCTTGCAGTCTGGTGAGGACGTGCCGTCCATCTACAACGATCCGACTTTTGCCTACTCGTCGCACTGGTTCATCTCCAGCTCCCAGCTCAGCTCCGAATACTTCAACGGCTACGGCTGGAGCCAGGTCGTTGACGACGGCTGGGGAATCGCCTACATGATCAACGAGAACAGTATCCAGTTCAACGTCGTTTCGAAGAACTTGGGCTCGGAGCGTATGTCCTTCTATCTCAACGAGGCCGCCGGCGACATCAGGGACCTGATGCTTCCTTCTCTGGAGGCACCCAAGGCAAAGTTGTAAGTTTGGGTAATAGAGGGCGTAGATGGAGAGGGTTAGCGTGTAAGGGTGGATCATGTTTTGAATTGTTTGGAATAGAACACCTCCGTCCCGGAATCGACCGACAGACGGTCGGTGGGTGGCCTCATCAATGAGAGATTGGGAGGGTTAGCATAAAAGTCACGTCTGTGAGGGTGACCAAGACATGGCTTAATCAGTCATCACGTTTTGTTTTGCACACTGCGGATATATGATGGATCTGCACGTTTATTGTATGATCTCGAGTCTCAGAGTTTACAAAATGTACAGTTCAGCTTATAGGCCAAGTTGTTCAATTGGAGTCAAAGACCAATGTTTCAATCTACTACCGGGTATCAAAATAGCACAATGAAATCCCACAACACCCCGGCTTTTGAGCAATGGCGCAATTGCTTCCTATCAGGACTAAAAGCTGTCATCAAGATCCAGGTTCCTGCGCACAATGCTCGGGCTATCTTCCGTCATGTTCGAATCCGTCAGCTCTCCTCCACCCGCGGTCAGCAGCAGGTCCTCAACAATCTTCTTGCTTGCCTCACGTGCAGGGGTTTGCATGAGGCGGCTCTGAGGAACGTGGAACTGCATCGTCTTAGGTGGACTAAATTCGGTCTCACCCTCACTGTCGCTGTCCCATGTAATGAAGTCTCCAACGCTCTTGGCTCCGCCGGTGAATTTGCTGGCCGTACCAAGTCCGCCGCCACCACTCTTGCCGGGTGTTCGGTGTTGTTGATAGACGCTAACACCCGGGGTTCGTGGCGTCTTGACGGGAGAGAATATATCGGCGCGCAGTTGTGGAGCAGGTGCCTCAGGAGACGACATAGGCGAGGAGTCGAACGCCAGGCGTCGCCTCGTGCGATTGGCAGTCCCGGGAGTGGCGGCATTGGTACCGGCACCACCAGAGTGCGTCTTCCGTGCTGTGTGCGGCGTAGCAGCGATTCGATACGTCTTGTCGAGCATGCGATGAAGGAGAGGGTCGTTGTTAGAGTCGTAACGTGTGTGACGCGTGTGCTGATCGTTTGAGCCAGGCGCGAATGGAGACGACTCTGGCGTCATGGACATGTCGGGTAGGACGGATTGCGAGACCTTTCCAGGAGTTGTTGGAGCGCCGAGGACAGTACCTTCCTCGGGCAAGCCGCTCGCCTCGGACGACATGTCATCTTCACCACCGCCAGAACCCTCACTCTTGTCCACTTGTAGCTCACGCTTCAGCGCCTCGTAAGGGGAGGGATAATCGTCGGTGAAAGAGGATCTGGGAGGGTTGCGGGGCGTCTTGGCCATGGACGGCGAGGAAAGTAGTGAGTCCTCAAGCCCTTCGTCGTCGTCGTCGTCAAATTGGCTTGGGCGACCGGTGGCGGAACGGAGAGTACTATCGGCACGAAGCGAAGGGCTATCGTCGTAAGCAGCGGAAGCATGGGTCACATCGTCGGTGGTGTCGTCTGCAGCGGCGGGCTCCTCGTAACCAGACAACGAGACATTGGCGCTGGCTTCGAAGAATTGCTTCCAAAATTTGGAGCCCTCCCACACGGCCTCGGAGTGTTTCGCGTACTGTTCAACCACGGGCAGGATGCTCCCGGTGACTATACGATGGGCGCGGCTGAAGTTGTGGTCGATTTCTGGGCGCATGGTCAGCGCACGCCGCAAGACGCCGCGGCAGCAGGGTGGTCACCTTGCAGTGTTAGGGTAATAGATTGCTCGAGTTTCTCCAGCTCCTCGGTCAAGGTGAGGTTGCGCTGGGCCATTGCGCTGTTCTGCGCCATCATGCTACTGGGGCGCGACATGGTGGTTAATGGTGGCCGTTGTGGAGGGGCTGGGCTGCAGCATCGGCAAAATGTCAACAGAGGCGCCGCGTAAATTGTGGCCGCCGCCACGGCGTGGCGCGGCGCGCTCCGTTTCTGACGCGTCTCCCTGCACCCCAACCCTTCACGCATTATTCCCGCCAACGCTTCTCCGCACTCTGCACTACCCCACACCGTGCCACAACGCCATGCTTGGTCTCATCGCACGACTCCGCACGTCCGCTGCCTCTGCCGGCGCAGCTGGCCCCGAGCTGCTGCTGCATAAAAATGCGCTCGCTCGGCCTTGCGTTGCGGCACTCCAATTGCTTCACCCATAGCTCCTCATCTGCTACTACGCCATCATGTCTCCCCGCTTTGCGCCAAGGAGCCTGCTGAGAGCTTCGACTCAGCTCACTGCTCCCCCCGCCCGGCCGTGGTCACGTTCCTTTGTGAGCACTCCTCGGCTGCAGAAGACTGCCATAGTCACTGGCTCCGCAAGAGGCATGTTAGTCAAAGTGCCTGCGTCTACACTTATACCCTGCTCACTTTTTGATAGCGGCAAAGCCATCGCTATCCGTCTTGCTGAAGACGGTTACGACGTCACCGTCAATGATATAGCACACAACAAGGCTCAGGCCGAGGAAGTTGTGTCACACATCAGGAGCTTGGGACGCAAGTCTGCCCTCGTCATCGGCGACGTTTCCAAACGTGCAGATGTCAGGAACATAGTCAAAACTTCAGTGCAAGAGCTTGGGCCATTGGACACCATGGTAGCCAACGCCGGCATTGCTCAAGTCAAGCCGCTGCTCAAGCTGACTGATGAAGACTTCCGTCGAATGTTCGAGGTCAACGTCTACGGAGTCTTTCACTGCTACACCGAGGCAGCCAAGCAGATGATTGAGCAGGGCGGGGGCGGAAAGCTAATTGGCTGTGCAAGGTACGTAAGTTCTCTCCTCGGCATGCTGGCTTGCTAATCCCTGCCACCTCAGCATCGTCGCTTTCAAACCCTTTGCCATGCTATCACACTACTCAGCCTCGAAATGGGCTGTCCGTGGCCTGACCCAGGTTATGGCCATGGAAATGGCAACTCATAAGATCACCGTGAATGCCTACGCGCCCGGAATCGTCGGTACCGCCATGTGGGACTTGATAGATGAGGAGCTGGGCAAGACAACTGGCGCTAAGAAGGGCGATACCATTAAGAAGTACACGAAGGAACTGATTGCTCTTGGCAGGACAAGTGTCCCGGAAGATGTCAGCAAAGTTGTCAGTTTCCTAGCTGGGCCAGACAGCGAATACGTGACCGGACAAACCATGGTCGTTGACGGTGGTATAATCTACACTTAGGCTTAGGATAGGTGCCTACAAATTCGATCACAATGGACATCAACGGAGAGGGCTGCGTCGCGCGCCGCGGCTCAGCCGGCAACGATTGCACAATCCAAAGAGGGCCCTCACTGAACGTGAGAAACTTAGCAACCTACGGAAATATTCCGCCTCTACAAATGCGGGGCAGCTCAAGAAGGTATCGGTAGCGAGCCTGAATATCTGTCGCAGCGCCACGCATGTGAGGCCCTCGGAAGACATAACTTACAATCGGCCTCTGGACCATACTCCCCCGTTGCAAGAAGGGATCCCTGCTTCTCTTCTCTGCTTCTCAAACTTACACCTTTCCGCAGTCTTCCGTGATGAACATCACAATTACTAAAGACTGCTAGGGCTTGATGACGACCCTGTAAACCATCGCCTGATTTGTTCCGATGACTGCCGGTTGAAGGTCTATTTAAATCGGCTCAAGAACATTTGTTACCGTTCTCACAAGACCTTCATCTACGCATTTTACAAGAGCGAGTGAAAATACAGACACCTCTGACAAGTGCTTTACGATACCATCAAGCACAATGGATCGTAAGTATATTCAAATACTTTAAGGCGAGGTTCTATTTCGCAGGTGCTAAGATATGATCGAGAAGGTTCTCGAATTGATGTCGTCAAGAAGTGGATTTCTCTTTTTCCCAATGGCTCGTCGAACGAACTCGCATCCTTGTTTACCCAGGACGGTGAATGGACCGACCATGCCTTTGGCGTACGTGCTAGAGGGCGAGGCGGCATTGAAGATCACTTCAGCATGTGGATCAGAAGCGTTCCGAATTTTACCATGACTCTCGAGCGGTCCTGGGAGGTTCCGGAAGGAGTCGTGGCTATGTACCGCGGGAAGGGAACAATGGAGAGGGACCTTCCAACCCTAAAGGCGAACGGTACTCCATTCGAATTCCAGGGTTTCGTCTACTTTCAGTTTAAGGGAAACCTTATTCAGTCTTTGGATGAGTCGTACACCCGCGTGTACCAGGAAATCCCTTCCCCGACTTCTTACCGTGTAAGGTCCCGAATATGAGAGGGGATGAAAGGCCAAAGGCGGCGCAGCAAAGTCGACACTACTTTGTCTAGTATCGATCCGAAACTTCCGGCCCACCCATGGACCGATTCTAGCCACTAGTCCGCTCGTTAATTCATGATAAATCTCTGTAAACTTATATCTTAGTAGACTCTTTTTCTAGCTATAGCAACTGTTTTTATTACAGTTGGTAATAATCGTGATATACGTGTGGATTAACCGTAGTATGCGACGAACACGTAGATAGGATGTAGAGGTGCTACGGTATTGTGGGAGGTATTAAGCGCTCTTAGGCCTATATAATGGAGGAACCTATCTCTCAGCCTTGCGTTGTTACACGAATTCGAAGAGCTATAATTAAACGGGGCGAACCTCAGCAAGGCGCAGTAGGAAATAGGCAGTAGGCAGCCGGCATCAGCTACAAGCTGTGCGATAACATGACGCTCTCTTCCGTAGTTACTTGCTTCCGTCTATATACATCTCTATCCCGGCCGTACGATAGACAGCCGTTAACAAGAGGACGCTAATGCGATAGCTTTCGCTAGTTTACTAGACGTCCCGTTGAATAACGATTTGTTAACATTATTAGATAGTTCGTCGAACCTAGGTAGAGAGAAAACGGACCTCTTAAACCATAATCGCCAAAATCGGTATATTACTAAATTACCTACATTTTAATTTTTATTTTCTAAATTATCTATCTATTTACTAAATTAACTAGATTTTAAAACTCTTATTAAATTATCTAGATTTATATCGTATTATAACTTTTATAATACTTATATAATATAAAAACTAGTTAATTTAATAAATAATATATAATTATAATTAATTTAGTAAATATATCGGTCTAGATTTATTAAATTATCTAGTTTTTTATAAAAATAAGTAATTTCTCGTCTATTTTCTAACTAAATTATATAAAATTTTTAATTATACTTTTATATAGTATTATAAGCTTAAGTTTTAAATTTAGTAATATTTAAAGTATATAGTAGCGAGAAATTTACTTTATAATTTTTTTTATATAAATAAGCTAATTTAAATATTATTTTTTTTAATAAAATTAAATTACTCGTTTAAATAATAATATTTAATTACGTAAATTTTAAATTAAATAGATTTTAATCTTAAATATTTAATTTAGAATTTATATAATTAAATATTATTATTTAAACGAGTAATTTAATTTAAAATATTTACGTAATTTAAATTACTTCTAAAAATCGCGTATATTAGTCTTTTTTAGTCTCTTTTTAATCTTTTTTTTAATAAAAATCGCGTAAATAACGTAGTTACTAAAAGATATATATATATCTATTATATTTATTAATTCTTTTAATAAAAAATAGCTACTATAGTTAAAATACTACTATTTTAAGTTAATTTAATTTTTATAAATTAGTAAGATACTAAAAATATAGTAAAAGTATATTTAACTAGTTATAATAAGTTCTTTAAGTAGAATAAAGCTAATAAAAAATAAATATACTAGATATATAAAAATAAAAAGTAATTATTAAAAGTAATCTATATTTATCGCGAAATTACTAAAAGCGATTTTCTAGTTTAAAAGTAATTCTCTATATATAAAGTTATAACTAGTTATCTTATTTAATAATAGTAAATTACTAGTATAAGACGATATAAGTCTTAATAACGCGGTATTAAACCGTATAAGTACTAGATAAAATAGTATAGATACTAAATAGATAGTATAAATATTAAATAAGTAGCGTTAAGACGATATAAATACTAGTTAAGACGATATAGACGCTATTTAGCTAAATTACTCGATTAGTAGTCTATACGAAATATAGTATTAATATAAGTAGCTATCGTTTACTTTTTATAGAATACGCTTTAATCTAGAATTCTATTAAGAATTAAGATAAATCGTAGTTAATTTTTTATACTAGTTTTATATAAGCTTAAACTAACTATATTACGTTTCTTTTTAACTTTTTAATTTTTTTCTCTACTACTAATCTTTATTATAATCGACTACTATAATACTAATCGCGCTAATCTATCGTCTATTAATATAGTTTTTTTAACTTTTAAAGCCGTAAAAAAAGCGTTCTTTTTTACTATTAGCGATATTAATAAAGTTATAAAAGTAGATAAAAATAATAATAAGACTTAATATTCTAGCTTTTATTATTCTATTAATAATACGTATTTATTTCGTATACGCGCTACTATATTTAGTAGAGTATTTAGAGTTATATATTTAATACTTTATATTTATTTAAGGTCTATATAGATAAATACTAATATTAAGCGTTTTATTAATTTATTAGCTATATACGTTACGTAAAAGATTATTTTTATAGTAAATAATAATAATTAAATATTTATAAAGACTCTTTAAAACTCGCTACGTTTAACTAGTAGTAATATTATAGACTTAAAATAGATATACTAAATAAAGATATATATATTTAAAATTACTAATAGTATTAAAAAGTATACTTATACTAAGATATTTATACTACTACGTAAGATTATTTATTTAATAATAGCTATTTACAAGCGTAGACGATATAAACGGCGTACGTAACGTAAATAACGCGAGTATAATATTTATACGTATTACTATTTTACTAAAAGCGACGATATTAAGGTTTATAATAATAGTAGTAGTAATACTAGCGGTAATACTAGCGGTAATACTAGCGGTAATACTAGTAGCGATAGTAAAACTTTTTCTCGTCGTTTTAAGAGTTACTTTTACGCGTTTATTATAATTCTTTATATTTTTAAATATATAAAACTAGTTCTTTTTTTTAACTCGATCTACTACTACTTAAAGTATAACTTATATATCTTTATTACTACTACTAAAGACTATAATAATAAGATTTTTTCTATTACGTAGAACTTATATAGCGGTAAAATAAATAAAAACTAGACGTTTTTTATAAAAAATCTAGACCGCTATATAAAAATTAATAGTAGCGAGCGACTTAATAAGCTAAAAGTTAGTAATATACTACTATAATCGTAACTCGTTATAGCTAATAATATATTAGATTAGTATTATAAGTAATTATAACTTCTTACTATTAAAAGCCGTTAAATACTATCTTTTAACTATCTACTACTATTATTATATTCTATATCTTATAAAAAATATACGCGATAATTTTAACGCTATATATAAAAGCTTCTTTTAATACTTAATATAGATATCTAAGCGACGCTATTTTAACTATTTTATAGTCGATTTTATTACTTATAATAACGACTATTTTATATTTTTTTAGTAATATACTAGTAGAGTATTAAACGCGTTACTTCTAGCTATATAAGTTTCTTTACTTTAAATAGATAATAAATAACGTTATTAAGTTAATTAACTCTAAACTAATAAAGATTTATAAAAAGCTACTATTTTTTTTACTTTAAAATATATATCTATACGTTATAAATCGCTTTTTTAAGCGTTAGTTTACTTAAGTATCTAAAAAGTAAGAATATATAAAATATTATAACTAAGTTTATAATATAGTATTAAACGATAGTAGACGTATACGTATAATTATATTAATTAATATTAATAGCGTAGTAATTAATTCGTTACTTAATAATAAGTAATATTTAATTAATATTAGATATCGATTTACTAATAATAAAGATATTTTATTAAAGATTTTACTCTCTTATTTATATTTTATATTTAAAGACTAACTACTTATATATACGTATACTTTATACTTTACTATTAAAATAAAAAAACGTATTAACGTATTAACTAAAAGTAGATACTTAATTAGTACTATTTATTTTTTTTAAAAAGTTTTAAAATATCTATAAAAAGTCTTTATAACTAATTATTACTAATAATCTCTTTTTAGAGTTAATATTATATTTAGTTACTATATAATATATAGAGCGGTCTAAAAAAAAGCGTATAGATCGTTATAATTAACTAATAAAGCGTATTTAT